CGCGTCGTCGACGCCCAAATGCGTCTCGGCATCCGGCGCATTGCCAATAGGCAAACGCCGCACCCGTAAGATCCGGCGTCGCGTTATCTAAGTTGAAGTCCGGCAGACCCGCACCAGCAGCTTCGTTGCCCGGGAAATAGTCCTGGTTCTGCACAAAACTATCAAGATCGAGATCATAGGGCCCGGGCTCACCGAAATACTCCCCAGTCGCACCCTCGCCGAGCCCCGGAATCTGCCCACTGGGACTAAGCGGCTGCAGCCTCTCCTGTAGACTCTGGACCCTCGAATTCTGCTCATCGCTCATCTGCTGCAGAATCTCGAGCTGTTTCTGGGTTGCCTGATACTGGCTGAGGTCGTTGATGAGGCGCTGCATTTCGGGGGGGTTGGGGTTGGTGAGGGCGTTGTTGGTGGTGGAGGCGGAGGTGTCGCCAGCCATCATGGAGAGCACGTTGTTGCGTTCCTGAGGCGTAAGGGGCACGTTGCCGCCGGCGGTTTGGTAGTTGGAGAGGGCGGCGGGGAAGTCGAATTGCGGGGCTTGGCTGGTGGTGCTGGCGTTGGCGTTGGCATTTTGGATGGCGGACATGATCGCGTCGTTTTCAAGGAGGGAGGGTTGGGTCGCGGGTGATTCTGATTTGAGTGGGACGGAGGATGGGTCTATTTGCTGGGCGTGGTCGTCGGTGGATGGTTGTCGTTGTGGTGCAGGGTTCTTAAACACTGCTTGCCTGCTGTTCGATCTCGTGAGTGGACTCGCAGATGGTCTTGAGGGACTCATAGTCGACGCGCGCCCGCCAGCTGCTGATAGCAGATCTGGTTGACCTACAATAGGAGCAGGAAGTAGCGCAAGTGGCTGTCTCTTCCGCTGTATGTGTGGTGACTTGTTCATGCTCATGTCTTGCGCGGGGAAGTCGTCCACGTCCACAACATTACCATGGGGTTGTTGACGCGCCGCGGGGAACATGTCCGCCAAATTCAGGCCATTCGCGTTGCCTTCCAAACTGCGGTTGTAGAATGTCGCTAGAAATGTGAGAATAGCGTTGATTGAATTTTCATGCCGCTCATGCAGCGCCTGAAATGATGTCGCTCGTGAGTAGAGCTCTTCGTTCTGCCGCTTGATGGTGCTTAAAACGCTTGATATCAGTTTCTGCTGATCTTGCAGCTGTCGAACTTCAACGCGCAGATTGTTGTACTCTGAACGCGGAATCATGGCCATTTGGTCGTTGCCTCGCACAGCAAGTTCCTCGACATAGCCGCCGCCGCCTCCGGTATCTTGGACGTACTTGCGCTCTTCGTCGCTGTCGCCTTTGCCGTCATCTTCTCGCTTCCGCTTCGGCCCAGCTGTGGGATTCTTTGGCTTTTGTATCAGCCACAACAGTTCCGGTCGGCCGCGCTTGAAGTATTTGTTGAAGTACTCGCTGGGAGCTTTCGCTTTCGTCTCGCTCGCCTTCATACTATTGTCCGAGAGCCCGACCTTTTTGTGGAAGCCGTACATGTTCAGTTGCCGCACGAAGGATGCGTAGTTGTTATGCTTGAAGAGCTCCGGGATCAGTGTCCGCGCAAATTCATCCTCGTCGATAACGATGAAGGAGTTGCCATCGTCTGACCACCGAATGAGGTTCTCGTTCTTGTTGTTATCAAGGAAACTGTCACATGTTAGCAGACGTCAGTCCATGTGCGACGCGGGCAAACTTGCCTGCTCAGCTTCTGCACAAACGGCGGGATCTGCTTCCTCTTCGCCTGGGCATCCTTCTTCGCAATCGCCGCCTTCTGCTCCAACTCCTCGTCGTCATCCACTGCTTCCCATGCCTGCTGTGTGGGACTCCCGAATCCATCCCATTGGCCCCTCCTAGAGGCCAGCTGCTGGTTCTGATTCCGTCGCACCAATTGCCCCGAGTTCATCTCTGTGCCGTCGTTGAGCGTCTCTAGCGACACCACCCTGTTATGTCCTGGCATCGCGGTGTTGGCATACTCGTACAGCGTGGGGTCGTTGAAGGCGTTCATGTCCGTGGACAAGCTGGGGTTGTTCCAATCCATGTACTGGTCGGTGGTGGGGATGGTTGCCTCTTGCTGATACGTAGTCTGCATCGGGGCCTGGGGAGATGCGACCGCGCGGCGCTTGCGAGAAGACATATGCAAGTCGCTTGTCTCGGGTAGGCTTCGCTACCAAAAATGATTGCTCGAGGTCCCGCTGCACGTATCCGGAGCCGTGCGCAGTGAAGGTTCGGACGTGTGCGTGTCCGTTCACTCGCGCTTGTAGCAGCCTCGTAGATTGCTGCTGCCTCACTTGTCCGTTTGGGAAGTCGCGGATGGGCGGTTCCGGGAACTTCTCGCTCTGCTCTTGGGCTCCGCGGGTCTTCTCGCGGCTATGTACGCGTGCCTTCCAGCTTGTTGTCTCGTTGTCGCAGTTTCGGTCAAACGATATTGCGATTGTGCAAACAGATGCTGGGCCTCGTACAAAGAAATCGACGGAGGCTTCACCTGCGCAAATACAAGCGTTCCAGACGGTGTTTCCAGAACCAGACGGCCGAGCGAAGAAGGGCGGAAGTGCGGCGTTGGGGCGGGCGGGTGAAATATGCTCTGCCGGGTAGAGGTGAGTGTCGTGGGCCTCACTTGGCGGGCAGTGACTCAATGAGCAAGCAGCAAGGTCGAGCGAGTTTAGACACGTTGCGCGAAAGACCGGATGGCTATCCCGGGGCAGCAGACGTGGTTTTAACAGCGGGTGGCAGCTCAGTCAACATGTCGCATCGATGCTCGAACGATGAGTTCACAGCAAATGCTCCGCAGATTCGCCGAAAGCTTAGCGCGCTGGCCCATGACTCGCTTCAAGCCTTGCATATGTCACATTAATGGTCGATCCGCCACTAACTCTAGATCTCAACCTCGTCCGTCAAGCCATCATTGGATCGGCCATGCGAATGCTAAATCGTGATATCCCAAACCCCATCAGACGACAATTCACTCCCATGCAATCAGAATTCCACCAGTTTCGCCGTGATCATCACAACCTTCACATGCCGAGTGGACAGCCTGGCCTTCATCGACGATTAGACTTACTCGCTGCATCATGGGAAACTTGCTTCATGCCGGTTTTCGATCAGGAAAAGTAGGACCGAAACCACTTTTGCATGTGTCGTAGCAAAGACGCAATGAGCTCAGCAGGAACAGGAACGGAGGTGATTCGTAAGCTTATGGTAATTAGCCCGCAGAGCGTCAGGCATCTGGTAAAAGGTCCAAGGCGACTTGGCTCCAGTGTAACACTTCCAAATACTGAGTGCATATAAGCTTCACCCACAGCGAGGAGTTCAAGACCGGTCACGAATAGTTGCTGAACGTAATATGAATCGTATGTTTTGATCGGAAGGATACCTAGCGGTACCTCATATATTAGATGCGCAATATTACAATACATACTAGCAAGGAAAGAAACCCCAGCCTATCCAAACCTCTTTCCCCAGAAATTCCGCGAAAATGACAGGTTCCAGCTCAATGCAGGATGAAGCACTGAACAGAGACCCAAGGCAAAATAGCATCGGGTCAACGTGAAACAATGCCGTGTACGGCGTCGTGGGGAGAAACCGCGGAGCATTTCATTGGATATATTGTGTCGCTTGAGTCAAGATCATGGCGCTGATGTAGTATGGGATCGCTCGGCTATTTCGGATCGACGGAGATGTCATATTGCGGGAATTATCGCGGTGTCGTTGTGATGACGGCAGAGAGGTCCTGTTAGCTCCGAGCCCTGGTAGGAGGTTGCTCCATGTCTTGAAAGCGAGTAACAGTTGAGGTACATCGCAAACTGGAACGACCTTCAAGAGCCTTGAGTTGCCACGGCAAAATAGACAGAAGGCTAGACGTGGTAGCAGAGCAGCGCTTCAATCCACGCACGGCAAGCTGAAGAAAATAATAACATAATCAAACTGATGCACAACGAAACATCCCCTGTAACGGTAATACAATCCCACAGGGCTGGAAGGAAGAAACGAAGAATGTAAATCGACAGAACTCAGATATTCAATATGTTCGTAAATGCTTTTTCGGTACTCAAATCAATATGCGAGTTCGGGGGCGCGTGCCCTATATGGAAGGTCGTAGTCTCTACCGTCGTAGCATCATTCTTCGTATGCATCGTAAAGTCAATCCTGTGTCGGGCCAGACTGCGATAAAGGCCGTAATATGTCGTTCATTCTCCGTCGAAAGCACGTCTCCGCACGTGTCGTCTGAAGTGAGTGGCAATACAACAAGTGCGTCAAGGCGTCGCGGTAGCTCATTGGTTCACGTGGATTTCGACGTTGGATTGCGACGAGAGTTCATCACTGCCACGGTTCTGGTGGCCGTTCTGTCGTTGGCGACCGAATCCCTGGCCTCGTTCTGGTAGCGGGCCACGGGGTTGCCTGGAGGGGCGGTCATCATAGGCGTTGCTAAACGCGCGATGGCCGCCGATGGGGCCTGGGTTCTCCCAGGAGGTCATCTGGCGCAATGAGCGAGGGCTGCTGCTCTGTCCAAATCCAGAGTTGTTGAGCTGCATGCGGCTCATCTCGCGCTCGAGCATCTCATCGTTACGCTGGGACATTGAGCCTGCAGTGGGGGTGCCACTCGGGTTGGTCGAGGTACCGCTGAAGCCAAGGCCCTCGAGGGAGACGCCACCAGGGCGGCCGATAGGGTGGCTAGCGGTTGAAGGGGCAGGCGAGGGCGTGTAAGATCGCAAGTCGGCGTACGACTTGGCACCGCGGAGGTTGGGCACCGCGTTCAGGCCTCCCGGTGAGTCGGGGAAGCCCAATAGGCCCGAAGCCTGACGACCGCCAAAGGCATTGTAAAATCCATCACGGACGTCACTAAAGTCAGTGGTTGCGGCGCGGTTGAGACCACGGCGGCCTGGCTGCTCGCCGGAGTGGCTCATCGGCATCTGTGGCATGGGTGGGCTGAGTCCTTGGTTGTCATGGACCTTGAAGATATGCACCTGTCGCTGCTCGCCAGTTCCCTTGGATACGTGTGCGAGAGCCAGCTGATGCGCGAGAGTGTGGATGATGCGGCGCTGAGGGGGTGATAGGTTGGGAGGGAAGGTCATCTGGTCACGAGCCGGATCCTCCTTGAAAATTAGTAGCTGTCCATAGAACTGCAGGACCTGAGGGTCATTCAAATCGACATCTGGCAGGGATTAGCAGGAGGCAGGAGAGCGTTGGGCAGAGCGGTGAGAGCGTACCAATCTTGGGCGCGCCTCGCATACCAGACACGGGCGAGGGCGAGGATGCGGGAATGTGGGAGGCGAGGGAACCAAAAGAGGCCTGCGACTGGAGACCGCCACCCAGCGGGCGGTGCTGTTCCTCGAGCTGGCCACGGCGCTCACGCTTCTCGCGCTCAATGCGCTCGCGTTCGGCCAGAGGCAGCATCTTCTTGTACTCGACGCGGAGCTTCCTCCCGTTCAGCTCGAAGTGGTTCATTGCATCAATGACCGAGGCCGTCTCCTCGGCGGTGGTGAAGTTTGCGAAAGCCAGGCCGCGGAAGACGCCGTTGTCGAAGTGGTAGTTGAAGGCATAGGGCAGGGGCAGGCGCAGATCCGTCATGAGCGACACGAGCTGCTCCTTCTTCACGGCAAAGGGAATGTTCTTGATGACAATGGCGGTGGGAATGAGCTCTTCGTCGACGTCCTGTCCATAGCTCGGATTGAGCATGGAGCCGTTGCCGTTGTTCATGCTGGGGAGGGCAAAGGTCGGAAGGCCCTGGGGCGACTGGTCCATCCAGCCCTGCATCACATGGTCAGTACTGGCGTGCCTGTGCATGTGCTGTGCGGTACTGGGGCTACTCACCGACGGCAGGGCGCTGCGTCCTCCTCCTCCGCCGCGCTGCTGCGACTTCATGCGGGCGGCGGCAGCGCCTCCCAGCGACCCCATGCCGTTCTGTGCAAAGGCATTCGCGTTCCAGCCGGCAGGTGCGCCCATGTCATAGCCATACCCGCCGCCGTGGACGGTGGCATTCAGGCGGTCGTAGTTGCGCGGCTGCTCGTAGCTCCTTGCGTGGTCCTCCTGTCCGTACTGCGGCAGCGGAGCGTAGGCGTCAAACTGGCGCGAGGGCATGCGATGCAGGGTGCTGCTCTGCTGCGGGTTGCGGTGCGAGCCCGGCGACCGCGACGCCTGCTGGTCGTAGGCCGAGTACATGTTGCTGTGGTGTTGTGTATGGGAAATGGAAAAAACGCGGAAAGAGGGCAAGGTTGAATGCCAAGGCAGGGCCACGCGGAAACGTCCCAAGCTCTGGATATCGCAGACGGCGGCCTATTAACGCAGAAGACGCCCTCGCAGCAGGTCTGGTTACGAGGCCAGGCCGCAACGGAAAAAGGGGCAGGAAATGAACCTTCTCGCAGCTCCGTTCGAGGTTGGCTGGATGAGACTAAGGACAGGGAGTCGTCTCCTTTTCGAAATGAGCCGCAGTGGTGGATCCACACGACCAGAAGCTACCAACGTCAGAAGAGGGGCGTGCTTCGTAGCAAAACCGCTCTGTCTAAAAACACGAGAGAGAGCCACTAGGCACTGCTGGCGACGCGACGGTGCGAGCTGAGTCACGCAGATGGGGGCAGGTGGGAGCTCCCAATCTAACAGCGGCAGAGAACGAGGGGGTGCAGCTGCAGTTGGAGGCGGCATTGGGTGGCATCCAATAAAACGCCTCGACCTTGCGGCCATATGCATGCCAGAGGTGCTGAGGGCCGTGTATTGGATGTAATACCACCTAGCCCGGTGCTATCAAACGGCCACCAGATGTGCGACCAGGTGCTTGGTCTTGCTGCCGCCCAACAATATGTGTTTGGAGTATATATCTCTACCACAAGTATCCGCATCCCCTTCCGCACTTTAGCCGCACCGTGGCTGGACGACGCGAGGGGGGAAGAGGGAAGCCCAAAAGAACCACCAGGCGCACCGCCGCTGGGACTGGAACTGACAAGACGGCTTCGGCCCGCAGCGCGAACCTGTAGCTTCCTGCTAAACGTGGGCGACGCCAATCACGCGACAGCCCGTCCCTTTGACAGGCGTTATTTGTTTTTGGATGGCTTGATACACGTCCTAGCCTAGAGATGTACATACATTGAATTTATCGTTTCTTATTTCCAAATCAACAAGAGGGATCATGGTTGCAGGCCATCACTGCAAAACCCTTCTTGTTGAAGCTACAACAACCTTGAAGCAGCGGTGACATGGGCGCACCGCACGCACCTGTTCCAGATGCAATGTCGCTCGTTTTGCTGGAGCTGACTGGCAGCGTCGCAGGTAGTGGGGTGCATGCGACACATTGCTCTGCTCTTGTGAGCCAGCAGCACAGCATCAGCTGCCTCCTACTGCGCCGCTAGATTCACCCTCGAACCCATGATTCGCCCATCTGCGCACCGGACCAACGCCGCGTGCTGGTATAGGTATCTGAGAGTAAGCAGGCCTCATGAAAGACCTACACTATCTACAGCATACACAGCATACCCAAGCTTCAACATGGCGACGACATGGCGTTCCCGTCTCTGCTGTTTCACGCCCTCGCACAAGGTGGGCTACACCCTTGTTGCACGACGTGCGGGCGGAAGTCATTCGTGGCCCAGTGGACCGTCAATGCAGTGGGTCACAGAACCCTCCCGCTGTTCAGCGAATTCCGACTGGTCGATGGCGGCGAGCGTCGTTGCTTGGTCGCTTACCCGCATACATGAGCAATCATGTGATGTGATGCAATCGGTACCTCGACGTGAGCGACCGAGCTGTTAGCGCCAGAATGCGGGAATCACGTTTGATGACTGCATCGAGCGGTTAGCACCGGGTCGCCTCTGCTGTATGCTGTAGACTTCGCGAAGTACTGCATGTGAAAGACGGAGTGAATTGTAGAGAGTATACCGACGAAGCGTCGTAATTTGTAGTGCGCACTGGCCTATGGAAGATGCTGTAGAGATTTATCAGAAGGGTTTTTCTTGGCAAAGACGGCTTTTCTCTGAAGAAGTCGCTCCGGAAATGCGCAGATTTATTCCACCGCGATTACTGTCTGTGCATCTTGAACGGCATCTGAAACGGTCCTGATTTAAGACGATCCGTGAATGCAAAAGTGACATGTTGGATGTACAGCAGCCCTCGACCTACTCGGTGACATATCGGTGTTCTACGCTCGAGATGCTTTCCAAGATGCTCCCGCCTGAGGGTTCGCGTGGTACATGTACACCAAACAAGGTAATCGTCCGGGAGCTATGTCCCCACCACATCGACCCTGAGTCTTGGAACTGATATCGGAGATCAATTCTCCGCAAAGCATCGTTCAATCGTCGTCAAAATCCAGCAACCGCGACCACTCGGTCTCGCCAACTCGACGGAACTCGGCACCGGCTGCGAATTGTCCCGCCTGTTCCCAAGCTTGCATTGTGGCTTGGTCGTATGGTCCATTATTGTCCCCCTCCGGTGCTGTGAACCAATGGAACTCCCACTGCACGGCCTCGGGATGTGGGTTTTTCCAGTCCTCTCCAGTCTCACGCTTGTATTGTCGCATAATCATCTCGCGAGTAGTTTCGTAAATGTCTTCGGCACCTCTATCTGAGAGCCGGCTGGCGCACTCAGTGACAGCGTCAATAGCTGCTTTAGCTTTCGCGGCTGCAGCTTCTTGTGCTGGATCAGCATCAACTTCCATAGCTTGGCTCTTCTTTTTCTTGGGCTGCTTCTTCGGTGCAGCCTTGCCGTACCGAACCAAAGCTTCCATAGGCGTCTCTCCCACTTCCAGATATGAGATGAGATTTGAGAGAACATCACTGGTCGCGATGGCATCCTCTGCGCGCTCTCGGGCTTTCCGCTCAGCGTCCCTCATGTCCTGGGCCTCCTTTGCCTTCTTCATGTCCTTTTTCGATATCCCTTCTAACCATGAATCTTGTGCAGCCTCTGGATCGTAGGCCTTGCGCACGAAGTTTCCAGCTTCATCGAACCGGCCCTCCTCTTGCTCGGCACGCATGTTGAACGCGTCTACCTTTGGCGCATGGTGTTTCTTGCTGCCTGCGCCTAATTCCTCGTCCATGTCCGAGTCGACTCGGTCGCGGTCTTCGTCGTCGCCATCATCGCTGCTGCTCTCCATCTCATCGGTGGCCTCTTTAGGCCCTTTGGTGAAGTCAGCTGCCACGTGCCCTCCAGACTTGCTGTTCTCTTCCTGGCCCTCAATCTCGTCCACGTCGAGAAAACGCAGTTTCTTCTTCTGCGTTTGGTCTCTCCGTGACTCTTCGTCCTGATCGTCGTCCTTGTCTTCGTCGGCAAACATGTCGTCGTCATCATCATTGTCTTTCACAGGCTTGTCTTTGCTTTTCCTGGCCTCTGCGCGTGCATTGAAGTTCTCTGTGGAGCTGTCCGAATCATAGCCGTCGATGTTGACTGCATTGCGCTTGATTCCTGCGCTCTTCCCTATTACGTCCGCCTCTAGCACTGGATCCTCCTCGTCATCGGCATCGGGTGCGAGCGTGGAGGGGTTGCGGGGGTCAAATCGCGGTTTCTTCGATGACGGTTCGTCGCCGTCGAGATGGTGTGTGCGCGTGAATTTTTCCCCTGCGCGTTTCGGTCGCGCAGGATTGTACGTGCCGCTAGAGCTGGCCATGGTTCCAAGAGTGGTGATGTGCGCTGTCGTGGGTGAATTCGCGTAGTGACGTCGGTCGCGACATTTTGGAGAGCTTGAGCACGGTCGTCGGCGTCTTTTGCAGAGCTCCGACGCGGGTGAAGTAGCGCGCTACCGCATCGTTACCTAGCACCCTGTCGTCATTCGCTTTCTGGCCTATTCTCTGTTCACGACTTCATAACACACTCCATCTTGCTCCTTCTTACTGTTCCACAACGGCCCTGTGCATTCACTCTACACCATTGTACCTACCGCAAACCGAATCTGGTCTCCTAACATGGTAAGAACGACCCAGAACAACCCCACCACTTCTACTACTACCAAACTCACCTCTCGCAGTTCAACCCCGGCTTCTACAACGAAGACGACCCGATGGCCATGTACCAAGCTATGCGGCGCGGCGGCGCTCCACGGCGGTTCGACGAGTACTTCCGCTGCTATCCCATCGTCATGCTGCCTGGTCCGGAGCGCGAAGAAGCAAACCACGGCGGCAAAGTGTTCCTTCCTCCCAGCGCCCTCGACAAGCTCACCCGGCTGCACATCACATATCCCATGCTCTTTGAGCTGATCAACGGCAAAGAGGATGGCAAGACAACACATGCGGGTGTACTGGAGTTCATTGCGGAAGAGGGCAAGATCTATCTTCCATACTGGGTATGTCGTGAGAAGTCTGTACCAGCCACCGTCCACTGACGCCTCCCAGCTCATGCAGACACTGAAACTGGAGCCTGGCGATCTGCTCCAGGTCAAGTCCACGAACCTTCCTCTCGGCACATTCATCAAGCTACAGCCGCAAGATCCGTCGTTCCTCGAAATCTCCGATCCCAAAGCAGTTCTCGAGAACGCGTTCCGAAACTTCTCCTGTCTTACCCAGGGCGACATCTTCACATTTGCGTACAATGATGACGTCTTCAGCATAGCAGTCCTAGAGACGAAACCCGAGCATGCCAGCAAAGCCATCTGCACTTTGGAGACTGACTTGTCGGTTGACTTCGCCCCACCCATCGGCTACCAGGAGCCACAGAGGACGAGTGGCACGAGTACACCGCGGAGCGGCAAGGGTGTCATGGCTGGAAAGGGCGGTACACTCCATTCTCAGGGGACCATGGCACAATCTATCAACTACGCCGCCATCGCACCATCATCGACCACTGCTGCCGCTGGAGCCCAGGCCACATCCTACAACTTCCTCACCACTGGCCACAAGCTTGCCAAGAAGGGTAGCAAAGCTCCAACTCCGCAGGCTTCCACTCCCATTACCGGACAGTCATCAAACCCGCCACCCACAGTGCGTCGCACCAACGGTCCGCAGCCCCTCCGACTAGCTCCTGGAAAGCTGTTCTTCGGCTACGAGATCAAGCCCCTCAAGGGCAAAGAGGAGGAAGGCGAACAGAAGGAGTCGAAACACTTTGAAGGTGCTGGCCAGACGCTGCGCAAGAAGAAGGGTGATAAATAGAGCAAGCCTAGCATCTGGGCTATGATGACACAACATGTGGGATGCATTTTACGGCGTAAGATCAGATATCAAGGTCACGGATACGGCGCGTGGCGTTAGAAAGATACCTCAGCATTCAGGAAGAAAGTAACCATATCGTGGCGATCCCCAATACATATTCTGCAGCACTTTCTTGTCCATGCCGATGTCTCACTTGATGTATTCCATGCTGACGGTCATAGACAAATCCGGCAATTGGCTACACTCACGTACGTCTACGAATGAGGCGAAAGGCTCGATCTGGGAGTTCTCATTGAAGCAGTGCTGTTGTTCAGTCAGGAACCGATTGCCACTATAGCACGCACTGTAAATCCAACTCATTCGCGCATACCCAGAGCGCCATCCGAAAGTTGTGCCAACCCCATCTCCGTCAGCCTAGAAGTCCACGCCAAGCTCAGACTTCCTCGTCATCAACCATCTCCTTCTTGATACCGTTCTCAGGCTTGATCTCCTCGTCATCATTCTGAGCCGCCTCCTCACTCTCCTCCTCCACAGCCTTCGCCTTGGCCATCCCCTTCTTCGCCCGCGGCTTCTTACTGGGCGTGCCTTCATCTCCACCCTCGGCTCCACGCTTCTTCTTCGCAGAATGTCCCGCCCCGCCCTCGGGCACATCCCAGCCCATCTCCTCGTAGAGATTGCGCTGCTTGACGCGCAGGGCTGAAATGCGGTTGCGGATGCTGCCGACGGTCGTGCCTGACGAATCATATTAGCAGAGAATGAGGTAGGGGAGGGAGGGTGAGAGGGTACCGGTGAATGCGGACGCGAGTTGCTTCGTACTCGTCGGTCTTGACGTAGCGGCCTTGGGTTAGGAGGAGGAGCTGTTGGGATGTTAGTACGGAGAAGAGTGGGGGAGGGACGGGGAGATGAGGTACTTTGTTGTCGTTTGCGCCCTCCCAGGTGAACTTGGTGGGGGCATCGGAGGTGTCGTTGGGGCGGGAGGAGGAAAGTTTCTTGGGAGGCATGGTTGTGGGTTGGTGGTGGATGGTAAACTTGGGACTTCGTGTTTGGATGTTGAGGGTTGAGGAGTGTGTGGAGGGAGGGAGAGAATGGCTGGGCGGGGTGGGTTATGGGTGTCTGGCGGGGACGCGGAGGAGTGAGAGTGAAAATGAGGGCTGAGAGTGAGGGACGGGTGGGAAAGTGGAGTATGACTGTGAGTGCACTTTCACTTGCGAGTACTCGAGCTACCTTGTTTGAACTGAATGTATGTCCAAGCATCTTGTTGAATTGAACGCGGGCCTAGATATCTCGTCGAACTAAACGCATGCCGAGAATGCCGTCGAAGTAATGTACATAATGCCCTTTTCCAAGACGTATCCACCATCTCATCAGTCAGATGCTCAAGCCTCACCATCGTCAATCTGCTCCTCCTTCACACCAGGAACAACCTCATCTCCGGGCTCAGCGTCACCCTCACCCTCGTCACTCTTAACCACCTCATCCTTCTTGCCCTTGCCCTTCTTGGCTCGCGGTTTCTTCGTCGGCGTACCCTCACCCTGATCGTCTGCACCACGCTTACTCGGCGTCTTCTTCACCGCGCCACCATCCGGCAGCGCCCATCCCAACTCCTCATACAGATTCCTCTGCTCCACGCGGAACCGCGAGCATTTGATCCTCACGCCGTTGAGATTCGTGCCTGCTTGCATTAATAAAATTAAGACTGAAGATGGCGGAGTTGGGTTGTAATGCGTACCTGGAAAAGCGGTCACGAGGCGCTCGTAGTCTTCGCCCGAGAGATAGCGGCCTTGAGTGAGGACGAGGAGCTGCGGAAGTATTAGAATTGAAGGTGGGGAGATGGGGAGAGGGACTTGCTTTGCGCTCGTTCTCCAGAGTCCAGCGAAAAGCGCCGCCGGGCTCGTCGGGGGTGTTGGTGGTGGCAGCTTTCTTCTTGGGAGGCATGGTGGATGGGTTTGGTTGTTTTGGGGGTTAAGTTGGTTGCGGGAGGTTGGTGGAGTGGTTGAGTAGGTTAGGAGGGAGAGGCGGCTACATGACTTACATATCCAGGGAAGTGAAAGTGAAGAAGAGAGATGAGGATGAAGTGAATTCCGCGATGAGTACTGTTGATGGAGATGCGTGTGCGGCATATCGACTTCACCTTCACTTGCATGCATATGAGCGAGGCGAAATGCGTACACACATTAACAGTCATTGAAAGCTATCAAGACCAGATTATCGGTGGAGATCTCATGATTTGATAGGTTGGTGAGACCTAGACGTTGACAATGTCGTGATATTCAGTATGCTATGTGTTTATCATCAAGTGGACGCTTCTCTGAGTGTGAGGTTCTTCAAGACGGCGCATCAAGCTAGAATATCGTCCACCAGCACAAATATCTATAACTATGCGTGCATTCTTTGTCATCCTCTCGCGACATGATTCTACTTCTGGCTGTTCCACATCGACGTTTCGACCTCCGTGCACTGCCGTCGCTCATGCAGCATTACGCAGGTGTAAGTATTGCTGGCGTAAGCACGCCGATCAACTTCATAGTTTCCAGGTATCGTCCATGATATGGCTGTGTTTGTATCACCAACATACCTATCAATGGTGGTTCGGAGCTCCAATGGGGCCAAATGCCATATACTTGTGACGTGTGGCGGGCCTGGATGACCCTTGCAAGGCGGAATCGTCTAGTGTCGTCTTCAGAACACAGCAACCACGAACGCTTCAACCAGAGATAATTGCCACCATGTCAATTGGAATAATATTCTATAAACTGCAGCGCTTTCAAGGAGATGTCAGTCCACTCTGGTGCCCTTCCGTAATGCCTCCGATATGAGATCTTCGTATTCAAAGGACGGCCACCCCTGCCATGCGCGGGTGGCTGAGTACATTCAGGCCACCCACCTCCGACGATCCCACATGCTCAATTCGCCCGCCAGGTCCCATGGCGGAATTCCCGTTATCTGTGCTCAGGCACCGAGTTCTTGAACCTCGCGCGGTGCCCCAGATTTCGCGTTGCTTGATCCCACACGCGACGAGACCCGAGTTTTGCTTTGCCACGCATTAGTGTGCCTTGTTGGATGTCTGTATAAAGAACGCCCGTCATGACGAGTGATGGCAATTATGTGTCGGTGGAATTGGCCAGTCCAACGGAAGAATCCCTTCCTTCTTATTCGTCGAGTTGGGCGCGAGATGTAGAGGAGAAGGAGGAAAAGAAGAGATGGAATTGGCGCTCACGAGAGGATTGGATGCGTGTATTTGGGGAGGCAAGACGCGCGGTCAAAGAGACGGAGCAAAATGTTCGATGGTCGACGAAGTCAGATTGGGCGGCGGCTTATGCGGAAGCACCACACACGTTCCACCGATTTATGAACTTGAAGACGAATGGGAAATGGTCCAGCAAGGCCTTCATTCCTTCAAAAGAGCAGATCTATGCATTTTTGCTCGTCCTCGCACTCGGCATCACGCCCATGGTGTTGCTTGGGAATTTCACGCACGTCAATACCGGAGGCAATGGCGACCGTCCATTCTACGGCATCTTTCAAGACAAAATCCAGAGTTGTGGGCAGAGCTTTGGCACCCCGGAAAACGCGACAGTCAGGGGAGTTGAAAAAATGTTTGTGCTGGATCAGACATTTGGCCGCTTCACTTTCTCCCAAGCCAAGACCATTGATGTGGCATGGGACGTCCTCATTGGTCGCGGAGTGCAACTGCTGGCTTGGTGGGTTGGATACATAGTTTTTTCTGATGCGCTGCTCCGTGCTATCGAACGGCATCCAGCATCATTCCAGATCTTTCAGAGGATTGCACTCGAAGGGCCCAGCCTCTTGTCGTTATGGACTCTGCTCAAAGAGTTGTGGTATGCGAAGAGCAAACGCACCAAGGCCCTGTTCTTCTACGTGTGGCTGGCCACGTTGTATATCATCAGCATACCCATGTTCCTAAGCGCAATGACGGGATACGACAGCACGAGTATCGCCTGGGTATCGCTCGACAATACCAGCAACATCATACCTGCTGCTTCAATCGAGTACTCGCTCGTGGCTACGGGCACCTGGAACGAGACGTGGGACGATGCGACCTGCCTCGACACTGAGCTGTACAACAAGAAATCTGAAGCCCTCTATTCGCGCCGTCGATCCTGTGAGTTTTACGCCAGTTGAAGCACATTCAGACAATCAAGCTGACAATGTACGTAGGCGATTGTCAATTGAACAACGGTACCATAGTCAACATCACAGAGTACCAGCAAACTCATATCAACTCTAACTATGGCTACTCCAACAGCTTCACAAGCCCCGAAGATATATGTACGTCCTACCATCCCAAGACACCTTCCCCTATACTCAGCTAATCCATCATCCCCAGGTCGTTTCAACTACCCCGGCAACAACAAAACCTTCACCCTCGGCAGATGGGACCTCGAAGGCAAAACCGGCGAAACCAAGAAATGTGCGCAACCCCTTATTTCTGTCCCTCTCCTCTTGCCTGCAAAAACTAACCCCCACTCAGGCGCAGAAACATACAACATAACAACTCACGGCGGTACCTTTGACCTCCTCGACCTAAACACCACATCATCCTACTGCTACAACTCCAAGCCCTACGACTACACCTTTCTCTCCGAACGCAGCCGCTGCCTACCCGACACCGCCAACCCCACGTACCAATGGGGCTTCAGCTCCATGCTCTCCGGGCTCTTCGTCTTCTGCCACTTCGCCTGGGCGCTGAGCATGTACGCCGTGTGGCTGGACGCGCAGTTCTGCAGCTCCTTGGTGCGCGGCGGGTACACGATGACGCCGTTGCGCGCGGCGTTTGCAATGGCCAGGGCGGCGAGGGGACGCACGGGGCTCGGCGAGGAAAAGCTAGTGAGGGCGGACACGAGGGAGTTGAAACAGGAGTTGTATGGGAGTAAGAGGAAGAGGGGGACAGAAGTTGGGTATGGGATTTTTGGGGAGGGAGAGCGAGAGATGGGGATGAGGAGGAGGCACGGGGGGAAAGAGGGGGAGGTCGAGGAGGTCGAGATGGGCATGCGGAGTGCGAGTGGCAGTCTGGCGGCGCGGTGAGAGTGTGGGAAAATAAGAGGAAAAGACATGATCGTACAGTGACGATGGAGCGCAGAGCCGTCCTGACGACGAGACACATGCCATACGACCGCTCGAAACCAGCGCGTCTGAGCATCTGCACAGCAGAAACCAATTGGCAACGATACCGCGCGATCCAACGCACCGCAGAGCCGCCATCACCACGCGCACCGATAAAATTTCGGACGAGCAGGCCTGTAATCCAGCCGAATCCCTGCTTACGAAAAAAATATATCAACAGAGACGCAGATAGAGTAGACGCCAGAAAGTCGGAACGCAGGACAGATGCAAAAAAAAATGTCATACAAGTGTACAAATGCCATATCTCCATCGCCGTCGCCAAAATGCGTGATCAAAGACATTAATTTTCCACTGCAGAACCAAAGTCGAAATCAAATGCACGCCCAAGAAACTCCAAGGCTATGCAACTCCCATGCCCTCTCTTACCCGCCCTTCTTCTCCGCAACCTCAATATGCTGCACCCGCACCTCGTCCCCCTCCCTCCCCGCACCCTCATCCGCGACGACCGCCGTCCCGTGTTCAACCTCCATAGCATCGCCTTCAATCGTACTACTACTCCTGCTCGACTCAACGCCCATCATCGCATCCATACCGCCATTAACCTCCACCATCTCCCTGACCCCAGCAGCACCATCATGTTCCGTATTCGGCGTGAGCGTGGCACTACTATCCCCCCGCGCCCTCGCACTCGTATGCCACTGCTGCGCAGACATGGAATTCCAATCGTACTCGTAGTCCGGGGGATCTTTGTCCCAATCGCCTATGGCTGCGGTGTCCATCTCCTGCCAATCTGTCTGCAACTCTTCGTGGAAGTTCAGCGCGTCTTTCTTGACAAAATCTTCGAGCGGTTTGGACAGCGGAATGGGCGCGACGGATAGAGCAGAGGCGTGTGCGTAGATGAGAAGGGCAGCGGAGGATTCGGTCGCCGCGCGCTCGACGACTTCTTGTTGAGTGAGGCGGTCGCGGCGGAGACTGGGGGAGGAGGTTTCCGTGTCGTATTGGATGCGCCACCATTGCTGGGCGCCGGGGGTGGGCGATTGGTTATCGGGGTGCAGGAGATAGATGACGCCAAAGTGCGTGGCTACGCCACAGAGGTGGTAGGGGTGTTGCATGGCGTCTTGGGGACTTTGGCCTGGGGGGTAGGAGGGTTCGGTCAGGTCGATCAGGGCTTCAGCGCCGTCGTCGACGATGGGCTTGAAGCGGCTGGATATGCTGTGTAGGGTCTCGCGAACTTGCTTGGTTTGTTCTTCTAGAGCAGCGAGTTTGGCCTCGATGCTTTGGTGCAGAGCTTCCAGTTGGGAGAGGACCATGGCATCTTTCGGATCTGGCGTCTCATTCTCGGTCTGTGGCTTGAAGGCCTTCATGCTGGTTTCGAGTAGCTTCAGAGTCTCGACCTTCTTAGCCTTCTCTTTCTTAGGTGTGTGATATTTTAGCCTCTGAATCGTAGTTTCGACCTCCTTCACGTCGTCCTCGTATTTCTTCATGTCACCAAACATGGCATCGATAACAGGTTTGTTGGCTTCCAAATAGCGATCAGGGTACAGAGTGGCGGGAATGCGGCAGCCCAGGCCTTGTGCATTTGTAGTCGCAGACGTGAGGCGCAAGATGAGCACTTTGCTTGGTTCCGAGAGATGTGCGCTTCCCGTAGCTGAGGAGAAGAGATGCTCATCGAGAACGTCGTAGATGCTATAGTCCTTCTTGGTCCCTTCTCTGACAACAGATGCATCGAGGACGAAGTTTTCCACGGTATCATTCCCAATCTTGACGATAGATCTTATCAAACCGTTGAGCTGGGCAGCAGGGACCTGGGCTTCGTGGGCGGCACTCCAGAGTATGAGAAACTTGATGAGATCGTCATCCTCGTCTTCCATAGTTGGACGCGACTCTTTCCAGGCGTCGAGTTCCAGCATCGAGCTTACTGTCGCATAGGCCCTGTCAGAGTTGTCCAGAAACGCCATTAGTCGCTGTGCCTCGTAAATTATATCCAGACTGTGTGCCTCTTCGCGCTCGGCGGCCGTGTCGGTGACACGGGCAGGCAGTGCAGGACTGCCTTTCCACCAGTCGTCGCCCATCCAGTAGTTCCTCTGCGTGATGTTCGGCGCCAGCAGCGCATTTCGAAATAGTGGTATCGAGTGCAGGATGCTGATGAGCGCAGGCAGATAGTTGAACCTCGGCGACGGCTTCAGAATGGCAGGATGGCCCTCTTCTCGCTTGCGTTGGCTCGGTGAAGGATCCGGTATGACCTCAGTCGACGTCGGCACCATGGCCCACGTCTCGGCAGGATAATAGTCCTGGTTTGCGGGCCCAAACGCAGGCTTCGAGCCGCCTACGACGCCAGACTCCTGCGTGTTCTCTATACCTGCCCCGCCAGTCAGCATCTGCCTTCCATCTCGTGCCCTAGACACGTACTCTGCATGGGCGCATCGCCAAGGTGTGTAGAGACCTGGCTCGTTCGCGAGGGCGGGCGCGTGGGTGCTCTGCTCTGGACATTGCTGTGGGGGCCGTAGTCTATGTTGAAGCCTGAGAAGACGTCTTGTCAGCCCGCCGTCTCTTGGTGCTGCCGTGCTTGTACGTACTGGTTGGCACTCCATCATTCTGGCCTCCCCCAAACGCAGTCTCGTCCCATCTCGGTACCACGTCCTTCAGGAGCTTGTTGATATTCGCAGGGCCCGTCTCGAAGAACTTGTTTACCGCGGCTTCAAGATTGTTGTCGCTGATCTGCACGCATTGGTTAGCCCTGGAGGCTGCTTGCATGCACGTGAGGAACACTACCCACCTTGAGAAGCTGCAGAGCTTCGTCGCGACTGAGCTGGCCGTCTATGAAGCTAAGCAGCGTGTCGACATTCTCGTCTGTCGCCATGGCGGTTGTGGTGCGGTAGTGATGTGGTAAGCGGGTGGAGCTATGGCGGACTGTAGGTATTCCAAGGCTAAGTGACGTCGGCGGGGATCAGCCGCGTTTTTGGCAAGAGCAAGCGCAAGCGTCACATCGACTACAAGCAATCGTGCGCTTCGCGTGGCATTGGCGCGGGACTTCTCGTGGCTTCCATGCTCAGCATGACAGATGCAGGGTGTGTAGGTATGGCGGGGTGGGTCAATCTCCGAAGGGCACAGCAATGCGGAGGAGCTTGCGGAGCTCTCATGTCGCTAATGGCTGGCTGCACAGGGTCCCGCCGCTGCACCACCTTTTGTATCCAAATCCTTGGTTCCAACCTCACTTAGTGTCTTCGCTAGCATATATAGACAAGTCTACAATCAAGAGCGTAATGTGTGTTGATTCATCAGAACTCGGAAAGACATCCTATCTATATGCTTTGCTATCAACGCCGACCATGCCGTTTTCTAACCAATGCTGTCGTGTCGTCATATTCTACATTTCTACATTATCCTACACTTCCCGGTAGCACCAATATTTGTACATCGCACACCTTTCCAAACGCCTCCTCTAGTCTCAGTTCGTCTTTTCTGGCGTCGCTTTCATCTCGACAGTCGTCGGTACGGCGTTTTCGGATCCAGGTCCCATGGGCTTGTATATCTGGATGCCCATTTCCTCATTCATCTTATCCTGCTCCTCCCTCCAAGCTCTACCTCTATTGCTGAAGCGCTGGATCAAGGCCCGGTAGTTTTGCAGGCTCTTGTCGACTTCTTGTTCTTCTTGGCCGATGAGGCCGCGACGTCGCTCTTTGACCGCTTCGTACAACCTCCATCGCGACGCTTCTGGGATTTCTTGGAGTGTGGTATTCCAGTTGCCATTCGTCTTCTGCTGTGAAACCAACTGGTCGGTCAACATAGCAGCCGTTGACCTTGCTACGCGTGGTTAGAGTCCATCCCATTAGCGGCCCGCTTGGTGTTGCTTCCTCGGCAGCATCGGTTGGAGGGTTTTCGCCATCCGCGACTTCACTTTCATCGACGTCTTCATCGACTTCGCTTTCCTCGACACTTTCATCGACTTCGATTTCGTCTACACCTTCAGCGACTTGACCTTCATTGGCGTCACTGCTAGGCTCTTCGGCAGTCTCGGTGGCGTCCTCTTCCTGCGTCGACTTCTCTGCACTCTCCTCTACCAATTCGCCGCCCTCGTCTTCATCCACTTGCTCGTCGACCTCGTCTTGTATGTTTTGCCACTCTTCCTGGTTCTTACCCAAGCCTACCACAGTGCGAGCAAAGTGCTTCTGAGCAGCTTCTCCCTTGCTTTGAAGCTCGTCTGCTTGCTCTTCCGTGACCGGCTCAGCAAAGACGTACATGAATGGCACCTTGGCATCGCGCGTCTCAAAGTGCAAGCGGATTGTCTGCTTTCATTAGATGTGCTAAAGAGAGAGATTGTGGAAGGCTTACAGTTTCAGGAAATGCAGCTGTTGCCTTGCCGAGCAGCTCGTCGACCAAGGCTACCGAAAGCTTGAACTCTTGGTCGCCCAACCGAGTATCCTCCTGACCATGTAGCACTCTGTCCATGTCCCCAAGGGGCAAATACTGGAAACCAAAGATGCGCTCAATGTTGTGATATGCGAGGAAAATGCCGTCCATGCGGCCCATGCGTACTTGAAGCGAATATTTCAGCATGGTCGCACGTGTCATGTCGTAGAATTCTCGCTCGAATGACTCCCACTCGCCCTGAGCGTAACGCAGCTGATATCCCGTGCCTGACTCATACTCCTTGTGGTTCATGCGAATGGAGACTACTGCCCTCGTCTTCAAGTCAAATACTCCAGTTCCTGGTAGTCGCGGATCATGGGCGTCGAGTTGCGATCGCATGAGTAGGTTGCCCTGCTTGGAATAATGGTAGCATCTGCTCGAGTTGTCTTCGGCGGGCGCCGGCTCTGGGCTCGACCGACGGAAAGACTCAAACTCCTTGCGGTCGGACGTCAGGAGTTTTTCAAGAGAGTGGCCTAACCAACTCATAATGTTGGGTGTATCGTAGGTCTTGGTCGGCATCAATGGCATATATGCCGTCCTTGTACCGCAAGAATATGGCATCTGGTCCAAATGTAATCTTAGAAAACCGTTTTGAAGGGTCCCGGGAAACCGCGGGAAAGCATTTTGTGGTTGAGCTCTCGGAATTTGGACAGCAGAAAGTGGAAATGCTGCAAAACTCCCGACATACTGGAGGTGGAGCCAGTATACTTGGTGCCCAGCCGCTTGGTCAACTCCAACAGGGTCTCGTCTTTGGACGAAGTTTTGTACTCGCTGAGAGCATCGAAGTCAAACTCATTGACGGGCATGATTTTTTCGAGATACGGGTCGAAATTGTATATGCGCGACCGGGGATCCTGCAGGCGGTAGACGCCAGGATTGAACAGTACACGATCGAGGCCGTACGAGAGCATTGGCACCGGTGGTATCTCAACGTCGACGGGCTCAAATGTGAGGTCTTGGGGTTCCAACACCTGTATCTCCAGCTGTTTGTCTCTGTTCCTGCTGCCCTTTTTGCTAGCCGTTTCCAGCCCCTCCTCTCCGGCCATAGCTTCCGCGAGCGACATGGGCACATAGCCATCTGAACCAAGCTCCCTCTTCGGCCTGGGGCTTCGTTTTCCTCCTGGGTCTTCTTTGTCATTCTTTGACCGAGGGTTCTCCTTTACGTGCTTTGGTTCTGCGACTTTTGCCCTTGCTCGTGGCTCCGGGTCTTCTGGTGACCCAGACGAATGAAATCTTACCACAGACTTGAGTTTGCCTTCCCTCTTCGCCTTTCCCTTCGCGGGTGACCTTGGAGAATTTGACTTGTTTGATTTCTCGGATTTTCTGGGGTTTTCCTCGGAGTCGGATGTCGCTCTTTCTCTCTTTGAGAGAAAACCAGTGGCGCTGAACGAGCGGATTGCCGACGTTCTCGATTGCGCCCGTGCACTACAGAAAATACATATTGGCTCACGCGACCACGGCGAGACACGGGTGAGGTTTCGACGGAGCATCTTGAGGGACGACGCGGGCGAGGGGCAACGAGTGTAATGGCCGTGGCGCGTGCAACAGCAACCGCGATCAGTCGCGCCGGGTCAGAAATTATGTCGGCGTTTGACATTTATTTCGCCGATGGTCGATCGACATGTACGTCAGGACCTCCCGCCGCGAAGCTCCCCAGATTTTGGGAACGACAGTGCCACGCAAGAAGGTGCTAGTCTAGAATAAGAATCTCCAGATTTTGGCCTTGCAGATACCTACCTATTTGTATGTACCTTCACTTTCAGCACTTGTCTCGCACAGGCTGTCTTCCGCCCGCTGCAGCCACGCCGCACATACGTCACCGCACGCCCGCCATCAGTGCTGCGGTACCAATTTGACGCGTGGAGCAGCTCGAGGCCCACTCCCTTCGCGACGCGTGTCAAATGTTTTTGGCTTCCCCTTCATCTCTCTTGTAGCGTCTGCTTATCTGGTGCGCGCTGTCTGCGAGCACGTGTTGGCGCAACGGGAGCTTGCTGTTGCCAATTGCTCTGCCGAGCCTTTGGTACAGATTGGGGCGATCGCGCAGGCCATTGCAGCGCAATTACGCCGTGCGCAGAATGCGTGCGCTGCCCTTGACCACACGCCTGCAATTGCCCACCTTGACTGACCCGAGCGCGGAGATCGAGACAAGGCTGCGCGAACGTTGAACCTTTACATCCAACGCTACCCAACGTCCGACTGCCCGTCCAATACGACGCTCCAGCACTGTCATTGGTGGAGCGCGACATTTGAACCTCGAGTTGGACCTGACCTGACCTTCTAAGCGCGTTCGAGCATGTTCCGCGGACCTGCACGGTGTTGAAACAAACTTGTCGATTAACAGTCCTTTGCATGCCATCTCTGCGCTGCTGAACTCTGTCGGGTGGCGCATCGCCTGCTTCAACCCGCGGCATGTCCAAGGACAAGCGAAGAAGCATCTTCGGCCGCAGTGGTCTGACAGCCCTCACTGGTCTGCAAAGTAGCAGCAGTAAGGATGAATCGCAACCTTCAACTCTGCTGCGGAAGCGGCGGACCGCATCCTTCATGTCCACAATCTCCGACATATCGCAGCATGGAGACAAGCAGTCCCTCGATGGCACTACCATAACAGAGACTCCCGCGCCCGGATCGCCCAGAACAACCATATCGCGAGGCAGTCTGAAGCGCGCAAGTTCTGTCTTTGGCTCCATCCGCGGGTCCAGGCTGCTAGACGAGGACGAGCCGCTCTCTGCGACATCCACGCGCAACTCGACTGGGTTTGGCGAGTACCTGGCTGAGGATACCCGCGTGGGGCAGGTACTGCACTATGGCGAGGTTCAGACGAGCAGTTCCATGTTTCGGAAGAAGAAGGAGTTCTTGGTCTTGACGGAGAAACACCTCATTCGGTACAAGACGCAATCGAAAGCGGCAGAGGCTTTCCCAGCGTAAGTATGCTATGGCCACGGACGACCATACGTATGCTGACTAGCCAAGGATACCATCTCCCTACACTCGCACTCCCTCCTACCGCCATAGCCAGAACCCTTCGACTGGCTCCTCGCACGACATCCAGTCTGTCGCATCAGAGTCTTCGGGAGATCGCGACCTGGGCACACCGCTGCGGCACATTGTCGCTGTGTACCATCTCGACGATGGCCGGCCACACTTTGCTATCGAGGTTTACTGGATGGACGACGACTCCAACCATGCTGCATGCTTGACTCTACAATTCGCCGATCCCGATGACATGTACACATGGCTAGCCAAGCTACGGGACGCTGCGAATCACGCAAGATTGGCCAATGCGAATCCGCTATCAGCGTACAACTCGCATCTGGCTGCTCGCGTGGTAGAAGCAGAACGCGACTATGTTCCTCCACACTATGCCATTTACAGGGTTGTGCTTCGGCCGCAGGGAAAGGCCACCTCACGGTCATCTTCGGACGACGTTACCAAGGCAGCTTCTTCGGTCTGTTTCCTCGCCATTGGCGTTCACAAAGTACACTTGATCCCACTGTTCAAACCGTCGTCTCAGCGGGCGTCTAGTCCATCTTTGACTTCCTCTAGTGCGCAGTCATCGCACGGCATCATGACTCTGACCGAAGTCTGTGTGAGCGACGTCGACGATACATTTCTTCTCACCTTCCGGTAAGCATGGTTCGACAGCAACTTGACTTTTCTAATGCCTTGGTAGAAAACCCCTCGAGCGTCCAAAGACGATACACTTGGCGTCGCTGGCTTCACACGATATCGCTGCGCGCTTGCGGTATACCGAAGCAGGATTGCGGCCAGAGTGGGAGTCGCGGCCATATCAATACGCTGTTCCGGACGGGTTGAGACAAGACATGCTACGACAGTCAAGCCCTCAGTCAATTGACCAAGACTCTCTAGACCGGACCTTGATAGGTTACTGCGTTGCATACGATGTGCAGCCTGAAACTATCAGCTACCAAATATCCTACCCCTCGGAGGATTCCCCTCGCTTCGAGCTGTTGCCACCTACATCATCAAGGAGAAATCAGTACACAAGTCTTGAGCTGCTAGCGGTAATGCGCTCGTTGCGATACAACGAAACATTCGTGGGCATCTCATTCAAAGGCATACACTTGGATGTCTTGAATGGCCTCCAAGATCCATATGGGGCTGAGCATGTATGCATGAAGACAAAGCGTGGCACATTTGCGCGCCTTGAAGTTGAAGAGTTTGAACAGGCGTGTCTGTTGGTGCAAGAGATACGTGCTCTGGCTCTGAGCAATCGCAAACTCAGGAGACTCGACTTCACTTCTTGTATCACAAGGCGACGGCGGGGCCACTTGGACACCGAGGGCAGTGGTAGAGATGGGGGCTGCGGCATCGTGGAAGCGCTGTTTCCACTGTGCAAGTATCAGAATACGAACGTCGACTGGATTGCTTTGAATAACATTCCACTGGGCGAGACCGACCTGGACTACCTGGTAGCAGCTGCGGTCGAGCGGAACTGCCATCTGCGGGCGCTTGAGTTGAGCGGCTGCGGTCTCAGTGACCGTGCACTATCTCTGGTCCTCGATGCTCTGCGGGCCCAGGAAAACACACTCGAGGCACTTGATTTATCCTCCAACAATTTCAGGATTTCGCCGACTATCTTTGACTCTCAGATTGGTATATTTGGCTATCTGACCAAGCTCAACTTGTCCCACATCGCTGTCTCAGCCGGTTCAGAGCCGATGATATCAGTAGAAACGATGCAAGGATGGAGGCTGCAAGAACTGGTTTTAAGTGGGACGCATTTGAATTCTCCCATGGTCGATGCAATAGCCAGGTGAGCTTTGTCGTAATTGAACATCGCTGGTAAGATACTGACTATGACAGCTACCTAGTGAACTATAAGCAGTCGAAGGGGCTGCGGGAACTTCGCTTGGATCATTGTTATCTCACGGGAAAAGACATCGCTTACTTGTTGCAATCTATGACTGAAACACCGGGGAAAGCTCGTGAGCTTCATCTTGATGTCAGCGAGAATTATATCGAACGGGATCTGAAGAAGTTTACCAAAGCAATTGCTGGCGGCTATGCGCCGTCTAGCTTAGCAGTGCGCCTGATCGAGTTTGAGGAAGAAGCAGAATTCCGAAGGATGATCCTCGCTTTCGGCGCAAACAACACCATCCGACAACTCGACATCTCTCGCGCATCGCTGCCCTGCGATGCCACAGAAGACACATGCCAGGCTATGGAGAGGATGTTTGCGGACAACACCGCCCTTGAATGGCTGGACATGTCTGGAGAGGACTCTCGCCTGGAAACGACCAAGCTCGGCGTGGGCATCAATAAGGCACTGCGAGGGTTGCAGCGCAACCGCACCCTGCGTGTCTTGTACATCAAATGTGTGTATAAACCCATCAATTCCTATTCAAAGCTAATTTGGAGGAGACCAGAAGCTTGGCGTGCAAGGCGCGAGCACTCTTGCCGACGTTCTCAAAGTCAACACGAGCTTGCAATATCTTTACTGCGAGAACAACGGCATTGCATTGACCGGCTTCACTGACCTGGTCAATGCTCTACACCGCAACACGACGCTCTTGTATCTTCCATCAATGCTGGAAAGCAGGCAGATGGCGCTCAAGCAGACCGAGGACCAGGTGAAACAAATGCGCGACGAAGTCTCCATACATACACAATCCAAAGGGCATTCAGTAAGAAGTAAGCTCGCAAATAAAGTAGCGGGGAGAGCACCCAAAGACAAGGCACATTCGTCCGGACTATCGGATCAAGATATCAAAGCTGCCCTAGGTCTAGTCGATGAGAGCTGGGCACGACAAGAATACCGCTTACAGCAATATTTGCTGCGCAACTACAACATTGCTCATGGCATACCCACGGCTATGGATGTGGATGAGGAGGACTTCGAACGACCGGACACGGCCACGAGCTTAGGCAAGATTATCGAGAAGGTCAAATTCGAGAGTACGCCTACAACCGAGAAAGACCTGCAGCTGGGGTTCGACACTCCTAACGCCGAATACGAAGCCGTCTCGCCAATGGAGAAAGATCTTGAAATGTCGTTCTCGCACAGTCGGCGACCTTTTGCATCGAGGACCTGATCTGTGAAACCACCCTCGTGCCACCGTTCACTGGCTCCGACCAACCACTTTTTCGACTTCGCTGTACTATACATTTCTTCTGGTTTCTGCATATGTTCCTAGTTCAGGATTTTGGAGTTCTCTAACCATGCAACAATATAGGCGCGCACATGAAGGATGGCATTGGGGGCCCACGATCTGCCTTTCTGGTCTCTGGCTTAGTCATTCTGTACCGACTGGATACCTATTGGTTTAGCTTTTGTGCCAGCTTGGATGATACCATATAGATGCCTACATGCTTGGATAGGCTTCTTCTTGCGCAAATACCATGAAATTTTTAGGTTCCACCACATTTGACGTCTTGCGACCGCATGCAATGATTATCTATCAGGAACATGAGCTGACAAGCGAGAACCCCACGCGATTGCTAGATCCCTGCAAGCGACGGTTTAACCTACACTAGCGTCCGTGCTGCCGCATGACTGACATCATGTCACTGAATCTCGGGACACATGAAAACCCACTGCGAAAGTCGATGAGAGGAGAACAGATCTTATCATGGCACCGAGCTCGAGACACGCGAGTTTAGAAAAAGATGAACACGCTAATGAGGCAGCGTGGCAGGCGGCGAAAGGAGCGGCTTGGGGTGGGACAAAGGTATGTTCAATTGAGTTCGCGAATGGTGATTGTGAAATGGGCAGCTCAACCACCACCGCGAGCTCAAAAGATATGATTCTACGTGTACTAACATGATCTAGTGGGGTGCAGCTTTCGCCGTAGCAGGCGGAGTAGCATATGCCTTTTCACCAGTATATCGCGGTCTTACCGTTCAATTCAAAACGCACGTCCAATCTTTTACCACCTACTCGCAACAAACCAATTCCACTACTTGACACTCTGCTGACCCAACCCCAGCTACATCCAAATGTCAGGCATGATTCTTGGTGGCTATCTCGAGGCTGAGAGGCGCATGTGGGCATATCAACATCACATCAGACACCAGCGAAGGATAGCGCGCGATACGGAGGTTTGGAGGAGGTATGAGGAGGACTATGAGGAGAGGGGGACGCCGGGGGTGGGAGCGGAGAGTCAGGTGCATAGGAAGGGGCCGGATGCTTGAGTGAAAGGGATTGGGGCGGTGGAGCATGGACGTTGTTTTGGCATTTTGGCCGCGTTCAACTGTAGAACTTTCGAGAAGACTTGTTGGAGCTTGAATCCTGCCACGAGAAGCAATTAACTCATTCTGACATGACAATCAATCTTGTTTGTCGCCAACACGTGATTGGCCGGCAACCTGGAAGCTTCCAAGCTTATGTAAGGCCCCTACCTCGCCGCATGGCTCCAGAAGCCACATTTCCCACTTCTTCTCCTCTCCAGGCAGCACTCGCTGAACCTCACTCACGCAAGCTTCCAACCACCACGGCACTCTCGTGCGAAGCTGCATACCCGCCATGGACGTCTTCTGGACCCTCCCGCCCGTCTCAAGGTCCGTCAGCGCCCGCCCAAACTTCCCCACGCACTGCTAACACCTCCCGAACAGGACAATCACCGCTCTAGCAGTATCTGTGTCGGCGCTGGGCTACGGAGGCATCATTAGTTTGAGCAATTATGTCTTCTTTAAGCCCTTCGTCTTCACTACGAAGATCGTCCCGCAGCTGTGGCGCCCGCTCACGGCGTTCCTCATCACGAAGCCCAAGTTCGGCATCCTCATGGACCCGTACTTCTGCTACCAGTATGGCAGCGGGCTGGAGCGCGAGTCGGCGCGGTTCACGCAGCCGGGCGATTTCGCCGTGTACACGGCGTTTTGCGCGTCGTTTATTATTGTAAGTATACCATCGCTTTATGTGGAGGAGATGTTGTGTCGCGTCTGCGACTGGAATCAGATACACCCTCGAAATATCTGCCCACCCAGCCTAATGCTCTAGCTGAAGCGGTTCCTGGAATCGAGGAAAATTACCCTTGTGCATCATGCAGCTCCGTCAGTCAAATATCCAAAACGGGGTTGCGTGGTGTGCAGGCATGGTGGGATGGCCAGTTACGTAGTCTTCGTGGACGCGCAATTCCACTAGGCGGTTCTGGCTCCCTACACACCGTTGTTCGATATATTTCGCTTGCAGTATGAAAACTGAGGGAATGATTGCTAACACGCACAAGGCAACAGCAGGCGGCTTCCTAAACAGCTACACCTTCCTCCCCGCCCTCACCCAATCCTACGCATACACCTTCGCGCAAGACAACCCCACCCGCCAAGTCAACTTCTTCATCATCAACTTCGACGCCAAATTCCTGCCCTTTGCGCTCCTCTTCATGACCTTCATCGTCGACGGACCAGACTCAGCTGCCGCTCAGCTCACGGGCCTGCTTGCGGCGCACTTGTACGACTTCCTTACGAGGATATGGCCGACGTTTGGTGGCGGAAAGAACTACATTGTCACACCCAACTTTGTCAAGAGGCTGTTCAATGCTGGTGTGGGTGTGCAGAATAGGGGCTTTGGACATGTTGTGCAGGGTCAGGCGCGCGCGAGTGGAGCTGCGACTGGAGGGCCTTCTGCGGCGGCGGGGGTGAGCAATAGATGGGGGAGTGTTGGGCCGGGGAGGAGACTTGGGGGTGATTGAGCATTGATGTTGGCGTTTGCATGCTTTACTTGCGGGTTGGAACATGCTAATCATGTATTTGACGACGGGATGAAACCCTAATCAACCTCCACGATACTCCAATTGATTACGTGTGAAAGCAATAAATGGTCACAACCCTATGATGCAAATTGATACTTTGACATTCCATTCGTAGATTTACTTCAGCTTCTAAGCCTTCTTCGCACTCCCAGCAGGATTACTCGGCCCATCCACCGCTCGCTCCACATGTCCCGCGATCCCATCCTTGCTCGCATCAAATTGACTCCCAATCGCTCCATCCTTACTAAACGGCCCCCCAACCTTCTCGCCAATCTGCCCGATCGCGCCGTCTGGGTTAAATTGCTTGCCGATTGCCCCTGCGGAGGAGAGGATAGAGGGGTTCTGTGAGCGAGCGAGCGAGCGTCAGCGAACTTCATTTCGAAGAAAAGCAGGAGAAGTATGGGATGGAAGGGGTGTTGTTCGTACCTCCTGTGGAATAGCATTCGTGCCCTTATTCGCGCCGATTTTATCCGCGGCGCTGGTGGTGCTGTCTGTCATTTTGAGGGCGTTGGGGTCCGAAGGGGCTTGTGTGGAGGTGAAGCCGAGTTGTTCTGAGAGGGGGCCTGTTGATTTTGGCATTGAGTTATCTGGGTTAGATGGGATGGGTAAGGGAGAGAGGTCTTTGGGAGTGTTTATATGCTGTGTATGAATGGTAGAGGGATCATGGGTGCGTCTACAGTGCGTCACGGTTGTGGTGATGTCATGATGAATTGCACTTCAAAGCGGCGTCGTGGATGGAAAAGTCGATGATGTGTCTAGTTAGTAGCTGCCGTGGATCTCGATACGCGCTTAAGCGATGTGAGATCGATCTAAGATCAGTTACTATTTGTGGTTGAGGTGTGGGGTGGAAGTGTCATGGTGGTTGCATTTGGACTGCCTTTTCGCCCCTAGAAGAAACTCCTCCACCATCTCCATGATGCAATGACACGTATAACGCCAGATCATCGAATTAGTATTTACTTCCTGCTCTTGCGCGGTCCACCGACCCGAGGGAATTTCAGTGGTAGCTTCAGCTTTGCAACCCAGTGGTTGTTGCTTTCGGCTTTGGAGAGCTTGAACTTTGTCAAGTCGGCGGCTGTTGGTGCGCTGACTTTGCAACCCAGTTCGGCGAAGTAGGCTTGGATTCTGTTAAGATGTTAGTTTCTGAATCAAGAATATGTTGTGTCGAGACATACTCTTTGTTGTCGATCTTCAAGTCGTCTCGCAAGTCGTTCACGTCCACCTCGAAGTCGTCTACAATGAGCGCAGCAGCGGCGATGTGTGTGTGCAGATTGTCGACGTTCCATCTAGGCATTTCGAAAGATCTGAAATAGTCAGCTTATGCGATCTCAAAGTACGAGCATTGCACATACCCTTCACGTGCAAACTTCCTCCTGATAGCCATAATACAGCTCTGCGGCACGTCCTCTCCCATAATAGCCTCGAGTTTGCCCTTGGGCGGGATCTTCTTCCCGCCTTTGCTGCTCTGTAAAGCTTGGGAAAAGTTGATGCAGAATAGGATGAAACGCAGCACCTTCAGTTTCTGGATCTGCTTGTTGCGTGCGAGCTTGACTATGCGCTTAGCAACAAACTTGCTCGTCACGTTGATATTCTGGCCAGCTGCAGCGGCATCCACCCAGTCTTTGACCTCGATCATGGTCATGAGTTCGCTGCCGACTATGCTTTCGATCGGGTAGACGTCGCCCGGATACTCAGCTTGGAGGTTTGGTGTTGGACGAGGCTTGGAGCTGTCTACAGCAGCCTCCATCTCCTGCTTCGTTGGCATCGCGCCCGTTGCGCCAGCCATATTTTGCAAGATATTCTCGGCCACTGCGTCGTTTCTCGCCGATGCTGGATCGTCGGGCTTGCCGCTGCGAATGGCGTTCATGGTCATATCGTCGAGGGCCTTCCTGGACTTCTTGGACCCGAATTCCGAAGCAAGCGCATTCCTCTTCGCCATCATGGTCTGCTGCTGTGCTTCGGTCTTCTCTTTCTGCTCTCGCATCTCTTCCGTTTCACTTCGTAGCGTGCTCCGTAATGTGACGCGCTTGACCGGCACGAGCTGTAGCTTCTTGGTCGCGGGGTCGAAAACACCGACATAGTCTTTGAGCTGACTCTCTGAGCTTCCGTCGAACTCTTCCTGGGCGGTGTAGTCCAAGCGAGAGTGTTCTGACGACTGGAGGAGGAGCTGTTCTGATGCGCCTTCTGGGAGGATCTTGGTACGTTTGTAGGGATTGAAGGATATGCGCGCCGGGAAGTGAAGTCCCGGTGTGGTTGCTGGTTTCTATTAGCTCTCCTTCACATGCGACACTCTGTACAGCTTCGCGCATACCTAGCAGTGGACCCAGGGTTTCCTTATTCTCGTGTAGCTCCACCTTGACGGTCCCCTGAGGCGCAATAGCTACCTTCTTCTTCGGCCGTACACCGCTATCCGATTTTCTCTTTCTCTTCTTTTCCGGGTCCGACATTGCTGTGTTGTGTGGCTGATATTGGCTGTCGTCGTCGCGTTGGAACTTTTTTCCCGACCTCGAATTGGCAGAATCGGGCGGTCAGGGCTCGCTTAGCTGATCTGACTGACAGGGATGATGCCAGTTAGCGCATGACGTCTACGCGACCCGCGTTTCTAAAGTCAGGTACCACCAAAGCAACGCTGAAAGCATATCTCTAGAGTCCAAGCCCCTCCTCAACCATAGCAAATGCCATTCCATCCTCCAATTCTACATTCTGCATCGTGTCTCCATTGATTGTTGATCCGATACTTACCATACATCACCATCAACAATGTCAGCTCTCATCTCCCACGCGCAGCACGCCGCGGGCACCGTCGGATCGCAACTCCAACGCACCGCAGGAAGCGTGGGCACTTCGCTCCAAACAACCACCAACAGACTCCTCCCTCCGCAACAACGCGAGCAGAAACTCAAAGACCTGCGTGTCTTCGCCAACCGCAACCCCAAGCTCGCCGTGGGTCACACTGCATCCTTTCCGTCTCCTTCCCCATTAACATGTGATCAGACATTCCTCTCCATCCAAACCTTCCTCCTCGGCATCCCCACGCTCCTCTTTCTAACCTTCGCCCTTTCAACACTCCTCATCTCCCTCTCAACATGCCTGCTGATCGCGCTTATCTCCGCCTTCATATACACCGGCCTGGCGGTCGGGTTCGCCCTCCTCTTCCTCGTGCCCACGCTGTTCATCGCAAGCTTTGCTGCGAGCTGCGCCTTCCTCTGGGGCCTGGCGGTCTATCTTGTACTCCAGCGCTTCAATGAGGGTGAGGCGCCGGGCAAGCCTGGCACGAGAGTGGGTGACAAGTTGCATGGACTGACGGGTGGCAGGTTGGGTTGGATGGTGGATGGGGCAGATGACAAGCCGGTACAGGTGGGTCAGGCACAGAATGGTAAAGGCACGAATGGGCGTACGGGTCACGACGGTGGTCGTGGTGCATCAGGTGAAGAAGGTGATGGGATGGTGAATGGGAATGGGTGGGAGAGTAAGTGGGCGATGGGTATGAAGCCTCATAGGGAGAATGCGGATGGGCAGGAGATCAAGGTGGATACGGTGGTAAGTTGCTGATACGTATGTGAAGATGGGGTGCTGACCGTGTATAGACGATACCTCCGACGTCCTAGAATCAATGTCTTTGTTATTCAGACTGTATAACTTCAATGCCTTCTTAACACAATGTTACGTGCGATAACTCAACCGTTAGACTTATTAGAGCACTGCGAACTGCGAGGACAAAGCCCATCAATGTGTGATAATAATTACTTTTCCACCATCTACACCTCTCCTAACAAAATCTTCTATATCATACATACATACACACATATATACACCCCTCACACCTCCCCTCAAATCCTCATCCCCTCCGCAATAACCTTGTACGCCTTCCTCTCCTTCCTCCACCTCGGATTCACCTTGACCTTGAGCACGCCAATCCACTTACTCAACCCGGGAAACAAGTACCTCTCACTAACATACGCGAGCGCAAAGTTCCCCAGCCCCAACCCCATGATGAACAGCTTAAACGGCACGTCCAAATACGTGAGTTCCATCCACTGCATGACCGTCTGACTGGGATCGAACAGCATATACGCGGTGATCGCCAGGGTGACGAAGATGGTCGTGATGAAGGGTAGATTGCGGGACATTGGTTCGCGGTATGGTTTTCCGACGGACAGGACGACGGCGGAGAGGATGTACTGGAAGCACGACACGAGAAACAGCGCAGTGTTTTGGGAGTTGAGCGAGTTGCTGTGGTTGGGGTCGATGACGGGGGGTTGGTACCATTCCTGCTTCTGGACGTAGGAGAACGCCACAGCCTGCACGATGATGCAGAAAACCATTTGTCCGAGCAGTGGGGTAAGGACTTTCCGGCTGACGAGGTTCGCGGTCGGGCGTTTGCGCGATAAAATGGGATACGCGCCCGACCAGCCCATGAAGATTGCAATCGGCAGGATGAGCAACAAGTCGATGAAGAGAAATTGGAAGTCGCCTAGGTTCGATGCGCTGGCGTACAGGAAGCTGACGGAGCAGAATTGAATCGCCGAGTAGAGCGACATGTACTTGAAGCAGGAGAAGGAGGTAACGAGCGCGGCGCGGCCTTCTTTGATGACCTGCGGGACACAGGAGATGTCGAATTGGCGGGAGGTAAAGGGCGCAGCGACGGAGGCTTCTGCTTCGGAGAGAGAAATGCCTACGTCGGCGGCTTTGAGGGCGCCACAGTCGTTTGCGCCGTCACCGCAGAAACCGACGCAGTAGTCGATGGATTGTAGCTTCTCGACGAGTTCGTGCTTTTCGTCGGGGGACATACGAGCGAAGACTTGGCCACAGACTAGCATCTCACGTAGGACAGATTCCGAGGCGAAGTCAACGACCCAGCGGAATACGTCGCCACTGACTGCGAGGCTGTAATTGCGGAGATTAGAGACATCGTATGGGAGCGAGACATCGACATCGGGCGGCGGAGGTAGTGGCTTCAAGGTGTTCTCATCGAGCTTGAACACAGGGTCGTCAACGGATTCCCAAGCCAGGCGAGACAGTGCTGTCCTAGAGTCGCCCTCTACAAAGTGCGGTATGAAACAATGCGCAGTCTTGTTGATAAGGCCGCACTCGCGGGCCACACTGATGGCAGTTAGGATGTTATCGCCAGTGCACATGACTTTACGGATGTTAGCGCGCTCGAGCTCCTCGATCACGGGCGCGGTGCTGGGCTTAAGCTTGTTCTCGAAGATGATGAAACCGACAAAGTCGAGCTGGCTTTCGGCCTCATCGCGCTTCATCTTTTGCACCTTGAGCCAGTTTAGCTTGGGGATGGTCTTGGTGGCGCATGCAATGACACGGAACCCGCGGTGGGTGTAGAATGCTAGCAGCTCCTCGTAGTCGGTGGGGAAGGTTTCTGGACGGCAGATGTCCTTCATCACTTCGGGCGCACCCTTGACGTAGATTGAGCCACTCTTAGATCCGAATTGTCGTACAACAACGCTGGCTCGTCGGAGCTGGGACACGAACTCGAATGACTTGAGTACACCAAGCTCGATGGCTTTTCTGTTCTGGTCATCCTCGTTGTCGTCAATGTCAAACTCTCGACCTGGTGGCGGTCGTGCGACAGATGGCGTAAGTTTTTGCTCAGGGTCGTCGTCATTGTTACCAGACTTCTGCTCGCCCTCTTCGTAGCTCCAGCCGGTAAAGTCGAACATCTTGACATCGAGCGGGTCACCAAGGAGTTCATCGTCAATCTTGCGAAGTGCGTGGCAAGTAGCCATGGTGTACAGGATGGTCTTGTGTGCCGAGTATTCCACTGTCGGGTCGCGGTCGTGCTGCGAGCTAGGAAGGATGTCGTATGGGTCGGCAAGGAGTTCACTGAACCTGTTCCTCGGTCGCTCAACCACCCGAACACCCAACACATCGAGTCCCTCCTCAGTCAGTGTGCCTGTCTTATCGAAGCAAACCACGTCAAGCTTCCCGCCAACATTGACTCTCTGTGGGCTAATGCAGAAGATTTGCTTTTGCTTGAGACGCGATAGGGCAAAGCTAGTTCCAATGGTTAGGGTGGCGGGAAGCGCAGGCGGTACGACAATAGTGATCAGGTCGAGAGCGCGAACGACGATCAAGTGCCATGCAAGACCGAGATGTACAAAGTTGATAAAGGATGCAACAAAGCCAATCATCGCAATGACTGCCATGACGGAAATGTAGCGGAAGGAGTCGCGGTAGAATTTGAATCCAGATGGCTTGGGGAAGAGCATGGAGCGGACAAGCGCGCCCTTGGTGGTGTTGAAGCCCGTGCGTACAACCATTGCGAGAGCGGCGGCCTCATCGTCGATGTGATCCTCATGCGGCCTGCGTGCGCGAATGATCTTAGTGCCGCTGAAGAGCATGTGACGGGCTACCTCGGGGTGTACGGCTGAGGCACTCAAGTCAAGATGGTCCAGCGCAGCATTCGTCATGGGAACCTTTGAAACGGGGATAGACTCGCCAGTCAGCATACTCTCGTTGACAATGCAGTCTCCAGATAGTAGCAGACTGTCGCATGGAAATTGTGTGAGCGCCGGATCGGTGACTTCGTAGACATCTCCGGGCACAAGTTCTGCGGAATCAACATGCGTCCAGAAGCCACTGCGCAGCACTCGAACCTCACAGTCGAAGCGCGACACCTCCCGCAGACGTTTCATTGTCGCCTTGGTCTCTACAAGCGTCGTGACGATACTGACGGCTGAGATGATGAAGATGGCGCAGGCGTAGTAGTAGTACTCGTCAAGCGACCAAAGCAGCAGACTGGCGACCTGGAAGATGTAGAATGGATGGAAGACCTCATCAACCAAAAGCTGGCCGGTCGTCTTCTCGGCGATGTCGATGAGGTTCTTGCCGAAGACGAGCTCGCGATAGTCACGCTCTTCGTTGTCCAGACCATCACGGAGAGCTGTCACTTCGGTCCAAGCGGGGTCCTTCCACGTGTTGGCGAGGACGAACTTGTCTTTGAGCGGGTGGTGCACAAAGCGGATATAGCGGTAGTCCAGACAGCGCAACTCTTTGATCAGCGGGTCATCGTCCTCGTCCCATTCTTGGAAGCGACTCTTCTCAGTGTCGCCAAAGACGGTGGACAGCGAGCGGCCGTATATTTGTCTGTCGACATTCTGCACAGCAAATTCACCCCATTGGTTCTCGATGACGACCCAGTCGCAGTCTTTCAACGGGATGCTCCTGCCCGTGAGCCACACCCTCCATCTTGGCAGCCATCTGAACAGCAACCAGGCGATTCCGAGCGTTGCAACGCAGAGCACGGAATACACAGCGAAGCCGACGGGCGACGTGTTGAAGCCAGCGACCACAATGGTCAGGTCCTCGGTCATGATGTAGATCTTCTGGTTCGACCGCCGTCCCTTCCAGTCGGCGCCTGACCCTGCGCTGCCCGTAGATGAGTGCCGTCGCAGCAACGGCCGGTCCACCGACTTCCTGCTCTTTCTGCTGCCCGTCGAATTCCGCCGCGATGGTGAGGGTGACATGGTCGTGGACGATTGCGACGAGATGCCGGCCTCGAGTTCTTCCAGCTCTTCTATCGTGTATCCCTCATACTCGCCATCCTCCTCGATGATGGCTTCATCCTCCAAGCCATCTGAGTCTTGGTCCTCGTCGTAGTACGCAAAGCTCGTCAAGCTGGCGCTCGAATCTGCTCTCTGGCGGCGATGCGAAAAGGCGGACACGCTCGTGGGCACGCTTTCGGACATGGGACCGGAGAAGACCTGGATTTTGGGCGTCAGCTGGGTTCCTGGCTGCCTCGAGCTGCCCTGAGGTCGGCGGGAGGGTCGCGGCATGGGGCCGAGTTCGTATACCTCGTCTTGTGCCATCTCGACATCTTCCATGAAGCTGGCCCTGCACTTTTGTTAGGCTTCACGTTCGCGCCGAGCTGTTCTTCACCGCGCAACGTACTCGCTCATGTTGGACCCGCGACGGTACATTCCCATGGACCTGCGCCGCCGCTCAGGGCTCCCGTTTGCTGCCATAATTTACGCGATTTTCCCTCTCAGCGCATTCTGGGTGTTAAAAAGAGGGTCGGGTGGTTTCCTGCAGCCGGCCGTTGGCATAGCGTGGAAATCGTGGATATGACGCCGGTTGAAAGCTTATCTCCAGGCACGCTAGCTCTATGAAGGTTGAGCCCGACGTCCCTTCTCGACCATGCACTCCCACGACCACGCTTCTTTCATGCTGTACTCTTGTCGCTACGTTATTTGATAAATAGGAAAGCAATCGTTGTGGAATCATCTCAAAACAATACAATTAATTCTGATATGTACAGAAAACAAATCACCCTTGATGTCATTTGACCAGCTAAACACCGTGTGCAGAAAGAGAAGGCCAGTACAGGGTATGATATGCGAAATGCAGAAAGCTTACGCAGCTTCATGGTTCGTTATCAGGCGATTTTTTTCTTGATGAGCGCTTTGAGAGTATTGCTGCTGCTCTACACAGCCACGTCCTGAATTGACCAGCGAATGAGAGCCTCCATGCTTCAGCCTTGTCGCGCCTGCCTTGCTCACGAGATTTCTCATCACTACAACCAGCACATCTTCACTATCTGCTCCCAATTATTCCTCAATAATTGCGCTCATGACAAACATCGCAGGCGCATTGCACGTCTACGAGCCTCTCGATGGAGCAGACCACATCAGACTGATGTGTTTGGAACCAGCCTTCTTTTCTCAAGAACCACTTCGATTTTCGTTTCTTAGCGGCAATCTGATCGACTTCGAAGATCGATATGAGGCTGTATCATATACCTGGGGCGAACCACTTCTAACCTATCCGCTCCATCACAAAGATGGAACCCAAGTCATGGTGACTGCGAATCTCGATCGAGCGTTGAGGCGCTATCGTCTACCCGTCACGAAACGACTGCTTTGGGCGGACGCTGTATGTATCAACCAAGAAGATGATACGGAGAAAGCCGCACAGATACCCCTCATGGTCCAAATCTTTCGCAATGCGAGCAAAGTACAGGCATGGGTTGGCGGCGGCGCACAAGAAGAAAGGGGCATGCAGTATTTGAGCAAACTTTCGCGATTCTCTTCGCTTCCGCTTAAGCAATTGTCTACAGAACTTCACTCTGTGGCACAGCAATTCCTAGGCTTGCCTTGGTTCAACAGGCTGTGGGTCATTCAAGAAGTGGTTTTCAACAACGACGTCATTCTCACCTGCTGCGATTCAGAGCTTTCCTGGTCCAGGCTTGTCTCTGCTCTACAAAACACCTCAAGAGGTGGCTCCGCCTTTCCTGCCTTCATTAGTCCAGAGAGACGCTTCGCCCTCAACCAAATTGCTCGGCTATGGAAGCACCATTGTTTGATCCAAGGTCAAATAGGCTTTTCCATCACTTCACTCAAACCAATGGTGGCTGAAAAGATACCACAAGATATCTTGGATGTCGTTAATGTTTTCACTGAATATGGATGTTCCGATGCCAGGGATCGCATTTATGCGTTGTACAGTATGACCTCAGGGGTGTCGCCCACAAATGCCAGTCGAACAAGTGGCGTCCTGAGAAGTGGTCGCAACAATGTTCTCATGGATATTGACTATTCGTTGGACGTTCGGGATACATACAGAACATTCGCCCCTGGCCTGTATTATTGGTGGACGTTTACTACAAGTGCTCAACAACGTGCTTTCTCGGTGTCCGCAATACACCGAAGACTGGCCCACGTGGGTGCCAGATTGGCGACAACCCAATAAAGCTATATACGTACCCACCGTGGCAACATGTCGTGACTTCGACCTTGATGGGCGAGCCATGCAAAAACTTCTAGAAAACTCCAGCGGGAATATGTTGCAAATAACACAACTGTACCCTGCGGGCCAGTTGGCCTACATCCATTCACTTCAGATCAGCGAGAAGTTGTCAACCGAAGCCTCGGATGAGGCACTCTTGCGGCTTCTTCGTACACTGTCGGTACAATTTACTACAATGGTTCTCGAGGAATTATTGCGAATCTTGCTCTATGCTCAATGGTTAGGCCAGCTTATTCGCCCTCCAAAAAACGTAGTCCGGCAGCAATTGGCGGCCATATCTGACTATCTCAACAATGATGCTTCACGTCGAGCAGACGAATTGCCCCAGATTCTCTTGGACGCTGCTTGCAGCTTGCGAAATACACTGAAAAGCTTTGGATTCTTTACTGCTTCCCCCGCAGACACATCCCAACTCTGGGCCGAACAAGTCGATCTAGTCTCTGTCGGATGTGGTACGTCAGCTATGCGTCCAGGAGACCAACTCTGGCCGTACAAGAATACGAACATGCGGGAAGTAGAATGCTATTACGGCTCTCTAATTTTGATACTTCGACCAGAGTATGATGCATCAGAAGTCGTACCAAATCGGCCAATCGCTCATCGCCTTGTTGGATGCGGATGGGTATCAAACGGGTATGTAAGGATCAAGTCGGATAGCATTACACTCGTGGACAAGCTACAGAAACGGGGGTCATTGGGAGCTTGGAACCAGTTTGAACGTACGGTGCGCCTGGTGTAGCCTTGGACAGAAATTTTCAACCGAGAGTTTCTCTACAAACGCCCTTATCTAAAGAGCGTTGATAGCTATATGTCCTGCAACAAGAACTTCTCGCTATGAACCGTCCAAAGGGTCATCTTCGGACACATGACAGTACGTCCACGGGTTTGAATATCACCGTCACGTGCTATATGCAAGTCAGCAGCCATGCTCTTGGCCAGCCAATCAAGTTCGACAACATCTGCCTGTAGAAGCTTCAGCCTTGTGAGTAAAGTAGTTCCCCGCTATTTTGTTCTCATCCTCTACCCACATGCCAGAAATCGGCTTGGACCCTGTCGCCATGATGGATTCAGGAATCAAAGATAGCATCATACCATACACCTACGAACCTCTCCCAAAAGACGCTGACTTTATTCGTCTCATGCACCTGGAGCCAGCCTTGGACTCTGAAGCACCGCTACACTTCACCTTCACGAGCAACGATATTGGGAGCCTTGTTGCACAGTACGAAGCAATATCATACACCTGGGGAGAGCCAAAGTTGGATTACGCATTGCACGTCAATGGAAGCAGTACCTGCGTCATGGTCACCAAAAATCTAGATAGTGCACTCCGGAAGCTACGACATTCGAAAACACCACGGATTTTGTGGGCAGATGCTGTGTGTATTAACCAGAGTGACAACGAGGAGAAGTCTCGGCAGATCCCCTTGATGACCAAGATATTTCGTGGCGCAAGCAGGGTTCTGGCGTGGCTCGACGGTGGTGCCGACGAGGAGAAAGGCATGCAACTTCTTAACAAATGGTCGCGAGATGCGGGGCATACAATACGCGAAAGGAGCAATGGTCAGTCGAAATCGCCAGCACATGATGTTGCGCAAGAAACTGATTCTATACATCGACTTCTTGACCTCGCCTGGTTCTCTCGGCTCTGGATCATACAGGAAGTCGTCATGAACGCTGATGTGGTTTTGATATGCGGCTCGTGCGACATCTCCTGGTTCAGATTCAGCATTGGTCTTAGTGTTTATCGAACCAAGAGGCCATCCGCTCGGTTTATTGATGAGCTCGAAGCTCTACAGAGAATCTACCAGCTGTGGAAACACTACAATACCTTTAGTGATACACGAATGAGGCGCCATGAGGCTGAGGATATTGAGGACATCTGCGACCTAGTGCAAACGTTTTCTAGCTACAAGTGCACAGACCCTCGAGACCGCATCTTCGCCATGTATAGTATGACGTCAACTATACAACCTGTATCCAATCGCTCAGACAGAAACTCTACCAATGAGGCTCTTCAAATAATGCCAGAAGATTTCCATAGGTCCGGAAGCATAGACGTAATTCTTCATAGACGAAATTACGTCCATGATTTGGAAAGGTCTCTCGCGTTCTACAAGACCATCTATATGGACATCGATTATACGCAAGACATCCGTCAAGTATATCAGACCTTTGCCGCTGCATGCATCAAGAGCGACAGAACACCTTTCGTCTTGGAGTCTCTTCTCCGAAGGCGGTTTCTCCAGCCTGTAAACGACTGGCCTTCTTGGGTACCTGATTGGCGCGTGGCACCAACTGCCACACGTTGGGGGTATGGATATCCAAGCATCAGATTCAAGCAAGTCAGTCCGGACATTGTCTCGCTTTCGTACAGCGAGTTCAAAAGTTCGACCCACAGATTCATCGTAGATGACATAATTCGCGCTCCAACAGAAGGCCATAGTCGTGCGTTTGTTGATTCGTTGCGTACATTCATCACAACCTGGTCAGGTCTTATCATCGAGCTGATGGCCATTCTACTTCCCACGATACCCATGGATCAGAAGGAATGTTTTATAGCTGATTTAGCTGGATTGAGAGGGCCTACCAATCGCTTCCTGCCACTCATGCAAGAATTCCGCAATGCGATGCGGAACCAGTGCTTCTTCATCGCTACTTCGCCGACGGTAACTTCGCCGTTACTTGGATACGGTAGTACAGTGATGCGCGAGGGCGATGAACTAGTGTATCTGCCTGATGATTACGACCCGTGTCGTGAAGCTGAAACGGCTTTATACGACGTTCAGTGCTATTTACACCTTCGTCGCAAGGGTACGCATTCGTCTGCCCGTATCGATACGCATTTCTTATTAGGCACAGCGTTGGCTGTTCTTGCTCCTGGCGCGTGTTTCTCTTCCTCTCGCAGCAGTTCTGGAAGCACTATAGCTATGTGGGGTGGCGGTCACACTGCTGCCGAAAGAATGGATCCTCGTCACGCTGATAAATTCTTAGTATATCTGGAGTGAGTCGACGCTGCTTCAACCACCTATCTTCGCAGCAACAAACGCCCCTGTATCATCCAAACCCTCCTGCACCGCCTTAATCGTCCCTGGCGCAAACCCAATGAACCCATGCGGCGCGCCATTGTATATCTTCACCACCGCCTCATTCCCCCACATACTCCACTTCGCCCCCATCATCACTGTATCATCCAGTAACGGATCCTCACTGCCACACGTAAATAACGCCGGCGGCAGCTTCTTCCCCCTGATATCCGCATAAAAAGGCGAAATCGACGGGTGCCTGCGTTCCTGCTCGGTAGTCCCGGGCAGCAGGGCTTTGATGTAGCTCGCCATGACATCGTGGTCGATAACAAGATGCGTCTCATGATGCAGCACATGCGGCAAAAAAGTCGACATGTCGAAACATCCAAAGTGCAGGAGCAAACCCTTGAACGCAAACTCGGGTATCGCATCTAGTAAATGCAACGCCACCAAACACGCCAAATGCCCGCCCGCACTCTCTCCTCCCGTAAACATCAGTTCCCCACCAAACTCCTCCTTCCCCTTCTTCACAAGATACTCCGCAGCATCGTAGCAATCCTCCGCGCATGCCGGCCACGGATCTTCCGGTGCGAGGCGGTACCCGATTGATATCACGGTTATCTGGTAGTTGTCGGCCATGTATTTCAGATACGGGTCCTGGTAGTGTTCGCTTTGAAGCACCCATCCGCCGCCGTGGATGTGCATGTGTATGCCCTTGCTGGCGCCCGAGGAGGGCTTGAACATGCGGTAGGGGATGGGGCGCGAGGGGTCGCGGGAGGGAAGAGTGCCGTTGACGCCCGAGGGAAGGACGAGGGGCTTGGGGAGAGGGGTTTTGCCTTCCCAGCGGAGTCTGCGGTATTCGGCTGCGCCGACCTAGGGGAGTCGTTAGGAGACGTTCATGATATGGTGTTGTGGAGTGGAGATGTGACGTCTTGGGATTGATGTCATGCGTGCTTAGACTGAGGAAGCATTGGAAGTAACTCGCTACATGCTCGAAATAATCTCAAGAAAACAAAACAAAAATACCGAAAAGAAGACGGGAAAATTTACCTCATACCACCTCGGCCCATCCGCCCATATCTTAATCAACTTCTCATTGAACTCGCGCGTCTCCTGATCAATATTCCCGCGATCAAACTTCGCAGCGTCAATCGAGAGGTCAGATTTCAGCGACATGATTGCTTCAAAATTTGCCCAACGCAGTGACGGGAATACCAAACATCTTAAGTTACCTTCCAAACACCCCATTAGGTATCCCGAGGTCGGAACGTAGCTATCATGGTGGGGTAGCTATAGTGGGGTCACGTAGTAGCTTCCGATACGATAACGTCAGGCGTCCCAAGGATGGGAGTATCAACGATTCAGACTACACGCAAGGGTTCTCGGAAATGTAACAGGTTTGCCGAGCGTAGCTAAGCTTTCGTTGAATTCGCCAAGGTATCTCGCATACTACTATGCCGACTTCAACCTCCCATGACCCCCGAATTCAGGTCCAGCGACTCTGCACCCCACCGCTTCGAGCGCTGCACACCTAGAGTTCCATTGACGGTCGAATTGCCTGTGTATTCACTCAGACTAGGCGGCAGATCCGCCAGCTTCGTCCCCCATGCACTCTCCGTAGCTCCCAGCGTCAGCACCAAGCGCTTGCCCTCTGTAAAAAAGCTATGATCGATCCAATTCTTGGTGTACGGCTCGCCATCCAAAGTAGCCTTCTGGATGTAAATCGACGCATAACTCGCGTCGAAATTCTCAGTCACGACTGTTGCGGTCTTGCCGGTGATGGGCGAGCGGATGGATACAGAGGGGAAGAAAGGAGGCGTGATCAGGTACACGTTTTGCCCGGGGTTGGGGAATAGACCCATCCTGGATACATGTTAATGTGTGCGACATCAGCTTGTGAAGTGGAGATACGTACATTGACATAGCCACGAAAGACCCCATGGCGCCCGAGTCGTCGTTGCCGGGCAGTCCGTCGTTCTTCGTGCTGAAGAAGCGGGGGATGTAGAAGTGTGAGCGCAAAGCTGAGAGAGCTGGACGGCCGGCGTAGTGGTATTGGAACACTGTTAAGAAAGATGGCTGTTGAAAGTCAGTCGCGTAGGTCTACAGCAGTGCCGGAATTGTAGTCTTACCTCATTACCAATGTATGTAATATTCTGGTCGTGGAGATAATTAAGCCTCTTCACAAAGTTATCCGGCCCACCGTAGAGAGAGATCAATTGGGCCTGATCACCTGGGACGTAAAAGCCGTATTCCCACAGACTGCTTTCGAACGTCTCCTGGCCAGTGTTTTGCAGCGAACATACGCGGTTCTGGTTGGGATCGATAGTAGAGCACCACAGTGGGTCTTGATTATGCCATGTGCCATTGCGGTAGCGTCCTTGGAAAAAGCCAGTAAATCCAGTATTAGTTCCATTGAACAATGAACTCTTCTGATCCTTGTTGTACAAGTTCTGCCAGTTGTTGCTGCGCTCCTTGTACTTCTCCACATCAGTGGCGTGGTCCCCGAGGCCTGCGGCCACCTGGGCGATACAAAAGTCGTTGTATGCGTACTCCAGAGTGCGAGATACACTGCGTGTCATGGTTCCGTGGCCTTTGTAGTCGAAATCTTGTGTCGGAATGTAGCCGACCGATTTCCAGCTGTCGAGACCGCCGCGACCCTCGTTGGACCATGCGAAAGGCTCGACCTCAGCGTCTTTGACCATGGCTTCGTAACCCTTCGCCCAGTCGATTCCATCTTCCAGACCTTTGATGTAGGCGTCTGTGAGTACTACGTCGGCATTAGATCCACCCTGTGTATAGCCTTTGCAGAGTGACATCCGGCAATCTGGGAGCCAGCCTTCATGTTCGTATGTGTCGATTAGAGAACGGATCATTTGGGTCATACTTGCAGGGTCAATAATGGTTAAGAAGGGGAGCTGCGAACGGAAGCTGTCCCAAAGACAGTAGAATGAATCAAAGTACGGTTCTGCTGATGTCCATAGAGGGTTTTCGCCGGTGTAGTTCTGTGGGTTCACCATGGTACGGTAGATACCCGAGTAGAAATTGGTGACCAGCGATGGATCGACACCAGTGCTGTTGACGGTGATTGGGGAAAGCTTTTCTCTCCATGCATTTTCCGCAGTCTTGCGAGTTTTGTCAAAATCGAAGTCAGAGATCTCCGACTCAGCGCTTTGGCAAGCTTGCTCGCTGCTGATCAGACTGACCGCGATTCTGGCAAGTACACCCTCCGATGGGTTGGTCTTGAAACGGATGAAGCCTCCCCCGGGCAGAGGGTAATTGTTGATTGAGCGGGAAACTGTCAGGTCCTTTATGTAAGGACTAGCACGGCTGTTGGAGAAGATGCCCGTATCCTGGATGTCAGCTCCCTTGAAGTCTGCGCAGAAGTACCCTGTCCATGTGCCAGATCCGAAGCTGGGTAGGAAGCGAGAGCTACCTGTCATTCTACCAGTACGGGCATCAACAGAGATGGTCGCATTGTCCTGCCGCGAGTCGGCCAAGTCCGTCAAATCCAGCAATAACAGAGGGTGTGTTCCATTGTTAGACTGGGTCGCAAACTTGAAGCGGAAGAGTGATGTATGCTGAGCCGTTGTCATTTCAGCTTTGACACCACTCGACAGGGTGATTGCGAAGTATCCCGGTTTGGCTGCCACGGAATCCGCAACGTAGGGTATCTTTCGCTCCTTTTTTGGGAATACGCATTGGTCGACATCATCGTCAGGACAGGCGGAATATGGAAAGAAGGCAAAATTTCCGAGGGACGGACTGCCTCCAGTTCCGCTATCGTGCATAGTACTGAACCCAGTCACGTTTCCGTTCTCCGTTGTAAACCCGCCTTGGTTGCTTGGAGAATCGACATCGGCAACAGCTTTTGCCATACCTTCAAGATATCAGCCAATGCTATATGTGACAGAAAGACTATCGTTCTTACCGTATGGAAGCGTTGCACCAGCGAACACGTTACCTAAGTAATTAGTAGGCATTCAGGTACGGTGTGGTAGTCGACAAACCTCCATTGGCGCTACCGATCAATGGATCAACGTATGACAAGACGTCGGTTGCATTTTGTGCCGTTACACAAATGGCAAAGAGAGCAAGCGGGATGGAGCGCAGTGCCTGTTTGCCAGCCATCTTCACTATATTTTCGTCCTATGTAAACCCAAGGGAGAAAAGGCACGGATCTACACTCATGATTTTGGGGATCATCCTTCTTAAACGATACCATGGCGCCACATGCTGTACCTGCAGATTCGTCATACAAGAGTTAGGGCTTACTAGAGACGGCCCGGCAGTTTGGTGCACTAACGCAACTTAACCAATCGAGGCAGATGGCTACATGGGACTGTAATTACGCAGAAATCAGATGCAACAGGGTGTACGCATGTCGATCCGTGGCCTGGTTAAACTTCGACCACTTCGACCAATAGCAGACTTCGATTCAGGTCAACCGCCACATCTGATTCGTCAAAGTATATCCAGGACGCGAATCACCGTGCAAAAGTCCTGCAATGCATAAACTAAGCAAATTCATCTTGTTGACTTTGGGTCGTGGTGGGAAGGAGAACGGACACGCGGGGAACATGGTTTTGGGAGGAGTTTGTGCGTATGTCTGCGGTCCTGATACCCCTATTCGCTCGCCGGATATTCAACGAATGCTGCGTCCAATTGTGTTGGCCAACCGAACACGCATGCATATGGGCACAACAGATGGCTGCATGAGGATGAAAAGGGGTGTGTGCATTTAGTGATAAGGTTAAGTCAGCGCCCGCTTTTCGACTGCATCCTAGACGTTGATGACATTGAAGAGTGCACATTCGTCCGCCTTCCTGCGTAGCGGCGGTCTTTCGAGAAGGACGTCTTGACTGCTTCGACGACGGACAACGCCACGCGGAATGGATAGAGCGCGACGTCCCAAGCCATCTGAACCACGTACGCCAAAAGACCAGACAGCCAGGTGAGCGTTGTAGCGGCAATGCCTGGTTTCTGCCCAGTCCTGGCGGCAGAAGCCGCCAGAGAAAGGGTGTCTCTGAGCCGCACATCAATGTCCTGGAAGCGCGCCTCGATCTGCATCGTTTGCGCAAGCTGTTTCTTTTCGTATTTGCGGACAGCTCGATTGAGAGCATCAAGCTGGTACTGCATTGTCTGTCGTACTTCGTTGGTAATTCTGTTCATGTCAATGTCGTTGCTGACAGGGTCGTCCAATCGCGCTTCGAGCGCTGCCAATCGCTGCGGAAGCCGTTGTGCGATTCCAGATCTGGGCTGTTCAGGTGGCTCTGCCACGAGACGTTGGAGATGCAGTGTTTGCTTGCCGATCATGTCGAAGAGATGGCTCACTGGTCGAGCCTCGGCTACGCAGACATAGAAGAACAGGTTGAGGTCGGTCACTATGCCGTCCCTCGCCCTGTGTGTGAATTGCGAGCGCAGGTAGTGTACGACATAGGCTGCGGCCACGGGCGCAAGGAAGCAGGCGGCGAGGGCCAGCAGCTCGATTCGCTTCAGCTTACTGCGAGCGCTCTCTCGCGGGTCCACGATGCGCGGCGTGTGTTCTGTGCTTGGACTTCCGGCGTCCTCCGCACCTTCCGCGACAGGGTCAGTCGACTCTGGATTGGTGCCCGTGCTGCCCTCCTCTTCTTCGTAGATGGTGTCATCATACTCTGCGTCTTCTGCATCGAGGTATTGTCGTTGTTGAGCGTCCACATACCACTGCCTGGGAAGGTCAGTAAACACAAGTCACGCGTTTTGTGCGTCCACCTACCATGGTGACGAAACACACCTGCCCAAAAACCAAGCCGAGAGCGAGAGCAGGAAGAGATCTGTTGCTAGAGTGCCGCCCTGTGGATGAATCAATGCCGCGACTGCTGGCACAATAGCCACCAAGACGGAGCTCGAGTGCAACCAGGAAGAGTGGTCGTCCGAGACAGTGGCCCGGTCCATGTCATTGTTTCGAAGCGTGCGCAGGCTATCTGTGGAGGATCGTGTGGACAAGAGAGAGCTGCGCCGGCGAGGAGTGTTTGGCGTCGCCGGTCGCACACCCTCTGCAAACGTAGAAGCGCGACTCAACATCCTCTGGCGCAACTGGGCGGGGATCTCGGCGTGGCTTTCAGCAGGCGCGCCTTCCATTGCGGAGAAGGGACCTTTGGTGGCAGCTTGTTCGCGACAGTCAGGAGCCCACGGTTATTAAAGCGGCAGGACGCGACGTCTGGGAGATGGAAGCCGTCTGCGGCGCATCTTGTGGTTCTAGTGACGCTCACATTCGTCTTGCTAAGAGAGTCGCGTGTGCTGGTACGCCATTCGGATGCTGCCGAGGCCCTTACGTCATCCATTTGATTGGTCTAGCGGTCTTCACCCTTAGTGTTCCGCACTCTCACCATTACAAACTTTGCCCTTTAACCTCCACCAAAGCCACACAAAGCGTCTTTGTGCATAACTCTACTTGACATAGCTGGGCCAGATGAATTGAAAGGCTTCAGGACTGCTAATTCACCATACGCACTTCAAACTAGAATTGACAACGACCATGGTGTAGCGAAGCTGGCTGTGTACCTTCGACTCCTTTCTAGGGCCTTACAACGTCGCAATAATTCTTCGAGGTTATCTACGCTCGTACAAATGGCTGCACCACCTGCTGAATACCCCGTGCATCAAAGCTGTAACGTGTCGTTTACAGCGTCTTCACCCGTGGACTCTCGGTCACCGAGTAATGATTTTCAGTGCGTTCATCGTTCTCGCGAGCCAGGGTGTCCTCTCAACTTACAAAAATTCTCGGGACGAGCCTTGCTCGTGCATATGCAATGCAATCTACAATGGCTGCGCCGCGTGAACGACTGCGCCAAGTGACAAGCCACCATTAAACAGGTCCTCATGCCAGCAACGATGAGCAAGCTCGCAGCAATCCTCGGCTCTGTGGGATATACAAACAAATAGTCTCCTACTGTTTACTGTTCTGCTGTTTCATTATCCCGCGTCACCTCTCCTGTCAGCCTTTGCGTTGTTCGTTGCCTTTTCTATTCAGACCCAAATGCGGTACCAAAAAGTCTTACCAACAACAAGATTCCCCGATCATATCCAACGCACACACCATTATCAGGCCAGCGTGGTACAGCAATATGAAGTGCTTGTTACAAGTGGCTGGTCATTAGGCTGTGGCGTGTCGGCACGCCGGGGTGAAGGCGCGTTGTAACTCACCTTCACCTGCAGGCGCGGGAGACGTCGATCAGGAGTTTCTATTGAGGCCTATTGAGCTTGAGACACCTATTGAGAATTCGTACGTGCAGCAGTAAACTCGAATCATGGGGACCTTGGGGCTACATGTTCGCTACGTTTCTTCTCCTCTCCCTCTCCGTTTTTATTACATTCTCTCCGTTTAACTCCACCCCATCCAAACTGAACACGGCATATTTCACAAGTACCAACAAAGAGATCAGCCACCTTGTACCTCTGGCCCCCACAAAGCGGTTACTCCCGTAGGATCACTCTAGGCTTGCGGGTCGAGCAGCGCCAGTGATCTTATTGACACCTGGATCCGCACTTGCTTCCATCTTTCTCTCGCCAGACCTCTTCGGTTCCCTATAATCTGATCTCTGTCTACGTCCTCATCGATATGGCCACCACGGATACTCCTCTCTACCTCAACGCCATCCTTCTACCCCTCTTCGCATTTCCCTCATGGATTCTTTGCCTACTACCACTCTCATGGCATTTTCGACAGGGCAATGTAGCGGCTGGCTCGCTCATCCTGTGGGTCATCATGGTCAACTTCTGCAACTCGATCAACCCTCTGATATGGCCACGAGATAATACTACCGAATGGTGGAATGGCAATGTCTGGTGCGACATCAACGTCCGGCTGCAGGTCGGCTGCATCGTTGGCACCACAGCATCGGCTGCCATGATTGTACGTAAACTCGCCAGAGTCATGGACACACGCAACATCACTGTATCGTCGAGCCGAGATAGCAAGTTCAAGGAGAGGGGACTGGAGATTCTGTGGTGCTGGATCTATCCGCTTGTGCTCATCCTTCTGTATTACATCGTCCAGCCAGTCCGCTACATGATCTACGGCATCATTGGCTGTCTTTCCGCATATGACTCGAGCTGGCCCAGCATGGTCCTTATATCCATATGGGCGCCCATCACTACGCTCGTCGCCGCTGGCTACTCAAGTAAGCTTCCACATCATCCCACCCCATCACAACCCAAGCTAAAACCAGCTCAGTCATCCTCTCTTACCGTCTATACCGCTACCGCCGCGAATTCGTCCGCCTCGTCGCCACCCGCAACACCACCAAATCGCGCTTCATCCGCCTCTTCATAATCTGCATCATCATCGTGCTCGCCTACACCCCCTACACAATCTGGCTCATAATCTCGCTCTCCCGCCAAATCACAGACACGTACTCGTGGTCGCGCGTCCACGACCCTGCAACCTTCCACTCCGTCCTCAAAGCCCCATCCTTCGGCATCGTGACCGTCGACAAGTGGGGCCAGGTCGCGACCGGCTACGTGCTGTTCTTCGTCTTCGGCACCGGTAGCGACGCGTACAACACGTACAAGAAAATGATGGTCGCGTGTGGGCTCGGCAGGGTCTGGCCCAGCCTGTATGTCCTGAGGGAAAGCGGGGCGAGCACGCCGAATAGCTTTATTAATGCGCGCACGTGGACGAGCGGGGTGACAAGCAAGGCGATGAATCTCTTCAAGTCGAGGAGCGATTCGGTCGCGGAGACGTGGGGGGATAGCACGCGCAATAACTCGCTGGCCTTGGGATCGATGAAGAGGCTGGGGTCCGTCGCCACTGTTGGACAGACAGTGCAGCGGCCGTCGTTTTTGGGGATGGTCTTTGGGCGGAAAAGGGAGCAGGCTTCGGTGCTGCCGGTCTTCTCGCTGCCTCAGTCTCGCTCACTGGAAGATGTCGTTGTTTTCGACATGCAGAATCCAAGAACTTATGATCATCAGTCATCTGGTCTGTCGACACATGCGTGGGCGGCAGACAAGGGCACTACTACGCCAGTCATCCAGACCGGAGGCCTACGTGTCTTTAGCGAGGCACGTCAAGAGTGCCAGGAGCTGGATGGCATATCGAAGGAGAGGAGGTCGGATGATGCTTGGGCTTGATAGCTCTCATCTTGAGCTTGTAGGCAGTGAGAGTTCTAAAGCATGACCTGGAAGCTACTTGGATCCATTACTTCAGCGCGTTCGCAAAGCAACATTTGAGCGGTTTACTTTCATAGTTATCACCCTATTTTAAGTAGAGACCTAGCACACATACGATTATCTCTACCAATTCACTACGTGTCCTTTCAGTATTGCGACATTAGATTCAGATTGACGTACGATCAAAGGCCTTCATCGACATTCACACGCTAGCACATCACGCAAAGCAAAGGAAGATGACACATGTCGTGAAGCATTTTTTGATTCCGTTATCGTGCATCCACATGGCATGATGTATCAGTCAAAGGCAAGCCTCCTTGGGGAAGCAAGCCGGTGTTAGAGTGACCATCTGAGTCAAGTAAACTCTCGAAAACCTCAACGTAAAGTTGACCAGCAGCCCATAGTGATCCTCAATCCAGCACAGTCGTGACCATCCGTTGGTGTGATTTAGAAGCTCGCAGTGTCGCGTGTCGGCCGAATGACGTAGCCCGGAAGACCGAAATGCGGTAAACAGCGGTTGCGAGGTGGCCGGAAGGTTGTGCGTAGAAACGTGTCGTTCATGATTCGTTATCGTTCAGAATTGAGGTGGCAGCTGTGATTGAGGGGGCGAGACGTTTATTTGCTGAAGTGCTGTTAGCTTCGGGAAGCTCGAAGGCACGGAGTCGGGGTACTTACGAGCGAGCCCTCGTCTTTCTTCTCTTGCGCTTGAGACGGCGAACGCGCTTCTTCCTCCATTTGGCTCTCATCTTGTCGGCTAGCTAAGGTGAGGTCAGTCACTGGACTTGGAGTTGGTTGGAGCTATGCGGGGTTAAAGGGAGGGGTAAGGAAGCTCAAGGAGCAACTCGTTGTGCTCAATTGAGTGTTCCAGAGCTGTGCGCGTGTGCTGATGGGTAACTTACGTTGCTGTCGAGATGAGTGTCGTGGGTGCAGAAGAGAAGGTTTCAAGCTCCCAGTGGAATGAGATATTGTGCGGTGCTTACCTAAGCCTGCGGTGCGGGGCTTCGCTTAACACAAGTAGCTTAGCGTGTGGTAGGAGCTCCAGCCGATCACGCGTCGCGTCACCATCGTTCTTGGTCAAATCTCATGTACGCGTTTGTATTCGCATGAGTAACATACAGTGAAGTCGCAAGGCTGTGGCATTAGAATGGCGGGAGAGGCGGTGGCGTGGTTTGAAATCCGAAACGGGGATGATTCTCACAGTGAGCCATTACACTCCATATTCTCAAGATTGTGGTAGCTAACAAATGCAGATACCCATGCCACCATTGAAATTTGTGGAAACGAGCAATTCGTACTCGGAAGGGATCCTGAGCTTTGGTAACAGCTCTACGTCCCGACCGTTGCATGCGCTCATTCTAACCCCACACAGCCGTTACTACTGGTCTGACGATCTTACTATCTCGCGACAGCATCTACGCGTTCACTGCATACTATATGAACAGGACCCTGAATCGGAGATAGCTCCCTTCGTGTACGCGACTAATGCATCTGTCAACGGCACATACCTGAAGAAGAGCAACAGTGAATGTGCAGGATCGCAAGGTCGCGGTATTTTGATGGGGCGTAGCAGCACTTTCCTCTTGAACGATGGAGACGAGTTGCAGCTGTCCGACACAGTCAAACTCGTGTTTTACTCCACGAAGCCAATCCCGGAATATCTGTTCACTCCGACGCAAGAACGCGAGAAGGCGATCTTTGCGCAAGAATACCTCATCACAGGCCGTCTTCTCGGTGAGGGTGGCTATGGCAAAGTACTGATTGGCATTGACCAGGCGACTCAACACCAACTTGCATGCAAGATCGTCAAGCTCGATCACCTATACAACAAGCCACAGGCCCCGAATCTACGCCTGCCAACTGGACAGCGCGAACAAAAAGCTGCCATTGGCAAGAAACGCTGGCCCACGCGTGTGGCAGCTTGCTTTCGCGAATTCGACATTTTGAAGGATCTCAGTCATCCGAACATTGTCAGCATTAAGAAGGTGTTCTGGAGCAATAATAACATCTACATCTTCCAGGAGCTTGTTACTGGTGGCGACCTCTTCTCCTTCCTCGAATACAAAGGTGGTCGCCTGGACAATCCACAGGCTGCCGTCGTCATTCGTCAAGTTCTGCTCGCTGTCAAGTATCTGCATGATCAGAATATCGTCCATAGAGACATCAAGCCAGACAACATCCTCATGACATCACTCGAGGATGGGGCACGTGTGGTGATCACCGACTTTGGCAACGCTAGGTTCCTGCCAAACGCCGCCTGTATGACAGGTCAACAATCGAAGAAGTACCAACGCATGTTTTCTTATGTCGGAACTCTAGAGTTTGCGGCACCGGAAATACACAGGGCAAATCACACGATCCCGAAGGACGAAGGCTATTCAAAGGCCGTCGACATGTGGTCGATTGGCTGCATCACCGCCGCCGTACTCACTGGAGAGGTCATATTCTCTGACTGCAGACATCCTGAGTACGACGAAAACCCTCGCCAGGTCATTGTTGGGCTTGCTGCGAGGTGCGATCTGAGTATAATGGACGATGAATACCATCCGGCGTGGAGTGAAGTGGCAACCGCGCCCAAAGATCTCATCAAGAGCCTACTGGTGCTGGAGGAAGATAATCGACTTACAGCTACTGAGGCTTTAGCACATGCATGGTTCTCTAACGACTGCTATGCCAGGGACCTTCATGACTTGTACCTACGTTCGATCAAAGACTGGCGTCCACGTTCTGTCGACTCGCAGCTTGTTGAACGCATTTCCAGATCGCTACCTGACCTTTCTATTGTCGGGCTTCCAGGGCAGGTCATCAGTCAAGACACTGTATCGCGGTTCATCCATCCCTCGGAGCAGCGCATGACGCAGAACATCATGCAAACGTTATCTGCATCTCAGCATTGGCGCGCAAGCACCCCTTTGCCGTCGATTCGGGACGATTATGCTAACGATAACTTCCAATTCGCAAGCCAGGTTGCACCATCCTCACTTAACACTGACAACACTGGCTCCGCAAATCAGTATTGCGACGAGGGTGGGTTCGATGAGTACGATCAACATGACTTCTATGACGAGTATGGTGCTACCCAGCAAGATGCGTTTGAGCAAAGCGAACACGATAGCGCCGATGAGAGTAATTCCTACGCAACTACTCGACAAGAGCAGACAAGCGGTGACGCCACAGACAAAGGTAGGTACATTGCTGAGGACAGCGGAGAAATTGAGGAAGGTTACGAAAGCGCCGAAAGCCTGAATGATGTCGCTGCAATCGCCTACTCACAACGTCCCTGCGCGCCAGACATCCCACAAACACGGGTACTTCACTGTTCCGAGACAGTGTTGGTGCATGGTACACCGATGACTCAAGATCGTTGTGACACCGGCATGACACTAGAAGAGAGCCACCAGGAGACTCAATACCCAGATAGGTTACTAAAGCATGGCGGCTCTCAGGTCAGGCATACTTCCATTCTTGTGTACGAAACGCCTCCTATCATCCAAGCAGACCAGACTTGCTCTTCAGCGGAAGAGCTGCCTACCAACTGTGGTCACTGGTTCGAGCAGGGTGATGAGTATGATTACTGAAAGCTTGGGAGCTCGTGGCTTTTATCAGTAATGATCTACAACTTCAATTTCGGACTTACAAAGCAGCAAGATCAGAAAATGAAGTCTAAGCAAGCGGCACATTGTGCGACGCATTGCGTATAACACGTTTCTTTTTGTAGCCATGATTCTCTGTTTATATGCATTTTACGACCACATACTGTCTTCTTGCTCGTGTTGTTCAACTCTCGCTAATCAATGGCCCTTATTGTCGAGCTTGAACTGTTCTAGACCTGCTTCGTACCCTACACCCAACCACCTCTTGACCAGTCCACATTTCAGTCATCGGGCACTCGCTTTCTTTGTGTTACTCAAAGAGTCATGAAAATGACATGAGCCGCATGAATCATGAGTGCGCTTATTGAATGACTTGAACGTACGTGTAAAGCCTTCCGATAGATGTCTCTCCCTCGCTCTCACTACCACTATCAGTATCGTGTCCATATCCACAAGTACCATTGTACATTTATACATCCAATCAATTCAAAGCCCATTCTCATACAATATCACCAACAAGATGTCTACTTCAGTATCTGATAGTGGCATGCGTGTCTACTACGATTTCGGAGGTCTTCCCGAGCGGATCTTTACGCGCGCATCATTCCTGGAGGTCTTGGCACAATTCAAGACTTTCCAGGATCCAGATCAGGGCGTAGCGACGGTCAAGACAGTATTTGGTGATACCATTACAATGACGCGTGGCCCGCAGTCTACGACAGAAGGAGAAGAGGGCAGTTACATGGTCACTTACAAGCATACCAAACTTGGAACGGCCCAAGTAAAGGTTTTGCCGAAAGACGAATTCTTCATTGAATCTAATAGCATCTTCACAATCGCTGAACAAAATGTTTTCAAATGAAAATCTAACAGCTATCTGCCGCGTGGTTGCTCTGATCATGACTGGAACATGATTGAAGCCATGACACAGCGTTGCGCATTTCCAATCCATTTCTTTGCATATCAAACGGACAGGAATCAACATGGTGTCCCGCCCAGCAAAGAATAGATCGAGGAACACACGAAAGCATGGGAAACATCGCAGCTGAAGAAAGATCTCGTCCAAGCACTGGAACGTAACGCCAAACAAACTGGACAGGTCGACCTGATCGTATGTTACGGCCTTGGGTCTCTTGGACGGTACACTGGCGCGCGTTCCTATTTCCGGCGCCTTGCGGCGTGTACAATTGCCAAAACGCTGAGCAAAGCACAAGCGACCAACAGCGAGGATGCAAAGACCGTAGAGATCTTTGCGCAGTACTTCTTCTACACGGACCATGCCCGAGAGTACATGGCGAGGTTGGACCCACCAACTATGCCTGTTGATTACAGAACCAATGAAGAACTGATGAAAGTGAACCGTAACACATCCATTGTGAGCATCGGCGCCGAATCGGACCTAGTTGAATCGGCCCTGGATATCAATTACCATGATGGAACTGCTGGTCTGTTGTGCGACAAGATGCATTTCGATGGTCAAACACGATTCGACCGCGAGAGGTTCTCTACAGCAGAGGGGAGATCGCCCTCTACCAATGGCAAAGCTTCCGCAAGCGCATGGAGCTACAAGCAGCTTTGTATTCGTGAGGAGGTCACTGATGACGAAAACCTCGGATTGAAACCGCGCTTTGAACTGGAAAAAATTGGAAAAGTAATGAGGAACTCTGAAGGGGAAATCAAAAGGGACGAGGCTGGGAATGTGATTTGGAATACTAATGATGTATATAGGCTGGATGAAAATGACCGACCCATCATGATCAAGCTTGATACAGAGCTTCTACTGCGCAAGAAATAAGTATCGTATGTGCGTACATAGCATGTATCAATCCTAGATTCAAGTAGCCCATCATGTCACTACTCAATATTCCATATCGTACTCAACACATCTTTCTGGTTTGTCTGTTCAATATCAATAAGACGAAGATCATAATGTAGCTTTGATTCTATGCCTTCCCCTTTATTCTAGATCTACCATTTTGACGTTCAAGCTGATTTCAATCTTTTGTGGCAACATAAGGTCTGAAATGGAAAGTGCCAGGACCTTCAACCCAAGCTTCACCTAGCAATATTGCAATCTTATGGGAGCCGTCCCTTTCGAGTGGCTACCAAGCATGAGAAAGCTCAAGCCGGCGATGAAGAGATGAGGATGATGCAAGTAGTTTTGTTGTTCTGGTAGCCCGCACGCAGGAGAGCGGAATTTCGTGTTGTTGTAACGGCTTTCTGTGAGAAGCTAAAATCTGCACGCATTGCGTGCTGCTGAATGCGACGGGTAATCTACGCCGTTTTTAGCATCTTTCAGTTCCATGTAGGCAGCTGGGGGTACTTACTCGATGGCTTGATCGCTCTCAAGCACATTGCGGGATGACACGTTCTAGGTGCCTATTCCAAAACATTCTCGGATGAGGGGGAGATAGACCTCTTGAGTCGAAATTTTCGCGAGAAGTTGTAGGCCTGCGGCCACGTACTCGGCGAGTGACTGTTCGGGACCAATCGGCTGGTCTTTGAACTTGGCCTCCAAGTCCTTCCACATGAGAGCCTCTAACCACTCAGCCATCTGCTGCAACTCCTCAGGAGAGTTGATCACGTTGCCGTTGTTATGCTCAGCGCTCATGGAGGCGTTCATGTTAGAGAGGGTGTCGACCAGCTTCTGGAGGAACTGCTGGCGAGGTAGTGGCTCCGTGGTTGTGGGTTCCCTGTCCGCCATCTCCGAGGTCCCTGCCTCTGTACCCATTGGTTCCGAAGCTCTAGCCCTGGCTTTCCTAGCCTTGACCTTCAAGTTCCGCAATGAACCCTTGATCCCATGACCGACTTTCTTCATCCCACGACCGACGTTCTTCAGCACATTCCTGAACTTGTGGTGGAACACCTTGACAAGCTTCACAAAGTTGGCAAAGATGCCGCAATCGTCTTTGATCTTCTTTTCCATACGCTTCCAGTACCTGGCCTTGATCTCCACTGGGCTAGGCCGATCGTCCTCACCAAACAATTCGTCGTGCATCGCCTCCAGAACGCCCGACTCTAGCTTCTGAGCAAATGGCAAAAGCTCATCCGCAGATAGGTGATCCTTGAGTCTGCTTCGATTGACGTCCCCATTGACCTTTATGGTGGCGTTCAATAGGTCTTCGAAGGTATCTCCTCGGAATGACTCGTGGATGTTCAAGAACTTGGAGGTTGCAGTCTCGAGCGGCTTGATCCAAACATGCCTCAAGTCCCCTCGAGTGGGCATCTGGACAACCATGGCATCGGGATCTGGGTAGTACTCTGACCATGGGGACTCAAGATACGCGAAAGGCTCGTCATCCGAGTCGATTTTCATAAAATCGGGGTGGCAGATTGTCTCGGCCTTGTCAAGCCAGGGTGACAGCATCTCGCGAAATCCCGCAGGGCAAAGCTTTGTTCCATCGTAACCGTTGTCTTGTGCCATACGAACTTCGGATTTGATCTTATTCAGGTCTTTGATGTATTCAGCCTTTAACTGAGACAGAGTGACAGTGGTGCCATGCTCTTCGAGTGCTCGAGACTGAGCATGTTCCAAGACATACAATTCCAGCGCAGATCCCATGCCAGCATACAACACACGCGAAGTCGTATCATGGAGGACCTCGATGCGGCAAGAAGTGACAAGTCGCTTGATTAGCAGTGCGCAATTCCTAACGGCGCACCTACGGTCATTCCACAAGCGTGGAAGAACGCGCAAAGATAGGGCGTCGCCGGGCTTTGTGCGCATTGCATTGTGCAAGATGTAATCCCGATGTTCAGTCGCGAGAGCAGTGCCGACGATTGGAAGCTCGTTGAACTATGATAGTTAGCAAGGCCATCTCACGGCGTGTATAAAACAAAATCTGCGGCAGTGCATGCACGCGAAGCTTAAGAAGCAAGAGCGGGGAGGGGAGCAGATGAAAGACTAGTTGTTCAGAAAAGTCGAAGATCCACTTACGGCGACAGTGTTGCCAGATTGTGATAAGGTAGTCATGTTGGTGAAGTACGTTGTGAATTCGAGGATTCGGGTTGTGGTAGTAGAGGTGAGGTTGGAAGAGCTCAAAGTGGTGGCTGAGTTCGTTGTGAGAAGTTCACAGGTGGGTGTTGGCGTCAGGTTGAGTCGGAAGTGGTGTCGATAGTTGAGGGATGCTGTGGGTGGAAAGCGGTAGTGGGGGAAGAGCCGTGCGGTGGTCAGTAGGTATGAGTAGGCGGTTCGGGGAGGCCTTCATGCCAAGAAAGCGTTGTGTGTGCACTAGCGCGAGGGTGGGAGTGAATGGTCGAGGCGGGCAGGCAATACTAACCGACGGGCTTTCAGGAGGCGTACCATTAACGGCAATGAATGTATCTTGGAAAACATGGGAACAAGACACTTGCTATGAAAGACGACATGAAAATATTGGAAGTTGAATTGAATTGCCCATATCTCGCAATCGACTCTCAAAAGTCATCTCGAAATTTGACAAGGACAATGTCCCACTTGCAGCACGAGCTACTTCTGCTTGGCTGGCTCCCGAATCATAATCGGCTCTCTATATACTCCGCTACCTCCGTATTTTGCAAGGTCAAAGTCGATGACCTCAAGGTCCTTAAAGCCATAGCGCTGATACACACGATAGCCCTGAGGACTGGCCTCTAGGTAAGCCGGTAAGCCCAATTCATCCGCCTTTTTGGTACCCCATTCTACAAGCATCCCACCAGCTCCCCGTCCTTGGAAAGCGGGATCCGCATGTAGCATATGAAGATCTGCGTGGCTCAGCATGTTGGAGTTATCAAATAGTTCGATTACTTACACAAATGTGGCTTGTCGCCCATGAGCTCCTGTTTCTTCGACCCGAGCTGACCGAAGAAATCCTCACAGGCCTCCTTGTTCGTTCCAGCTCCGAAAGCCCGCGATGGTCTCGACGATGCAGCGACAGCTTCAGGCGTGTCGTAAATGTGCCATTTCGCAAATGCGACGAGCTGTTTCGTTTCTTCATCATAGGCTTGCAGATAGCGTACAGTCAAATCTTCTTGTCGCATCTTTATGAGTCCGGGCACTCTTTGACCTGCAGCTTCTGGTGGAAAGGGGCCTGGAAATAGTATAGGACTTAGCTCGTTGTCTGCGTAAGCGGCGGTTTCGACCTCAACCGCGCGCGGGAGATCATCGTCGGATACTTCGCGCACCACAATAGCCATATTTTGTATGCAAAGTCAATGAATTGTGACATATTTCGAGAAGCGGCGTCTCCAGATGTCAAGTCTACACAAATCGGCTGACTCATCCAACCTGATGAGGAAGGTGGCTCCTCGGACGCCCTTCCGCCCTTCATTCCGTCTCAAAACTCCGATGAGAACACGGAATTGCGACCAGCCCACCACTTTCAAACGACAGTAACCTGCAAACCATTAAGATCCCCAGTACTGCGCCATTCCTCAATCATCCTAGTAAAGTCCACCAAGCCAGCCCACCAGACAGCTGCTTTTGCTTTCTTGATCATAGCGACATGATCGTTAGCATCCGGCATCTTGAACGCCTCGCCCTCTAAATTCATGTATCCAGGAGTGCATATAGAGACTGCACTGAAGACAGCGGCATCTTGCGCAATCCGCATACCCCATTCTTCTTCTGCCGCTTTCGAGGTCTCAATCACCACCTTTTGTGATTTGTCAGTCGTGCGTTCGTGTCCCTGAGCGATGATTCCGGCAATGTGTTCGCTCACGACATCTATGATGTGCGAGTAGTTCGCGGTCGCGCCAGCTTGAGAGGCAGACTGCCAGAAGAAATTGGGAAAGCCGTTCGAACACACGCCGTGCAGCGTGCAAACGCCTTCCTTTTCCCACTTCTCTGATAGCTTCTGATCATCTCGACCAATGACCTCAATATCAGTGCGGGAACCAGGGTCGCCGCCAGCTTGAGGCGAACGGTATCCTGTGCTCAGGATGAGGATGTCGACGGGATATTCTTGGCCGTTGGCAACGATCCCGTTTGGCGTGACGCTTTGGATACCTTTGCCGTCGGTATCGATAAGATGTACGTTCTCGTTGTTGAAAGTTTCGAGATACACGTCACTGAAGGTTGGTCGTTTGCACCACGTTGGGTACCAAGCTGTCAACTTTTCTGCCGTCTGTCCATCTTTCACCACCGTTGGGATACGTGCTCGCGCCTTCTTACTCTGTTCAGAATCCAGTAAAAGCATTCTGTCAATATGGCTCTTCGCTTTTTCGGGTGCGATTTTTCCAAAGCGCTTGCTTCCAATGAGCGCAAGGTAAGCGTTCAGTCTCGACCAATTGTCATTGACTAGGTCAACTTCGGTATGTCCTGCAAGCCTCTCAGCCAGATTCTCAACGCGTTCCTTTTGCCATCCTGGCTTTGCCGCGATTTTCTCACGCCATTCTTTCGGGTCGGTGTCCTTCTGCCCTCGAGTGTGGACGTGTGATGGTGTGCGTTGAAAAATGTAGAGTTCCTGCGCATACTTGGCCAGCAGCGGGATTATTTGTATCTGGATGTTGGTGTACAAAGTCAGTGTGTGTCTCACATGCAGTTGTACACATATTTACGTACCGCTGTCGCCCCGGTGCCGATGACACCTACGCGCAAGCCTTTGAGCTTTTCCATTTCCGGGAAAGTAGTACCATACGAGCCACCAGTTATACCATAGTCCCACCGAGATGTATGGAACATTTGTCCCTTGAAATCGGCAAGGCCAGGGACTCTAGGCACCTGTGGATATGGGAACAGTCCGCTAGCAAGTGTAACAAAGTCCGCCTGTATGGATAACGTCTTCTCTTCTTGTCCATCAGGGCCGCGTCCAAGTTTGATGGTTGTCTGCCAATTGCGGCTGCTCCCGTCCCACTGCAGTTTCCTCACCTGCGATCGGAATATGATGCGATCTTTCAAGCCAAAATGCTCGACAAGATATTCCATATACCTTCGAATCTCGACACCTGAAGAATACTTCTGCTTCGGCATATAGCCCGTCTCTTCTAGGAACGGCATGTAACAATATGACTCTACATCACCTGGTGTGGTTCTTAAGTAAGCGCATGGTCGGAGCGAATGTATCCCGCCGTTTGAACTTACAATGTAGGCCTGGATAGCGGTTCCAATACCAAGTGCCTCCGACGCCTCCTCCCGCTTCGACAAGTACGATTTGTTCCGCCGTAAATCCGGCTTGCACCAACTTGATCGCCATAATAATGCCACCGAAGCCGGTGCCGGTGATCAGGAATTTGATGCTGCCGCCATCCCGGACGGGTAACGGGAGCCTGTCCAATGCCGCATGATCAGCCCAAGGATCTCCTGCTAGACTTCGCAGACGTTCGTTCGTGCTGAAATGAAGCTCTTCGAATTGATCGGTGCCCTCCTTTTTCAGGCGTTTCGCTGCTTCGGTGAAGTACTTCTGCTCCGGCGGAATAGCAGTTTCATTTGATTCAATCACTGAAGGCATTGTGTAGTCTTGGTTGTAGATCTACGTTGTAAGACTGCAAAAAGGCCATTGTCCGTGCGACGAGGGTCCCGCCTGAGACCCATATTCTGCCGTATAGACCGTATGTAGAAATTTACAATTGAGTTGGTGCTGTAATCTAGTCTGTGGATTGGTGTTGCATCGTCTATAGCAAATGTCCAATCACAAATACCACACTCTAACTAGTCCTGGATAGTTTGAAGTTAGATGCAACATATCCACTCACGGAACGCGGACCTCGAACTTACCGAGGCCGCTTATACATCTAAGTCCGCGCCACAGGCCGCAACCGTCGCCTCGAGTTCAAACCCGTTTTCTTGAACCATGATTTCGAAGATACCCGACTTTGATAGTCTTCCAGCGGTAGATGGTATGCCCCAGGGCTGCGCTTGGGGCATATTCGACGAAAACGGCAAGAAAGATCTAAAAGGCACTCTTAATCTGCTCACGCCTGAAATCGTTGCGGAAGCCTGCAAGGAAGCGCGAGATGGCGTTTCCATATCGCTCAAGTGAGTCGATGAAGGCTGAAAAATGTGTAAAGAATACTGAGCCTGTCAAGCTGGGCGCTGAATGGATCTAAATTGCCTATTCCCGGGCGCATCGATCCTGTCCACAAGATATCTTCACTTAGCGAACTTGGGCTGAGTGATGGGGAGGGGTGGGACGTAAGAGATCTCAATGTCCAGAATGCGTGCAGGTCAGACACTAATGTTATACAACCAACCTTAGGATGAGATTACGTTCAATACGCAGGCAAGTGTCACTGACTTCTTCCCATGCTAGTACTGACCAGCTTTTCAGAGATCTTCGCAGTGGGATAGCCTCGTCCACTGGCAAGGTATTCGTCCATTTCCAAAGAAACATTTAGGCACGATTTGACCGCGAGTCAGACCAGGAAACGAAGCTTGCATATAATGGCATTCGCGTATCTAAAGAGGCACTATCAGCATCAACGACCAAACAGAACCAGATGCCGACGCTGGACCATTGGCATGGGCGCGGGTGTCTTGTAGCTCGTGGCATTCTGATCGACTACAAAGCCTGGTACGAGCAAAAAGCCGTGGCAGAAGGCAAATCCGGCGAAGAAGCCATCTGCCATCCTCATGATGGGCATCGCATAGGTGTTGCAGATATTGAGGCTATAGCCAAGTACCAGAATGTTGAATTTCGGCCTGGCGACGTGTTGATAGTTCGTACCGGAGAAACCGAGATCTTGGAAGCAGGTACGCCCACCAGTTTTGCAAAGCTACAACAGAAGCTGCAAGTGTCTGGCGTTGAGGGGAATATGGCCACGGTAAAGTGGCTCTGGAACAAACACTTCGCAGCAGTCGCTGGTGATGCCATGGCATTCGAAGCAATTCCACCACTTAAGGAGGATGGAGAGCCTGCTGGATTTGAAGGCCTTGGTAAATGGACCTCTAGTATAGATGGCTCATTCGATGTGCAAAGCTAATTGACCGACAGTCCTGCACCGCTGGTTACTCTCGATGTTCGGAATGTCCATTGGCGAGCTTTGGGATCTTAAAGCACTTTCGGCACATTGCCAGAAGACAGGTCGTTACAGCTTCTTGCTGACATCTACGCCACTCAATATTCCAGGACTGGTTGCATCGCCTCCCAATGCTCTAGCCATCTTTTGAAGAAGATTCGTGGGGGCTTATGCGGTACAAAAGCGGTCTGGGGCGGGCGTGGAAGCGTCAGTGGAGAAACAGAGTAGGGCAAGACGTCGAGACAGGCATGGGCTCTGGCGAAGCTGGTAACCCATCTTTGCCCTGTCTAGTCCAAAGTTCGCCGAGTTCGCTGTTCGGAGCGTCCCTTGCTTCGACCGTGCAAGTGATGAGCTCACTCACGCGAGCTGCACAGGTAAAGCACCTGCGATGTCAATTACGACCAGTCAATTTGTATCGTCAACGTTTCCCAGCCCACATATGCTGTGTTGATTAATGCACGATCCATGTCGTCAGGGTCGTAAGGGCCGTGATGATGTAATAGCGCTCGTGAGGTCGCGGTGTCCGCAAAGGGGCCAACGACTCCAACAACGATAAGGCGGGGAGTCGCAAGGAGCTGTAAGTAATTAATGTGTTCGCTTCAATTCTTCATAAAATGGAATTGACTGCTTGACGAAAAATTGGAGAAGAGGGTATGCTGACTGGTTGATGGCCAAAGCTGCTTAAATTAGCGCAAGGGTCTTCCCGACCGGTACCAAATCTCGACCTGCCACCTGCCGCTATCACTCTCGTCACGTTAGCCAGCGCATCATACACAATCAGACTCCAGCTCACTCAGGGCGGGATCTCTGAAAAAGCCCCGGTGTCAAAATGTACAACACAGATTGCTTGCATCATCCCGCTATTTGGACCGCCGGTCGACACCGCTAACACGATTGCCACGTCCCCTACGCAGTTCAGGATGAGAGATGGTAGCTCTGAGATCAAGGCTACCTGGGAACATTTTTGCCTAGGCTAACCTTCGATGCCCAATGAAGTGGCAGCGCAGTTTGTGTGCCGCCAGCAGGACGGGAGAACTCCATTAAGGCCTCCCACTAATTCGGCCTTGTCCACCCATCAAAAGAAAGGCACCGACTTGGATACTCCTGTGGTACTTCAGTACCAGCGACAGCGTCTCTTATTGAGTCTAACATCACGCATGGCGACGTTGTAAGAATTTCAGAACCATGAGACATCAATGGTCTAGCCAGTGCAGAACCATACGCCTGGCATAATTACCTGCTGAGGCTGTACGCATCTGCTAAGTATCCAGCCACCATCTCCAACTAGCCGTCTGGGCGGGCCGAGACGCAACAGCATTGGATGAGGTAGACGACGGTCGTTTTGAAACATCCTTATTTGGCAAGGATGCTTCCGCGAGGCTATCTATCGCTCGTACGATTGGTAGCAAAGTGGGACGAAGTCAGCCACACCGCGTGCTAGCATCTCACGACACTGCCTCGATAAACATAGAGACAGCCCCACCGCGCGCAACCCTAGGTCGATCAGCCCCAAGTCGCGCCGGTCTGCAATCCCTTTAGTAGGTCGCTGTGCCGCATCTTCGCGCGATTCTGGGAACAATACCATTGTCTTCGTCCGTCAGATATCACGATATCTCATAGTTCGTCATTATGCGCTCTCAAGCGATATGGGCTCTATTGCTGGGCACCTCTCCAGCTCTAGCAGCTTTTGAACAATTCTACTTCGCCGGGAATGGAGGCAATGCGACAGCTCCAAGAAGATGCGGCGACATGATCTACGAATGCAAAGAACCGAACATGTGTAGCCGCGACACCTTGACCAAAAAGTGGTATTGCTGCGAACCAGGAAACAAAGTCGGCCCATGCTGGACCGGCGCGACCAAATGCGAAGGCTCAACCGCAGACAAGCCTTCTGCGCAGCAAACAGGCTGTACCAATCTCGGCGTCGATTACTGCTGTCATGAAGCGTATGTTTTCAATCTCGCATCGCCACCAAGTAGACTGCCAGAAGAAGTAAATTGACACATCCTCCAGCGAACAATGCACCCAAAACGCAAAGCAGTTCCGCGTCTGCTGGAGCAAAGAACAAAACACAATCCGCTTCCTCAACGCCACAACCCTCAACGAAACTTTCTCATCCCTCAGCTCCGCAAGCCCACGAGCGACTCAATACCCCGTCGAAGCGCAGCAATTACTCGCCTGGACGTCCACCACCCCAGGCGCTTCTGCAAAACCCACGACCAGACCGGCTGCCTCATCATCACCACCCGCAGCATCCAGCACTCCAACCATCCTGTCCTCCACGTCCAACTCCTCCTCATCCTCCAAGTCTACCCTGTCCACCAGCGCAATTGGCGGCATCGTAGGCGGCCTGCTCGGCGGCCTAGCACTCCTAGGCGCCATCGCATTCCTCCTCTGGCGCCGGCGGAAAAGCGCTGCCAGAAAATCCAATCCGTACGAAGCGCCCAGTGACCCTTACCAGGGCTACGCGTACCAGCCCCAACAGCCTGTTCACGAAGCGCATTCCCCATACTCGCCGCAACCAGGAATTTCACAACTACCTGCGGTGGATAAGTACGCGCAGCACGCGGGGCCGGTGGAAGTAAGTGCGTTGAGTGCGCCGGTGGAGATGGATGCGAGTTATCGAAGCCAGGTGCGGCCGGCGAAGTGAGAGACTGAAGAGGAGGATAATGCAGATTTTCAATGTATGATATTGCATCTTTGGGGGTTTGGTATATATTTTGAGACGTTCCTTCATCACGAGGATTGGTGCTTTCTTGCTAGATATCCCGCTTTTGTAGTTTCTTCATGATCACATATGTTACCCTCGGCCTATATATGATGCCGATTGTACAATCTCTTCAATTGGGCAAGAACAATGTAGTCTTGGACCACATATAGTGCATCGTTAACAGTAAAGCGTAGCACTTTCGTCCTTCGCAGCAACATTTGGGCAATACTTTCGTCAGTCCAAGAAGAAACGTAAGAAAAGAATCAGCAGTGTTTTGAAATGTCTAATTCACATATCAAAGGACAGCCGTCGCACTCAAGCTCATTATCTGAGCCATGATATCCCAAACTCCGTAGACGTGCACCGTACGTCGAAAGCCAACAAAAGGCCGAAACCGACGCCGCCGATGATGAACCAGACATAATCAAAAAACGCCAGTGGGTTGACTCCTTCCCATTCCTTCCTGTCTCGTCTTGCACGTCAATCGCTCGTGGCAGTGTGTATAGGGTAGCGGTAGAGATTGCAGTGTTCATTTCAGCGAAGTGCTTACGCCTCACCAAAGAGACGAGCAGTGATATCGCCCATGTAAGCCTCCTCGAGTTCGTAGTCCTCGCCACCCATCTTGTCGATGCCGACGTACTCGAATGCGGCGACGACAGCCTCGACATCGAAGCCCATGGCGACGAAGCGGTCGACGAGTTGCTTGTTGTATCCGTGGTATCTACATGCACATTAGCTCAGATCTGCGGACTGGGGCTTCATACGTACGCTGCCATCTTGACCTTCTCTTCATTCTCCTTGGCCTGCATGTGCTTCTTCTTGATCGACTCTGCCGTGGCACCTCCGCTACCTTCGGCAATTTCCTTCTTCGGTGCTCCCGCATGCATGACTGACCACTCCCTCGCCTTGTGTTCGAATTCAGCCGGATTCCGTATCAGCATTCCCGCGACTTCGGCGTCTTGTGGATCCTTTGGCTCGGGTGTGCTCAGCAGGGACTGGAGAGAGATAAGGGCGGACTTGATGGTCAGGACTGGCGACCATTGTGACGATAGCGTGTCTAAGCAGATGGCGCCCTATAGAATTAGCATGTGACTACGAATGTGATGCGAGCCGGCTTACTGTCTGAGAGCTGACGTTGGGGTGCCAGATCTTGGTCTCGAAGCGCATGACAGGCGGCCGGAAGGGGTATTCGCTAGGGACCTTGATGTCTACTTGGAATGTGCCGCCCTCGTACGGCGTGTCTGGAGGCCCGTAGAACTGGCCCTTGAGATGTGTGAGGTCATCGCCATTTCCTGCGGGCTCGACAACAATCTTGGAGAGTTGGTCGTTTTGGATATCGGCGATCTCTTTGGCAATCCGCCTGGTCCTATTGGAAGAAGCCATTGTGCAGAGTTGAAGAGATGGAGAGAGTGCTTGAAGGAAGAGAGAAGAGTAAGGCGGAGCGTGGTGCAAGGTAGGCAACGAGTGGTGGATCTGAGCAGTGGTCAGCCTGAGGCTCCAGAGGCGCCAGCTGCTGCGGGGTCGGAGTCACGCGTGTTGGTGAATGGCGGTTGGATGGGGAAGAGAGTGACGTTGGTCTTGTGTGAGGTATCAAGTTGAGCTGTACATACGCTACAGAGTGGAGGCAGTCGCGAAGCGTGTCAAGAAAGAGTACCTGGCAACCCGCGTGGGGTGCTGCTTGGAGCTCGGGTGCAACCGCGGGGCCAGAGTTCAGTTAGTGAATCACTCGGAATGAAAGAACAAAGTATGTAGCAGAGTTGGACGGTGGAAGTGCACAGAAGAAGTTTATCTATCACAGTCAGGAGCTTGTTGACGTGTCTGTCGGTCTATGGAAAGGTGAGGCGGGTGGTCGAGAGGCAGTGACGCTATAGGCACAGGCCCTTACATAAGCAGGAAGCTACGGCGGCATCAGCGCGGCCATGAACACCGTCAACACGACAAACACGACCGCCACCGCAGCACCCCATCGCTCATCTCTGCAGTCTGACTGCTCCTGGACAACTCACTTCTCTCCCTAATCGCCGAATAATTCTACACGACCCCCAGACTGACCGCGTGCCATGGTGAGCTTGCCTCCCTTCGGAGGTCGTTTGGCCGCATACTAACGATACGCAGGGTAACCAGCAGTCCAGTGCTGGAGGCGGCGGCCCTCCCGGCGATGACAAGAACAAGAAGGACAAGGTACCTTATGCCTAGCTCTGTTTGCGATCATGTGATGCTGACACTCATTGCAGAAGGATAAGCCAAAGTACGAGCCACCACCACAGCCCACGACCCGCATCGGCAGGAAGAAGAAGAAGGCTGCCGGACCCAGCGCCGCCGCCAAGCTCCCCATTGTCTACCCGACCGCACGATGCAAGCTGAGGTATCTGCGTATGCAGCGCATCCACGACCACCTGCTGCTGGAGGAGGAGTACGTCGAGAACCAGGAGCGGCTACGGAAGGCGAAGGCGGTCAAGGAGGGCAACGCGCCCGTGCCCCAGGGTGGAGAGGATGCCGCGGACCGCAACGCTGACGAGCGATCGCGGGTGGACGACATGCGAGGCAGCCCCATGGGCGTCGGCAACCTCGAGGAGCTGATCGACGACGACCACGCCATCGTGTCCAGTGCCACCGGCCCCGAGTACTACGTCTCCATCATGTCTTTCGTCGACAAGGACCTGCTCGAGCCAGGAGCCAGCATTCTACTACATCATAAGTCGGTGTCGGTCGTAGGTGTGCTCACAGACGATGCGGATCCTCTGGTGTCAGTCATGAAGCTTGACAAGGCGCCGACTGAGTCGTATGCGGATATTGGTGGTCTGGAGCAGCAGATTCAGGAAGTACGAGAGGCGGTCGAGCTGCCACTGCTGCATCCGGAGCTGTACGAGGAGATGGGTATCAAGCCGCCGAAGGGTGTCATTCTCTACGGTGCGCCTGGTACCGGAAAGACTCTCCTGGCAAAGGCCGTGGCCAACCAGACCAGCGCCACGTTCCTGCGTATCGTCGGTAGCGAGCTGATTCAGAAGTACCTCGGAGACGGCCCCAGGTTAGTCCGACAGCTGTTCCAGACCGCCGCGGAGAACGCTCCCTCCATCGTCTTCATCGACGAGATCGACGCCATTGGTACCAAGCGTTACGAGTCAACGTCAGGAGGTGAGCGCGAGATTCAACGAACCATGTTGGAGCTTCTCAACCAGCTTGACGGTTTCGACGATCGTGGTGACGTCAAGGTCATCATGGCCACCAACAAGATCGAGACACTCGACCCTGCCCTGATTCGACCTGGTCGTATTGACCGAAAGATTCTCTTCGAGAACCCCGATCGTAAGCTTATCAACCACTCACCATAAAGGCGTACAGCTAACAATGTCACAGAATCAACCAAGAAGAAGATTTTTACCCTGCACACCTCCAAGATGTCTTTGAACGAGGACGTCGACCTAGACGAGTTCATCAACCAGAAGGACGATCTCTCCGGTGCCGATATCAAGGCCATCTGTTCCGAGGCCGGTCTCTTGGCTCTACGTGAGCGAAGAATGCGCGTCAACATGGAGGATTTCCGCGCTGCAAGGGAGCGAGTCCTGAAGACGAAGAGCGAAGGTGAACCCGAGGGTCTATACTTGTAGGCCAGGTCACGTGTGCAGGCAGCCAGCAGAACGTGATAATCTTCGAATGTGTATGAGTAGAAATAGATGCAAGCTTGACTTGGTAAGCTCATAATATTCATTGCTGGTTGAGCGTCTTCGTCACATCTTCAGAAGTAAATGACTTGATTGCGCCCTACAAATGCTTTGAACGACATGTGGATCCGGTGCGTTTCTGCAGCATTCCGCAAAGTCAAGTCATCTTGTGTCACATTTTCTTTAACCTACCACACCCTCTCCTGGTCTATCCTTACTTCGTATTCCATCTTTCACCATGTTGAATCTCATACTGAGGACAAAATTCTCTTCAGTTTCTATCGTGATTGTTATTTCTGTCACTCGTCATGCCCGTTCGGCTGAATGTGACCGCTCATCACGGCGGTCCGCCTTGAAGATCGATATTTGAAGGATAGAGCATGAACTGGCATGTTACTTTGCCCGTTCCAACCATGTCTTCTTGCACAATGTTGGAGCTGACGACAATAATCAAGTTGTCTTTATTGTTACGACTAGCATCTTTTCTTCATTCTGCTCTTCGTGCCTCTACCTCCTCAGCTAGTCCTTCATGATATCTCAGTGGCGGAATCTACTTCGTTGGCACTTCTTTACACGAACATCTCCTGCTCAAACAACATCACATAAGTCATCATCTGGGGAGGATCAAAGTGTGCAAGGTATCCTCTTCCATTGTGCCTATTCCCACCTTTACTTGAAGGCTTGGCCGCGCTCCTGCCGCAGTTGAGGTGAGAGATAGCCATAGCAGCATCTGTGACCTCCGAGTATATGTTCTGGCTTCCGCACTCCAAGCTCCTCTATATCCCTACTACGGCCCTCATCTCGCTATCAACCGTGGCCTGGATTGACCTCATCGATTACTTCTTCGCTTACGGCAAAGCCAAAAGGCCCTCAACAGTTGCTCTCCCATCCCCGCCCGACACCGCTCACCTGCGCTCGAGGTGAGCCGCGACAAGACCACTCTGCAATCTGCCCCGCTAATAGCGGCCTGGAGGGCTGCAATTCCGTCACAGCAAGCTCGTGCGCAGTTTTTCTTGAGCTCGAAGAATACGCGACTATATCACACCACACTGCAGCCTCCGCTACAACATTGTCACCACCACGAAGTGCTCAACCACGATACTTCCCCCTCGCCATACCAACATGGCTCCTAACATAGCGGTGGAGGCACCTACCTTCCACTCCCTCAACAAGGCGCAGAAGCGCGCTCTCATGCTCCGCGATCAGCTCCGCTGGACTGACATCCCTCACCTCAACGAATTCATATGCGGGCTCTCTGACAACGAGCCGCCCGCCTATAAGCGCATCAATGGCGCTGTGTATCCTCCACTCGTCATGGTGACTCTCCGCCCCTCCGCCACACGCTACGACCTGGGCAATGTTCACTTCGACACCGCCAGCGACCAGGGCCCGGCGGGTATCTACCGCGCCTACCTGACAGTCGAAGATGACACGTTTGAGCTGCGCACGGAAGATGCTTTGAAGCCCGATGAAGCGAACTTGGAGACTGTGCCGATTCACAGCTTCATTGCGAAGACGATGGTAGGCCTGTTTGAGGCGAAGTTCAGGACGATTTGGGAGAGGAAGAATAAGATCAATGAGCTTAGGCGGAGTGCGTTTGAGATTGCGAGTAAAGCTCCGGTTGAAGAGGCGTTTCGGGTTGGGCAGGTGAGATTGTTCTCTTTTGGATTCTTGGTCTTTGACATTTGTGTGCTACTAAGATGATTGAGCCTGGAGGTAATCCATGGTTGTTGAGGCAGTGTTCGAGCTGTCAATGCATGTTTGAGCATCTCCTGGCTCATTTCTTACGAGACGCCCGAATTCGTCCAGTTCCAATATCAGTCACTGACCATAGCAGACACTCTCCAGGCTCGACCCTGAGCGTGCAGCACAGAACGGATCTACTGCTCTAGGCAAGCCCACCTGCTCAATTTGAACTACTCACACTAACATCCCCAAAGTGAAGAAAGCCAAGAAGCGTCGTCCCGGCGAACCCATCTCCAAACACTCCACCAACAAGCGCAAACACATCGGCCTCAACACCATCCCCGAAGACGCCAAAACCGCCACCTTCAACGCCATCCCCACTACCATCAAAGTCGACCTCTTCAACAACGTCATCAGAACCGCCTTCCCCAACTTCGACAACCTGATGATGGCCAGCTGGAACGTCGTCTCCGTGTACTCCAACGTCGGGACCGACTTCCCCGAACTGCACAAGAGCATTGTGGAGCTCAAGAGCGTGCTGCAGGACTTTGAAGAGAGCTTTGGCGTCAAGGGTAAGCGGGAGGACGCGAGGTATAGACGGGATTTGGAGCCAGCGATGAGGCAGAGTGAGGATGAGAGAGAGACGAGACCTACGCCTACACCTGATGTAGCGCAACATGACGGCAGCGATGAAGCCCCCGCTACTCCAAACGGCAACCAAGACCTCGACGTCTCACATGAGCAGCAGAACACACTCGATGCGCTCTTCGAAGATCCCGAGCCCGAGCCCGAACCAGAGGCAGAGGCCGAGCGAGACATGCCCCCTCCACGCCTCACCCAGCACCGCCACGCCTCCTCCGACGCAGAACAACCCATCTCCCACCGCACCAGCGCCGCTCCTCGCCTCCCCTCCAACGACGCGGAAGACCCGGTCTCTCATCGAACCAGCGCCGTCCCCATCTTCCCCGCCAGCACTCGTTCATCCCCCGCCCTCCCCAAGCGCAAGCGCGACCTCAGCTCCGACTCGCACGAACTCCAGCGCCGCCGCGACGAGTACCGCACCGCCGCGCAGGCCCCGCAGGAATCCAGCGACTCGGATGACGACCAGATTCCCCCCTCGGCTCCCAAACCCAAGTCCGCCATCGCCCTGCGCGCGCGCTACAATGCGCGCAAAACAGAGCTGCTCAGGACGTTTGGCTCGAATGCAAATGTCCCGCAGGTGTATCGGCTGCAGATGCAGGGGCTTATGAAGGAGATTCGGGCGAGGGAGATGAAGGAGAAGGAGGAAGCGGACGGGGTGGAAGAAGGTGAGGGGGGCGCGGTTGGTGAGGTTGAAGAAGGCGGTGGTGGTAGGGGGGAGAATACGGGGATGCCAAAGTTCCTTGGAAACTCGGTGCTAGGGGGTAGGAAGCCGCTGGGCATGGCGCCGGTTGCGCCGATGGCGCATATGGCTGCTGGTGCGGGAGGGGTTTTGAGGCGGGAGAGTGGTGGGGCGGAGAGGAAGAAGGATTAAGTGGGTGGAGGGGGAAGTGAGATGACGAGAGGAGGGTAGAATGTACAGTATAATAAAAGAGAAAAGGGACTCTGCTCTAGAGTCCACAAAGTTGGAATCCGCCCATGAACTCCTCGCTATGCATAATCCAACCCTTCACATCACTCCTTCTTCCCCAACTCGGGCCCCCAAAACTCATCACTCGCCTTCTGATACTCCTCTCTGCCCACTTTCCTCCTCTTCGCCTTGTTCTCCTCGACACCACCGTTCTCTTCGTTCACTGCATCCCTCTTCTGCGCTTGGTTCAACTTGACCAAATCCACCTTGTCCGGATCCCGGCAACTCTTCAGCTTCTCAATCAGGGCCTTGACGCGCGCTTTGTGCGCGCTGTCGTCGGCCTTGGGGTTGACGGTTGCAATGTAAGTGCGGTGGGAGGAGAGGAGGGTGGCGCAAGATTGTATGACGGCGGTGAGTTTGGGCAAGTGGGGGGATGAAGCGGGGAGTTTTACGCTGAGGAAGAAGGTTGTAATAGGGCCATCGGCGAGGAGGTGGGCGGCGAGCCAGATCTGCGCGGGCGTGTAGAGGAAGTACGCATCGGTCAGGAGCGCTGCGGTTTTCAAGATGTGCGATGCGAGGCCGTATGCTTCCGTGATGCGCTTTTCCATGTCCTGCATCGTAGCATTCGACGGCTGGCCCTTCTTCCCCGGCAACTTTAACATCCTCGCACTCAAATCTGCGCTCGTCATGCCCTCTTCCAAATAATTCGGGCCCTCGTATGTCCCCTTTGCGATCTCCATGAGTTCCAGATGCCCGCCTTTGAGCGCGCGGAACGGGTGTCGGACATCAAAGTTGAAGCGCAGGCCCTGGACGATGACGTATTCGGGCGCGAGGATCTGCTCCGCCGTGGTCTTCTTAAAGTTTGTGGCGAAGTGGTCAATGGGGCGCATGGCGCCTTCGACTTTGGAGGCGAGGAACATGGCGGTGCGGGAGATGTTTTGGCCGTGGTAGGTCATGGGCGAGTTGAAGAGGTAGAAGCGGCGCAGGAATTGGATGCATGTTGCCTTGAAGGTATTAGTAATTCGCATCTGAAGTGTCAATTGAGGATATGCGTACTGTAACTTCAATGGGGAACTGGCAATGCGCTCCGAGCTGCAGTGCTCTCTCGCAGAACTCGTCTACTATCGCCAACTCCTCGTCCGCCGTCAAGCAGTCGACCTCCTTCACGTCGCTGCCCCGATCGGGAAGCGGGGTAGTAGCGCCACTGCCATTTTCGACTCCAGAGCCTATGCTATCCGTCTCGGTCTGTTGTGCTCGCTGGGCGCGTTGTCTCGCGACATTTGCTTTGACGCGTTCGGTGGCTTGGAGGTTGGTTTTCAGGCGTTGCGCCGCCAGTTGTTGCTTGGTGAAGGACCAGGCCCTGTACTGAGTAGACGTGCGGTACAGGTCATCCTCCGACAGCTTCATGTTGCTACAAGTCGGTGTTGCTGCTGTGATGATTGTTTTCGCATTGTTGGGGCTGCTCGACTCGGAGTTGTCGCGATCTTCGGCAGGGCATGTTTAGCCGAGCCGGAGAGCTCGTATGGCTGCGGGCCGCTCAATCTCACGTGTGCACTCAATTCTCACCATTTGCACCTTGTCATGTGTAATGTTCAATTCACACGTTTGCTCCTTTACGCGCAGTCTGTCCGACAGCGTACCAAAGTTAGCGGATACAAGCACGCGGACAAGTGATTCTGACAGGACTAAGACTGGCTTCACATGAACGCGTGCTACCAGTTGGGTCGTCCCCACAATATGCAGCGCCCCTACACCCGCCCAATCATCCATCTTCGGTCCCTGCTGGCCTTGGTACGTATCGGCCTCAATTTTGCTCATTTCATTCGCAAGCAGTATAGACACTGCAGTGCCAATGCAGTCGGTCAACTATATCATAGCTCGGTGTTCCCTACTTTTGCAGTGTTGACCACACGGATCTCGCACCTCCCATCTCCTCAGTGCTGTCCGATCTCACGTCTATTCTTCCTGCGAGTCATATAATAGCTTTTGGTCACGGTCTGTCGCCAAGCTCTGCTACGTCGACCTAGTTGTACTTCTCCGGACCTGCTCCACCAAGATAAGACTCTGGCTTCTAGCCAAATTGGTCCTTCCGCCAGAGACGGAACAACGGTAAAAATGCTTGCCACCAAACGACCATCTTCACCGGCTTGAAGCAGTTGCCAGGCTCCAGCATATGCAGGGCTGCAATGCTTGCTCGCTTCCTATCAACCCCTGACCACCTCATACCTATATCACATGCACAGCAAAATATCACCCTCGAGCCAGGATACTCTGCATCCTCCGACCGACACCGGTGTTACCCTTACGAATCAAATGGAACGCAGCAAATACCCCTCATGACCTCAACGGCGTCGGCTCCGAACTCCCGCGGCTCTGTTGTTGTGGCGCAGATGCAATCCTACAATATCTTGGCACCTTCCTGATACGCAGAAACAACCTGCCTATCAGCGCACACGCCGGCGGACCGACGACCAAGCTTGTCGTGCATGTCGCTGGCCCCGCCTTGTCCACGACCGCTGCATGGTAAGCAAGATCCGCAGCTTGTTCTCGAAGTGCAGGTCGGAATGCCGCCAAGCTTCCAGCACTTTACAGAGCAAATCACCACTGGATCCCTCCGTGTCCCAAGCCGCTCCCAAGACATGCCCAGCACTATCGACATGCTACTGCCAGTATTAATGCTTCGCTACGGAGCTTGGATACAGATGCTTCGACTCTGTACCACCTACGATAGGAAGGTCTCACGTCGATGATCATCTTCCAATTGTAAGGCGGACTGGGGCACCGCGCGCGACCGTACCAAATAATGCGGTGCTTTGATCTTGGTGCTGTCGGTAAACAAGACGTATAAAGTGCACTCTCCTCCACCCAGGTTGCTGGATCATCTGCCAACCCGACAATCCGCAGTACCATTTGCAAAGATGAAGTGGTCTACTCTTGCTACGGCAGCCATTGTGCCTCTGGCCTCTGCCCATGGCTTCACCCACGCTGAATACGCCTCTGGCGCGGTCATGGACCTTATGATGTCTGCCAAAGAAGCAGCATGGGCCAAGCACCGCGACGCTGGCGAATACGACAGCAAGAAGTGGATTGACTTCCACAAGAAGCGATCCAACAAGGACAAGATCGAGTGCAAGAACGGTCGCGTCGAGGCAGTCAAGGGCGATGCCGATCCAGACGTAAGCAATTACATGCAGGGTCCCAATCAGACATGAGCTAACACTTTTCAAAGTTACAAATGTAAGAACATCGACATGTACGACTTCAAGACTCATGCCGAGCTTGGTGACTCTGTCGGTGATGGTTCTGGTTCATGGGGATGGACCTACAAGGACCGCGAGTTCATCGCCATTGGTCAGACCTATGGTGCTGCTTTCGCCGAGGTCACCAAGAAGGGTCAGCTCGAGTACCTTGGTCGCCTTCCCGCCCAGAACGACTCCGTCATCTGGCGTGAGATGCAGGTCCTCAAGGACACCCTTGTCATTGGTTCCGAGGGTATCGGCCACGGTATCCAGTTCTTCGACATGAAGAAGCTCCTCAAGCTCGACCCCAAGAGCCCCAAGACCTTCGATATCAAGAAGGACATTGCCTGGGTCAACCTTACCCAGGGTATTGCCGGGCGCTCCCACACTGTCCGTGCCAACGAGGAGAAGAACTACGTCGTCGCTCTCGGCTGTGGTGGACGCCCCGGCCGCAACGACACCTGCGCCGGTGGCCCCATCTTCATCAACACCGACGACATAACCAAGCCGTATATTGAGGGTTGCGCGCCCCAAGATGGCTACACCCACGATGCCCAATGCATTGTCTACCGTGGACCCCACAAGAAGTACTACGTAAGCCGCAATTTTGCAAATTTCCGTCTAATGCACATCTGACCATTTTCAGGGACGTGACATCTGCTACGGCTACAACGAGGACACCCTTACCATCTACGATGTCACCAACAAGAAGGGCGTTGGCGCCGGAAAGATCATCTCCCGCACTCCCTACGTTGGCGCCTCATACACCCACCAAGGCTGGAGTGACCGATGAGTACTGGCAGACCCATCTCGTCATGGACGACGAGCTCGACGAGGGCCAGATTGACCCCAACCGAACTGCGGTCGGATCATTAGCCAAAGATGGCTTCGCTGTCACATATATCTGGGACATCCAGAACCTCGAAGCCCCCAAAGTCTCCGGCTACTACAAAGCCACTACCCGCATGGTCGACCACAACCAGTTCGTGCACGACGGCCTCGCCTTCCAATCCAACTACCAATCCGGCCTGCGCATCCTCGACGTCAGCAGCATCTCGCGCTTCCCCGACGGCAGCAAGGTCGAGGAGATTGCGTACTTTGACGTCTTCCCTGGCGACGACATGAAGCCCGGTGGTGGTGATGCGCTCTGGGATGCGGGTACATGGAGCCATTTCACATTCCCCAGCGGATACACTGTTATCAACACGATTGATCGCGGTGCGTTTGTTGTCAAGCCCAAGTGGGGCAAGGGCAAGGGAAAGTACTTTGGCCAGCATTAGATGAAGATGATAAAAATACCCAAAAGGGTTAATGGTAATGATTAGTTTTGAATGACAACATTCGACATCTTGAGCTTTGAGTGTTTGTGTGTCCATGTCGTGATTCAAACTCGTGCGAGCAATAACGTGGTATGTCCTCGGCGTTTTATAGCTTTCATAGGAGCGTTGGCCAATCAGTGTCCCAGTGTGTTTCTATGCGGGCAAACCGCAATCTCTAGCGCAGAGGAGAGCGTGCTATCTATGAAAAGTTGACATACTCAAGGCATATATCAGCCTTTTGGATGAACAGTCCACGACACCTCGTAAAGCAGGCCGGGTTCTTAACCACAGTCAACGTGCATACAAGCCTCTGACCGGTACAAAAACCTTTTAAAAATGAGGATTATTCTGGGAATCATATTCCAAGGTGTGCAGTACATTCGCAATGGCAAGTGTGCGCTGATCATCTGTGCAACTGAAGATGCAGATTGCGAGGCCTGCTGCGTGAAAAACGCGATGTTCTGGATGTGAAATATGGTACGCCCAAGCGTCGTTGCGGAGCTGCATGCCAGACAAATACCACTTGAAATCTGACATATACGTGAGATTGCACTGCGATGGTGAGCTCGGGAGAGGGGAAGGAAGTGATGGTCTGTGATTGGATGTGGCCTAGTCAGCCTCTGCCGCTGCAATTCTTGGCCTGCAGGAAGAGAGGCCGCGGTATGAACTTGTATGCTCCGCATGATGATCTGATTGTCGGCAACAGGCTGTGATTTTGGGTTAGGCTGGCTGAATTGTTTGTGCCATGAGTTCAACTCTCGTGCTGTCTAACGTGACTTGTAAGGTTATCAACTGAGCAGTTCAGCACACTTCCAAGTATCGTGTTGCTTGCGACACCTTTCATGTGCGCGTAGATTGATCTGCACACCTGGAATGACTAAACGAAATCCTGCCCGAATTGGAACGCGCCGCTTGACTTTTCACCCTGATGTGAGTGCAGCTTGTTTGGAGCTCCAGGTATCTGCCACTCGATGATCAGCCAAGCTATTCCTTACTCCAACAGGCTCCTAGAGTCATGCGCAGCTTCAAGTGGTGGGAGTTGTAACTTCTTGTATTGATAGGATAGTCATGCTGCGTTAGCCCATCTAACTGCCTAGCAAATAAGTTTATTCGAAGCTACCGAGAGCTATAGCTTGCCAAATACAATGTCAAGTGAAGTACGACAGGTAGCAGCTCATGCTAAGTCCTAAAGCTATACACGAAGGCTTGACGTCGCAACAGAAGCCTGGCGATACTGTGTATAGCTTCGGGCTACCGAATAATCTTGTTGACTTTCCGTCAATATTGAGAACAGTCAAGCTGCTGAGGCTTTCGCTGGTAAGACGGCTGTAGGAATCTCTACCGCTTGTTACTATGTCACAGTATTGTGTGTCACGTGAATACACCGATCAACTCTGAATATTCGACTTGCATCCTTCACAATTGAGGCTCGTATAGGTGGTAAGCATGGACTGTCTCAAATCGCCTCAAACGGCCCTTCCCACCACCCCCTGTCTATCCCACGACCTCAGGTATCTTGTATCACCCCAACGCACATCCATCTCCATACGGTTCGTCGAGCGGAACCAAAATCCCACCATCCACCCTCTCGGTACCCTCCTCCGTCGCAGCATTAAACCTCAAGCGCCTCACCCGCCAACCACACTGCTTATCATAACACCGCACCTGATTCGCTCGCTAGTGTCCATCAAGGTGTTTCTGCTCCACCACGACTCCATCACCAAGGCTGGGCAAACACTCACTTCAGCGATTGCGCGAGAAGATGCGTCTCGCTCTTCATCGCGAGCGCGAAGGGTACTCACGACTAAACACCACCATGGCCGATTTGGAGAGGCGGCTGGTTCGGAAACTAGGTATACAGGAATGATCCGGACCTATCAGTTCACGCAGCTAATGAAGACTTAGACTTTTTCATACTAGTAGGAGCGACGGCTGCAGGTTGTGACGCGAGACTGACGAGTATAGGCGTACTTGTGCTCTGCGTACTTTTTCAATTATCTAGGTGGGGTTTGGACCAATCAGATTGTCGCGGTATGGTTCGCGCTAATGTGGTGTCTAGATCGTTCTGCGTTCAGCAACGCCTATGTACGCCTGTGTAACTATTCGCGTAAACTCGCGACCAGAGGACTAATGCGACTATGTAGGTATCCGGCTTGAAAGAGCATCTCAACCTGGTTGGGAACCAGTACAGCATCCTTATTGCTATGTTCACAGCAGGGTCAGTGGTCAACTCCCGCTGAACGAGACAACGTCAAGCTGACTTGGTGCAGGAGCTGTGTTGGTCAAATTCCTCATGCGCTGATCATCCAGAAAGTCGCACCGCGCTTCTGGCTCCCATTCACGCTCCTTGTGTGGTCGGGATTGACTATGTGCTCCGCTGCCTGCAAAACGTATGCTCAGCTATGCGTGGTCCGGTTCCTTCAAGGTTTCTTCGAATCGAGTTTGTACAGCGGCACAATATACATCTTGGGATCTTGGTAGTAAGTGAGAACATAGGCAAGAAAGTCGTTTCAGTCTGACCTCGAGTCTAGCAAACCATCAGAAATAGCCAAACGCACCGCCATCTTCACAGCCATCGGGCAGATAGGTAGCATGTTCGCAGGTGTCATGATGACTGCCATGAACGAAAGCCTGCGCGGCGAGACAGCGCTCCAGGGCTGGCAATGGGTCTTCATCATTAGTGAGTCTCTCTTCCTAAACAATGAACAGCCACTAACTCCACGCAGATGGCGCAATGGGAATCCCCTTCGGCATCTTCGGCCTGATGTACTTCCCCAACCTCCCCGAAGCCACCACCGCCCCCTACCTCAGTAAAGAAGAAATCCAACTCGCCATCGAGCGCCTGCCACCCAAAACAGACTGGAGCCACGACATCAGCCTCAAGTCTCTCGTCAAGCGCCTCTTCGCCGCACCAGACCTGTACGTACTAACATTCTACTCGATCGTCGGCTGCGCGCTAGAAGCAATCGTCCTCCAAGGCCTGTTCCTCCTGTGGATGAAAGCACATATCAACGACTTCCCTTCATATGCGACTACCACATACCCGCTCGGCATCCAAGCTGTATCCATCGTGTCCAACATCGGGGCTGGATATGTAATCGACATCACGAACCGCCGCATCCCAATGGTCATACTAGCCGGATGTCTCCAACTCGTCGTTTCGGTCATGCTACTCGTACCGAGCTTACCTACAGGCGGTGTATTCTTCGCTTTCTACTTGTCGGGTACGTCGTACATCGTCAATCCGATTATTTACGGCTGGGCTAGCGTTATATGCCAGCGCACGGGCGACGATGCTGCGCGATCGGTTATTTTGTATATCATGAGTATGGTACAGTCGATTCTGTATACCTTCTGGGGTATAGCGCTGTATCCTGCTACGGATGCGCCGTACTGGAAGAAAGGATATATTGCTATGATTGTGGTGGTGTTTGCGTTTTTCGGCGCGACTGGGGCGGTCAACTGGGTACGTATAGTGGATTCGCGTCTGACGTGTGGAAAATTCAAATTAGCTAACTTCAAAACAGCTTGATAAGAGATCAAAAGCAATTGTTGCAGAGCGGGATACAGATGAGGATACAGGCTCAGTGCAAATTCAGACCCCTGTTGATTTGAAGAAAGATTGAAGCAGCAAACGTTGGAAGGATAAGGAAATGACTCAGGCGCAACACTGGATAAAGATTCTTAGCAAAAATGTTCGGCAATAGGCATATAGAAGTGTGGTAGATACAGATGTAGAGAAGAGATTTGAGCATGACAAAGTTTTGCTACGTACCATCAAAGACTGTATTTACAAATATGGAAGAACTCCACCAGCTCCAAAGTCAATCCAGATATACAAAATTTCTGCCCAACTCCTAACAATCAAGAGGAACTTTACAACAAAAGAAAAAGAAATTGTTCGTCGCTCCTGCAATCCATCATCCTCAGGCGGCAAGAGCCTTCAAGTCTCGCACTTCTCCGGCAAGACCATCTCCCTCAACCATCTCCCTCACCACATCCCCATACATACGAGCAAGCCTATCCATCATAGACTCCTCCATAACGCCAGCGTGGTAGCCCAACTGCACCTTGACGTTCTTGTCACCAACCAGCACACCAAGCGCGACTTCAAACTCTGGTGCCCTTGACTCATGAACCGACTCAAATGACAAGCTCGGTGTTTGTACCGCTGCATCAGTGGCGGATGATGCCTGGATACCCCCAGTGGCATACTCGATACTCATACAAGTGTTGAAAGGACGTTCGCCATCAAGAGATTCCTTCGCTGAAGCAGACGAGACGAACGAATGCTGATGTTCAAGCGTTGAAAGGAAAGAGTCATGTGTTTGCTTCAAAACCTCGGTGATCTTGTCATCAGACTTGACGTTGATGCGGCAGGCCCAACATGTTGATGAAAGGACCAACAAGTCCATCGATACCAGGAATGTTGAGCTCGCGATTGGCAGTGAGGTAGCCAAAGAGGACGTCGTCTTGTTCCGCGAGGGTGCGTAGAACCAGGACCCACGCAGCTTGGAATAGAGTGGCGGAGGTGACCTTGTATTTGCGGCACATGGTGTTGATTACGTCGGAGGCGAGATCGATCTGGATTTGGACTGGAGTCAAGACGTTGCTGCGCTTCTCGATTGTTTCGTCGACCTTGCGTGGAATATGGCAGGGTGAGACATCCCTGAGATACTCGTCCCAGAAGGCTTCGGAAGCACTCAGATCTTGGTGGGCGGCCCAGTTGACGTACTCACGGAAGCCGGCTGCGGGTCCTGATGGCAAAGATTCTTGATAGGCAAGGACAAGGTCGTGGAAGATGTTTCGGATAGACATGCCATCGTGCATTGCATGGCTGAGCTCAATCTTGGAGTACAAGGCTGATGGAGTTCTGAAGAGCGTGAAACCAACATGCGGCCTGTAGCTTGAATGGACGACAGTATGATGGTTCGCGATGATACGTTGGATGTTGGCTTCGTCGCATTCAATCACGTCGACCAACGGCTGGTACGATTTGAGGATAAGCTGGTCGGACCCGAAGGAGCGAGACACGCTTGGGATGAAGATGGTTCGCATGGCTTCGTGGCGAGCAATGACTTGCTGCCAAGCTTGCTGTATGCGCACAATATCGTTATCGAGGTGTCCACCTGAGGTGATCTTGTGCGCACTATCGGACTGCCAAGCTCCATGAACCTCTGTCTGGGCATTGAGCATGCGCTGCTGAAGAGGCGTGCAAGGAACGATTGCTTCCACATTTGAATAGGATACGTTGATGTTGGCAAATGTTTTCTCCAGAACGGGGAGATCAGGATACTCCATGTCCAGAAGAGGGAAGTCAGCCAATGTGGGCTTGCGTGACATGTCGGACAGCGTCCTTGCAACGGTGGGGATGGTTTGCTCGACGACGCCGATGAATGTGGCTAGAGTCTCTTGCTGCGACAGATCAGAGCTGTGAGTAAACCTGATCTTGATCTCGCCGTTCGCAACGGCTGCTGAAACGGCGAGGACGGCCGGAATGTGAACAGATGAACGGTGTAGATATTCGCCGCTGCTAAAAGAATTGTGGTCAATGGACTCAATGAGAACTTCCACAACTTCAGGCAGGCCAGCAGTCAACGTTGAGCTCATGCACTCAAAGATGCGATCGTCCTTGATCTCGCTGAGAAGTTGAACGAACTCATCGGTTGTGGTCTCATGCAGCTGCCGGACCCGGTCAAATTGTCCTACAACACGGTTTGTCCTGGATCCGTCCTTGACTGCCATTGAAGCAGTACGGCCGAAGATGGTACTCCAGACCTTGGATAGAACAGCAACCAAAATGTCGATCGGCTGTGTAGAGAGTGCCTTGTTGGCGGTACCAATTAGAGAAGAGGTGATACCGGAAGGCAGAGTGATAGACTTTTCGACCAGGTTTCTGGTAAGCATTCTTTTGTCTTCAATGCCCCAGCGGTTCAGATCGACCGCTGAGGCTCCAATTGCGGCGGCTGATGTGTCCACGGAGATTGATGACTGGAAAGACATATCAGAGTGGATAGACATCATGTTTCCTTGTAACAATTCGCGAATGTCCTGGAGAATGATGCGCACGGAAGCAGCATCAGCAATCACTGGATGGATGGTGAGTGCCAAAGCTTGTTGTGTCGAGTCTTCGGTGAGATCAAATAGATGCACCGAGAACAGTGGGCCGGTCTCAATGTTCAGTCCAGGCTGCATGGCAGCCAAGAAGGCCTTGACGTCGGTGGTAGTGCTACGGGTTTGCGCCTCGAACTTGTAGCTTGACGCGAGTTCCTTGGTGATAACCTGACTCCAGGTAGCCTCCGCATTGCGCTGAAAGCGTGCGCGAAGCATTGGATGCTGCTGCATAATAGCTTCGATAGCTCGAACAAGCTTGGGGACGGTCGTCCTTGTCGCCAAAGGCAGCATAATCTTTTGAGCTTCCACCTCTTGCTCCAGCAAAACATGCTGCCAGGCCGTAAGCGCAAAAGGTTTTCCAACAATATCCTCCTCTTCCTCAGTCCCTTCAAACTTCGCCTCAAGCACAAGATGCGATATGCTTTCGCATACCAAAATGTCTTTCACCGACAGCAGAATGCCAGAAGCCTGGCATTTAGATCTCAAATTCATAGCCGCAATTGAATCTCCACCCAAATCAAGGAAAGAGCGATTCATGTTAACCTTTGGCAGACCTAGCACATTGCTCAAAATGTCGTGTACACGCTTCTGTTGCTCTGTAGCTGGTGCGCCTCCCTCCTCTTCCTCGTCGCTGCCGACCACCATTTCATACGTTTCCTGTTCCATTTCTACTAACCATTTTGTTACAGTGACTCGATCCATCTTGTTGTTTGGTGTGAGTGGCATGGCTTGGACAACTATCCAGACTGCAGGCACCATGTAATCCGGTACCTTTGTGGCAACGTAACTGCGCACAGCTGCAGTCTGAACATCTGCGAGACCCTTGTCAAGTCCGGTGACAAGGTTGAGCTGAGTCTCAGGGCTAAGAGTCTGCGATAAAGACTCAAGCGAGAGGACTGCGACGAGCTTCTTCTGAAGGTGGCCGGCCTTGGGGAGAAGTACGACTGCTTGATTAACACGTGGATCGGCGAGAATGTTGGCTTCAATCTCGGCAAGCTCGATACGTTGCCCATGATGCTTGACCTGGAAATCCTTGCGGCCGCAGCAGAGGAGCTGACCTTCTGGACCATATTTGAACAAATCGCCAGTCTTGTACATGCGTCGGGTTTTACCGCTACCTTGAGACCACGTTGGGTCGACGACGAAGGCAGCGGCGGTCTTTGCCTCGTCGCCAAGGTAACCACGTGACACCACCTTGCCTTCAATAACGAGCTCTCCTGTAGCGCCCAAGGGAGCAAGCTTGTTGTGGTCTTCAGCATCGACGATCCACATGTGGCATCCACTTGGTCGGCCGACATCTGCTGGGTCGGTTTCAGGAGATTTGGGATCTGCGTCGACGCAATGGATACCGCATTCTGTCATACCATACGAGAAAATAAGATCCACTGCAGGTGCCCATCGTCGGACAGTATCTCGAGCAGCAGCCTCGCCACCTAAAATGAGCTTCTTGAGTGTCGGTACGTCCTTTGGCTCCAGCATAGCTGCAACTGTTGGTGTCAGGAAAGCGTAGTCGCAGTTCATGCGACGGATAGCACCCGGGATGTCGTTAATGCGCTCATCTTCAGATGGCACACAAATACATCCGCCGCGCTGCAAAGTCGTAAAAATATCTGCGATCGAGACATCGAAGGTGTAAGCAGCGAATTGGAAAAGTCTGGTCCAAGGTCCGACTTTTCGATTGGTTCCATGAGCTCTGGAACTCGTGCACATGGAGGCATGCTCTCCGACTACACCCTTTGGTTTTCCAGTCGATCCAGAAGTGAACAAAACAAAGGCTGGGTCGTTCGGTGAGACTGTGGGCAGAGAAGCCGTAGAAGTGAGTGAGTCGAGCAACTTCTGGTCCACAATAACTGTCTCTATAACCCCATCGAACTTGTGTGCATGAATGTTGTCCGTAAGCACAAATGCAGCACCCGTTTGGCTAATGATCTCGGCCATGCGATCGATAGGCGAGTTCTTCCCGAGATGTACAGTCGCACCACCGGCTTTCAACGTAGCCATCATGGTAATGACTGTGTACACACTCTTGTCGAAGCACATAGGCATGAGATACTCTGGCTTCACGCCTTTTTCAACGAGATGAGAAGCCAGCTTGTCGGATAGCTCGTCAAGTTGTTTGTAGGTGATCTCCCCATCCCATGAGGTGACTGCAGTAGCATCTGGGCGGATCCTGGCTTGCTCCCGGAATATGTTGTGAACGCAATCATCAACTTCCTGGATATCCACACGGCTGTTCCATTCAATTATCTGCTGGTAGTGTGCTGGCGTCATCATATTGACGTCCTTGAGTGATGTGGTCTCGGAAGCGTTGACTAGCTGTTGGATGACGCACTCGAACTGCTCTAGTATAGTCGTTGCTGAGGCGCATTGGATAATGTTGCTGTCGAATTGTAGCTCAACATCGACGCTGTCGTCACCAGTGACAATGCACTCGACTACGGCAGCGTAGATATGGAAGCCACGAAGGAGCCCTTTGTCCAAGACTTCCTCCATGATTGAGCTTTCTTTGATTTCACCAAATGGCTGTTGGATGACGAGCAAGTTTTTGAGGTTCTGCTTTTGCCCGGCCATTGCATAAACGCTTTGAAGCCCAGCATGCTCGTACGGGATCATTTCCGTCGATTGCTGTTGAACAGTGGCGAGGAAACTTGCGATGCTAGCAGCAGAGTTGACCTGGAGCTGGATCGGAACCGTCGTGATCGTGGGTCCAACTATATTCTCGATGTCTTGAACTGCGGCGTTACGTCCAGAGTTGGTAGCGGCGAATGCGACATCCTCAGACCCGAGCAATCGGCTAGTAACAATGGCCCATGCAGCGCGGAGAATTGTCGAAAGCATGAACCCCTTGCTGGTATCGCGCGAGATTGCGATAGTACGTGTTACTTCGGAGTCTGGCGTGGGTTGATATGTTGCGTCTAGTATGGTTGGGAAGCTGTTCGCCGTGGCCTGACCAAGTTGCTTCTTCCAGAAAGCTGCACACTCCTTTGCATCAACCTCAGTGATCATCTTGATGAACCGGTTGTAGCCAGGTGCTGCGTCAATCTGCTGTTTGTTGTACAAATTCTCTAGTTGTTCCATCAGGTTGATAGCGGTGTGTCCATCATATAAAGCATGATGAACTGTCCAGACGAAGTGGCTATGCTCAGAATCCAAAGCATATCGCGCAAGTGGGCTTCCGTACTTGACGAATGTAGCCTTATCCTGTGCGAGGTAGTCAGGTAGCGCGATTTCGGGCTGCCATTCAAGGCCGTTCCTGAGCACCACCTGAATAGCACCAGAAGACTTCGACAAGATAATACGAGTGCGCAAGATTGGGTGCAAATCCACAAGCTGGCTCCAGGCGCTCTTGAAACAATCAATATCGATACCAGCCGCGATTTTGAACACTCTTTGCGCAGTATAAGCACCTTGTTGTTGAGTCGCCAGCTCCATGAGAGCTTCTTGCAATGGTGTGCAAGGATAAAGGTCTTCGATATCGTCCTTGGAGACATTGCATACCGCTGCTGCGTCTTCGATCAAATTCTCCTCAGAAGATACGAGAGAAAAAGGTTCAATGCTAGCTATAGCTTCTTGGGTCTCTGCGCTAGCACACTTCGCCATGTCGCAAAGGACTGGATTCTTGAAAATATCGGCCACGATGAGGTTGATGCCGTTTGAGCGAGCGAGCGATGTAAGCCGCATGGCTTTGATGCTGTCGCCGCCCTTACTGAAGAAGCTGTCGTCCGCGCCGATAGATGTGGTGTCGATGCGAAGAAGCTCAGCCCAGAGCCCCTGGAGAGCAAGCTCCATTGGTGTAGATGGTACACGTTTATTTGCTAGGTCTTCCTCTTCACCCAAAGAGTATTGCTGGATCTGTTCGAGAGTCAATGAAGCACCTATGCGCTTCAGAGAGTTGCGGTCAATCTTGTTGGTTTGAGTCTCCGGCATTTTCCGAAGTGGAATGTACAAGGATGGAACCATGTAGGAAGACAGCGACTGCGCGATATGCTCCTTTAGCTGGTGGAATTTGCCGTGCAGAGCCGAAGTGAGAGCCATGACTTCCTCGTTGCCATTATCGACGTCCTCTACAGAAGGAACCACAAAGGCGGCGAGTGCGGCCTTGTCAACGTCACCCTCGAGAAGGATCTTCTCCACAGCCTGCTTTTGTGTACCAAATGCGCTTGTCTTGACATGATGTTCGATTTCGCCGAGCTCAACGCGAAGACCTCGAATCTTGATTTGCGTGTCCTTGCGACCTAGACAAAGCATGTTGCCGTCTTGCACATACCGGACTAAGTCGCCGGTCTTGTATAGTCGAGACGGGTTTGGCGAGATCTGCGTCGCCCAAGTAGGATCGTAGATGTATGATTCATTTGTCTTGGTAGGGTTCTTGAGGTATCCTCGAGCGAGCAAAGGACCTTCAATCAGCAGTTCTCCAACGCAACCAACAGGAACCAGGCGGTTGTGATCAGTCTTATCAACGACCCATGAGCGACCACCTTGGGCCTTTCCAATCATGCTGCATGGGGTCTCGAGATGAGAATGAGTCATAACAGCCAGAATTGAGCACTCCGCCGGGCCGTAGTCATTGAAGAGGTTGACGCGCGGCGCCCAACGTGCGTGGATGTCGGCACGGAGTGGCTCGCCGCCCAGGATGATACTCTTAAGTCCAGGGACCTGGTCTGGATGGAAGGTATCAGCTACCGTAGAGACCATGATGATCCAGTCAACATTGAGTGAGTTTATGGCGCTGACTAAGTTGTTCATCCTGTCATACTCGCTTGGGACACAGACACAAGCACCTTTCACGAGCGGTGCGAAGGACTCGAATAGACAGATATCGAAGGTATGCGTCGCGAACTGTAGTACTCGCGAATCAGGCTCCAAGAGAATCTGAGGCAGCTGGTAGTGCGCCATCGTGCAAAAACCACGATGTTCGATAATGACGCCCTTGGGTTTGCCGGTTGAACCAGACGTGAAGACGATGAAAGCTGCATTATCCGGCGAGTACTCTGGTGCTTCAAATTTGCTATAGCTGGCAGGGAACGAGTCAACGAAGGCTTGGTCAATGGCCAGAACTTTTGAGACGACACGTTCAAAAAGTCCAGCATGTTGAGGTGACACCAGGACAACGTCGGCTTCAATGTCTTCCAGGATACTGAGCATACGTGGCATGGGGTAGTTCGGCAGAAATTGAACGCAGACACCGCCTGTCCGCATGACTGCTAGCATGGAAACAATGTTCCACATGGACTTGTCGAAGCACAGACCAACCTGGACTTCTGGGCCAACACCAAGTGTAGTCAAATGATTTGCAAGCTTCGAGGTAATGAGGTCAAGCTCGCGATACGTCAGGCTTCCATCCCAAGCGCAGACAGCTTGTGCGTTTGGACGTGTGGCAACATTCTGGGCGATGAGATCAGGTATGCGGGCATCGATGCCAGCCGGTAACTCGGTATTCCATGTGGTGATGTCCTTGAAGTCGTAGCTATTGAGCAAGCTGATCTTTTCGACCGGGCGCTCGATATCCAGCGAAAGTTCCTTGACAAAGTGTTCATACTGGTGCAGCATGCGTGTCATTTGCTCGGTCGGGATGATTGATTCATCGTATATAGCTTCAAGGGTAAAATCGTTGTCTTTTCCAAGGTTGCAAAGAACGACGAGCGGGAAGTTGTCAAAGTTTTCCTCCGCACGTGGCACTGTCTCCAGATCCAGAACAGTATCCGAGCTGTCCTCAGCCGGCTGTATCACGAACAGGTTGGTGATGGAATCGATGGTCGTACGCGACTCCTTGCTGATATCTCGAATGTTCTGGAGGCCAAAGTGTTCGTACTCGATAGTAGCCACTGACTGATCCTGTACAGATTGCAGGAGATCCTTGACTGTGATGCCTTCCTTTGGAACAGACACACGAACAGGTACAGTAGTAATCGTAGGACCCATCATGTTATCAATGCCCTCAAGCGCCAAATTGCGGCCGGCCAATGTCTGTGCAAATACAACATCTTCAGAGTCGGCGTAAGTGGCGATCGTCAAAGCCCAAGCAGCACGTTTGATTGTCGACGGCAAGATGGTTGAAGAAAGCTGGGGCGCCGAGCTTTGGAGGGCGATTGTTTTTTTCGCGGCCGCGCTATAGCCGAGGCCGACCTCAGGATAGCTAGTAGGGAAGCTCCCGGAAAGTGGTAAACTGCTTTTTCCAAAAGTCGACATTGGCAGATCGGGAGGTCTCGTTAAGGCGGCCGATGAAATTCCTGTATGGTGTGGACGATGAGACTTCTGCTCCGTTATAGGCTTGACCGATTTTCTCGAACAGGAGTGCAAGCGACCATCCATCGTAGATTGCGTGATGAGCGGTCCAAACAAAGTACTCTTGTCCAATTGAAGCGAGACGCATGAGCGGGTCTCCATACTTGAAGGCAGTTGCCTGATCTTTGGCGAGGAACGACTCTAGATCAGTGGCTGTCTGCCAGATCGTTGGAGCTTTTGTGACCACTTGGAGGTTGCCTACGCTCGAAGAGACAATCCTGGTGCGCAATATCGCTTCTCTCTCAATGACCGTTTTCCAAGCGTCTTGGAAGCGAGAAAGGTCGAAGTCTTGGGGTAGGCGGAAGACCTTTTGCGCAATGTAGGCACCTTTTTTTCTCAGACCTAGGGCACACTACATGCCTTCCTGTAAAGCTGAGGTAGGATATATATCCTCGATGTCAGCAATGTCGGTGTTGCATTGAGTTGCAGCCTCTGCAAGTATAGAAGTCTTTGCTTGTTCCTCGACCAGTGCGAAAGCCTCAACTTCAGTTGCCTGAGGAGCGTACTCTTGAGTTGCTTCCACTACTTCGGCTAATTCACTCAGTATCGGGTATTTGAAGATGTCAGCAACGCGAATAGCAAACTATGTAGGAATTAGCGAATCCAGCGTTTAGAGCAAAAGGGTAACATACGTTGTGCTTCCGTGCAGCGGCGACCATCTTCATTCCACCAACACTGTCACCGCCCAGTCCGAAGAAGTTGTCGTCGCGGTTAATGGTTGCTGGATCAAGGCTGAGGATTTCAGCAAAGAGGGTCTGAAGGATCTGTTCCATGGTTGTACGAGGCTGATCAGTAGAGGCAGAGCGTAGCATGTAATGCGACACCTGCGTCTTCGTGAAGCTTGCTACAATCTGTCTCAGAACCGGGCGCGCAAGCTTTCCGGAAGTTGTGTACGGGATGTTGAACACCGGCACGAAGAGCGACGGGATCATGTAGAAAGGCAGAACCTTAGCGAGCGAGCTCTGAAGGTCTTTGAGGATGTGTCGCAAGTCTTCGTTGATCTCAAATGTTGACGCTTCGGCAGCCTTCCTGTGCTTGGCGAATGCTGGGTTAGTGACAAAACCTACGATTGTCTTACTCTTGGTATGCTCTTCAATGGCCACTGCATCGACGACAATGGAGTAGCCTTCGGGTAGCAAAAGCTGGGCTTGATACATGATCTCGTCAAGCTCTACACGCTGTCCATTGATCTTCACCTGTGCATCGCGGCGGCCGACAATTGTGATGCTTCCATCTGTATTGAGGCAACCAATATCGCCACTCTTGTAGAAGCGTCGAGGTAACAGAGCGTTGGCATCTGGGAAATCTGCAACCCATGCGGGGTTCTCGATGAACGCCGCTGCGGTCTTCTCGGGCTCCTTGAGGTAGCCACGCGCCAACAATGGTCCTTCGATCAGGATCTCGCCGGCACAGCCCATCGGAACAAGTCGGTTGTGGTCTTGATCGTTGGCAATCCACACGTGAGTACCGAATGCAGGTCCAATGTTCGAAGCTGGTGATGTTCGAGACAAGCGAATACTACCGGTCTGGTTCACGGTAGTCTCGGCAGGGCCATACAGATTATGAAGCTGGACGTGGTCTGCCCAAGTCTCGATAACATCGCGGTTGAGAGGCTCTCCCCCATTGTTCAGGCGTCGCATAGACGGCACATCCTTGGGGTTTAGCATACCACTAACAGTGGCAGTAAGATCAGCCCAGTTTGCTTGCGTACGGTTAATTCCACCAGCCAGATCGTTCATGCGTTCCTCGTCTGAGATGACACAGACAGCGCCACCAAATTGTAGCGTGGTCACGATATCTTGCAAACTGACATCAAAGTTGTAGGCTGCGAATTGCAGGGCACGGGTGTGTGGCCCAAAGTCGAGTACCGGGCCCATCGAGGTGCTGCACGTTCGCATGTTCCTATGCTCCAAGACTATACCCTTAGGCTTACCCGTGGTTCCGCTGGTGAAGACCACGAAGCAGGCATTTTCTGGTCGAACAGTGGTACAGGCTGGTCTAGTAGCAACTGGAAGTTCAAAGATGAAATCCTTGTCAACGACGATGACTGCCTCCAGGTTTGCGGTATTCGCGAACAATGCAGCGTTTTGAGTCGATGTAAGGATGATGAATGACTCGGTCTGTTCGATAAGACTCTCAATACGTTCGATAGGGTGGTTGGGATCAAATGCAACTCCCGCGGCACCCGCCTTGAGAATAGCGAGAATCGAGACGATCGCCCATGCAGACTTTTCGAATACATACGGGACAATAGTCTCAGGACCGACGCCGAGAGAGGCGAGATGATGCGCAAGGCGATTAGCTTGCTCATTGAGCTCCTTGTAGGTCCAACTACCCTGGTACGAGCAGATCGCTTCAGCCTCAGGCGTGGCATACGCTTGGGCTTCAATTGCGTGATGAACACATTCGCTGACGTACTGTGGGTACACCGCAGTGATATTACGCATTTGTTGGATGTGTAAAGAAGAGACAAGATCGACTTCACCGATCCGCTTGGTCGAGTGGTAGAGTATAGCCTTCACGGCTTCGCTGAGTGTCGCACCAATATTCTGAGCTTGAGCAGCCGTAAATTCAGACGTCCAGAATTGGAGTGTCACGTCTACCTTTGACTCCGTAACACCCACATCTAGCGACAAGGCATACTCAGTGGGATCGTAGCCTTTGATAGCTTCAACCGTGATGCTCGAGTCGGTGATCAGCTCATGGTCAGTCTCGCGATGGAAGGAGATGATCGTGTTGAACAGTGGCTGGCTGCCTAGTTTGAGGGCATGGTGGATCTCGGCGAGGCCACAGTGCTGGTTTGGCAGGGTCTTCAACAGGTCATCAGCGACTCTCTCAAGCGCATCATTCATGGATAGGGAGTCATCGAGAACCATGCGACTGACTAGCATCGTGATGAATGCACCAACGCCCTGCTCAATACCCTCAAGTGGAGCGTCGCGTCCTGAGGACAAATAGCCAAAGCAGACATCCTCGGTACCGATGTGCTGCTTCAGAACTAGGCCCCACGCAAGTTGGAAGATGTTGACAAGAGTGGCATTCTTCGTGTCGCAGAAAGCCATCAGTTCTGCGGCTGAGATCCCAACATCGATGGTGGCCGTCTCTAGCTTGCGGGCAGGGTCAACGGCATCCTCCCAATGCGCCATAAGAGGAAAGAAACTAGGGTTGACATCAACAAGATACTGTCGCCAGAACTCGGTAGCAAGGCTAAGAGGGCGATCAAGAACGTGCTTAATGTAGTCTTGGAACGCAAACCCAGGACGGTTGGACATACGGCCATCGTACGCTAGGATGAAGTCGCCCATGATGTTGGCGATGGAAGAACCATCGATTATAGCGTGATTGATCTCCAATTTGCATATAGCCGTTGTCGAGGATACGTGACAGATAGTAAAGCGATGTAGTGCCTCGCCAGGACGGAAGGCGAGCTTACCACGACTGTCAAAAACCTGCTCAACTTCCGACTCAGAGCACTCCTGGCTATGTATACTCGGGTCAATGGCCTTGAGGACAACTTGATCGTACAACCCCGCATGACTGACACTCTCAATGAATACTGTTCGTAGAGATGAGTGGCGCTGAACAACCTGCGCCCATGCAGATTCCAGAGCGCCAATATCCAGGACATCAGAGTCATTACGGGTCTCGACTTTGAGTGTGTGGTTGTACTCGTAAGCACCCTGCGACCCTCCCCGGACCTGGCTGATGAGCAAACCATGCTGCATAGGAGAAGAAGGGTAGACGCTTTCGACACGAGCGATGTCTGAGATACCAATTTCAGGCATCTTTGTGGAAACAAGTAAATCCAGGTCCTCGTAGCTCAGCTTCAGCAGCGGAAAGTCGGATAGGGTTCGTTCTTCCTCGTGGCCCTGGAGTTGCGCAAGAGCATCTGCAATGCAAGCCTGAGCATTGCTCATCCACAAGTGGATCCGGCCTTGGTGTTTCATTTGCTTGTTAAACACAAAGAGAAGCTGCATTTGTCCCTGAAGCACTTCTGCAGTGATCTCGACAAGTGCGAAGCGCGGTGACTCCTTTCCAACATCCTCGAAGATAGCCTGGTATCCGGGAACCTGTGTGAGCAGAGCATCTGCACGCTCCATTTGCTGGTATAAACCTAGATAATCGAACGACAGCTCCACGTGGTCATGTCCGCCGAACTTCTCAATACCCGCATCGTTGAGGTAGCGTGATGCAAAGTATGGCCGACCGTTGGCAGGCACACTGTGTCGCACATCCTTGGCTCGCTTGATCACTTCTAAAATGTCGAAACGCTGCTGCATCTCGACATGCAGAGGATACATAGTCGTAAACCATCCGACGGTTCCAGATATATCCAGGTCATCATCCCAAGGTTCGCGGCCATGGCCTTCCCTGAATAACGCCGGCACTGCGCGATCACTGAAAGTTTGGCTGAATGAGTACACAAGAGATGCAAGCAGGACGTCGATAGGTTCTGTATTGTACGTGGCGTGGCACGAGCCTTCCAGTAGTTCCTTGGTTTGTGTCAGGTCGAGTTTGATGACGGCTTCCTTAGTATCGCACATGCGGTTGGGCTTGCTGGACATGTTCCAGTAGTCGAAATCAGGTGCGGGAATATCGTAAGGCAAGACGCTGGAGATATTCGTGGCGCGCGCATGCTCTGCTTGCAAGCTGAGCCAGTTCTGGAAAGGGATTGGCTTTGCCGCAGTCAGTGAGCCAATTGTCAGAAATTCTTCAATGTCACGAAGGATGACACGCCATGAAACCAAGTCAATCATAACGTGATGAGCGACAAGGAAAAGATACTGGCCATCAGTAGAGGTGTTGAACAACACAACGGCGAAGATCGGGCCGTTGCGAGTGTCCAGCGAAGTCTGTGTCTCAGCCATGATGGGGTAAGCATCATTGACTGAATCAATGTTGAAGGTTGCGAAACTAAAAGTGTCTTCAACCTTAGAAGGGATGATTTGCATCCATTTTACGCCATCCTGAACAAATCTCACGCGAAGCATTGAGTGTTGGGTAACGACAGCCTGAAGGGCCTTTGCAACGTTCAGTTGCGACACTGGTTGTTGGATCCTGAGGAAGAAGCTCTGGTTGAACCGAGTTTGCCGAGCATCGTCGATTTCAGTAGGAGCGATATCGAAGTACATGCGCTGCACAGGCGACAATTCGAATGCTACGTCGAAAACCTCATCGGTAGAGTATGAAGTCTCCTTCGCAGACTTCACGGAAAGCGAAAGCTCGGTTACTGACTTGCTTCGAAGGATGTCTCTGACGCTAACAGCAAGTCCAGCACTACGACAGCGAGACATGACCTGCATTGCAGTGATGCTGTCACCACCCAGGCTGAGGAAGGACTTGGAGAGGCTGACGCTGGAAGGAGGCAAGTTGAGAACAGCCGCAATGATGTCGCGTAGCTTTTCCTCGCTGCCTCCCAGTGTATCCGCGTCAACCACCTCCTCGAAGTCAATGCCAACGACTTGTCTATAGAGGTCTTCATTTGCTTCAGCGACCCACTTGCTGACCAAAGAGCGGTTGAGCTTTCCAGAGAGCAAGAGGGGAAACCGTTCAAGAACAATCCAGGTCTCCGGAACCATGTATTCAGGAACTTTGGATGCCAAGCCTTGCCGAATTGATTCCAGGTGAGTCTTGATCTCATCACTGTGAAGATCTTCGTGGAGGTAAACGGTCGACTCGACAGCCTCGTAGCTTTCGACCAAGAAGTCCCGGAGCGATACAAGCGCTACTAGGCGGTTGGCAAATGAGCCTTTTTTTGGCAGAATAACCATTTGATGTCGAACCTGCGGATGCGTGCCGATATTGTGCTCAATCTCGCCCAGCTCAATACGGAGGCCGCGCAGTTTTACCTGAGTATCCTTTCGTCCGACAAAGTAGATGGAGCCATCAGGTAAATATTTTGCGAGATCACCAGTCTTGTAGAACCTCCTATTTTCCCCTGTCTTAGTTGTAGGACCCCAAGCAGGCCGCTCGACGAATACCTCGTCAGTTTTCTCCTTGTTCTTGAGATATCCACGAGCGAGAATAGGTCCTTCGATGAGAAGTTCGCCAACTTCTCCAGGAGCTAGTAATAGATCGTGATCCTCGGCATCCACGATCCAGCAAATGCCTCCGACTGGGAAGCCAATGTTTGCGGGATCGGTATCAGGGGTCATCTCAGTGTTGCCGGTGGCTGCAACAGAGCACTCGCTAGGTCCGTAGCCGTTGATGAGTTGAAGCTCGCTTGCCCATGTCTCGACGTCAATCTTCGAAAGTGGCTCTCCACCCAAAGCCAGCGTTTTGAGGGTTGGAACCATGTTTGGCGCCATGAGCTTGACCAACGAAGGTGTCATGAACGCCCAGGTTATTTTATATTCGTTGACGATACAGGCGGGGCCATTGGCCATCAATGCCATGTCCGGCGTACATATGCAAGAGCCGTGAACCAGGGCGGTGAGGATTTCGAGCATACTTACATCAAAGCTGTAGGATGCGAGCTGCAATATGCGTGTAGTGTGGTCGATGGCCGCACGTTCAGCGTGCCGTAGTGAGCCGCTGAGGAATGCACGGTTCTCGATGAGACAACCCTTGGGGTTGCCGGTAGACCCGGACGTGAAGATCACGTATAGAAGGTTGGAGGGCGCGGCTGAAGTCTTTCGAGCCACATCCCGCTCAGGTAGGCTTTCCAAGCTGTCCTCGCTAAGCATGAATGTAGGCGGACATTCAGACTCATAGAGATGGATTTGTGATGGAGAGCAGATGATTACTTTGGCTTCAACTTCCGAAGTAATGTACTGCCTCCGGTCCACTGGATGTGAGGGATCCAAGAAGACAAACGCAGCTCCGGTCTTCAGAACTGAGAGGATCGCGACAATCGCCCACCGCGACTTCTCAAAGCACAGTGGTACAACGTCCTCGGGCCCAATGCCCAGGTCACTCAGATAATGGGCAACCCGGTTTGCTGCAGCATCAAGCTCTGCATATGTCCAAGTGCCATCGTGAGCATCGACCGCAAGTGCATCTGGTCGCAGCTTGACCTGTTTCTGAACAAGGTCGCTCACGGTCTCGTCGATAAAGGTGGGAACATGCTCATTCCATGCCCAAACAGCATCAATTCCAGAGACTGAACCCATTTCAGCAGGTAAGATGTGTATCGGGTGACTGTTCGTTTGCATTAGCAAGTGTTGACTTTCGGCGCAACGTTGGACTTACTATAGTATTAATCGGTTGTTGTATTGAATACAGCAAAGACCGAATGCTGTGTGTCGTATTGTGCGTTCTCGTCTGTTTGAGTAGTCTATGGGGTATCGTCGCGAAAAGTCTAAAATCTAAAGTCTATTGGGTGAGTTGTCAAAGTTGGAACCTACAAGGGAGGGTGTTGGACCAAAGTCTCGATGGTGTAAGGTTCAGAGTGACTCGAAATGTAATGCACACACGTGTTAGAGTCTGGAAAGTGGGATACTTGGGCAAAGCCGGTATGTAAAGCTATACACATATGTCGGTATGCCGACTCTCGCGTCAGTCGGCAATAGCATGATGGCCGTCAAGTCCCAATGGGGTGGCTGGAAGACACTGGCCTAGACACGGAGACCAATGGACCATTCACAATCGATTCTAGGTACCAATAGAAGCCCCGATGAAGTTGAGAAATGTTACTTTCCGGTTGCCACGAGGAATACGCGACGAGCCGCTCAAACTAGCATCGTGAGAACGCAGTGGCATCATTTGACGCGCCTCATTGGGCACTGTCTGAGGCTGAGATCGGTTCCTGAGATGATTGCCTCTTTCAGCGCGAGGTGCCATTTCCGGCGTGTTAGACATGAGATGGAAGTAACCAAACTTGCGCGATGCAGGGTGACGCGTGAATTTCATGAAGCCAAGTCCGGAAATGCCAAGCCCGATCAGTCATCCTCGGAAAATTACGAGTCGTAACTTAGCCTAAGGAAAATTACAAGATCAGGCGTCCAGGAGCCTGTGCACACCCCTGCTCGCTTTTCGCAGCGGAACGCATTGGCCAGCAGAGCGTCTACCTTCGTCTGCCCTTGTTCATCTCCACGGACAAGCACTGTGCATGTGCCACCACGTTGAACGCATTCTTGGCCCAGATGCGCACGCATCTGTGGGTCGCAAAGCATGTCCGGGTTCGAACAGGCTGTTTCAAGCCTATCAGCGCTGAACTGCTGGCACAGGCTACAAACCCGACCGGACAATGGTAACAGAATGCGTCGTCAAGTCCAGGAGATCCAACTCATATCGTGAGCACATGGTCTAAAGCCGACCGAAATCCCAATCTAAAGTCTTGTCATTATTTCATGCAGTGTCAAAGATCCTAGGTTTCAACAAGAAAGTCTGCCACAGCCTGATCCGCAGCAGCAGTACAAGTTGCCGCGCCGCAATTGAACGAGCCAGCCAATCAGAATCCACCGCCGATCCACCTGAGGTGTATCAACGCGTTGAGGACCTTGGTATAAGACATAAGCTGCCTGCCTTGAGAGGAGATACAAACTCCCCATTCCATCACGGTCTTCTTTTCGCAGGCTCAAATCCACTTCGAACTCTGTCAGCCTTTCTACCACAGGTACTTCCATTACCTCCACGACTTTAGACAGCCACCACCATAGCACCAATCCGTACTATACTATCATGGACGCACTTTTCCACCTGGCTGCCAGAGCCGTCGACAAGAATGGCATCGATCCTAACAACATCGATGTAAACAGCACGGATCCCATGGTCATTGGCATGTCAAGACGATACTGTACAGTGGGCAAGTGTCCCGAATCATGGCAAACCATCGACTATCGACCAACTATTGCCGGCAATGTCATCTACATGCTCTGCTTCTTCGTTCTTTTCAGTGGGCAGCTATGGTTTGGCATCCGAAGTAGAGCATGGACTTTCATGGGTACAATGTGCGCTGGTATCCTTGGAGAGATTGTTGGTTACATTGGCCGCATCATGCTCAACCTAAATCCCTTCCTGATGAACAACTTCCTTGTGTAAGTCTTTCAGGTCTATCATATCTCAACTCTGCTAACTCGAATATCAGGAACTTGATCCCTCTTACGCTCGCTCCTGCTCTACTTACGGCTGGTATCTATTTGTGTCTGGGGCGTGTCATCGTCGCCATTGGTAGTGAGAACTCTCGTCTCAAGCCAAAGATGTACACCTACATCTTCATCAGCTGCGATGTGCTTGCTCTCATTCTCCAAGGTGTTGGTGGTGGCATGGCTGCTACTGGCAAGGACGCCAAGGGCTCGAAGCGCGGTGTCGACATCATGATTGCTGGTCTGATATCTCAGGTCATCACCATGACTCTCTTCCTCGCTCTCTGGGCCGACTTCGCACTCCGCACTCGCCGCGCCAGGCTCTCCGGTTCCCTGGCTCGTAGCCAGCCGCCTCTATACGAGCAGCTTCGCGCCTACAAGACGTTTGCTCTTTTCCAGTGGGCTTTATTCGCCGCCACAATCTTCATCTACGTGCGATGCATCTACCGTGTCGCCGAGCTTTGGGACGGCTTCAATGGTCACCTTGCCAACGATGAAGTCACTTTCATGATCTTTGAGGGACCCATGGTCATCCTTGCAGTTACAGCCCTCACCATCTTCCACCCCGGGCGTGTGTTTGGCGACCTCTGGGTTCCTGCTGGAAAGGGTGTCAGGTCCATGGGAAAGCTCTCTGACGACCGTGAAGCGTCCATCCAGCTCAATGAGGCCGAGTGGAACAGCACCGCATACCAGCGCGTCGAGCAGCCCAGCAACGTTGTCTAAGCCTTTGAACGCAGCTCGATTTGTTTGCGAGTATTGATATGAGATGAAACAAGATGAAGACGCGCAACAGATAGTTCGACATCACGAGGTGTCCATGATAATCAAGGGATTTTGCTAGTTATGCAGGTTTTACTTGAGCACTGTAGCTCGTCACTCCTGCACTTGGGTTTGGAATTTGCATATACCCTAAAGAACACAATAGAATAGGATTCACTTCACTGCCATTCTTTGATATCGTCCGTGATCGCGCCGCAGAATTACGCACCGAACAACACACCTGACTATGACTCTGACATGAATAGATGGTAAGCTTAATATTTGCTGCACCCCGCAATCTTTCCGCATATATCCCTTGCGTACTGCAATCATGTACACTTTGTTGCGCCTTTTTACGCCCTGTTAGCCATGTTTCTGGCGCCGCAAAAGATCTGCAGTTTCAAGAACGAAGGATGACGACGAGGATTCACCGCGCAATTTCATCCCCTCTACTTGGATACATATTCTAATCATCGGTAGCACGTCCAACTCGTAGACGCAGCTTACCGGCACAGCAATATCGATCGCTGATCTTCATTTGATGTTGTCACGACTCTCGAGAAGATCGACAGCACATTCGAACATCAACAAAGAGCAGGGCTTACAAGGCTGAAGCGGCACAGGTGTGCGGATGAACGATGCGACCTATCACATTCGCTCATGTTGGGCGCGGAGGCTGACTGTTTTCCTGTGCCACATGCCTGCAGAAATGGCGCCGGTCAACACGAAGGGCTTTCTTGAGGCGCACAACATTGGGCTGCTGAGAAGTTGTGTCGGTGTGACAAGGAATGTGCGACAGCGCGGACCCTGGTCGTGCTGGACATAGATCCGTCACTACGTTCTGCTGAGTGTATTCCGCTCCGCTATGCAGATATTGACTTTGATTGAAAGCGTCTTCCATTGCCATTCCAGAAGCGAAACATGTTGATCCACTCTCAAATCATTGCAGAAAAGAACGATTGTTGGCTGGACTAATCACATGATTCACTAGGACCACAGACATTTCGAATGGACAGAAATTCTGTGGGTTTGTTCGTCATCGGAAACAAGATCAGAGAATGATTGTTTTTGTAGTCGCAGCAGAGATTGGACATGTTTGAGGAAATGTTTTCGAGCTATCCGGCGCAATTGCGGCCGGTATCAATGACGTACAGCCTCCACCAATAGCATGGGTCGAGTGACATACTGCACACTAGTCGGCGAGGCTGCGACTCTCCAACTAGTGTACTATCAACACACCCATTGCTATCTTTATGGAATAAACCTATCTTATCAAATCTTTCCTTTTGATCTACCTATCTAGACTTTCTTTACATGCAGTAATTAGATCAGTTCCGTCCTCATCGAACGCAGACCCATGAACGTCTATCGCTCGCTTCCACGAATTATCTTCCGCAGTATCGCACCGAGTTCCCGTCACTCATTTCCACGGAACATGGCAACGTCTCTGAATGGAGACTTGAACAATACCGCAGCAGAGCGCGCTCGAGCTGAATTGATTGTGGACCCGACTTATCGAAACATCTCTTTGGCTATTCCAGCTTCTGAAGATGAAGATGTCGTGCGAAAATCCTATCGACCTTTTCTGCTTGATGATGCAAACCAAGAGCAGGAAGATTGGGTGGCCCAACTTGAACTGAGCACGGTATTGAAGATGGTGGATCTACAAGTGCTTCGTAACGGTGGCGACAGGCTGAAGGTCCTTGTTCTGCATGGAAGTATGCGCAAGCGGTAGGTCACGCCATCACTTTTCGATTGAAAACTGATACTTATAAATACAGCTCTTATTCGCGCCTACTGGCCTATGAAGCGAGTCGCATACTCTTCCGTCTTGGTTGCGATGTTCGCATGTACGACCCAGCTGGATTGCCCATCAAAGACGACGAACAGCACTCCCATCCAAAAGTACAAGAACTGCGAGACTTGAGCAAATGGAGTGACGGACACATTTGGATCAGCCCTGAGCAGCATGGCAACTTGGTCCGTGTCACACTTTCCTATACTGACTTGATGACGGACTAACCTGTGTGCAGACAGCTGTGTTCAAGAATCAGATCGACTGGATACCTCTCTCCACGGGCTCTGTCCGTCCAACTCAAGGCCGTACGCTAGCGATTGCTCAAGTCAGTGGTGGTTCGCAGTCATTCAACACGGTAAACTCTTTGCGCATTCTCGGTCGATGGATGCGCATGTTTGCGATTCCGAACCAGAGCTCTATACCCATGGCGTATAAGCAATTCACAGAGGAAGAACATGGAAGCAGACTAATGCCGAGCGGCAACAGAGATCGACTCGTTGATTGTATGGAGGAGTTCGTAAAGTACACGATTGTGATGCGGCCACATTTCGATCTGTTTGGAGATAGATATAGCGAAAGGGAAGAAAAACGAGTGAAGGAGGAAAAAGCCAAGAGGTTGGAGATTAGAGATGTTACAGTATCGAACACAATGTAGAACTTTAGTAACGCGGGGTAACAGCCAATGACCTCGCAAGGTCTGGGTATGACTAGACGAATTAGATCGAAGCGGTGACATATCGATATTTATGTTGTACAAGCTTTCCATGTCCCGACTTCGAAACGTCCCATCCTAGTCCTGGACTTACGCTACCCTCTTCGTACAGTCGGAAGCCAATATGGCACCTCATTCGCCAAGTCAGCCAGCAGCAGTGACGTGCGAAATTCAGGATCATCAGTACGACAACAACACAGCTGAAGCAAGCCCTCCAGATGGTGGCTACGGTTGGGTCTGCGTCGGCGCATGCTTCGCCATCAATTGTTTCACCTGGGGTGCAGTCTCAGTACGGTTTGCCTTTACACACTCACCATGGAAAATACTTAATTACTGATTCTTACAGGCATATGGCATCTACCTGTCACATTACCTGTCGGACAACATATTCCCCGAAGCATCGACTTGGGACTATGCGTTCATCGGAGGCTTCAATTTCGCCATTGCCATGCTCATAGCTCCTGTCGTCACCATTCTGACGAGAAGATTTGGGACTCACATAGTCATGTCCATTGGCATAGTATTACAGTGTGCAGGGTTCATCTCGGCATCATTCGCACATCGAATATGGCAACTACATGTTTCCCAGGGCGTTTTGATCGGTGCAGGCATCGGCTTCCTCTATATCCCTGCGCTACCAATCCTGTCTCAATGGTTCGTACAGAGACGCAGTCTGGCCAACGGCATCAGCTCCGCAGGCTCTGGTGTCGGTGGTGCGTCCTTCACATGGGGCACAGAAGCAATCATTCAGCGTTGGGGAATCAGCTGGGCCTTGCGCATTACAGGGCTCATTGCACTTGTCGCGCAGTTCATTGCCATTAGTCTCATCCGGGACCGGAATCGAGTGATACAACCAACTCAGCTTGGTTTTGACACGAAGCTTCTTCGACGATATGAAGTATTGCTATTACTCGCTTGGGCTTTTACGAGTATGTTCGGGTACGTCGTCCTTCTATTCTGTCTGTCTGACTTTGCACTCTCCATTGGGCTTTCTCGACCACAGGCTACAGACATCATTGGCCTGCTTAATGTAGGAACAGCCATCGGTAGACCGCTCATTGGCATACTCAGCGACCGTTGGAGTCGGATCGACACCGCAGGTGCCCTAACGCTACTGTGTGGCATTTCTTGTTTTGCATTCTGGCTTCCTGCAACGTCTTATGGGCTCACGGTATTCTTCGCCATACTCTGCGGAGCGATCCTGGGTGTGTTCTGGATGGTGAGTCATCTCAAATTGCAGGAAATATGATCGAGGCAGACACTGACTGCAAATCGCGAAGACGATTGGTCCGTTATGTGTCGAAGTTGTTGGAATCAAGGATTTACAGTCACTATTGTCCTTGTCATGGGCTTCCGTTATCATCCCAGCTTTAGGTACGTGCCGTGCTTTGACTTGAATTCAAGGGCTTTCTCTTTGCCAAAACTTACACTTTGATGCAGCTTCCGAGGGTATTGCACTCAAATTCAGACGTAGCACTGCTTCGAGAAAGTATTTGTATGTTCAGATTTTCGCTGGACTTGCATATATAGTCGCTAGTGGATTCATGCTTCAGCTTCGGAGGGTCAAGCGTCGACAAGTTCGGGAACACACGGTATAAGATGTTGAATTACTTAGTCTATAGTCATGACGTATTCGCATATGATGAGAAGAAGGAACGCGCCTCTTCAGAAGTAAACGACGAACAAAATTGCTTAAATCCGCTATTGCCGAAGAACATCACCTCCACACTCCACACTTCCCCAGCTCTTCCAATACCGTAGCCACAATTATGGCGAAGAAGGTAAGTCAACAACATCGCATCTTGGTGCATCACACGACTGAGGACCTCCTAGGGCGACGATACGGCATCTGCTCTACGCATCCGGGAGAATCAGCGCCGGTCACGCAACCGCCGCAAAGAGCTGATTGACGAGCTTCAGGGGCGCATCCAAAAGTACGAGCGCGAAGGTGTCGCAGCTACGCAGGAAATGCAACGCGCTGCACGTAAAGTTGCTGAGGAAAATGCGCGATTGCGAAGTCTTCTTGCACACCATGGTATCTTGCAAGATGAGGTAGATGCCTTTCTGCGATCTTGTGACGAGCCCGCATTGCCAAATGATGCTTCACTCAATACATCAGTACCGTCAGCGCAGCAACCAGGCGCAGTGCCTGTGAATGCGCTGGTTACAGCCCCCAATGAAGCACAATTCTCCGACAACGGGCATGGCCATCCCAATATCATCAACATTATCGGCAATACGAATCATCTTCATACCTTAGAAAACTGGAGTGCTCCCTCGATTGCCGCTCCACAATTCCTGAAGCATCCGGACTCTGTTCTGCTGCCTGGAGTACAAGACAGAAGCCCATCTTCGCAACACACTACAATCAACCATCACGAATCCCAAAGCAGCAATGCAACTGAAGAACCACACTGTCCAACAACCTCCGAATGTTTCTGCCCGCCCACAACCGCACCCACAATCCGCCCAACTAGCAACGGTCTCGAGATATCCTGCGAAACAGCCGCTACCATCATCGTCGAAATGCGCGGCGACGGCGACGTAGATTCCATCCGTGCCTCGCTAGGCTGCACCAGCCGTGAAGAATGCAGTGTCAGAAACTCGACTGTGCTGCAAATCATGGACGAGGGCTGAACAACCCCAGCGGATAGATGATTGCCAAAACTTTTTCCGCTGCGAGTCCCGCTCCGCTCGGCTAACATTCTCTCGCCACGACGCCACGAGACATGAACCAGCGCTTGGACCATTCTTCACGGCGAGGCACCACTCCTCACAGCCCCTTTGCAAGCACATCCTTCGGACATGTACAACAACCACTCTTTCGCTTCCGTGCAGGATCGGCAAGCCCTTGCACAACATCGTGCGAACGACGTGGCCAATCGTGTCGCGTTGTTATTTCGGGTTTCAACGTGCATTAGCGCCGGGGACAAAGGGCACGCTTAGCTGGAACGTGGCTGATACGGCGAGGTCGTTGTGATTGGTGCAGTCGGAACGTGATCGGTCGGAGTTCGTGCCGTGCGACTGTGCGGGCTGTATGTTACGGTATTGTAAATTACTCGTGTAGATTCTCGAGATGGGACGAGTGCTGGCCTGATGGTGGGTTGAGTTCGGTGATGGAGTAATAGCTTCATAGACTTGCCTTAGGCAGAGACGAGGCGGGTCTATATGTTAGTGCTTGAAAGGCGTTTTCTACGAGAGGTGCATGAAGTCGCACGATAGACGTGTGTTGAACTACGGTCTGGTAGTTACAGATTCGGAGGAACACTGTTGACTCGATAATTGAAGAAGGAGGAGATCATCGAATTGTGCACTAATTTATTGATGACATGTTTGTTCTGCAAATTGATTTTGTGAAGTAGTCGCAATCGTGAAGCCGAAGCGACGAGACTGAATGTGTAAATATTTGCACAGGACCACCAGTACCTAAGAGAATTGTTCTTTCATATGTAGAACTCTGATGCGTGATGCGCCAGAGACAGAGTTTGGGCATTTTCATGTCGATAGTGGTGAGCGTTGAGAAGCACTAGATTTAAGTCGTAATTGCTATTTCGTGCAATTGGATGAAGATGCAGTCTCACAGAACGCCTCGATGCAAGTATAAAAGATGAGGAATAGATATCGTAAAGTTCTCTAATCTTCACCCAGTGTTGCAAATTATCTACACACTAGACCAAAGATATATACAAAGAAAGAAAAAGAAAGTCTATATGTACACCTCTCAACAAACTCCACGCAATGCACGACTCCATCAACCTCCCTCCTTAACCACCTCACCTCCCCGAACTCGTGCCATGACTCATCAAACTAATCCTATCCCCCGTATCATGCAGTAGACTCAACGTACTGTGTCCCCAATCTCTATTCTCTCCCTTCTGTGTCTGATACAACTCTTTGAAAGCAGAGTCTCTCGCCAACAAAGTCTGCGGATTGTCGCTTTCCAACACCCGCCCTTGATCTAAGACGAGCACAGCGTCGAAGTCAATAATAGTATCCAGACGATGCGCAGCCGCGATAATGGTATGGTGCTTGAACTCCGTGCGGATTATGTCTTGCATCAACGCGTCGGTATGTACATCGACGGAGGCGGTGGCTTCGTCGAGAATGAGGATGGAGGAGCGGCGCATCATTGCGCGTGCGAGACAGAGGAGTTGGCATTGGCCGTGCGAGAGCATGTCAGAGTTGAGTTTGGCGTGGAGACCGATATCAACGTCGTCGAGGAGATGGCTAAGTTGGACGCGGCGGAGGGCACCGATGACTTGCTCGTCTGACATGATGCTTAAAGGGTCGACGTTCTCGCGGATGGTGCCGGCGAGAACGTAGGGGTCTTGTGGGAGGGCGATGAGATGGCTGCGTACAAGTTGGCGGGGTAGCGTTGCAATATCCAGACCATCGATGACAATCTGGCCGGATGATAGATCCATCATGCGTAGGAGAGCAGCAATGAGAGACGATTTTCCTGAGCCGGAACGGCCGACCAACGCGAGCTTGGTACCTGGTGGGACGGCGAAGGAGATGTCGTTCAGTGTAGCTTTCTTCGACTTCTTGTGCGAAGCAACGACGCTGCGGAACTCGATGCCGCCAAACCTCGGCCAGTTCTCTGGCGCAGGTTTATCTTCACCAGGTAAATTCTCGGTCTCGACTGCAGCAGTAAAGGCACGAACACGCGCAAGAGCACCCATGGAGGTCTCGAGCAATGTCCATGCAGTGATAAGTTGCTTCAGCATCTGGGAGAATCCGACGAGGTTGGTGAGAGCGAGCGCCGTCATGCCAGGATCGACCGTTCCCTTGGTCTTGATAGCGATAGTAACCAGCAAAACGGCCATACCACCAATTACCATGTCCAGAATCATATTGAGCCACCTTTGTACACAGTATAGAAGATAGAATGGCCGTTGAGCTTTCTTGAGCATGTCCAGAAAGCGTGACAAGTGCTGGAACTCCCACTGGAAAGCACGAACTGTGACAAGTCCGCTCAGCATCTCAAGGAACTGCGTACCGAGGTATGCCTTCGTTTCGATATCGAGGATACGAAGGCGGCGAGAAGTGCGCAGGTAGTATATCTGGAGGAAGTATACGACGACTAAAATAGCTGGCATAGCGACACCAACCCACTTTGCTGACGCCAAGATAACGCATAGCTGGGCAAGCAAAAGGAAGAGGTTCATTGCCGTCTTGATGAGTGCGACTGGTAGTTCCATGTCTATGAGCTCCAGATCTTGGCTGAAGCGGTTGGCGGTAATACCGGTATCCGTGCTGCTAAAGAATGACATTGGCGCATTGAGCACTGTGTCAAGCAATCTTTGGTGCAGTTGACGACCAGCTTGTGGCGTCATAGTCATGATAAGGATCCAGCATGCCATCACTAGGGAGCCGAGACCGAGAACAGCCAGGAATAGGTACATGCCGAGATAGTGGGCAATGCGATCATTCGGATGCTCTTGGTTGTGAGTTGTCCACCATTTGACCCATACATCTGAATTTTGATTAATATCTCAAGACTAGTGCTGGTGTGGTAACTTACTTGGGAATGCAGTGCCAAATCCGTACAGCGCACAAAAGAAGCAAAAGACGAGCCATCGTAGCCATCCAAAGGTGCCAATGTAATACCCGTAAATGGTAAAGTCACCAGCACCATTCTCTTCTTCAATCTTCTCCTGCATCTTTGAGTGAAGCAGCGATTGTTTAAAGCCCCTGATCTCGTGACGGTCACCGTGCTTCTGAACAGTGCGTCCGCCATTTCTCGTCAGATTACTGACATAACCACCCTGTTGGCGAAGCTCATCAAAGGTACCTTGCTCAACTATCGTGCCATCAGAGCCGAGAGAGATGATGTGGTCGGCCTGAGAGAAACGATGAACAGCGTTGGTGACGTAGATGACTGTAGTGTCAGTGCCTCGCAGCAGCCCATTCTCGCCTAGGACGGACTCAAATACGTGCTCTTCAGTGGATGCGTCGAGACCGCACATAACGTCGTCAATGAGTACGATGGATCGGCGGAAGTATATTGCCCGAGCGAGTGCTACACGCTGTTGTTGACCACCAGACAGACTTAGGCCCTTACTTCCCACAATTGTCTCGTCTCCGAGCGGCATGATCGATATATCTGTTTCTAGATCGCAGGCCTGAATAACTGTGTTGTACCAAATCGGATCGAGGTCGGAGCCGTGAATGATATTGTCTCTGAGCGTACCGTTGACTAGCCACGCACTTTGACTACAGTAAGCGACTTCCGTGAAGAATGAACGTCGAAACCCTTTAGCGACAGGCATTTCGCCGAGTATCGCCTTCAGCAGTGTCGACTTCCCGCTGCTGACCGGCCCAACGATCATTGTCATACTCCCTTCCGGAACCTTGAAGTTTAGGTTCATGAGCGTTGGCATCTTTGTTCGATCCCAACCGCAGCTGGCGTTCTCAGCTACAATACAATTCCTTGTTTCGTGTACTGAGGCGAGCGTAGCATCATCACTACTGAGGTCCGACTCCTGACAAGAAATCGCGGCTCGCTTCTCCGAAGACTGTTTCCCTGGTCGCTGTGACGATCCTGCCACGGATGGTAGCTCTTCGACTTCTTCTGTGATGTTTGCTAGATTGAGCGCAAATTGCGAATACGCCGGAGGAGGGGAGGGAAGTGGACCATCCGGCCTGCCTGGTCGTGAGTGGCGTGACCGGTACAGCGAGAGCTCATTACGAGTTTCCGTGACGAGATACTGACGAATGCGTTCCATGCAGCTCATCGTATTTATCAGGCCAGATAGAGCAGTGATGAAGAATGAGACTGGCTCAAGGGTTAATTGCAGCAACACGAGCGATGTTAGTCCGCGTGCCAATGTCAGAGCAGGATATCCGTGGTATTTGGCCATGAAGATGTATGTTCCCAATGCAATGACGGGACTAAATGAAGTGCTTGCATACGCTATATCTCGTCAGCACTTTAGCATTCAAAGCCTTAAGATCAAGTACTCACAGCAAGCTGTAATCTTAACTAGCATTCCACGGAACGTCCTGGCAGTGCGGATCTCATCCTCTCGGAGATCGTGAATCTTCTTTCCAAGGTCTGGTGTAAGTCCAGTCATCTTCACAGCCTTCATTGCACCCAGCATCGAAGCAGTCGAATCTACACGAGCCTGAATCTTATCAAGCCACGTCTTCTGCGAGGAGGCCAGTTTGGGCGAAGACGCGATGGCGATACCCGTGCAAAGAAAGATGACACCGAGCGGCGTGAGAGCAGCCCAGCTTATCTGTTCATACAGGAGATAGACTGCTAGGGCAATTTCGTACAAGCTTGCCCAGAGCTCTTGCGATTGGCGTAGACCGACCGTGATACGTTCAACGTCGGCGTTCATCAAGGTCACTGCCTCAGACTCGGCAAGCGCGGACGTACTCATACCAAGGGTCTCCTTATAGATAACGCCAATAAGCGAGCCGCGAAGCTTTGAGATACTTCGATAATTACGGTGCTGATGCATCGAATTCGTAAGGCCGAAGCCGAAGTAGACAAGGACGTAAGACGCGATGAGTCCGTTCCCTATGGCTGGACGATTGGCATAGTCATATGTCGTCAGATATCTAAGAGTACGCTGTAAGAGGAATGGTTGACTGAAATTGAATGCGCTGAAACATATGCGAGGCAGTATGATCGAGGAAAAACTTCGCCAATGGTGTCGAAAAGCGAGTTTGAACAGGGCATTTGGCCTGTCCTTGTACGGGTCTGTGAGCAGTCAGTAATGCATCTTACTCATGGAAGTGCAACGTCAACCTACACTTCTCCCATCTTTCGGCGAAGGCGAGCAAGTTCTTCTCGCCTACAATCTGTTCTTGGACTTCGAACAGATCACTCTCGTTGAGAGGCTTGTTGTAGCCCTTTAGAAGTAGTGGATTGACCCAGAAAAACGTCAGACGGTTGAAGAAGTTCGCCGTCGACTCTGGCGCGGGAAATGCTTTGGGGTCTATTAGCCAAGCGCGCTTTTCTTTTAACTCAAGCAAGACGAGGCATAGCTTCACACCAGCCGATACGGCTTGCATGTAAGCTAATGGCTTTCCGTGTTCGATTGCAATGAGTGATCGCACTTTAGCGACATCAAAGACCCACGTAACCACCAGATATATACCGATTGGAGAGGATGGTCGCGCATTTCGGTAGTGCTCGAAGTTCGACGTGACGGCAAGAACGAAGGTCGCGAAAAGTGTGGTAACGGCACTAGCGATGGTGGTGTTCGTCTTGATGGTGTCGGGCATAGCAATAGCGCCTAGCATGAGGACCTGTATCGCGCCATAGAGAATGTAAAGTGCCTGCACGAGATGATGAGTGATGAAACAGACAATGAGCAGGCGAACGATACATACCTGCTTTGCGAAGTGCCATCGTCCTCCATCAACAATGATCGATGTCTTGTTTGTTCGATATAGCCTAACGATGAGAAACGGAAGTACGAAAGCGAAAGGCACTATCGAGAGGAAAGTCTCCTCGAAGAACAGTGTGAAGTCAAACCCCCCATGGCAGTATGCATTAGTTGGTCCAAACTGCTGTTGTGTCTCTATCGTGCACTGATTTTTATGATTCTTGATATCAAGGAAACGAAATGAATGTGACATGTTGTTGGCCGGGGTAGCCCAAACAAGTTGTGTAACCTGAGATGAGTTCAACATGTAAAAGAGCGAAAAGGGACCGAATGCAAGGAAAGGGTCATGGAGTACTTTTGACACCAACTGCGTGGAACATGTACCGTCATTCGTACCATCAGTGTACCCGAAGAAGGCTCAGCTAAGCCAGGAAACAGCTGGCTTGGCAGTGCCGGTGCTATACTTTCGAACTCATCTTTGATGACACTCGGTCCCAGTTTGGCATGCGGCATTGCACAGTAGCGGACTTTACGTGTTGGTACAGCATGGCAGCAACTGAGGTGTGAGCATGGCAGTCCAAACTTCTTCGGAGGAGCAACTGTGCAGTTGGTCCGACAGCCACAGTTGAAACGATCCCCGAAGGCAGACTGAGCCACACATTGACCCGCTTTGCCTTAGCGTCGGTGAAATGACCAGCGACTATGAGAACCAGAGCACGAGCCCTGCTGCCATGTGCTTGCAAGGATACCAGGTGGCGGGCTCGTGCCAAATTCCGTACATCTGGAAACGATACCCGTGAGAGACCACAACTGCGGGATTGACCGGGTTCAAACTAACTTTCGCGCTAGAACACTTGTTCGGGGTCCGATGCGGCCAGCTGGAGATCTATGGGGCCCTGGCTATCAAGTGGATCACTCCTGACATGGTTCGGGTGATGCTGATGCTGATGCTGATGCTGCGACGCGGTTTCTGCCGGAACAGCTATCTGCGCAGTATCGGACCGCCTGTAATCCGACCGAACGCAGGTCCTATATGGGATACGCTACCAATCCTAGGAGAAAACAGGTGTTGCAGCTGGGATGGAAGTAGCGGTCGGTTGGGTGGAAGCAAGTCGGGGTTCGTCTCGTGTCAACGTTCCCCGAGCATGATGACCAATGTTGACGTAACCTCGCGCTACTCTCAATCGGGCTAGAGCATCCTGCTTAGTTTGCCAGCATGTCATTGGTGACGGTGAAATCATACTGTTGAGACGAAATAGATTGTCATCGCTGTTTGTTGAAGTCGTTATTCCGAATCATGGGGAAAATCCACGTACATGTTCATAGTCAAGCGGAAGGCATTTACATGTTCACAGAACATCGTTTAATCAACAAAAATATTTTGAATGCGCCAAGCCGCTCTATGCAAAGTGTCTATGGATATGTACATTGGAAAGAAAATCTAAGTGATGACCATATGGGAGAAAGCGTTCGAATTAAGCCCAACAAGTTATGCAACAGCTGGCTTTACGATTCTCGGCCTGAACCTCAACATCGGGCCCTCTTTTGCTGAAGTGATGTGATCCCTGAGCTGATACTCGCTTGCCCTATGCCTTCCATAAACGCTCCCAGGCTTTCCACCTGCGGTGTCCGTGTCTGCCATCTTGAAGTCCATTCTGAACAGTACTACGGCGAAAGTGGCCATCATCTCAACGAGCGCAACACCCTTACCCATGCACGAGCGCGGACCAACGGAGAAAGGGTTGTACGCAGCATACATGTCGGAGACTTGCTGGCTGGCACCTTCTTTCTCAACCATCCATCGCTCTGGGTTGTAGTTGAAGGGATCAGAGTAGATGTCTTCCTTGTGGTGGATGGCGTATATTGGCACGCCGACGTCACAACCGCCGGGAATGAAGTCGCCGTCGACAACAGCTCCCCCTACCGGTACCTCGCGCGCAAGTGTTTGGCCGACGGAAGGAGACATGCGCATAGCTTCGTCAATGCACGCGCGGAGGTAGCGACAACTGTTCAATTTTGCACCGCCTTGGATGTCTTCCACGGAGTCGAATGTAGAGCGGACTTCAGCTGCGGCACGAGCGTACGCGTCGGGATTGCGAGAGAGATAGAAGAAGATGGCTGCCATGGCCGTGGCGGATGTGTCGGCACCGGCGACAACAAGGGTGACACTCTCCGCAACAATCTCTTCGGGTGTGAAGCCATTGCCAGACTCGGGGTCCTTTGCGTGTGACAGCATCTCAAATAGATCCTTGCGCTGGCTGCGGTCGTTCTTCTTTGTGTCGCGAAGGAGCTTTCCGACGAAGCCGAGGAACATATTGCGCGCTACAATGGCGCGAGGGAAAAGGATCTTGTCTATGCGGAACGCCTTAAGGATGGGTGCTTGAAGGATCGAAGAGACGCGAATGTTTGACTGCTCGATGCATTGTACAACATAGCGGTACTGTTCACGCTCGAGCATATTGTACTTGCCGCTAAAGATGAAGGTAGCCATGAGATCGAACGCTAGGTAGTTACACCACTCTGACATGTTTCGTGAGGTATTCCATTTCTGGTTCTCAAGAGCATTGTGCGATTGCCCGCATTCCCTGGCTTGGTGTTCTTCTTCGACGGTCTGGATCATACGGTCACAAAATCGATTGATGATCTCGTACATATAAGGCTCGAAGGCGCGAAGGGTAGAGTCTGACAAACCCTGCTGGATGACACGTCTGCGGCGACCATGGTCTTTTCGGTCGCGGACAGTGAGAGTATTGGTTGCCTGATGAACCATTGCGGCATAATTCTTGCTCTTAAGATAGGGCTTCCCGTCTTTGTAGATATCTATGTAGGCATCAGCATGAGTTCGAGAAGTGAACAGATGTTCTGCATACTTTTTAAACCCATGACTGTATTGATATTGAGGCGATTGGGAGCATATCGTACTTTGTCGCCGTAGACTTGATGGCATCGCCACATGTCCAGATGAATGTCACCCTTCCATGCATGATAGCCTGCATACAAGTCGGTGAACTTAGCCAGATATGGGCCCGGATATCTGGCGTAAGGATGAAAGTAGACATTGTAAATAATATTGCAGATAATATAAGAAAGTAGACCGGTGCCAAAGATTGCTAATGGAAGCTTCAGACTGCGCACAGTTGAGAATCGCTCGACTACTGAGGCAATGTTCCGCAATGATAGTATGCCAGGAACAGGTGTCCCGAACTCGAGGGTGGTCGACATTGGATCGAGATGGTATGAGCTAGAACAAACAAACTGTATGAAGAGGACGAAAATGTAAAGGCGCTGATTACCAAGGAAGCCTGTTATGATGTTCTCCACGATATATGCTTTCTGGCTGTAGGATATACACAGGGAAAACTACATAGCCCGATCATGCGCCTCCTGGTTTCTTTACTAGTCGATACTGCACAGTTGTCTGAAATTGAGCCACGATGTGCAAAGTTGAACGGACAATTGAGCTGTGCGATTCGTGTTTGACAGCTATCAGCTGAGCTGAGCGGCTATCATTACCGTATGGAGGTAGCACCGTCACTATGCTCCATACCATGCAAAGTCCGTAGTGTAGGCTGTAATAGTTCTGTGCGGAGTCGCACAGCACAGACCGCTCCTCTCGACTCAACAGCCCAGCCTTCGACCATTCCAGATGTGTTAGCGTCTACACACATGTAGTCCCAGAATTTCACTCCATGTTGAAAGCCACGCCCTTGAGGTACATCGATCGGTTTTTTGTAGGTGATATCGCTCATAACGGACCGATCGTGATCTATGTATGATGTGACGGTGCATCTCCAACGCTTAGGTAGCACTTGTAGAGGACTGGACAGCTACAATGCATGAATCGGGCCAGTATTGCAGTCTGTCAACGTGATTGAGGTCCAAAGGTTAGAGCGATGCTGTAAAGTGCACGTGCGAGACGCAGGAACACCCGAGTTTGGTTTGCCCGGTGAGTGCGCCATCCTTGGAGGTCGGACTTGGTGAGATCATAGGGTCCTAGCGAGTTTCAGATCGTATCCAGTGGTCGACTCGTAGCGGAGCCAAGCGGTCGAAATCAGCGGCGGCGGAATTCGGGGGTGGGAGAAGCATAGTGACCTAATGGGGCTAGCCTGGGAGCGCTGAGATTAGACCACCACTACAAACGCGCTCATCGTGGAGTCCAAGCGTGCCAGCTCGGGATTGTGAGAGAAGAGATATCTTCCTCGAGAACTCCAAAAGTCCACAATAGAATTCCAGTGTGCTCTTCTGCCGATCTTTGTCGCTCAATACACCACGCAAACGACCACTAGTTGCCCAAGCTCACCTATATCATCACTGCTGCTTTGCGCTATTAGTCAAAGTCCAGCAAACATGACTGACACATACGAGAATTTTTCAAAGCGGCAAGAGTTATGCCATACACTTCTCATCGAGCTTCTCGCGTATGCCTGTTCTCTTTTCTGTGGTATCTGGGTTTAGCTGACTCTTCATAGACACCAATTCTGCTCGCCGGTGAGATGGACGGAAACACAAGATCTGCTTCTCTCCGGGTTCCGAACACGAAAGACGGTGGAGATCGGGCCAGCGGAGACATTGACGACGATGATGAAGCGCACAAGAGACCTCGTGTATCGACCATACGATACTGCGAACTCGGTGACACGCGACTTCTTGAGTCTAAAGAAGAATCGCGATGAAGTGTATTACGTTGGCCAGGAGAAAGAAGTGAAGGTATCGCCGAAGAAGGAAGCAGCGGCGAGCCCCGCTCCAAGCGAGGCCGCCCCAGTAGTCGCGCCACAGCAAGCCGCCAGCCCTGCACCCGCCCCCATCTCCGCCGGACCCATTGAAGACGCGCCTGTTCAGACGGGCGAAATCATTCGTACCATCGTTTCGATTGCGTTGAAGAAGCCTGCGAAGGATGTCGCGTTCGACCAGTCCGTCAAGGCTCTCTGTAAGTAGTAACGCGTAACGACGCCACTAGACATTGTGGCTAACACTTCACAGCTGGAGGGCGCTCAACTCTCCAGAATGAGATTACAGGAGATCTTGATGCTGAATTCGGCTCAGCGCCAGATGGTGCAGAAGAATTGCCGCTGGGGGAGCTTGCCTCTATCCTCCAGAAGAGCTTCTCAGGCTCACTGGGTAAGCGTACCAAGTCTCTAGTGGAGAAATTCACAGGTTCGAAGATGCCTGGAGGCTTCAAAGTCCGTGAGATGCTGCAGAGCGACTATGGGTTTGGCCCAGGCAGACAAGACTCGATCCTGCTTATGGCACTGCAAAGTCCACCAGCAGCCCGCTTGGGATCCGAAGCAGATGCTAAGACCTTCTGGTCAGGCATAGTAAATTCTTATGTAACTGCCGCCGGACTCGAGCTCAATAACACCTCTGTTGGCGCACCTGGATCCGCAGCTGTTGCTGTCGCAGTCGACTCGAAGGCTTTAGACGCGCTAAATAAACGCTCCGATTACTTCCATCGTGAAGTTTACGAAGCGTATGCGCGCCATCTTGGGGAGGACAACAACGCTGCAGCTGAGGAAGTTGCCCAGCTAAAGAGCGACATGCAGAGTATGCAAAATGAACTCGATCTATGGAACCTTGAGCATGGGAACGAATATGCTAATGGCATTAAACCATACTTCGACAAGAGGAAGGCCCGAGTGTACGATTCCTTCTGGAACTGGGCTCTACAGGATGTCTTCAAAATCTACCACGGCATCCGCCAGGGGTATTTGCATCTCGAATCGGACGACGTAACGCGAAGACGCCATCATCTCCTCAATCGATCTAGCAAGCGCTTGACCAATGTCCTAATGCATATGATTCAAGATATGAAGACGCAGTCAGCACGCTCCATTGCCACCGAGCTTTGGTTCGAGGATCTTCTCCAAGACTGCACCGCCGCCTTGAGACAAGCGCCTACATACGTGGCCGATAGCCAGATTACGGCTCCTCGTACAACTATCGATGCTAAAGGCTCCATCAACTTCACCGAGGCATCCATCGCGCGTGTACAAAGGGTCGCCCGTGCTTCTGGAGGTGTACTTACCAAGAGCAAGGATTTCGAGGATGGCATTATCTCGATGAACGGCAAGGGGCCACTACCGACCCAGAGAGGCCTCGGATTCATGCCTCCCACCCCATCGCTGACTCCTGACCTGTCCATGAGTCCTTCATGCAGGTCACCCGAATCTGACGCAGTATCAATCTCAGGGACCGCGCCCTCTCGCGGTACATACTACCCCAAGATACAGCAAAAAGCAGCTGGATTCTGGAATGATGCAGAAGACCTCAGTACTCAATATGCTGATGTGCTTGACCAAGCGACCTCGTCAGGTCTTGCCTTCCAGGGAAAGTCAGTCCTCGTCACCGGCGCCGGAAAGGGTTCCATTGGCGCGAACATTGTAAAGGGACTGTTGTCCGGAGGTGCCAGAGTCATTGTCACTACAAGCTCCTATGCTAAAGCGACCAAGTTCTATCAGCAGCTATTCCGCATGTATGGTTCCAAGACTTCTTGTCTCATGGTCGTTCCATACAATGCAGGTAGCCACCAAGATACCGAAGCAGTGATAGAGTACATCTACAGCCTTGCAGATGGCGAATGGGATTTGGACCACATCATTCCATTTGCGGCTATTTCTGAGACTGCCAACGGCATTGAGCTGGGTCCTAAATCAGAGTTGGCGCACCGCATGATGCTCACGAACACCCTTCGCTTGCTTGGCGCCGTCAAGAAGGCAAAGGAAGCTCGCCACATCACTACTCGACCAGCTCAAGTGATATTACCATTGTCGCCCAATCATGGCGTCTTCGGTGGGGATGGCCTCTACTCCGAGTCGAAGCTTGGTCTTGAAGGTCTCCTGAACAAGTGGCACACGGAAGACTGGTCCGAGTACCTCTCAGTGTGTGGCGCCATCATCGGCTGGACGCGCGGCACTGGCCTCATGAACGACAACAACATGGTCGCTGAAGGTGTCGAGGCGCTAGGACTGAAGACCTTCTCTCAGGACGAGATGGCTATCAACATTATGGGCTTGATGGTTTCGCCGGTCTTGGAATTCACTCATGAAGAACCTATCCTTGCTGACTTGAGCGGCGGGATGAGCGCAGTACCAAATCTCAAAGAGCAGATTGCTGACATCCGTAAGGAGCTGTCAGACATCAGTTCTAGTCGCCGTGCTCTCGTCAAAGAGCAGCAAGCTGAGTTTGACATGCCACTCGTCAATGCGAAGCCCACCACTCTTGCTCCGTTCAAGAAGCGCGCCAACATCAAGTTCGAATTTCCCCGACTTGCCGACTACAGTTCTGAAATCGAGCATATATCATCTTTGGAAGGCATGATTGATCTTGACAAGGTCGTGGTTGTCACTGGCTTTGGCGAGGTTGGCCCTCACGGCAGCTCTCGCACCCGCTGGCAGATGGAGTCTTTCGGCCAACTCACATTGGAAGGCTTCATCGAGATGGCCTGGATGATGGGACTCATTGAATACCAGACCGGTGAAGGGCAGCCCTATAGTGGCTGGGTTGAAAAGGGCACGAAGAAACCCGTTAATGACGACGAAATCAAACAGAAATATGAGGAACACATCTTGAAGCATAGCGGAATTCGAATCCTAGATGCACGTGCGCTCGACGGCCCTGATCCAGCGGCTAGACAAGTCCTTCATGAGATCGACCTACAGCATGACTTTGCACCTTTCGAGGTCTCCAAAGAAACCGCTGCCGATCTGCTTCGTGAGAATGGCAACAAAGTCACCGTTAAGCCTGCCGCGGGAGGTGACACTTGCATTGTCACTCTGCATAAGGGAGCTCGCCTCTTGGTGCCAAAGTCTCTGGCCTTCGACCGGACCGTTGGTGGTCAAGTTCCAACTGGCTGGGACCCTCGCGTTTACGGTATTGCCGAGGATATTGTCAACCAAGTTGATCCGGCAACTTTGTACGCATTGGTTTGCACCGCCGAAACTCTCCTCTCGGCTGGCATCACAGATCCGTACGAGTTCTATAAATACATTCACGTCTCGCAGCTTGGCGTGTGTGTCGGATCTGGCTTTGGTGGTGCCGCATCCCTGCAGGGCATATACAAGGAGAGGTTCATGGACAAGGCGGTGCAGAACGATGTCCTAGCTGAGTCTTTCATCAACACCGGTAGTGCATGGATCAATATGTTGTTGCTCTCATCTTGTGGACCTAACATCACGCCCGTCGGCGCGTGTGCTACCGCACTGGAGTCCCTCGATGTTGGTGTTGAGGTCATATCTAGTGGCAAGGCCAAGGCTGTCTTTGTTGGCGGCTACGACTATCTCGCTAAAGATGTAGCCTACGAATTTGCTAACATGAAGGCAACGATCAACACTGACGAAGACTTTGCTCGGGGCCGCACAGCTGCGGAGATGTCTCGGCCTGCTACTACAACTCGTGCCGGGTTTGTTGAGTCTGAAGGTTGCGGTATTCAGCTTCTGACAAGCGCGAAGCTCGCTCTGGAGATGGGCTTGCCTATTCACGGAATCATAGCCTTGACGCGTACTGCGAGTGACAAAGCAGGCCGATCACTTCCAGCACCTGGTCGGGGAACAATCAGTTTCAGTGGAGCATCTAAAGGCAACTTCGATTCACCGCTGCTGAACATCAGTTATCGCAAGCGCCAAATTGAGCTTCGCATGACTCAGATCTTGGAGAACGAGCAATCTGAGATCGCGTATCTCAACGAGGAGCTGGCGGGGTATAAAGCTGGCTCAGTCGATTTCGACATCGATGCTTATCGTCAACATCGCCTAGACGCCGTGCTCACCGAGACTAAGAAGCAACGTTCGGATGTGCTCAACAGCTATGGAAATGAATTCTGGAAGCGAGATTCGAAGATCTCACCAATGCGCGGTGCACTTGCGACATGGGGTCTCACGATTGACGACGTCTCAGTTGCATCTTGTCATGGAACATCGACTGTAAAGAATGAGCTGAATGAGTGCGGTGTCATTCAGGAGCAGATGAACCAACTGGGTCGTTCCAAGGGCAACCCGGTCTTCGCTGTCTTTCAGAAGCACCTCACTGGCCATCCTAAGGGCGCGGCGGCTGCATGGATGCTCAACGGAGCCCTACAAATCATGGACTCCGGCTTGATTCCAGGCAACCGCAATGCAGACAACATCGACATCGAGCTCGAGAAGTTCGACCACATTGCTTTCCCTAGCGAGACCATCCACACGTCGCAGGAAGTCAAGGCCTTCATTGTTAGCTCATTTGGCTTCGGCCAAAAGGGTGCACAAGCCATAGGCATTCACCCCAAGTACCTGTTCGCAGCTGCGGGCAAAGAAGCATACGCGACGTATCAAGACAAGGTTCGCAAGAGGCAGGACAAGGCATATCATCACTTCCACAAGTCGATGATGACGAATAGTATGTTCCAAGCCAAGGATAACCCGCCTTACGGCAAAGAGATGGAGACCGAGTTCCTCACGAACCCTGATGCCAGGCTTCCGATGGATATGGAGCTGTGAGGTTGGGATTGAGATCTTTCAGTTTTTTTTTGTACATACAACACCTTTTCTTCCTTTCATGTACTTTGCAAGGCATTACTGCCTCATTGCGTCCCGTGTTTAGTTTCATTTTACTTTTAGACATAGAAGGTTTTAGGCTCGTAATAATGCGTTCATTTTTGTATATAAAGCAACGCACTGTTGAGATCTATTGTTTAGTACCTATAATTGACCATGCTCCACTCAACAGTTTATACTTGAACTCCTCGATCTAGCGATCGCGGCGACTTCCTCTACCCCCAAAATGTCTTTCTCCAGGACGAGAGACTTGGGGAATGTCTTTGTTGATACAATCAGTACTAGTGACAACCGTGTGTGTGTATTTGCAGTGCTCAACGTTGAAAGCTTCTGCCAAGGCATCGGGGTTCATGGAGGGGTGGGGGCCGTGTCGGTGGTGATTGAAGCCTTAATAAATAATCCACCTGGGAACTTGTATGGTACCAACGACTCGCATTATGACCCATCCATATCTTGGCACCAACCAGATTGTTATGTGATGGACGGGAAGGATGCACGCGCCACGCTGGTCTGGTGTGTCTCGGAGTAACAGTCGTGAACGTGCACCATTAGTGTCGGGCTTCATCGGGTTAGCGCGGAGCGTCCTTTCCCGCGACGCGACCGCTGGGTCCTTTCACCACTTGGCATCACCACCAAACGCCATCACCGGGGAACGGGACTGTGCCTCACTAAGTATCGCATCTGTTTGCTTGCTACATTGAGGCCGAAGTAAGCACGATGACAGCCGGCCAACACGAGCGGGTGGCACGGCGTCGGGAACGTGGAAGACGCCTGCGACAGCTGTGAGGCCTGAGCATGGACAACTGTATTTCACCTTACCTTTCCCTCTCGAGCTCTAGATTTTGAATATCGGCGATACTTTTCTTGCCTTGCGCTCACTCACAATCGCGCCTATCTTTTGTGTCTTTGTAGAGTTCCGTTCGTTTGATACCCATCCTAGTAATTCTATCGCACCAGGCGCTCCTGTCACATCATATACTCACCATCAAGCACCATTTTCCACCACGCTCGCAGTCATGGATACTTTCGGTTTTGCAACGTCGCGACTGAATGTCGAGCAGGAGGAGGAGTACTCTGTTGAGTGCGCACATGGCGGCAAGAGTTTCGTGCTACCTGTGAAGGAGCATCTACGGCTATTCGCATGTCGCATGCGTAACGATTTTCTATCTTCATACACAGAAAAAAATGTTCAAGAGCCATGTTCGGACCTGCATTTGCTCGTGCAATTCTTACGACACGTCGCCGGCAGACAGGATCGAGCGACAAGTATGTCCTCGGAGCTGTTTTCGAAGATTGTGGAGAAGCTTTCAAGCGAATACTTACAGGGAAAGGACATTCATCTGAGGGCTGCTGAACAAGAAGATGCCGAATTGAGGAGCAAACAGGACATCATCAAGTGCTACTATGAGGCTTTGCATTTGATGCAGCGACCACTAAGCGGCAGAATACCACATATTTTCGCAGCTTCGCACCCGAGCGAGCGAGTACCGACTTACACGTGTGTATCCTTTGCGTTCCAGATAGGATAAACGCTGACAAGCATAGGGTATTCGGTGGCCAAGGCAACACCCAGGATTATTTCACGGAGCTACGAGGTCTATATGCGACATACGGGTGCTTGTTGGACGACATCATCGATTTCGGCAGCATGATATTCGAGCAACTCCTAGGCGAAGATACAGTGATCGATCAATACCCACTCGGCCTGGACTTCGCCAAGTGGCTGAAAAAGCCTGAGACTACACCGGACTCGGATTATCTACTTTCAGCACCCGTGAGCTTCCCACTGATTGCACTTGGACAGCTTGCCAGCTTCTATATCGCTTGCAAGGTCTGGGGCTTGACACCCGGAGACGTTATCGAGAACTTGCAGGGCTCGACTGGACACAGCCAGGGCATCATCGTGGCTGCAGGTTTAGCTACATGTAGGACCTGGGATGACTTCGAGGGCACGTTTCGAGCATGTCTCGTTGCCCTGTTCTTTACCGGATGTCGTTCTCAGCAGCAGTTTCCACATAAGACTTCATGGCAAAAGATGGTCCAGGACGATGCTGAGTCTGTGGAAGAGCCGACGCCCATGATCAACATCAAGCACCTTCCACGCGCAGAGCTGGAGAAGCAGGTGAATGCTTTCAACCACCATTTGCCTCGATACCAGCATGTCGCAGTTGCGCTTGTCAATGGACCGGACAACATCGTGTGCGGTGGCCCGCCAGAGTCACTGAAGAGCTTCGTGTCCTGGTTGGAAGATGTGAAGAAGTCACAGCAAAAGAACAAGCCGCTCAGCGGGAAGATCTTGGAAACTCGCTACCTGCCCATCAGTGCGCCATTTCACACATTCTATCTCGGTAAGTTCGAGGTGACGCTCGTAGTTACTGCGCAAGCTAACGATATCCAGCCGACACTCGCGAAATCATTGTGGAAGATATGGTGCGTCACAACATCATTATCAAGCCTTCCGATCTCTTAATCAGCGTTTACGACAGCAAAACTGGTCGTGACCTGCGCGAAGTGGAAGAGGAGGCGCTTTTCCCGATCCTCACGTCGGCCATCACAACAGAAATGGTGGACTGGCCTGCCGCTACCACTTTCCCTACCCGATCATGCATAATAGATTTCGGTCCGGGCGAGACCAGCGGCGTTGGTACGCTGCTGCATCGGTCTAAGGAAGGTACTGGCACTCGCGTCATTCTTGCTGGTCCCTTACAAGGCAACATGCCTCATGTGGGCTACAAGCCAGATCTCTTCGATGCGCCGTCTGCAGATTCAAACCAGAGATCAGCGGACTGGCTGCGCGATTTTGAGCCCTCCTTATTGACTGATGCATCCGGGCGAACGATAGTCAGCACCAAGATGAGCCAGCTTCTCGGAACACCACCTCTAATGGTTGCTGGAATGACACCGACAACCGTTCACCCCGATTTTGTTGCTGCCGTCATCAACGCCGGATACCACTGCGAACTGGCTGCTGGTGGCTATCCTAAAGAGGAACTTCTCGTGAAAGCAATTCACACCATTGAGCAACTTATTCCTGCCGGCAAGGGCATTACAATTAATCTGATCTACTCTGCGCCTCGACAGATCGGATGGCAGATTCCCTTGATCAAGAAAATGATACAACAAGGCACACTGATTGATGGGATCACCTTTGGTGCTGGTGTACCGTCTATCGAAGTCGCTACAAACTACATCACGGATCTCGGCATCAAGCACATCTCGTTCAAACCTGGAAAACGTCGAGGCTATCCAGTCCGTCATCCGCGTTGCCAAAGAACATCCCAACTTTCCCATCATGTTGCAGTGGACTGGAGGTCGAGGAGGCGGTCATCATTCGACCGAAGATTTTCATGCACCCATACTTCAAACATACGCTGCCATTAGGCGTTGCCGTAACATCATACTTGTGGGCGGTTCAGGATTCGGTGGAGCTGATGATACCTATCCATATCTTACCGGCTCGTGGGCTGCTAAGTACAACCAGCCACCTATGCCTTTCGATGGCATTCTGTTCGGCTCGCGCATGATGGTCGCCAAGGAGGCGCATACCTCGCTTCAAGCAAAACAAGCAATTGCTGCCTGCCAAGGAGTTGAAGACAGCATGTGGCAAAAATGTGCTGGCATCATCACTGTCAAGTCGGAGATGGGTCAACCTATCCACAAGATCGCTACTCGCGGCGTCAAGCTTTGGGCTGAAATGGACAAAAACATATTTTCGCTTCCGAGGAACAAACAGGTAGCTGAACTTCAGAAGCAGAAGAGCCACATCATAGAACGCCTCAACAAAGACTACCAGAAAGTCTGGTTCGGCTACGATTTCGCCCTTGGAAAGGCTGTTGATCTCAAAGATATGACCTATCAAGATGTTGCTCGTCGCATGGTCGGACTACTGTACCTCAACAAGCGCTCGCAGTGGATTGATCCATCTTACATCCGCATCTTTGGAGATTTTGTCCGTCGCATAGAAGAGCGTTTGCCTCTCTCGAATGCGGAGTTGACACAGCCCATCTTTACCAGCTACGCTGATTTTGACGAGCCATTCGAAGCATTGGCGCCACCCTCGGGTACGCTTATCAGGACCAGCAAGACCCCAGCTTATCAACCAGGAAGATCCAGGACTACTTTCTTGCCATCTGCCGCCGCCCAGGACAAAAGCCAGTACCTTTCAATTCCTATTCTCGATGCCAACTTCGAGACATGGTTCAAGAAAGACTCACTTTGGCAATCAGAGTTCGTTGATGCCGTCGTTGATGAGGATGTGCAGCGAACCTGTATCCTACAAGGTCCTGTTGCCGTCAGATATGCGACTCCGCAGAACATCAACGAGCCGGTGAAGGTAATCTTGGATCGAATCAACGAGAGCCATCTTGACTGCATCCTTCAGCAGATATACGGCGGCGACGTGAAGGCCATACCCACTGTCGAATTCTTCGGTCATCAAGCTACCCATAAGTCTGCTCGCCAGCAAGGTTTGTCAATTGTCCTCGAGCCAAACGCGACTACATTCAAGATCCCTGCTGAGCTCAGCGAGCTGCCTTCGCCCGACGAGTGGTTTGACCTTCTTGCTGGAAAGAAGCTCTCTTGGCGCTATGCTCTCTTCAAGAGCAAGAGTGTAATGAGTGGACAGAGTATGATTCCGAACCCGATCAGACAAGCGTTTTCACCCGCGCACAATCTCTCCGTCATGATCACGGACAAGCTTCGTCACAACTATGTCTCTATCACCATGAGCAGCGACGGTACAGTTCAGACTGATCTCTCGATTGCGACCGAGCCTGGCAACAAGATCATTCTCCGCATGTACTGCTACCTCAACGCTGGAAGCGAGCCACTGCCATTGGAATTCCGCTTCTCATACCATCCTGAGACGCCTCATGCACTACTGCATGAAGACATTGAGGGACGTACAGACAGGATCGTCGATTTCTATAAGAAGCTTTGGGTCGGGAAGACTTACAAGACTCCTGTCCTACCCAGTGGTCGACAGTCTTACAAGGCTAACGGTGGCGAGCTCACGATCACATCGGACATGGTCGATAAATTCATGGCAACCATTGGTGGCGGCATGCGACGCGCGGACAAAGAGGGATTAGTGCCCATGGACTTCGCCATCGTCGTAGGCTGGAAGGCTATTATGAAGGCCCTTCTTCTGGTTCATGCTGATCTCCTCAAGCTAGTACACTTGTCCAACAAATTTCGGATGCACCCTGGAGCCTCGCCCTTGAAGGTCGGCGAAAAGACAGAAAGCTTTGCGCGAACCACTTCCATTACCATATCGGATACTGGCAAGACTGTCGAGGTTTGCGCGACTATCAGCAGGAACCATGTGCCAGTCATGGATGTTATATCCGAGTTCTTCTACCGTGGCACTTACACCGACTTTTCCGATTGCTTTACAAACAAAAAGGAAGATCTTCGAGAAGTCAAGTTTTCATCACCAAGCTTGGCTAACCTCCTTCTGTCAAAAGAATGGATCACCTGGAACGAGTCTGTGGAAGTCGAAGAGCTAGCCGAGAAGACACTGTTCTTCGAGCTTGATACTCATTCAACATTCAAGGCCAAGGGTGTATACTCCCGCCTTCGCACAATTGGTAAGGTCTTCGCGACTTCCAAGGGCATGAAGGGCATGGATGAAATTGCGACTGTTCACTATGACTCGCTCTCTGCGTCTACGACCAACTCCACGACCAATCCAGTGCTGGGATACCTCGAGCGCCACGGTAAAATCGCCAGCAAGCGTGTGCCGCTTGAGCGTCCAGTCTGCCTCGATAATGCCGAAGACGGCTTCACCTTCTCTGCCCCTGCAAGCAACGCCGAGTACTCAAGGATTAGTCTAGACTATAATCCCATCCACGTCTCGCCTGCCTTTGCCAAGTATGCCGGCCTCCCGGGTCCCATCACGCATGGCATGCACACTTCAGCAATCATCCGCTCCATCGCCGAAATGCGCTGCGCTGAGAATGATCTGGGATCTATGCGCAATTTCTCGGCTAGGTTTGTTGGCATGATCCGAGGTGGCGACAGTATCGAAGTGCACCTTGACCATGTAGCCATGCTTGGCGGAAACAAGATCATCAAGATTGAGGCGCGCAATGCAGCAAGTCAAGAAAATGTCTTTGTTGGAGAGTGCGAGATCGAGCCTATTGAGACAGCATACATCTTCACCGGCCAGGGAAGCCAGGAGATGGGCATGGGCATGGATCTGTACGAGACATCGCCTGCTGCGCGTGAGGTCTGGGATCGTGCTGACAAGCACTTTGATGAGACATACGGTAAGTCTTCCACCATTGACGCTATTCGACAGATATATACTAACAAGACAAAAGGGTTCCGCATCTCTGATGTTGTCCGCAAGAACCCGAAAGCCCTCACCGTCCATTTCGGTGGTAAGCGTGGTGCTGCTATCCGTCAGAACTACATGCGCATGACATACGAGGCTATCAGCAAGACGGGTGTTAGGGAGACCAAGCGCTTCTTTGATATCACTTCCACGACTCCGAGCTATACCTACCGTCATCCCAAGGGTCTTTTGTTCTCGACCGAGTTCGCTCAGCCCGCGCTGACCGTCACAGAAAAGGCTGCCTTCGAAGACATGGCAGATCGCGGACTTGTGTCGGATAAGAGCAAGTATGCTGGCCACTCGCTCGGAGAGTACGCTGCTCTCTGCGCCATCGCGGACATGATGCCACTTGAGCAAATCCTGTCCATCGTCTTCTACCGCGGCCTAAGCATGCAGGTTGCTGTTGAGCGTGACGATGAAGGGCGCAGCGAGTTTGGTATGATGGCCGTCGACCCTTCACGCGTAACAAAGGGCTTCAACGTCGACAAGCTCGAAGCCACCGTGAAAGCGATCGCCAAAGAGTCTGGCTCGCTCCTTGAGATCGTGAACTACAACGTCCAAGACAAGCAATACGTCTGCGCCGGCACGCTGCGAAATATGCAAGCCCTCACACTTGTTTGCAACGACCTTTCTGCAAACACCACGCCGCCGCCAACCCTCGACTCGCTCATCACCCGCCACGTCGCCAGCCTAGCGAACTCGGACGCAACCACCATCTCCCTCGACCGCGGCAAGGCTACAATTCCCCTTGCTGGAATCGACGTGCCTTTTCACTCGTCTTTCCTGCGACCCAACCTCGCAGCGTTTAGGGAAGTGCTTGAGCAGAACATCCGCAAGGACTGGATGGATCCTGAGAAGCTGATTGGTCGCTACGTGCCTAATGTTACAGCGAAGCCTTTTGATATTAGCAAAGAGGCTTTTGAAGATGCGTATAAGGCTACGGGAAGCGAGAGACTGAAACTTGTGTTGGATAATTGGGTTGGGGAGGTTGGTGCAAAGGCATGAGTTTTACACTTCGCTGATAGAAATTTCTTTGTATGTTAGGTGTTTGTTAATTTCTACTTGTATACCTTGGTTTCCCTGTAGTAGCGTGTTTCCAGGTTTTGGTTTCGGCGATTAGATTTTCTCTATAGATCACAAGATAAACCTTTCGAAGTTTCAATACAATCTTGCGTCCTTCAAGCAAGATTTCTTTTTTAAGTTTTCGCCAACACACTGTGACTAAGTCCCCATAAGACATACAATAGTCTGTGTCCATACTCACCCCATACATCCGACAATGTCGTGTCACTACTTCACGGCATCCAGTTTCGCCAAATTCAGCCTAGTACAGCGCCACACTCACCAGCCACTTCCCGGATCTCGACGTCAACACTCTGTACAATCCCGACACCATCTGCGCTAATCGGTCGTCAAAATGGCCATCGGTACCCGAACACCTCCGAATTCTACCTGCAATGTGTCATGCATTGCACTTTTTTCGTATCCCTGCTGCCACCCGATGTGAAGTCCGCCGGGATTGTAAGGCTGAGGTTATCGGGCTGCTGGTTGCCTTCAGCCTCAAGAGTCCGTTGCCGACGATGATGAAACGGACTACCACTGTGCAGGAAGTTATGCGCTGGATAAGTCGGACAAGGGATGAGGTGTTTGATGGTAAGGTACTGTGCGTACATGGCCAAGAATGGTCAGTTCGGTAACGTGGTGTCCGCAGTATGTGATAGGGTTTTCAAAACCTTTTGTGATAAAATACCCTGGGACGTCTTTAGTTGATAGATAAGCCTCACTCCAATCTTGCTCCACATTGAAGCACGATCAAACCATCTCATTCCCCATACCTGCTCACCGTACAAACTTTCATCGTAATTAGACGTAATGGTTTTCCCACCCGCAGCTCTCGACTCTGTGAACTGGAACCAGTTGGGTTTGTCTGTTACAGATGCAGGTGTGTACTCTCTGCTCTTGTACAAGTCTCCGAAATTATCTGACATTAAGCAGTCAACGGTCATGTGGAGTCCAAGTACACGGTAGCAAACGGCACATGGAGCGAGCCAACCTTTGTGGCCTCCCCATTCATGCAAATCCATGGCCTCAGTCCAGCTCTGAACTATGGCCAACAAGCCTACGAAGGCCTAAAAGCGCACCGTGGGCCCAAAGGCGATATCAATCTTTTCCGCCTCAACTCACACGCAGCCCGCATGAACAACTCCGCCGCGTATGTTTCCATCCCTGAGATCCCAGAGGAGCACTTCATGAAGTGCGTGAAGCTGGCCGTCGCGCGCAATGGCGAATGGGTAGCTCCGCACGGCTCTGAAGCACTCCTCTACATCCGTCCTCTTGTGTTCGGCTCAAGTGGACATCTGAGCTTGACTGCGCCAACGGAGTATACATTTGCCGTGTTTACCCAGCCTGGCAATACATACCATGGCGTGCAGCCGCTTCCTGCTTGTGTGATTGAGGGCTTCGATCGCGCCGCTCCTCGCGGCACTGGCGGCGCGAAGGTCGGTGGTAATTATGCGCCAGTCATCCGCCACACAGACAAGGCGCGTACGCAAGGCTACCATGTCACTCTGCATCTGGATGCACAGACGCGTACTTGTATCGAAGAGTTCTCGACGTCGGGATTCATTGGTATCAAGAAGCTTGGCGACCAGGTCGTCGTTGTTGTGCCCGACAGCAAGAACATCGTGCAGTCCATCACGTCCGACTCGTGTCTCGCGTTGGCTGAGAGTTTTGGCTGGCGCGTGGAAAAGCGCGAGATTCCGTGGAGTGAGTGCAGGTTTTTCGACGAGGTTATCGCTGTTGGCACTGCGGCGTCGCTGTTGCCAATTCGTTCTCTGGTGAGACACTCGACGGATCAGAAGTTTGTGTATGGCGAGAAAACGGGCGAGTGTACGGCGAGGCTTTCGGGTGCTCTGAGGGATATTATGAGGGGGAATATTGAGGATCCCTTCGGTTGGGTGGACGTTGTGAAGGAGGAGGATTTGCTGCTGCCGAAGGAGGAGAAGGTCGAGGAACCTGCTATGAACGGTGTTAACATGGAGCTGCCGATTGAGATTGGCGTGCAGGAGAAGAGTGGTGCGATAGTGAGTGCGCCGGTCGAAGTGCAGGTTGGGGCATAGTGACGCGTGGTCCCCTTCGTAGCTAGCACTGAGCTTTGCGGAACGGTGATACGGTGTTGGAGGCTAGCGTACTGTTTACATTAGAATGCAACAATTTCTCTAGATTGAATTAGAAAACGGAAACACAATGGGTATCGTGTCAAGCCGCAATAATTCAAGACTGTAGGGGTTCCTTGGCCACTTTCCATCTCAGCCGCTGCCCAGATTTGAGGGCCCGTGCGAAGTCTCCTCCGGCTCCATAGACAAGTCCTGTGAATATGAAAGAATTATTTACGCCACGTGTGAACATTGTAGTTCAGTGTGGTCAGCCATGCATCCCGACCCCCATCGTCCGCCCAGTGCTCGCTGTTAGCAGCATCGCCCTTCGTGATCTTGTTGATGATTCAGACGAATGCAGAGCACAACTCATGCAGTTCTTTTGCCCCTATCTTGATGGAACTCCCGTTTTTAGCACACAATCTTGTTAAGCTGCATGTATAGAGAACAATGTGCTACTTCACCCAGGTCAGCCACTCTCTCTTGTTTGCGACCTAGAGCGCCCAATCACTGGCGCGCGCTTCTCAGCACTGTAAGGTGCACAAAAAAGAAGCAAAAGAAAAGGCCCCTTTTTGCCGGGGAGGAGACTCTTGATTCTTACATCAATTGCTCTGTACTATTCCCGCTCTACTACTTCACCTCCTAGTTTGTCGCAAACTAAGGGTGTTATGCTTTCAGAAGTATTCTTACGAATCCTGACCAGTCAGCCAACCTCTAGGATTCATGGGAATGCGAACCTATAAAGAGATTCACAGAGAGCTGCGGGGTTGGGCTAAAGGCAATGATGTTGTTCGATAGAGAGTTTGTGTATCGTGGTAATCATATAGAGGGTAATGTGCGTTCGGCATTCTTGTCGAACGTATATTCTTACTTTACTTACATGCGGTCATTGATCTCAGGTCTACATTCTCAATTCTTGAAGCACATCTATTCCCATTCACGCATAGCGCAGCGCTGCGATAAAGCGCAAGATCCACTCAGCCGCATGCCATAAGAAATTCCGCAGGGCTAACTTTTGAACAATTTGGCCAAGTGACGAGTTTGTAAGAGGCTATGAGACACCAGATGTCTCTCTACATGCATATTGGCTGCCACAAATGTGCCTCGAGGACCGTCGGGGTCTGTTGAGGTGATTGATAAATAGATTACTACACCCCCGACCTTGCAGCAACAGGTCCCTGGCCGTACCCTAGACGAACGGTTCCTTCCGTTCATCGCACGACAGGCCAGCACTTGGCATATGCAAGGCAGCATAAGGCTCTCCACGCAAGATTCTGACCACGGCCCCAGGCAACAAGTGACGGCCAGTGCTCAACTCTCTCTGAGGGTCGCAGGAGCATGCATCAAGTGCTGTTTGTCAAACACTGCGTACTTGCAAAGCGCAGCTTCGCACATGCTACAGTCAAGCGTCATCATCTTTGCATGATTCTGTGACACCAGTATTAGGCGCAACGCGGCCTCCGATTCAGAAATTCTCGTTGTCCTAGCTCCTCGGCAGTACAATGGAATGCTGGGGCGATCCCCTGTTTATACGAGCACCGAGTTTGTGCCGACCCACCTGGAACCTCAACGTCTCGGTAGTTGGTGACAAGGGCGTGATTCTCTACATAGGGCCGCATCATACGGACCGAGTTTTCTCGGAGAATTGACCTGCTCGCGTTTGGCATCTTTCATCGTATGACGGGAAGTCCCATAAGTCTCAGAGTGAAACATAGTGGTCGCTGTGTAGGGCTGGGGTGTCTGAGCGAGGCACGTGTAGCGGAGGGTTAAAGACAAGATAGTGTCTATTCACCATAGCATTTGAGTTGACAGGTCCAAGCTTTGTCCTGAACTTCTGAATTCCAGCTCGTCTATACCCAAGAATGGATAGGTATATATATAGCTTTTTCGGCGAATGGAGTATCGAGTAATGATTTTCGCTGAACGAAATGTATCTACCTCAAAAAACGGAATAGCCCCGCTTATGCATGCATGTATGCAGTTGGTCGTCATCAGCCTTCCAAGACAGATTGTCCACAAGTTGAAAGCCTTACGACGACGTTTCAAGTATGATTAGCAATTCTCAGAACTTTTTCCGGGATGCTAAAACATGCAAAAGTCTTTGTCGGCTGATTAACATGAATCAGATAATCAGGGCTCTGTCATGTTAGGGTATCACTTGGTCATACTTACCCCTGAATCAACGCCATGATCACCTCCCTGGGGATCAACATGCAGTGTGATGAGCGGGTGTAGGACGAGCGAAGTTCGAGACCCCTGAACATATGGGTGTGTGAGCGCTGTGAGGGTTAGTCTTACACTGTCTAACACGATCTGATATTAGCTAGAAGCTAGACTGCTAGTGCGTCTGATCAGCAAAGACAGCCCCTTCATTGATCTATGTGAAGATCAACGGAGCGGTCAAGATCTCTTTTCCTTCAGCCGTCACAAGCGGGTCTAGGCTAGGGTAGAAGTGGGTCGGCGCTAGTAAACCCAATTGGCACGCTACGGTGTCGCCGAATATGACGTTCACCTTTTGACTCTCTCCACAACTAGAGAATGGTTCTAGTGGCTTGATTGTGGGGTGGGCTGCAGGTATGGTTTGTTCAGGTGAGGGGTTCGATGCAAATTACGGCCGCACGGCTGGTGAGCACCAGCCCTTGACAGCCTTAGACAATTCCGCGAATCTTGAACGTTACTAGAGTGTACTGAAAATATTGGAGCAAGATAGTATGGTGGAACTAATACTTATCCAACTGGCTCATGAAAACAAACCGCAAAATCGCGCAAAAGACCACCCAGACATAATAAAAAAAGTGACGACGTAATCTGAAAAGCAGTGAAGCACATGGTGCTAGTAGAAAAAAGAGATGTATTTTGGACTCATATTAGATGTTCTGAAATCGAGCAATAGACCAGCACTTGCGCAAATCGAGTAAAGGATACAACGAGTAGAAAAAGGATGCGAAAGCTAAGAAACAGGGTATCAAGGTACTCCGACCCGCACATATTACAGACAAAGCCTGGCGATCCGGGCTACAGCAGCTAACATTTCTTGGGCCTCAACTCCGGAAGTGTGACGTAGTTTGAGAACATGCGATTGAGATGATTGAGACACTAAAGCCATCCAGAAATTTTCAGGACGTCGAAATTTTCGAGCGAGCGTCTCAGCCAAGGCACAATAGTTTTGATCCCAGGGCTGTCGTGCTGCTACTGGGGCTCAGCATCTCGTCCCACCATCCTTCTTTGCCAAGGCAAGATGGGTCTTGGCTGGCGAGCCAGATTCGCAATCCACTCACGCGCTTGAGAACTGCTGGAAGTGTGTTCTTGTCACCCTCTCGGATAGGTACCACACGTTGATAGAGACGGTCGCGTTTGTCCGAGTTGGCTGTGACTGCGGCAATGAAGAGTGGCCAGACTGGATAGATGGCTGTGAAGAGGCTGCCTTTGACTGGAAGAGAAAGTATGACAGTATGCAGTGAATCTGAAAGCTCGAGGATGGAGGGATGGAAGCGGGTGAATCTGGACTGTGTAAGTAGGATGATCTAGGGAGATCCATGTATGGTATGACTTACCCGTAGAGACGACAACGAAGATAAATGAGCGCTGCGAGCCGGAATGCTTCAGCCGTTGCGAGCAACACTTCCTTCTCTGAGGTCTGCGCCTCAGTGGTCCATTGTTTAAGATTCTGCAGCTGTACCTCTTGAAGTTGAGCATACACCAGCCTATTTGGGCTCGTTATATCGGTCGCCAAGGTGGTGATAGATGAGATTAGATGTATGAGCTGGGGCGAAGCTCCCAATGTGACGTCGATTTGCTGAGTCTCTGGGGTGGGTGTGCTTTCATACCAGTTCTTCTTCTCGAGCGAGTGAAACTGGGTATTTTGTAATTGGAAGCATGTCTGTGCTGTTCGAGCGAGCGCTAGTTGTGTTCGAATGAAAAGTGCGGCATCAGATTGGTGATTGACCATTTCCAAGGGTATCATGTCGAAGATGTTGGCGTGGCATGACCAACAAAGCGGCGAGTCTTCGCCGTTGATCGCTGCGTGGTGCATGAGCAACATACTGGTGGCGAGCGCGCCATCATAGTCCTGTCCGATGCTGATCTGTGTGGCCAAGGCCTTCAGCGCTTGCGTAGAGTAGTATAATTCTGCTTGATGATATGCCTCCTTCTGGGATGGGAGATACTCGCAGATGTATGATGCGGACAAGCTTAGTAGCGCAAAGCGTGTACTAAGACATGTGTTCGCTATCTGCAACATAGCGGTGTACGCATTCGATTGCGTGGAAACACTGCGACCAGGGCAGACGCCGTTGATGTAGAAGTCCTTGAGAGTTTGTTCCATATCGCCTCCCCACATTGTACTTGAGGGGACATATTTGATGAGACTGACGAAGCCAGTTTCTTGCGATGCGTTACTGTCTAGCGAGTGTACGGACTGAGGCGTAAAAGGGCTGTTGGAGTTGGCCCGCAAAACGTCCATTTCAGCCACTGGTGAGTCGACTATCAGAGTCAGTACACAAACTATCTTCAAGAAGGCGAAAGACTTACCCCTCATTCCGGTGAGGTCCGAAAGCTCACAGAGAAAGTCTTGGCAAGCATCTGCCTTCGACCTTTGAATGTGTCTTATACGTTGGATGACCAAAGTGACCGCGGCGGTGTCTTGTATGAGTGATAGGTAAGGCTGCTGTTGCTGCAAAGTGTTCTTGAACTTTTCGAATTGCTTGCTGTTCAGCTCTCCTAGCCGCCAGTACAGTTGGCCGAGCACCTCCAGCAGAACAACACCAGGGCCTTCAGTAATCATCCACTGTCTTATCACCAGAAGATTTCGCCTGCTATTTCTCTGGTTGCCCTCGGTAGGTAGGTCAACTACTCTTCCGAGCAGTCTGTCGATATGTGTGCAATCCAGACAATTGAAGTCGGGCGACATGGAGAGATGTTGAAGAGCATCATTGGCCGCCTCCAATGCCTTGGTGAGCCTTCTATCTGCGTCCATAGCCATGATGTAAGATGAAGTCCGTGAAATTGCCAAGTTGTGCAGTGGATCCCAAGCTGAGATTGACCAAAGTGAAGCTTATCACAGCGATCTTATCTCCTGAAGGGTGTGCGAAGTGAACGTCGACGAGAATATTGGGTGGGTATGAAAGGTCGAAGTCTGTTAGCGGAATTGATATCCGTCTACAAAGAGTGGGGGGAGAATTGATTAGATGTGCAACAATGCCCAGGGAAAAGAAGACTATAACTAGGCTATGAAGAGACAGAGGCCCAGCGAGCTGCAGATGCACCTTCTGAAACAACGAGATGGAGATGTATTAACAGATGAGGCTCCGCCGCGTTGACCTTCCTGCAGACTGAGTGGCTGACCGCAAGTATCCCCGGTAAGTCCCCGAAGAACACCCCATATCGAGCTTCGCGCTTGATCCAAAACGGTTACATGAACCCGGCAAATATCAAGCTTTTCATGGCGTGCAAAGGTGACAATCCAACTGACAGCCCACCGCTGTCGACCATTGGGCCCCACTATCCATGAGGCTCACATGCTGGGGCCATAACCACAAAATAAGTGCATGGGAGTGCACACGCCAGCCCCAAACACTAGTGTGGCGCTTGCACGGATATAGCTAGGTAGAGACGCCAAACGTAGATCTGAGTGAAGGGGACAAGTAAATCGGCACGATCACGGTGTCGTGACCTGCTAGGAGGCCGGGCATGCAGGACGTAGTGTGGTGGCTCCGGCGGAAGAGTGTTGATGTTGTGGCTGATTTAGGGACGCACAGCCGTTGATCTCGGCATACTTAGTCGGGCTAGAAGGGGCAAGGCGCGATTTCCTGCCTCCGTGACGTGAGATCCGCGACGCCTCCAAAGTTGATAGCACGAGACCTATACATGTCCGGAAAATGGTTCTTCAAGGCCCGCATCATCGCAACATCGGTCGTGTACCGTTCAGCCCTCGCAGTGCATGCGTCTCCGCGATCTGAAACTCCCGAAGGACCTCAGCATCTCTTTCTCGGTCGTTCTGCACAGCTGCCAGTCCATGTCGTCGCGCATCCTGCGGACGCTTGACACTTGATTTCGGCAGCCGACTCCGTGTCGAATGCAGCTAGCGTAAAGCGCACCGTTAGTGTCAGGGTTCAAGGACGATGGCCTCGGTGAAGCCAGCCGTGTCCAGCAGGGGACTTGTTTGCACACATCGTCAATGGCTGGGAAGTCCGTCATCAAATTTATTTGCCCACTCAAGCACGATCTACCTCGCAGACGGAGTGCGAGGCTTCGCTGATGCTTAGTAGATAAGTCAGCTATGCTGACCGTCAGATGCCATGAGACGAGTAGATAACGGAGCAGATTCCGTTCCAACGTCTGCTGGCATCTCACCGCTAACACTTGCAACGCAATTGTTCTAAAAAAACAAGCTTCAATACGCAACCTATTATTGCATTTCCAACGGGGAATCTTGGATCGCCAGCATGGATTCGTTACGAAACATCGCAGCTTCGGGAATTACCGTCACAATCTCCCCAACGCAGCTCATTGTTGGCGCAGGTCTTCTCGGTGTCGCTCTGGTTAGCAACGCCAAAAGCCTCCTCTTCGCGTGGCATGTAAACTTGGCCCTCCTAGCTTAATGTATGTCACAGTGCTAACGGTGGCAGGGACGACTGTTCGCACAGCTTGCACGGCATCTCCTACTACGGCGATCTCAGCTTACAGTAACGAGTGCACATCATGGCGGCGAGTCGCTTTTCGCTCCGGTCGTTACTTCTTCGTACACTCCCCTTCTTGACATCGACTATAACTTGCATAAGTCTAATAGCACATTTTTCAACGATCTAGATGACAATCGGACCGAGCTGCTGCTGGCTTTATTCAAGGACGTAGTCAAGCCGCGCCAACGCGGGAAAGGCAGACTGCAGGCCAAAATGTTCAACCTCGGTGGCACTTGCTGCATCTTCAAGAAAGCTATCGCTCCTTTTTCCAAGTTCGAGATCAGCTCCCGCATACTGTGTTGGGACGAAAAATGGGTCTACGTCGTAAGCCACTTCACCAAACCAGGCTCGAACAGCGCGAGTCGCATCGTTCCTGAGGCATCAACGAAGAAGCAGGACCCCGTCGCTGACCGGGCCGGTTGCATTTACGCTACAGCTGTCACCAAATATGTCTTCAAGCAAGGGCGCAAAACGTGTGCGCCCGAGTCCGTCATGCAGGAATGCGGTCTCTTACCACCGCAGCCAACTACAGAAGAATCGGAAGGACGGAGAACTGGCATTTCGCAAAATTCCCATGATCACTGGTCTTGGGAACAGGTGCAAGAGGAGTGCAACAAGCACTTGCAGGTTGCCCAGAATTTTGGCTCGCTTGACCAGCTGCACGATACTTTCGTGGGGCATTCTGCACCTGCTATGTACCATTATTGAGTGCGCAAGGCGTCCTGCAGGGGGTGTTTGGCGCTGCTCAGCCGCTGGTGGCTATTTCGTGCTGTCATGTCTTGTCTATTTCTGTATTCCAACTCCCTCAATAGCAAATATCCACCACAAATGCTCAAGGAAATTTTCGCCGAACATGTACACACAATTCTGATCGCGACTGCAGGCTTTGAGTTTCGCTGATGGCTGGAGGTGTCGTTTCTTGCGTATAATCTACCATGTCGCAAGTAATTGTCGTCATGGGTTTCCACTTTGAACGCAAGTCTAGATTTGCTACCGACTCTCTGTGAACACCAAGTTCCCCATATTCCCCCATAATCTGGTCTCTCCCTGGAGCTGTCCTGTTCAATCCCAGCAGAGCTTCAGCGGAAAGGATTCCCGCCCAACTACCAACTACGGTTCCGGCGGCCACGCCGCGCAAGCCCCACTGCGGCGCCGAAGCGGAACCGTCTTCCACGCTGATTGCACATCGCGCGCTATGGCATCTCAACCTTGCAGCAGCTCACCGCAAATTGGCGCCATCGTGCACGTAAGTAGAGCAAGCCATGGTGGCGGAACAGATGTCACTGCCTGAAACAAAGTTCTCGTCTGTCCATCAATCGTACCATCCGACCACGCGAGCAGGTAGTGTCCCAGATTAGGGCCAACTAATGCTCAGTACTGATTGGTCGAAATCCAACATAATCACCGACGACGCCACAAAATGTAGGCGTGCTGAAACTCCGATGCGCGCTCCGATGCTACAGGTACAAAGTTTGCAGACCAACACGGCCACAGCCCAATCTCACCGCTCGGCCTCCCGCTGGTCGGTCCTCCACAGGGCTCTCGCCCTCCGATTCGAATTGCGCAAACTGCCGTGGCGTAACATGCACTAGCCAGCCGCTGGTCGACACCCCGCACGGCTTCACGCGTCTCAAGATCTTCTAGTGAGCTTCTACGGCTCTCGGCAGCTTCCAACGTTACATCTCCACCGGTCCTTTTCCATATCGTCGGTATGACCGGTGAGACGGCCTGGCGTATCCTGGCTGTCGGACACTCTTACAGGACGATCGATTCTCTTGCCCGGCAGTCGTCTCCGCGACATGTATCTATATGTAAGACCGAGTGTAGTCAGCGGAACTCGGATTACCCTTTTTGATGCCTTGTTCGGCGTTGTGAGTTCGAGTCCGTAGGGCAATTCGCAGTGCAATCGACAGTAAGGAGATCGGTTTGAGGCTCTCGGGCAACTGTCGTCTGTTGCGCAAGAAATTATTTCGTCTATGACCGAGATGTCGGGCAAGCGTTGAGAAATCTTCGGAGCATATTGAGCTTCATTGCAACCATGTCCACATATAGTAGAATCATCGAAGCATGCGATGATCCTCGAGTTAACCATTGCTAATCCGCCATCATGGGCCTGCTTTCATCATTCCAAAACATCCCATACACTCAGTCGCTGCGGAACTCCCCTCTTAGTTCTTCTTTGTTGGCACTCCTGATCATTTGCATAATCACTCGTATTGTTACTGGTCTACGAAGCAATGTTGCTCAAAACAACCACGATGCAGCGACCAAGACTCCAAATACAATTCCCTACTGGCTGCCATTCATTGGCACCGCACTATCTTTTCTGAAGAATATTGAGAGTACCATCACGCATGATCGGTAAGTCAACAGAAGCTTGAGTTTCTGATCACTTGCTCATGATGTATAGATATGCATCAGGCGATGGTATCTTCGCGTACCGCATGGGACCTGGCAAAGCCTATGTCATCAGCATGCCTTCGCTCGTCATGCAGGTCTTCGCTCAACGCAGCAACGTACTAAACAAAGTCAAGACCTTGGAATGGTTCATGAATGCTGCCTTTGACGATAAGTTTGCATTCCGCAATGAGCACGACGCTGTACATGGCCATCACAACGCACTCAATCTCATGTTGAAGTCCGAGTTCACTACCGAAGCAACCAACAAGACTGCACGAGCAGTGGAAAGAAAGGCATCTCAACTCATCACCAAGGCTCCCTGGATGTTTCCTGATGAGCAAGGCAAAGCCATGGAGCCCTGGGAAGAAGCCGGTAACGTCAGATTCAACACGGACGGCACATTCGAAGCGAACCTTTTCAGTCTCGTCATCAACTACATGGGCCAAATCGTCATCGACATGCTCTGGGGCAAAGCCCTCCTCGAAAACTTCCCCACCATCCAAAAAGACATGTGGAGCTACGACCGCGACATCCACACCATGTTACGCCCCGTCATCGGCAAACACCTCCCCTCTGGCCGCCGCGGCATCGCCGCCCGCGAGCGTCTCGGCGTCGCCATGAAAGAATGGTACGACGCCGTCGCCGCCAAACAAGCCGGCCGCGACCCGGGCGCAAAATGGGGCGCTTTGGACGATATCAGCCAAGTCATGCACGACCGCGTCAAGGTCTGGGTCGACACCAATGCTTCAGAGCGCCTGCAGAAAACGAACGACATCTCCGTGCTCTGGGGCGTGAATGTCAACAGCAACAAGAACGTCTTCTGGATGCTCATGCAGATCAACAGTCGTCCCGAACTGCTCTCTGACATCCGCGAGGAGATCGCTCCGTATGTACACATTTCGCAGACGGGTGAGCGCGGGCCTACGGGTTTTCCCAAACTGAGTATCGATGTCGATGGCTTGATGAAGCATTGTCCGCTGCTTAAAGCGTCGTTCTACGAGACTATGCGCATGAATATGGCGGGGCTGGGCGTGCGGGAAATCATCAAGGACGTCGTGCTCAAAGAGTCTGCTGAGGATGCTGCGCTGTTTGGTAAGAAGCGGCCGCAATCGTACACTATTCCCGCTGGGTCGACGCTCGTCATCGCCAACGGGCCCATGCAGATGGATCAGCGCATTTTCGCGAACCCAGAAGAGTTTCATCCGGAGCGATTCTTTGAGGATGGACCGGATGGGACGACGCGGGTTACGATGAAGAACTTGCATACGTTTGGTGGAGGGATGTATAAGTGCAAGGGTAGGTACTTTGCGGAGAAGGAGGTCATGATATTTGCGAGTAGTTTGTTGGTTATGTGGGATATCTCGCCCATTGAAGGAGAAGTGTTGGAGGTGCCGGGGATGGGCAATGTTGGTGGGAGTCGGAGGCCGATTGAAGCTGTGAGGGTGAAGTTGACGAGGCGGTATAACTGAGTGCGTGGTCGCACCAGAAATTGATTCAATTATGTCTTAAGCTGTAAATACTATTTTCGGTGTACATATCTCCTTCCAAGAATTATGATCCCTTTGCTTCATGCCGACCGTGTTAAGTCAAGCCCACCAAGAACCACTCTGAACATGCTCATGCACGACATGAACTCAGATACTGCTTTAATATATAACACCATGTTTACTCTTCTCAAGTTCCTTGTACTACAGATCATGATTGAGCCGCATGACGTTCAATCTCAACTTCCAATGTTGACTATGAGATCAATTGCCAGTAGCGCAAGTCAGCCATAACATTCTAGATAATATATTGAGACCTCAATCATCACCTTAAGTGTTCGCAAAGCATATAGAATATTAGAAAATGAAAGTTGTCCATGCAGTCAAAGTGCCGGGAGTGTATCATACATAGTCGAGACTAGACATGTCAGGTGAATCTCTTCCTCGTGAAGCTTGGTTTAACGACCCAGACGCCTGAAGCATCTCTCCACCCGGGGCATCCCTTTGGCCTGTGCTGACACAAAACGGCACGGAAATAACTAAACCTGTTACATAATGTGCATAACCACCTCGTTTCTTTTATTGTAGAGACAAGCAGAATACGCAAGCTGGCTAGAGTCTTGCATGAGCTTTTAGATCCGGCTGGCAGATCACCCAAGCAGCCAGGGTTGACACAACGACTCGCGTTGACGAGATTGATCTGGAGACAATGCCTTCTTCTGCAGATCAAGTGTTCGATGGAATTGGTTGAACCGTCAGATCTCCAGCGTGATCTGGCACACTTGCGGCATACTAAGCTTGTGGGATTGTTAAGCTGGAATTCGGAGGTTTTGTCATTCACAGCGCAGAACCTGCAACACCAGAACGAATCGCGGTTGATCGAGTCCAGAGGATACCAACAGTCTCCGAGTTGGTTATAATCCCGAAGGAGCCTTTGGCTGGAGTCACACGTGCGCTCCGGGAAATGTATTTTGAGACCGTGTCTGGCACATATCCACCATTGTCGCTAGGTTGAACACAGTCAATAGATGAAGGCTAGAGGTGCCATGAGACTTACATATTCTGACCGATCCTGTGGGTAATTACTCTCTCCTTGTAGGTACTCTCTCTCCTCATCGTGCAGTGTGAAGTTGCTAACGCATGCCGAATTCGTATGTCCCATCTCGTTGCTGACCGCTCCAGTATCGCGCTCCAAAGATGAGGCGCGACGGAAACCTTCCACGTTAGGTAACCTGCGGTACAGGCTCTCGAAAGATTCCTCAAGGCCTTCATGGTACAGAGGCATGCATTCTTCAGAACACACGTGCATCTCCCACTGCGGAGTGTCGACCAACTTCCCGGGCATAAATTGGGCTAAGTTTGGGTCGGGCACTGTCGTATAGAAGTATGGGTCGGGCATCTTCGTATGGAAGTATTGGTCTTGCACACTCCCAAAAATCTTATCAAGACCCTCTTGGTGTATTGCCATATCTCTTGCGGCTTGTGCGTATTGGTTCCGGCTTTGTGTACTCGTTGGCGCTGATGGAGATGTAAGCAACTCCATTGTAGGACCGGCCAAATTGCAATCGCGACTGCAACAGTTCGATTTACTATTATCTGCAACGATCCCAATAGTTCCCGGCGATATCTTTCTGTCGGATTGTTTGGAGTGAGGGTGATGTTGAATAGCAATGCGTCGATGGACGATGTAACTGGTAAGGTTGCGTTGGCGCGGAACGAACGATTTCCGGAGATTATCACTGTTGACGGAAAAGGGGTGGCGTGCCTTCGAGTAGAGACTGCCAGATCTTACTTCCACAGCAGCCGCGTGTGATCGCCATGAGCAATTGCCCGGGGACGGAAGTGACCATGGGTCAAGCACTATGCCATTTTTACCGTTGAAGTCTTACAACGTTTCCAAACAGAAGCCCTTAGTATGCAACCTATTCCATTTAAATAATATTTCCACACTTCCTTCAAAGTATGGAATTGTCCCGATGTTCATAACGCTCGGTCGAATCTGCACATGGCTGTGAACTCTGCTGGTTCTCATGTTGCAGCGCAGGGCGGCAATTAGAGAAGACGTGATATTGCGCCGACTACGTTCGCGTTATGGCATGTTACCGTTCTGTGGAAAAAAAAACATATTGATATCCGCCGAGTTTACTCGATACAGGTGACGCAGAAAGTCGAATAGACACTACATTTATTGAGAGTACTTGGGTCCTCGATACTAATATTACACTCCCATAGAATGAGTAGCTAACTAAACAATTTGACAATTTCATCCCGCACACCGCTCTAACCCATGACTTAATGGCTCTCTCATTTGTCTGGGATGATTACGATCCGATATGGCCCGTCGTTTGCTCTATCATTCAAAACTGCAGTACAGTCCTTCGTAGGACAAGATATGCTAGCCGCCGTATTCTCCGCACCGCATTTGTTACAAAGCCATGGCCCAAACTTATAATCACCCCTAACCAAGTAGATCTTTGCCATTACATCGATGGAAGTGGCATTCAAGTCACCACCTGGAAGCTCTACATTGCACCCGGTACAATTCTTGGTGCCGACCTTGTTTAGGGTAAGACATTTTGCTCGAAACCGGGAGTCTATGTTTTGCCGCTGGTCTAATTCGTTTTTACATATGACTTCGGCGACGTGGTTCACATCGCCATTTGCAGTCACGCGTGTGGTTTCGCATTTCTTGCATTGACGAGACCCGTCCGAGTTTGGAGTGATTTGGAGTTTGCTCTCTTTTGGCTCTGTTTTGAGGCAGTTTATGCAGATCCACTGAGGCGAGTCAGTTATGGCTTCTTATTCTCTACCATTCCCTTATAGCTATTGCTGAATGACTTACTGCGTATTCCATCGTGTATGGTCTCGCTAGTTTATGTAGTCTTCTATACGAGTAATAAATAACTGCTGCCGTGGTTCTTTCTGCTTTGAAGGGTATGTAGTAGAAAGTTGAAGAAGACAGAGCGGAGACTGCGGCTTTTTATACTCAACATGAGTCTTCTTTCGGAGTTTCGTTGACTGTGCAGTATCCATAGTTCGTGATTCACACGGCTGTATGCAGAGTCAACACTGACTATGCATGCATTCCACGGGTTGTGTGAGTAGATGCGAGTATGTGCCAGTCTCTACGATGGTACAAAAGCTGGAGCAACGTGACACTGTATAAGACACCCAACGTCTATGCTAGGATAAATGGAGACACGTGTAAATAATTCTCTACCACGGTCCAAACGCGAAAGCAACGTGAAGCTATGTAAAACATTCAATAGCTGCGGCATAACCCGGCGACCGGACGTGCTATCAGCATGTGCTCGAAGCTCAACATGTCCGCCTTCACATCATTGTTGGTTTATCATCGCCAAGTACACCCAGCAGGAAAAGCAAGTGCTTGGGAGGTCGTGTTACCAGAACTGACGGTCCAAGTCGATTGATGACTATGATTGAAGAGGCGCGTCCAACACGACCTACCAACCCATGCCCATAGCCTCGCGCACGCGCTTCATTGTCGCCTCAGCTATCTCCTCCGCCCGTCTTGCCCCCTCTTCGGCGTGCTCCACAAGCTCTTTCTGATCCCCATCCATCAAACTCTTGTATCGTTCTCTTATATCCCTGATCCCCACCTCCACCGTATCCGCAACCTTCTCCTTCAACGCCCTCATACTCAAATCTTTCAATTCACCGGCCAACTCTTCCGGTGATGCAGCCACCGAGTCATCAAAATGATACAGCAAGTCGACCAGGTTGGACACACCCGGCCTCTTCTCCGGATCATAGCTCACACCCTCAATGGAGTCAGTAAGTGCTGTCCGCAGCTTGTTGTGTATCACGTCCTTTGAATCGGTGATGAGTATCCGGCTCTTGGGCTTGGGGTCGCTCTTGCTCATTTTCTTAGTTGGATCAGTCAAGCTCATGACGCGCTTGGCGGGGCTGAGAAGTGTTTGCGGCACGGTCAACAAGGGTCCGGGCGACGAGTTGGATGAGTACGAGTGGTTAAAGCCGATCGCTAGCTCCCGTGTCAATTCCAGATGTTGGGCCTGGTCTTCGCCGACGGGGACGTGCGTCGTGTTGTATAGTAGGATGTCGGCTGCTTGGAGGACTGGGTACGAAAAGAGGCCGAGCTTGGGGGCATCTTTGTTGTTGGAAGGTTCCAGTGGCGAGGCGTTGGCAGGTAGAGATAGTTTACTCTTGATACACGTCATCAGTATTGTTTTTGCATGAACTGGTGTTAATGTGTTTGGCTCACCTTCCATTGTGTCATCCGTGATAGATATCCCATACTTGCGCCACAGCTCAATATCCACATGAGTTCAGCATGCTGCTTGACACTACTTTGCGTGAAGATGATGCATCTCTTTGGATCTAATCCCACTGCCAGCAGACTAGCCAGCATCTCTTTTCTCCGTCTAGCCAGCTGATGGGGATCTTGTTTAATCGTGATGGCGTGCAGATCAACGATTGAAAACAGCAGAGTAGTATCCGGAGAGGCACTGTCCTGAAGTCTCACCCATTGTCGCAAGGCACCCAAATAATTTCCCAGATGCGGTACGTCGGTGGGTTGTATGCCAGAAAATATCACCTGACGCTTTGCCTCCTGGCTCTTTGGGACAGACACGGTCGACCCATATCGTAAGCATTTACTGCAGATCCGGCTTGGAGACGATGCTGCCCTACGCAGCGTTTGGACGAGAGACATTGAAGTCTGAGAAATGTTCGCGTCGCGGAGCATAGCCACAAGAGGGCTAGCGCGACTTGGACTTGGGCCGTCGTCATTCGTCATTGTGGCGCAGTAGTTGCGGCCCACCACCACCAACGACGCTCAACCAGCCGCATCCAGGAACACCCGCGTCCCCCAGCAAACCCACGAAACAGCCACAGACGGCACTCTCGAGAGGATTAATACTGTTTAATACCAAGACTAGGACATATTCACCCACTCAGACATTACCCCACATTCACCCCCGCAGCCATGTCGTGGACCGGTAAGACGCCGCGCAAAGCGACTCTACAAAAGACGGAGACTGAAGGAAGACAGGCTTCAAGAAGGGCGTCAACCGCGCGACGACCCAGGTTCTTATGAAGACAGGCCAAGTCGAGCGCACCAACGACCGCGACTTTGAGACTGAGCAACGGTATGCCGCCTCCAACCTTTCATACAAAGCCCGCCGAATCTCAAGTTACCTAAACCCATATAACTCACAACCCACGCCTTTCATACCATATTTGTCCCTATACACTTACGCGCAGAACCCGCCTCTCACACCCTCCCTGAAAGCAAACATCTACTCACACACCCCCAACAGCCGCTACCGCACCATGGAAACCGCCGCCAACAAACTCCAAAAAGAAGCAAAAGGTTACCTCGACTCCCTGCGCGCCATGACCGCCTCGCAAATGCGCATCGCCGAAACAATCGACGCCTTCTACGGCGACGCGGGCACCAAAGACGGCGTCTCGCGCTCCTACAAACAAGCCGTCACCGACCTCGACGCCGAGACCATCAAGGCCCTCGACGGCCCCTACCGCACCACCGTCCTCGACCCCATCCAGCGCTTCTGCAGCTACTTCCCGGACATCAACAGCTGCATCACCAAGCGCGAGCACAAGCAAATGGACTACGACCGCATGCGCGCGCAGGTCAAGAAACTCACCGACAAGCCCGACAAAGACGTCACCAAGCTGCCGCGCGCGGAGAAGGACGAGCAGCTCGCCAAGGCGGCGTACGACCAGCTCAACGAGACGCTGACCACGGAGCTGCCGCAGCTGATCGATCTCAGGGTGCCGTATTTGGACCCGAGTTTCGAGGCGCTGGTCAAGATTCAGCTGCGCTTCTGTGCCGAGGCGTATAGCCGCATGGCGCAGGTGCAGCAGTATTTGGATGCGAATACAAGGGACCAGTATGCGCAGGGCGAGCTGGACGCCAAGGTCGAGGAGGTGCTGCAGGAGATTCGCGACCTGAGCATTGCGGGGACCGTCTAGAGCGTTGGTGTGGGGGGAAAGAGAAAGACCGGGCGGGCATGGGATATATTGGGATCATGGGGGTAAACAGTCCAAGGATGTTTGCTAAGGCGTTTTTTTTTGATCAATGTTTGCATCATTTCCCCGATTTTGGTGGGCGAGATTACTTTCACAGAGACGTCAATCACTTCTCACATCAACATCAGCATGATTTGCCCAAGAAATTTGAAGTCTGACAATGTTCATTGGGCTCTCAAAGCCTGCGCCCAAGGGAGAGGCGATGCTATATGCCGGAATAAGAAATAGACACTGGAAGAGGGCGTGAAATGCATAAAACGCCGTCCCAATGCAATGCAGACGTGACCCGTGAACCGCAACGTGAGAAATCCGCGATGCCGAACGCCACGCTCAAAGACGGAATACCATGGATGAAAACGAATTGTGAAGGGAAATCGTGCTGGTGTGGAGTTGGGGAGCCGGGTTGTGGGGGAGTATCGGAGTGGTGAAGGATGGCGTCGAGAAGAGTGGTCGGCGCAGTCGATCGAGAGATATGCCGGAAGCCATGTCTCATGCCCTCGCCGCGTCTCCCTCATTTATCCTCGTCATCTTCTTCTTCTTCCTCGTCCTCATCCCCCATATCCGAGTCCATCTCCCCATCCTCCTCCAGATCACTCTCACTCCCCCCAAAGCTCTCCACATCACTGTCCTCCCAACTCATCTCAAAGTCCGCATCGTCCTTCTCCTTCCGCCACGCCGTCTCGTGCGTCGGCATCACAAAACCCGCGGGGATATCCTGCTTCGACAGCTCGAGATCCTTGTTGACCAGGCCTTTGTACTCGTCGGGCTTGTTGCGCAGCATCACGCCTGCGTCGACATTGGCGGGCGACGAGACTTCCGCATCGTCGAGGAGGGAGAGGATCGAGATCAGCACGGTTTCCACACGCTGCACGGGCGACCAGCGCTCCGCGGCGGTTTCGCCCGACATTTCGTCGTCGCCCGGGGGGTGGAGGATGGAGATGCACAGGCGGCCGTCGGGGTAGATGTTGGGGTGGTAGAGGGGGCGGATGAATTTGAAGTCTGGTATGCTGTTAGCAGGTCTATCTCAAATCACAAGCTGGTGGTGACTCTGCGTGGTGACGTACCGGGCGGGGAGTGGGGATAGTTGCGGGGGAAGGTCATCTTGGCCTTAAAGTAGCCGCCGTAGTAGAGGGAGTCCTCGTTCAGCACGATGAGCGCTACGCTCCACTCGAAGACGTTGTCGTTGATGAGCTGGGAGGGTGGTTAGCTGGGTGCTCTGCATGCGTTTGATCGCCACTTTCTGGACACTCTCTGTCTGTACGCCGGTTGCTTACCTCGATGTTTGTCCACTTCTCCTTGCTAAGCTGCTTGAATTCATTCATGAGCACCCGCTGCGCTGCTTCCGCCATGATGTCTTCTCTTTCCAGAGCCGAGGGCCAAGCGTCTAGTCTTCGTGAGAGTTGCAGGAAGTGGTAGAGCGGCGAGAGTGTTGGGTTGGAGTGGGCGGGGTGGTTGAGAGTGAGTGTGAGCAGCAGAGCGGGAGAGCGTGGTGCTTAGTATGTGAGAGGTGAGTGCAACGAGGTGATACGGTTGTGATTTAAGGGCGTTTGGGAGGCGGGAGATGCATGCATGACCCAGTGCTCTCGCCGAACCGACGCCAGGGTACATCGCGCTGGCCAGCCCGGTCTCGCTCGGAAGTAGCCTAATTCACCGCCTGCCCTATGCGATCATCCAGCAACGGATATGCTTTCGTTCTGCAACTACCCGTTGGCCATTTTTCGCCGTCACCACGCCTTTTGCTTTCGGCTTTGTTGCGTTATGAATGAACCAGACACGTTGGTTCCGGCCGCACTTTCCGAGTTCGGAACCAGGGGAAAGAGCAGGTGAACCGACGACATCATCGCGTGATGGTGGCTATTTTGCACGCTTACACATCACTTTGCCATCACAGTGCCTGTGAGGTGCCGGACTGATTGGTAAAGTCCGACTGGACTCACTGCTCACGTCGCCTCTCAATTTATCATGACTGTCTATAAATTTTAGGAGAGATGGGACACATGTCCTCTTGCAGGCGTCGGATAAGAACTGCACATGGGTAAGCAAGACACCGCGATCATAACACCAGGAACCAAATAATCGTTCAAAAAACTTTTCTATACCCTTGTGTACGTGGCATATCTCATGTCTAACTAGCAAGGAGCTCTATAATGCTCGCTGTCGTCACCACATGGCCCTCCAACGCTCTCGCATGACATTACAAAACAAATATCGACAACCAAGAACCCGGAATCGGAATCTAAAAGACAAAGGAAAACTCGTCAAGAGCAAACTCAAATAAAACGCATCCTCTTCGCAACAGTCAAACAAACAGCAACAAAAAGGAAAATCGTACCCAAGATTCCGAAGAACCAAGCAATGCTTCCGTCCTGCCCAGGAACACGAACGTTCATGCCGAACAGACCGCAGATCAAGTTGAGGGGGACGAGGATCGTGGCAATGACCGTGACCTTCTGGAGCGTCTCGTTGCTAGCGTTGCCCTGAATGACTTGGTCTACCGAGATCTGGGCGAGGTAGTTGGAATGTGCGCGACTCAGCATCTTCTCGAAGTGGGACAAGTTAGACATCATGGTAACCACGTGATCCTGGATATCGCTAAGGTACATGCCCACGTCGCCACGAGGCGCAACACTGTAGGACTCGTTGCAACGCTTCGCAAAGCCCTTGATGACATCGGCCTTGCCGCCCAAGAGTCGGAGCAGCTGCATGACACGTTTGCGACAGTCGCCGACCGAGCGAAGAATGGCGCGCGAGTCTTCAATGCGTGCGGTGAAGACTTGGTCCTCAATAGCGTCGGCTTCGTCCTCAATACCGCGGATGACGGGTGCGAAGCTGTCAACAATGTCATCGATGAGGGCGTAGCAGATCCAGTCAGCGTTCAGGTTGATGTAGTCGCGAAGTCGGCTGATACGCTTGCGAACGTTGAGCGTGTGGGGGCTCTCGGTGAAAGTAAATGTTAGAATACCCTCCTTGAAGACAACAGCGTAGAAGTTGACAGGCTCAAGGTAGTCCTCCGAGTCCTTGTCGGCTTGAAAGAAGGACCGGAAAGAGACGAAGTAGTATTGGTGGAAAAGCTCAACCTTCTCACGTGGCTCCAAAAGACAAATATCCTCGCGTGTAAGGGGATGCACACCGAAGGCTTTCGCAATTGCAAAGACCTCCTCTTCCGTAGGGTTGACCATGTCAAGCCACCAAACACCACCGTCGGGAGGCGGCTCGAACAAGTCGCGGAAGCGCTCACCAGGCATGAGCAGACCACCAAGCTCCGCTGCATGGATGGTGTCATCGAGTTCCGAGGAGAAAAAGGTCCATCGGTTCTGTCGTGGCTCAATGGCATCGCGCTTCTCATTGAAAATGTGGGACAGACCTTCCTCGGCGAGCTTCTCCTGAATCGCGGGGTCGGCATCTTTCAAAGTCACAGCGTCCGAGTCCTTCTTTGGGGCGGTCGTGTTGCTTGACTTTGGTCGAAGGTCCGAGAAAACCTTGGGTTTGGAGAGGGTGTCGACACTTGGCTTGTTGTGCAACTCTTGGCCGATAAGCGTCTTGGTCTGTGGCTCGGCGATGAATTCCTCTAGTTCTTCGTAGTCAAAGCGTGTGGTCTTGCCCGGATCTTCTGTGACCGGGAAGCAAACATCTTCCTCGGCAGAACTGTTCGCTGACGACACCTCAATCGTGTGGTATTCATCACGCTGATCTCCATCTATTGTCGGTGCATGGCGTGCGGTGCCGCGAGAGTGTGTACGGTGAAGACCAAGGTCGACCTCCGAGGGCACATGGCTGTTGACAGTGTTTGCGCGGTCGCGACGGCGGGGACCTGCAAATGCATCGACAGAGTTGGGCGGCGATGTTGAGCGCGAAGTGGTCGAAGTAGCACGGGACCGCGATAGACGCTCCACGGCAGGGTCTTGAGGGCGAACAAAGGTGCCGCGACGACCACGTGTGTTGGGACTCGCAGCTACCGAGCCTCGACGGATGTATGCCTCGGGCGATAGATGCGCGTCGTCGTCGGCGACGGCATTTTCGAAATCGCGGCGGACTGTCTCGCCTTGGAGGGCCTCGTTGACTTGAAGGAGCAGCTGCGGTCGGTCTTCGAACTGAACGCTCGCGAAGGTTGGGCGGCGCGAACGTGGCTGGACAGGGGAGCCAGCGTCGACTCGGGGAAGCGACTCTGGCTGGCGGCGGTGGTCATCGAGATCAGACACCGGAGTGCTGAACCTCGTCTGCGACATCTCGGTCCTCGGAGTGTCAGTCATCTTGGCGATGGATCGGTGATGAGTGAGCTGCGAGGGTTCTTTAGTCTGTAATTAAGCCAGCTTGTTTTGTTTTTCTGGGCGTTGTCTTGCAGCGCAAGAACCTCGCGGCAAGGTGAGTCGCTTGTGAGCGCTCACCACTGAGGCGCGCTCAACTTGACGACAGGCTTCGCGTAGGGTCCTCCCCTACACTCAGCCGCTGGAACGTAGTTTCCGGTAGCCAGACTTCCTACCCGTGAGGGGAAAAGGAAGGGTTGAAAGTTTTAGTGTGTTTACGATAGCGGATGTGTGCGGTGTGCGAAAGCCCAGTTATGGGGGCTTCTTGTAGTCGCCTCCGTAGACCCACGCCTTGGGCCCGACGAGACGGCGGATCGAGGAGAACTTGTGAAGGTAGAGTCCCGCCAACTTGATGGTATTGAAGGTATGAACGCCGAAGCGTTAGGTGGTGCGTTTGAGGAGTATTGCGACGGCACAAAAACCCCTTTGCGAATCAGAAACAGTCGTGGGAGACGTCCACGGTTGTTTGTTGAGGGTACTTAGTCAGTGGCTCAGCTCGAAGGTTGCAGTCGCTGTGGCCGGTGCGGACAGCGAGAATACTGGGTGCAGTGGTGTCGGTGGGATTTTGTTGTCGTTGTTGTGAAATGAGTCCAGAAGGACGGTGGTGCAGCGTGGGCGAGGAGGAGGGAAGTGGAGGTTATAAAGAAGCGACCGACCGAAGTGGAGCAGGAACCGACAATTTTCACAAGGAAGGTCAACGGCAACGGCAACGGCGCCGCGATTGGACGGCGATTTGGCCGCAACGGTATTATGCACGCGCAAAGTGACGCATCCACAGGGGAATCACCGTGGCAATATGGTTCGATTGGGCTCGTATCCTGTTTGTCTCTGCGGCACAAACCAGGATGGTCTGGCTTCTGAAATGGCCGGACTGTTGTTGGTTTGCTGGTTTGCTTCAGGCCCGATCTTGCGGCTCTTGGGAACCCTGTCGTTTTAGCGCATCGAGAGCGCCCATCCAGAGCGTTCGGACAGATTGACGGTCGGCCATTGACCTGCAGCAGTGCAACCACGTCTGCAAACAGTCATACTCTACGCTGCCGTCTTAGCTACATCGATCCGACAAGTCACTTGCGATTGCACAAGTGCTAGAATTAAATCGCGCAACTTGCCAGAACCACATCCACCAAGCACCATGTCGGACCAGCTGCTAGAGCAGGTGCGCGATGCATTCGAGGGCCAGATTGTAGGCGGCTTCGTCGCCATGATGATTTGCACCGGGCTGACATGTGCAGGACTTTGAGGGCCAGCGGTTGGCGGAGATGCTGACCACAGTACTGTTGGGTGCTGCTGGTGTATGTCTGCCTTACTCCAGGGATGCAACCAAACTCACAAACACAGATCATAGCCTTCCTCGTCGGCTACTTCACACAGGACATCCGCATGACCCTCTATGTTGGTCTTGCCGGCACCGCGCTCACATTCCTCGTCGTCGTTCCCCCGTGGCCCTTCTACAACAAAAACCCCGAGGACTGGCTGCCAGCGAGCAACGCGAAGCAAAGCTTCAATGTCGACGTCGACGGACAGAAGGTTGGTTAAAGCACACGGTACATTAGGCAGGAGTTTGGGTATGTCACAGGCAATCATCTTGGACATTTGTTTGCGATTGAATGGATCTGTTCATTCATCGATGGTGCGCACCTGTGATGCTATAACCCCGTAGCTACTGTGACCTTTTGAAAGACCTTGCTGCGCCAGACGTCCGAAAGAAAGCACATACCCCATGTACGCCCAACCATGTTGTGTCTATCGACCATACTTCTGGAACTCCCAGTCTCGGTTGTCTAGCGGGCAGACCTGTCGCGTCTTAAGCCATCGTGAAATGCAGTGGAAGTGGAATGCGTGCTGCAGACTGTTAGTATACTTCAAACTTTAGTAAGTAAGAGTGTAAACGCACGTTGCAAATGCCCCAGGCGACCGTGCACTCTTCACTCGTGGCAGAGGCCTGGTTCGCCTGGCACTCGATACAGAGGTCCATGATGTGGTTACGGCAAATGGCGCAGTTGTCGACGACAATGTCCCAGGCCCAGAGAGCTACGGCGTTCCACTGTGACATGTTAGCTTTGCCTCGTGGCTGGCTTTGAGTTTGATTGCGCACCTTCTTGACTTCGAAGCGCTTCTTGTCACCTTCCGCGCTGGCACCAGCCTTGGGGGCCTTCGTCTTTGCTACGGGCGCATCGGCCATGTCCACGTCGGCCATGTTTGTGAGGTACGTAAAGTGTACAGAGGCGGGGTGTGCGGGGAGTGGGTGAGAGCTACTATGGGTGGCGGATGGCGGTAAGTTGCGGAGTTTGGGCGGGTGACGAGTTGAGATGGGGGAGGTGCAGCTTGGGGCACCTTGTGAAGAGTGGCAAAGTGGTTGGTGAGGTGCTGCAGAGTCCCAGGTGACTGTGAATCGCAAGGCTCCAGAGCAGTGCCTGAGAGCGGAACATGCCGCCAAGACCCGCGCTCTCACGCCTCCACACACTTGCTTCCCACGAACTACGGGACGACAGTGAATGGAAGCCGCCTGTCACGCGCAAAGAGAGTAGTCCCCGTGAAGTCATGCACCATGCCCCATTTTCATATTCTTCAAACATGTCAAACCGCTCGTTCATGCTTTCTGCCAGAACCACCATCACTGATTAGCAGCCCGGCCGCAATCGTCACAGGCCCACCCTTGTCTTGGCCCATCAGCCTTGTTTGCGGCGTCTCACAGCCCGACTAGCCCTGTCCGCCCAAGTCATCGACGACCAGCCTTCTCTCACAGCACTTCACCCACTCCCTCAATATCACCTCGGCTCTGCCTCACTCAACTCTATACTCTGGATATGAACACTTCAACCACTCGCGCCTCCACAACGACTTCACCACATCAGACCAGCCCGACATCACCGTCATCCCGAACCATCCCGCCGACGTCAACATACCGAGCTAAGAGCGCGCGCCGACGGCCATCCCGATAACCATTGTCGCATCACCAGAACACACACACACACACATACCCCTCACACATGTCGACAGGACAAGTAACGGCGTCGCCACGCGCCCCTCGGGGCAAGAACCAGCAGGTGCAGGGCGCACCTGCGCATGCGCCGCAGAGCAACAATGGCCGTCAAGGGCAGCGACGGCCCAAAGGCGGTCGCAATAATCAGAACCAGCAGAACCAAGCAGGCGCGTCTCCCAGCAGACACCCACAACACGCAAACCCCGCTCTGGCTGAGAGCGCCGTCTTCCCAAGCGAAGAGGCGCAGTCCGCGAATGGACCGCGCCACAACAAGAAGCACACGCGCGCTCAACCTTCTGGCGATCGCGTTTTCTCGCCGCCCGGTGCTATGGCCTCCTTGACCGACAGCGAAGGCGCTCCTCCAATTCCAATTTCTGCGACTCCAGCCAAGAACCAGGGCGCATATGCCGGCCCAACTTTCCATGCTTCTCCTGCGCCCTCTGCTCTTCCCATTCCCAAGTTCTTGTCTCGATCTGTCCCAGCCAAGTCTCGCATGGATCCGCCTACTCCACCGCCCGAGGACAGTTCTGACTCCACAGGTTCGCCCAACTCTTTTGCTGGATCTCCTTCACGTGCACCCATTCCCGTTCCTGCTCGCAACGAAATGTCTCCCTTAGATCTGCTGTTCAAGGCCGACCGCGCGGAGCGAGCCAAACATGTCGGCGGTAGTCCTGCGTCTCCTCAATATTTCAATTCTGCAAACCCGGTTCGGCCGCATCACTACAAACAGGACTCTTACGGCTCGCTTAATGCCCCGTTCCCCATTGAGCTCGACGGTGAGAGCAGGAACTCGCACATGTCTCCACCTCCAACAGCCTCTCCCATGGCAGTGCGATCTTCGACCGATCCTAATAAAATTCCGCAACTCAAGGACGCCCAGCAGCAACCAAATAAAAACGAAGTCATGCAAGACCTCCTCACCCGGCTATCCATGTCGCAGAAGAAGCCGACTGCTGCAACTCCCCCGCGACCGGATACGCAAACACGTAATGAAACCCCCTCGCCTTTGCACGACAGTCAATCCGCCGTCCAGAACGCCTCTGGGCCTACTACGCCTGCTCAAGCACCCCAGGAACCATCTGACTATCATTACGGGAATAGGAACCTTTCTCCTTTGTTCAAGGCTGCGAAGGGCGAGCCCTCCAAACGTAATTCTGGCCTCCGCACGGAAATTACCGCAGACTCTCCATTGGTCGCGCAGGGCATGTTTCAGGATTTTCCCTTCTGTATCTTCTCCCCCGGCAATGGACCCCAACACGTACTCTCGCAACTATCCCGTTGGTGGTAGCGAGATCCCTACAGGTCCGCGGCGCGGATCTCCGTATGTTCAGCCTCATCGTGGCTCACCAAATCACGGCAACAGACGGACACCAGGAAGACAGCCAAATCAGCATCGACCCGATGCCTTCTCTCCGAAGCCCGGCGGTGGTGCACCAGGTGCCAAAGCAACCAAATCAGGCTTTAATGGTACTCCCGTCTCTGTCCAAAAGCCTGCTACTTCGATGATGTCTTTTGTTCCGGCTTCGGTTTCTGCCAAGCCAAAGCAGCTTTCGTCTTCTGCTCCCTCCACCGCGGCTGGCCCACCTCCGATGAAGACCTCAACTCCTCCTAATACGTTGGCTTTGGAGCAGGATCTCAAGCGCATGCTTAATTTGAAAATGAGCGATGATGCGTCCGGCGTTCGATAGCTCTACATTTGTCATTTTTTGCGACTTGCTGCATAGCTTGCGATGGAAGCGGTTTTCTACCACTCGTGTCTATCTTTTTCCCTTTGTCTATATATTTCGAATTGTGTTTATGTAGCCATGTTCCATGGCATATCATTCGTTTCCCAGTTTTACGGAGTTCTTGGCGCTAGAACAGTGGCAAGCTGGTTGCGTTGGCATGCCATTGGGTCTGGATGGTGTTTGTGTACGATGAAGGATCCTGCGGTACTAGGGACAGGCATGCATGGGCTTCTTGTTTGGCGCTGTCCATGAACGGCTGCATGAGCGCGGTATACCAAGAGCTGGGTTTTGTGTACTTCCGGCGTGGACGGGGTGCTTTGCTATACTTTTGAGGTCCTTCCGGTAACGTTTTGCCCCGGCACCTCTGACAATCCTCTGCTATCCGACTTTGGATCCAGGCACGACTTCACTCGATCACAACAACATCAAATCATCAAGTAAAAATAAAGAAAAATAAAGGGCATGGCACTCCTTCGTCACTTTCTGGGTGGCGAGGGGTGACCATGTTCAAACTAAACTCTGGTCGTGTTGTCTGTCGACGTGATGGTGAATCATGGCCTCATCCCGGAGAGATATCAACTCCGAATGGGGTCCTACTAACAAAGAATGCAATATCTCGTGTACTCTGGATACGAAGTTTGAATCGACTAATGAATCGCAGTTCGCTCTGCGTGTTGGGTCTAAATGTTGTTCCCTTCTGGTCCTCTCGTTCCTGCCGCGCCTGCCCATTATCCACGTGGTGCGACGTCATTTCAGCGCGACCTTGTGCACGACTTCAGGCCTATGTTATGCGAAAATTACATTCTTGTTTTTGCCTTTGTTGAGCGCGATACGAGTGTTCGCGACAAATAAGTGCAATACGGGGGTCCTCACACCCGAGTTCACTTTCACCATCAACAGCTCGCAAACGCGTGCACCGTGCACCAGGCGTTAGTCTTGTTCGCCGCCTACAGTCGTCCCACTTTCATTTCTACCATCGCACTGCCGAGTCGGTGTTGCGCTCAACCAAACGTGTCGTTAAGTTCGCGTTCGCTCACTCAACCGTGTTCCGCGCGCAAGAGACAATGAAGACTCTCAAGAGCAAGGGTACTTACTCAACCCTTCATACATACTCAGTCTCGCACTAATGCAGTTCGTAGCTTCGCGCTTCTTCAGAGACCCTCCGAGTCAGGACGAGAAGATGGCTCATACTGAACTAAATGGCGACATAGACTTCAGTGCTGGAATCCAAAGCCATGGCATGAAGTACAAACGTGTGAACACCTTTCTCTCAGCTGCAACACTTCCACTAATACTGACAGCTTCTCGCTTCTTCTTGCGCAAGACAGGCAAGCTTGACAAGTCACCGCCTGTAGTCTACGAAACCGTACCCCTAAGCTTGGTTGCCTGCCAGGAGAACCAATCTGAGCGTGACAGCTCGTTAGATGAACCGCCAGTCACAAGCACCGCGTTCCGGTTCCCCCAAGTCTCGTCCGATCTTGCACCGTCACCGTTGCCCTCGAGCTACCCGAGCAGCACCCATAGCTCGTGTAAGCAAGAGGCGGACTCACAAAAAGTGAGGCCTCGCCCTAGTTTCGCAACACTGAGGACCAAGAGTATGTTGTGCTCCCTCTAATGCTCCTCACTTAAATCGAATTCGACACTGACCTCACTCCTCAGGCTCCCGTTTCTTCCGTAACAATGGCTCCCGTAACTCGTCACCGCCTCCCCCGCCAGTTCCTCAGATCCCGGTGGACCCCGAGGCACCTCAACCCCGTCGTCTCAACTTGGTTCCAGTGCACGTCCCGCGCAACTCTCGCTCCTCGCTCATCCTCCCCCAAGGCGGCCACGCTGCCATCTCGCGACCCGTCCATCTGCCTCAGTACTCCAATCTGCCCATCCCGGAGAATGCCGCCACGGTTCCCTTCACCAAGCCAGCTGGTCCGCCTCCATCCCGTCCATCCAGACCCGAAAGCCTCGATGCAGAGACCATGACCTTCATGCAACAGAGTGGTATGCGCATGGTGATTGGCACCAGCAACCGCGCGAGCAACAGCACGGCATCTTCATCCACTCCTCGCAGCTACACCAGCTCGATTGAAGCACGCCTCGGCTTCCCGTCCGGCCACAGCACTCCCCGATCCGACTCTCTCGACTCTCCGCTCGCTGCTCGCTTCCCCCTTGACACGTTCCAGCCCCTCCCGATCCGCGACAGCACGGGTAGCCTCAAGTTCAGCCGATTCAGCGAGTACGTCAGGGCCGAACGCGGCGGGTATGCTGGCGATGGTGTCGACGAAGCCGATCGCGAACTGGGTCCCATCGAGCAGTTCGACAAGGCCAAGGAAGGTCAGTGGACGCTGGAGAAGAGGGTCAGCCAAGGCCCGAATGGCAATTCGGGCATGTTGTTCCGCGATAAGGCGGGTGCGTTTCACTTTGTTGCTGACATCTAGGAGGTGGACCAGTAGTATTGGTGGCGTTGGCTTAGAAGGGGAAAGGTTTGCATGCGCGATCGTCTCGCTGGGTTTTTGGCGTGGATGCGAAGACATGTCACTAAGAGTGCCCTGTCTGTATGCATGGTATTTCGAGCAGCGTTACAAGGCACTATGCAAGGCAGATAACACACATCTACAACCGTTTTTGAAATATTCCAGCACGAGATTACTACGACGGTATGCATTGTATGGCCGGTGCTTGTTAGTGATATGTAATTTTTACCTCTACCCCTGCCCGATATAAATCTATCGGAGCATCTAGATGTCAGTAAGACTAGATTCGCTGTTGGTGTTGAAATGCTCACTGCCGGGTTGCGAGGCTGATGTGCGATGGATCTCGACGTGTAATGACGAAGCTCTGCGGATTGGCAAGGGGTGATAAGGCCCATGTATATCTGTCCGCGCGCAGCGTACAAAACTCTGGTATTCGCCAAGCTCTTTGAGCTTTAGAGTGTTGAACCGAGCAAGCTTGAGTATAGTGAGTAGGAACTATATACTGAGAGTGTTTCTCGTGGCGTGTTGAGAGGATGATCGCATGTCAGCAAGCAGGCACGCGAGTACGAATCCATCTGCAGTTTGGCCTTGCTAGAATGGCGTTTTTCTTCTGTCGCTGCAAATGGATGTTTGTTATCTGGTAAAATTGATTTGTGCACGACTATCGTTCCAGAGAATCAGATGGCATGATATGTTTGAAAGGTTCGTGTTCTCCTTGCGTAGCTGTCTGTCTGTATGGCTGGATTGACATTCTTGCTATCGAGTGAGTGCGGGAAGTGTAGTTTATCATGAATCATTAGGGGTCCCGTAGCGGGACGGAAGTGATCAAGTTCCTATATACACCAGGTGTAGCAATAATTCGTGCGCGCTGTGCCTCACGATCCTAGGCACCATACAAGAGCTATTCCGTCGAGCTGTCTATCTCCAAGGGTTCTCCAAGCTCTTTGTAGCGTACTAACTAGCCATTGAGACTATTCAGGATTACATGTGAGTTGACAGTTGCTGGCTGATAGTAGGTTGAGTGTATACAGAACGCGGGCGAATCGTTGCTGCACCGGGTGCTTGTACTACAAGTATGACGATTGATCAAGATCCCCACACTTGGAATCTCGACTTTGTTCAGAATTTTCGTGGTACGACGTACATTACTCACAGTAATCTTGGATATGTTGATATGCGTTGATAGTGACGCATATCATCGTGTTACTCACCTCTATCTCTGAGTCTTACAGCAGTCACCCATTTGGTGACAGTGTCTCATCTATAAAAGCCCGTAGAAACGGGCGCACACTAAGCCAACAATAAACACAACTAAGAAGGGCAAGCAGAATCGTGACATTTAGAATCTACTAGCAACGATAGATACAATGCTCAGACACGGTCCCATTGATAAACCCCAGAAGGTACGTTCAAAGTAACATCCAGCCCAGAAAACAGAAAGCTCATCCCACCATCACAACCCAGCCCTGGATCTGCATGGCCTGCGTCCAAACCAAAGACCCGTCTCAGAAATTCCAGCTCAACGATACGTACTTCTGCAAATCATGCACCGGGAGATGGGGTGTCAAGAACGACCCGAATCACATAGAGTACATGCTCTGTCGACGCACACTCCGCGACGCCGAGAACAAGCTAATCCTTGACCATGAGAACAGACCAACTAAGTGTAGGCACAAGAATGCAGTCGCAAACGCCACCTGCTTGGCGTGTACTGCAAGGTTGCCGAATAAAGACTTTGGGACGCATTTGAGCTCGCAGACGCCGGTTCTGCTGCTCTACAAAGGCGCGGCGGACACGCCATGGTTTTGCGCGACTTGTGGGGTTCTTAATTCTGTAGGGAAGCTGAAGTGCCATGATGAGTGCGGAGTGCTGCGTGAGAGTGGGCTCAAGGTCTTTTCTGTTCCTTCGACGTTGGATGCGACGGCTTAAGTTGAGGTAGGTGCTTTTATAATAGTTTTCTTTTACCTCGAAGTCGTTCTTCTTGGGTTCGATCTCAAGATTTCATATATGTTGTATTCTTTGACAAACTGTACTTAATCTAGTTTTGCGTCTACTGAGAGAATATTCAGCTTACATTCACACATTGTTGTGCTTGCATCAATCAGCTTTGTCACAGAGATTTGATTGTCTCAAGTATAAGTTTATGTCAAATCTCGATAGAATCTCTGTCATATATTAGCAGCTCTCCTCCGGGCGCTACGGTCAACTTTCATCAGAGGCTTGACCGTCCCCATTTCAAACTATTTTCCCTCCTCCTGAAGCAAATGAATCCTATACGCCCCATCATCTCCATTTTCCCCCAATTTGACCCCACAACCTTCCGCCTTGCACTCTGTCCTCCCCTCCTCATTATCCGTATTCGACCTCGTGCAAAACCACGGGCCAGGATGCTCATCCTCCCTCACGAAACGCACATACTCATCTGCCAGCTTGAAATCCAACCCATGGACATGCAGCTTCTCTCCGGGCATTGCCTTGCTGCAAATAACCTGTCGATCTTGTCTTTGTGGGGCCGGGCAGTTTTTAGTTCCGACGGGGTTTACTTCCATGCAATATTTACCCTCTTCAAGACTGGGACTGAGACAGATGATCCAGTCGATGTTATTGATATTCCCTTCAGCATCCTGTCTCTCCGAATGACACTTCTGGCATTGGTACGCTAGTACTGCGCTGTTGGGGGAGTTGATTTGGACCTTTTCTTCCTCGGGGTTGTTCAGGAGGCAGACTTTGCAGATCCACTTGCTCATGTTAGCAAACCGTACTGCTAACACTGGGTGGGATTGCATGGCGCTAGTTATGGGTTGTTGGTAGATATATTTTACGTGGGTCAATGGATGAAGTGTTTGGTAAGTTCTTATCTAACTGTACGGGGAGGTGGTAGGATTCGACAGTTTGCAGAGAGTTTTGAAGTCTTTTATTTACCTAGATACATGTTGCAGGTAAGTCATCTAACACATGACTGTCAAAATAGTCATAGGAATTGATCCATGACACTGCAAATCGTCGCCACCAACGATCTCGAGACTGACTTCTGTGATATAGGAGTCATTAAATACCTGCAGCGCACTTGCGATTTTAGGTGAGTATCCCGTTGGTAACACTGTCTTTCACGACAGAGATTCGCGTCACACTGGAGGCTCGCCTTGAGTGTTCTGAAAGAGTCAATACGCATTTAAATACAGGAAACATCTTCTCACTCTTTTCAACTACGTCTCGAAACCTATTCTATCAAATACAATCTCCCTACTCGACAACTATTATCTTGCTAAACTTGACATACGAATTCCACCACTTGATTCAAATACCTGGGTACACAATTTAGAATGGACATTGCACTAAAGACCCCTCTCTATTTGCAAGAAGAAGTGTGTGCAGTATGTCTTGCTCGATCCGTTTCTAACATTGGACAACTGACTTCATCTTAAAGGGCGACTACCCGATAGAAATCAAGTTCCCAGGTTGGTTATGCGATCATGGCGAATGGATCACCGGCTACGATCAACTATGTTCCGGGACGAGTCTACCGGAAACATCCTGCGCGATGAAATACAACAACGCAGTTGAATACTTCAAGCAGGACTGGATTTGCCGCCGATGCTCCTTGAAGCATGGAACCAAGAGACCACAATGGCTGCAGTATAATTCTGGAAGCTCGATATTTTGCAAGCGCTGCGCTGCCCCTCGCGGAATAGGTCCAGGTAACAATTCTATCGAATTTATAATTTGCATGAAGGTGCACCAGCCCAGAGATGGTAGCGCCGCAAAGCGCTGTCGCTTCACGACTCGTGTTGGTGGGATGACCCATGTTGATGATGATGGTAAGCCCTTGTGCCGCAACAACCTTTGCGACAACCCCATGCCGTTTGATGGGATGGATGGATCGAATGATTATAAGGATAAGTACGCTCTTAGATTGAAGAATGATATAAGAGAGCAAAACACATGGCTGTGCAAGATCGACGGGGAAAAGAACAAGAAGGTTGAGCATTGTAGTTTTGAAGGTTGCGGCAAGCATTTCGTTTCCCATGGAATCCCGATTGCTTCGTATTGAGCTTTGTTATTGCAGTTAGAATAGTTACTAATACATCTTGATTTCTGTGCTTATTTGGGTTAGCTTTGGAACCCGCAATGCAATGCACGCACCTGATGCCGCAGATCAAGTTTACAGTTCTACATACTAATGAAAGGAGATTAAGGCAATGAAAAAAATTGTAGGGCGTAATTTAAACCCATTTGATCTGTCATCAGAACCATAGACTCATTATGTTTGCCAAAGGATTGTGCTGATGATATTCAGGACGTCCCATGGTCTAAGTCTGACATCGGCGACATACTTCGCGCTTAGCTGTAGTATTACATGAAACGCTGGAACTTCTTAAATAGTACCTAATCTCGTAGTAAATTGTGACTAGACCGGCTACATTTCAGGTTGTCGTAGTGTTCATTTATGAATCAATCCGACATATGCCCTGCGCCGCTACCTTGGCTTTTATTTGCATCAAGCGTCAATCAATAAACCTCGTGTGATTCATACGCAAGTATCAGTAGCGAAAATTAGCGACGTATTCATATTCAATCGAAACACTCTTGATGTCATCCAAGATAAGTTGAAGGTGAATTGCTTCACTTGTGATGCGATATCAAGCCTGGATCTTCTAAGGAAACGACCGGGTATTCAATTTGGTTGGCCGAACAAAGCTCGTCCACTATCAGAAACTAATTGTACAGATACCACATCTCGTGCCACTACCGGAAATAAAATTGCCACAATTTGCCATCCTCACGGGCCTTGCTTTCAGCGTAGGTTCTGTCAACACCACATCTCTTGCAAGGCCCAGCGCTCTTGATCTTCCAGTCTGGCTCTGGGGTGCAGTGACAGAAAAACCACCACTGCTCCTTTGCCAAGTATGCAGGATGGATGTTGAGGAACACGGTCGCCACATTGTCCAATGTGACAGGACTGCCGTCCAGAGTGACTCCGCAACCGCTTTCGGGATGATCAAGGAAGGGACAATCTCTCCGACTAGCGGGGTTGAAGTTCGATCTGCTCAAGGTGCCATTTTTACGATCGCCAGTTGCATCCCATTGCTTGAGAGAACAAATACCTTTGCATTTCCAGTACCATGCACCTCCGGTGCGAGTTCCGGGACAGAAACTTCCTCCACACTGTTCGCTCTCCAGCACCGTGCGGTACTTCTGACAGTGTCTCATCCATGGCTCGTTTACGGTCATTCGGGAAACATGCCTCGCCTTGCACTTTAAGCAGATCCATCGCTGATCGCACCCCTCTATGTCAGCAATCGACTCCACCATACCGAGAAACTCTCCGCGTGCGCTCGAGCAGGCAGGAAAATCTGCGTTACATTCCGTAGGATGATCAGCATCATCTTCCCATGGGACAATCTGTCGATGGAGACAGATCCACACCCGCTCTTCAACAGGAATCTATCTATAGAATCAGTCCAACCTTACTGGGTACATATGTTTCTTGACTTCTTACGCGGCAGTCTTCGAAATACTTGACCAGCCTGTCTCTACGTTCTTCAACTAAAGCTGGTGTATCCTCCACGGCATCTGGTGCAGGCGGTGCGATGGCAGAAGATTGTGTCGTCATATTGAAGAGGATGTTGTATGTTTGATTTGGTGCTCTGTTTGTAATGAATACGTTTTGTATGAAGTATAATATGAACTTTCTAAGCGTCTGCTCAAGCAGAATTTATACTTGTCCAGCTTCCAGTCATTCAAACTGAAGTCATAGCTACGGTAGAGCAGAGCTTCCTCGTTCGGCTACAGTGAGGTGCAATTGTACCCCAACTGTTACACGAGACCTCATGTACGAGCTACTTGAGGGGCGGTCTTTGTCATTTTCTACAGTCATGAAGGTTAAGTGACTGGAACACGTCGGTGGGCTGGGATTTGCCATTGTTTTGTCGTTCCGGGGTCTTGTCCCAGCCGTCATGTGGAACGCCAACCAGGTGCGAAATGATGTGGCCCCAACTCAGAACCAACTGCCACCAACACTCCTTGTTAAGCATGATTAACGCTAGAAACAACTCAACAACCTCGTATACTTCTGACACCACAGGGGCATTTTTGTATCGGTATTGAGTTCAATTGTGAAGAACGGTAAGGGCTACAGACTTTCTTTCCCTACGACCCAGTGCTGCATGACATGTTGAAACCATGGAATACACATGCTCTGATTTATAGCAGAGTGTCGTCTTACTTGAACTACTTTGCAATGTAAAGTGCACGGTTGCACAGGTCTACAAGCCGATACTACGGTAAGGTGCGGGTAAATGGCATAGGTCGCCATGAGGTCGATTGTGACCGATCACGCACTGATCGCCATCAACTCTGTGTACGATGAACAGGGATCTGCGGATCGTGGGTTGTCCTTTAGATGTCTCACTTTAGCACATCCGGTTCTCACTCGAGAGTCCACCACGCAGCGATTGTTATTTCAATCAGAGGTAGATGCACGCGTCAGCGTATAGAAAGAATTTGCATGAAATCAAGCCGCTAAAAGTGCTAATGACCCATCTGTTTACATGCTCAAGTCCCTCGTAATGTTGCCGCGAGAGTCATACAGAATTGACCTCATCATCAGAGCTTCGCATCACACCGAAGACTCACCTTGACCGTTCTCACAGAGTCATCACTCATATAAACACCTAATTTTTTCAGTTTCTTTGTTTAGATCACAGATCCAATACATAAAACCCGGTTCATAAGCGTCAAACTTTCTTTCGTGCTCACACATATTTTCCTGATCATTGCACACAAGTAACACTACTAGAATCCATTAGAACGGAATGGTGTAGTCAAGGCAGAGTGTGCTAGATGCTGCAATAGAAGGAGAAAATCCTCCTGACTATTATCAAAAACCTACCACAGAGGTATGTCTGGGTCTCGGAGGATCGTACCGTGTAACCGCCAAAAACATCATTAAGTCTGGCGAACCCACAGAGACAAAGTTCCCAGGCTGGTTATGTGGCCATGGCGAATGGATCGAAAGCTGGAAACAAACATGTTCTGGGAAAATTGTGCCAGCAGTAACTTGCACACTGACCTTGAATAACTCCATCGAGTACGATGAACAAGACTGGCTTTGCCGCCACTGTTTTATGATTGTAACCTCGGCAAGAAGAAAACTGCAGTATAATCTTAGCAATGAGGAGATTTGCAGACTTTGCGGCACTGCCCGTGGAGTAGGTCCAGCCAATCAATCAATCGAGTTCTTCATCTGTATGAACATTGTCAAGTGGCCGGACGGCAAGGAGAAGGTCTGCGGTGTCGCAAATCGTATTGGGTCGCTTTCCAAGGTCGATGGTCATGGTCGGCCGCTTTGTCGTGGCGGGTACTGCGAAAGCCCGCTGCCTTTGAGGAATAGTGAGGGACAGTCAGGGTACAGTGACAAGTGGTTCGTTCCAAGGTTGAAGAAAAGGGTGGATGGGACTAATCGGTGGATCTGCAATTGTGATTTGCGAATAAATGGTAGGGCGGATGCCTTATGTATAACCTGTAGCAGATCAAGAGAAGGAACTGGGATTGGTATCTAGCTGTCGGTACATGAGTGGAGCGTAGATAATTATACACGCTGACTGTTATTACAGATCATGGACATATAGTACAAGGAACAGCATATGTAGAAGTTGACTTCTACTACCATCGTGTTCAACTAATATGTATATCTAGCTATAATGAAGATGTCTCCGTAGTGTACTCTCCGCACAACTTTTACTACAATCATTACTTCAAAACAAGGGACGCGAGCTCAGGTCACTCGAAGCTAGTTGAGCGTACATACAGACTTCATTGGGTCTTAATCAATTGCTTTTCAACAGGTTCCACGGGAGCTAGGGAGGCGCAGTGTGATAGCAAAGAGATGAAAGGCCTTATAATGTGTCGGACGCGAAAGCTCATCCTGCTCTCCTCAACTCAAGCCGTCGTCTTTCGAAAGATTCTTCGTTTAGATTTTATATACACGATACAATACACTCTTATTGCATTGTATGAGTACAGCCCACGGTTCATGATACTGTATCCCGACAATCTTGTGATTCTGCACCTGCCTATGTTATGTTCTGGTTGTAACGAAATATCCAGCGTCACTAGGCCCCGGCGAAATTCCTGCCCGCCTCTACCCAGGAGAAGAGTGAAGAGGTAGCCTGAATACGCTCAAAACCCTTTGAAGGACTAGATAAGATATATTATAACACCAAATACACTTAGACTTCCTCATAAACCTTTGGGTACGCCCCTAAAGGCTACTAGATTGCTTCGCGCATGTGCAGACCTGACACGAATTCTGCAGCTGCCTGGTGGCATGTACGGTTTCCTGCATTGATGCTTAGTGCCATGACACGGCGTCTCTCTTCTTTCAGACCTAAGATTTCCGACTAAATCGACAGATGAATCCACAAGAAGACTCAGGTCACGTTTAACCAATAAGTTTGGATCGGAATAAGTCGCTGGGTGATCCATGTTCATGCAAAGACGTCCGGCAGCTGCCGCCGTTCATGTTCCTCCATTTGGCGCTAGGAATCGAGCTACTGAGGTAGGAAAACGAACGGCGGTTAGACTCGAAATCTGTAACTCTTCACTTTCTCCACTTACAACGATCTCGCCTTACAGTCTGCCGGGAAGGCCATTGCCCTTGAGGTTTCCTGAGAATTGTTCGAAAACCACGGGTCTTTCAAGCTGGGATGATTAAGATGATCCAGGCCCGAAAGAGACTAGACGAGATATGAGTGGCAATTCACTCAGGGTGTACACAGTCATACGATCTCGCTTCCTGGTCTGCAAGGAAACATATGCCTTCAGGACTTCCCCGTGCATCTTCTGAGAATGGTCGGGTCTTTGAGGTCTTGGCCAACGAAATTAGGATGAGGCTGTGGTGGCACGCCTTATATTGTACCCCTGGCATGAAACCGAAGGAACGCCGCGACGGGCGCCTAACAACTTGACAGACTTATAATATCGGTGTACGGCGCAAAATATTGACATTTGGACTTTCGCAGCCGCGCCCTACATTGTGCCACAATGGCCGAAGGCTGGAAACACGAGCTGGACGAACCGAAAACGGTTGAAACAGCAACCTTCCTCGAGCCCAAGACGTCCGCGAGATCAAAACGGTTCCAAGGCTGGGGTGCTGGAGTCCTGACTTGTACTTTATCGACGTGTCTGGTATTTCTGATCAATATTTGTCTGAGCCTCGGAGTGCTGGGACGTCTAGGTTGGGGACGAGATGGCCAGCCAATTCTGCACGAAGGCCAGTGCGCCAAAGTCAGCAAGCTCAGTACTGTGCTTCATATTTTCATCAACGCCATGAGTATGACTCTATTGAGCGCCAGTTCATACTGCATGCAATGCTTGTCGGCACCCACACGTCGAGAACTGGATTCCGCGCACGAGCGACAGTCGTGGCTTGACATTGGCGTTCTCAGCCCGCGGAACATCAAATCGGTAACGCGAAGCCGTCAAGTACGTTGGCTTATCTTGGGCCTATCAACGATACCGTTGCATCTCTTGTAAGTGGTTGTCCACGATGCCCCGGCTGCATGACTAACATTCTCTGGTTACAATTCCGTGGTCTTCTCTTCCACTGGAGCGAATTCGTATCACCCCATATTGATCAAAGACTCGATTCTCAAGCTCAGCCCCTCTGCTGAGCTCTATCGTTCAGGCACATCACCGAGCAGTTTGATACAATGGGAATATGCCAGCCTCAACCCTGATCTACGCTCACTTCAGACAGGCGCATTGACCTGGCTTCCGGAATTGAACAGGTTGAGAAAGCTACATGCCGATGGGCAGCTTACAAAGTTAGAAAACTACGACTGCCTCGCGACTTATGCTGTCCAATACCAGGTGAAGGGCAGTGTCTTGTTGGTCACGGAAAACTCAACACTGGAGGACGATTTCAGCTCAGGTGTCGGTGGACCTTGGACCAGACAGAATTGGGTCTGCAAAGAACACAGCTGCGACCGCTACAACACCTCAGCAGCAACAAGAGAGATGTGGCAGCATCCGGAAACTTGGAGAATTGCAGACATTGATGTGTCGTATTGTCTGGCTGAAGTTCTACTGGAGAAGTGCAGGCTTCAGCTCAGTCTACCATTGGCATTCGTTGTGGTTTTCCTCAACGCCATCAAGGCGATTTGCATGGTCACTATGCTGTTCGGAGGCAAGAAGAAGATGGACCACTCGCTGATCATGAACATTGGAGATACCGTCGCATCGTTCCTTGATCGATCCGAAGCGATCACCAAGAACATGTGTCTAGCATCATCGGATGACCTCAGGTAAGAACCGAACGCGATAGTTGGCCGACGAATCTCTACTAATACAACGAATGTACTTACAGACGGGCAAACAACATGTCATGGCAATGGGACACACGACATAAAGAATTCACCGGAACGCACCGGCGACGCCACATCTCCGCAAGCAAGACCAGATGGGTGCTGACATGCTTCTTGTGAGCCCGCCTGTCTCAACAGGAAGACCCAAGCTAACTAACAACCGTCAGGTACATGCTCATGCTCATCGCCGCCATCTTCCTCCTCAACAAAGGCTTCAAGTCCGCAAATCCGAACGCAAGCGTATCGCCCCTCACAATAATGAAGTCCATAGGCTGGAGCGCACCCGACGTCCGTACCATGATCTACGGCCCCACAAAAGACCTCATCGCCAACGCCATAATTGCAAACTCTCCCCAACTCATCCTCTCGTGGGTGTACTTCTCCTACAACGGCCTGCTCACACTGCTCGCCATGGCGCGAGAGTGGGAGTCATACATGCTGCACCGCAAGGGTCTGCGCGTCTCTGATGCCCCGCAGGGAAAGCAGCGATCGACGTATTTTCTGCAATTGCCCTACCGACTCGCGATTCCGTTTATGTTCGTCTCGGGCTTTCTGCACTGGATCGTCTCGCAGTCTTTCTTTCTGGTTAGTGTGCAGACGTACAGTTACGATACGGATGATCCGGTGGGGTGGAAGTTGCAGTTAGATCATCCGGCGACGAGGGTTTCAATTGGGTATTCATTGTTTCCGATGGTTGTTGGGGTGGTGTTTGGCGGCGTGCTTTTGGTCGCGATTATTGCTGCGGGATGTGCGCGGTTTAAGACGGGAATGCCGGTTGTTGGGAGTTGCAGTGCGGCGATATCTGCGGCGTGCCAGCCGCTTGGTGAAGATGATGGCGACGCTGCTGTTGCGGCTGTCCAGTGGGGCGAAATGGGCAGATGCAGGAATGGTATTAGGCATTGCGGCTTCTCGAGAGAGGAAGTGAGGGAGCCACTTATTGGGGAGTGGTATAGATGACGACAAGTTGGCACGCTATCGAATATCAAGCAGCATGACTACCTAGAAGTGAAAGATCTTTGGTTATGTGCCTGGGCCACCAGGTGGCGGCAACATTTCTGCCCGCCTTTTCCTGATAGAAAGAGGTGAAGAGGTAGCCTGTATATCTTCAAAGATTTCTAGGAAGACAAGATGCAGCATCTTAGAGCTACGTATACATTTAGGCTCTCCTAAGCTTGTAATGGGCATACCTCTAAAGACTTTTAGGTTATATCGCGTTGGTGCAGAACGGGCACGAATTTTGCCGCTACTTGGGAGGGCCGTTCGTATTCCGTACAGGGCATGTCACTGAAGGCCATGGGTATATAATATACATGCATAAATTGGTGTAAGGACCTAGTCCCCGGGGCATCGGCTATATAAGTATGCGGAGCCTAGGTCATGTGAAAGGGCAGAATTCTAAACAACGAGAACGAAGAAATTGTTAACCTGCTATGTCACATTGAGACGGAATCGAAGAAAAGGAAGTCAAGTCTTTCACTGCAAAACAAAACATAGGCCCTGTAGACGCACTATCACAAGATCGAAAGCAGCAATACTTCGCAAGTGTACGACTTCGTCTATCGAATACTTGTTGCAACGAAGAAAGACAGTACACATAACGTCAGCTCAACCGACTCTCAGCGCAGCTCCCCCCATCCGCAATCCTCCCTCACATCTCCATCCCCGGCAGCTTCTCCAACCACCCATCCGTCTGCTCCCCCACAAAATCCTTAACCGTACACTGACTCGCCACATTCATCTGCTGCTTCTTGATACTCCCACACCCATCATAGAAGCACTCGCTCTTATCCATCGCCTTCTGCAGGGCATCTCCCTTCCAGCCAAACATGTAATCCGCATGCGTCCCGTACCCCGTCGGACTCCCCTCAAAGCTCCACACAAACGGATTCGCCCCACCGCTTGGCCACAAACTATTGAATTTACTCGTGTCCCAGACAGTTTCAAAGGTTACTTGCGGGACGCGCACGGGGTGTGTGGACGGGCAAGCGGGCGCGTTGGTGAAGCCCTCCGAGGTTACTGTGTTGAACATGTGCGAGGCGTGGTCGGGCGAGTCGAGGTTCTTGCCGTCCCAGCAGCTGTGGAGCGTTAGAAAAGTGGAGTGATTACATGGGAAGGGACACGAACGGTGGGAAATGGTGCGTAGTAAATATCCCGCCACTGCATGGTTTCGTCGGCATGGTATTCGTAATCGTCCCGCGGTTGCCGCCAGACATGCACTGATAACTCAAGCCGGCGTGGTATTTCGACGTCGCACTTGGAGTACCAACGGTCATTCTAAAGCCCTGATGCCACATTAATCATCTTCCCAATCATACTAGGCTTGCTGCTACTCACTGGTGGAAAAGCCTTCACTTTCTGCTGTCCCAGATTGTCCTTGTTCAGATCAAACTGCGTATAATACACCGTTAGTCCCCCCTGGGCTCCATTACTTCCGCCCAGCAATGGCTGGACAGGGATCGGTTGTACGCGGTGGTACGAGCCGTTGGTAGGGTGTTTAAAGTACAGCGTCGCGGTCCAGTAGTTGGAGAAGTCGTCGGCCATTTGGCATGTCGTGCATGTAGCGCGGGCGCCGACGTCTCCGTTCATGGTGGCGTTGAAGGCATTGCCGCCGACGATGTGGTGCACATGCGCAGAGGGGAAGGAGCCGGGTTGCGCGGCAGGATCGAGGCGTTGGAAGGTTAATGTTGAGCAGGGGAAGCGCAGGCCGGCTTGCACGGAGGCGATGAGTGTGAAGGCGGTGAGGGACCTCATGTTGATGGAGGAGAGGGAGCTGGTGGAGGGAAAGGATGCAATAGTGCTTCTTCCTGGCCCTTATGAGTTCCCTCGCCCCGCTCATGTTGCATGTCGTATGTCTTATCGCTGTCATATTAGACAACTGTATGCCCCGGATGTGATGTAGCCAAGGAGCGAAGACTCCGATTAGGATTTACTTGATCTGCTGCACGCCGGCTCAGATTAATCTCCGCAAAGCTTGACCCGACCTCATTGTATCCTATCGTTTTATTAATGCAATGCATGAGGACACCCTATTCGTGTGGACCTGCTGAATAAAGATTCCAGATGTGTTACGCAGGTGACGACATGTGTAGGTGATATGCAAGTGAAGAGAGTGGTTAGATTAAACCGCCATAGATTCCTGGACCGGCAGTTGGCCAAGGTCGGCAGATACAGCAATCGGTATTTGTTACATGATACATGGTCGGATAACATCGAATCCGACCGTAAATGCACATTGCCATATGCTTACCGCCGGCAAGTGATGCTATGTATTAGGATCTATCTGGTCGTGAGTGAACACTCCCCACTTTACTCAGCAAAGGACTAAAGCTACAGCGCCCATTCCCCCTTATCATCCGAACTCGTGATAAACGGCGAATCAATCATTTTGACAGCCAATTCGCTGCACAGAACACTGCCTCACATTAGCGTTGTCACAGTAACAATGCAAAGGAAACACTTACCAACTGGACCCAACGAGCGCATCCAACTCGGCAATCGCCCTCTCCCTCTTCCCTCCCATTCCCCTCCTCACTTCGCCCTGCAACTCCGCAATTCTCTTACCCCTCGCGATACCCGCTAGATCCACCACCTTTTTCGCGAGACAGTCACTGTGGAACGCATGCTGGCATGGGAAGACAAAGAATTGTCTCGCCAGTAGTGGTAGGCCACACGTGTAACACTTCTCCCCTGGCTCAACGATGGCATAACGCTGTTCCAGCGCCTTGATGTCTGACTTGATGTGTTTAGCCGTATGCTCGCTATCATCCATCTCTTCTTTGAGCGCATCGATGCGGCGGCTGTAATCTTCGAGGGCAGAGCAGATTTCTTCTTTGAAGTCGTCGATGACGACAAAGTCAGGGAAGAAGGGGATGAGGTCTTCGATGCGGAGAAGGTCCACGCGGCGAAGGAACTCGATGGCCGTCTTGATACCAGAGGATTGCGAGATGACTTTCTTCGCGATAGCGAGCCAGAGCTTCTTGCGTAGGGCGGGCGAAGTGTTGGACCGATCGGCAACAGAGGAGGCAAGTTCGATCTCGTCGTACTTGAGTGCGAGGTCCACGGCTTGCACGTATTGCTGCATCGAGCTGTAGATGTGCACGCATGATTGCACGCGCTTGTGCTGGATACAGAGGCGGAGAGCAAAGTCTGCATCGTAGTTCTGCTCATGCGCTTGAGATTGACCCTCAAGGTAGGCGAGCAGTGCCGACTCGTCCGTCGTGGGATGTGACGCGTAGATGGAGATTAGTGTGTTGTGAACTGCTGCGTCTGTCGAATTGTGTTGATTAATCTCGAACAGCAGGTATCGCACTGCTTGGTTCTGGCTCAGTGAGGCCTTGGTCGAGTTGTTGTAGTTGAGAAACGCTGGGATGAGCTTCTGCGCATTGAAGGTGGTGTGGCGCATCATGACATCGACAAGCTCGACTGGCACATGGGCCATAAGCACGCTGCTGTACTTGTAGAAGATTTCTGGGTCCGTCTGTTTCTTCAGCACGTCCAGTGATTCTGTCCACCGCTCTCGCTGCACCCAGTACGACAGCACATAGTTGTAGTCGTTGACGACGGTGGCGAAGTAGAGCAGCTCCTCCTCTCGGCCGTGGCTACTGATGATTTCGTACACCGTCTTGCGATCTAGGTCGGTCTTGTACTTGCTTGCAAAGTCCTGGTACTCCTTCCGGATTACGGACAGCTGATCATGGGTCTCGGCCGTGTTCATGCTCTCTGACAGCTCTGCTCTGGTAGTGATAGTATCGTCGAGAGTGTTGAGTTTCGCCATATACAGCTCGACAAGCCACGTTGCAACCATCGTCCTCTGCATGATGGAAGATTTCTTCAACGTTGAGAGCTTAGTGAGGAGGTACTTGCGCAGTGCGTCCTGCTCGCCTTTGTCGATGAACGCGAGAGCAACCTGCTCAAAAGGCTTCGTGCTTCGTCCGTAGACAGCGGCAGCCTCCATGTACTGCCCCTTTCCGACAAGGTAATCGCCAGACGCAGTCGCGACGGCATCCTTCTGGGCTGAAGTCTTCGCAAACTGCGATGCTGCGTCAAACTGCTGGGTCTTCAACATAATCTTCCACAAGTCTCTTGTCTCGTCGGTAACTACAACTTCGAAGATCTCTCTGGTCGTGAAAAGCCAGTAGGTGTTCTTCTTGATGTCGGCTACAAGCCCGATGGCACTCTGGCCAGGCTCGAGCACAACTTGGTCCAGGACAACCGTGTCATCGAGGCGATTGACGGCTACAATTCTGCCTTCCACCAGTTGCAGGATATGCCATTGGCTCAAGATCATTGAGCTGACGGGCTCCTGCGTCTTTCGTGTCCGGCCACTAGCGGTCTGTGAAGGCGGGATCTGCGATCTAGGCAGCATCTTTGAGTCCCCGAGGACACTTCCGCCAAGCTCAGACGTGTCTGTGGACAGGAACAGTTTACCATGGAGGACACCCTGCGAGGTCAGCCATCCGAAGATCCGCTCGCTGTTCGATTGGTCGTAGCTGTGCGTATCCTGGAGCTCTGGAGAGACGGCTAACAAAGATGTCGCAGTAGGCGCAGCATTCGCGATCTCATGTACAGTCGCAGATTCACTCTCGAAGAGTTTTGAGAAGATTGATCCGCTTCCTTCATGCCCCGCTCGCCCGAGCTTGCCAGCAAAGTGAAGGAATGTTGATGGTGTTGCAATGATAATCCGCCGCAGGTCTGCTCGCCCAGGCACAGCATCTGTCCACAGGCCTACGATAGGCCCGTCATTCGTGTGATAGACATTCTTCAAATATCTCTCTTCTCTCCGGTAGAACTCAGACGAGGGTTCAATGTACACCTCATACACATTCCCATCCGAAGCTCCCACCAGTATTTCCCGTGTCGATGCAGTCGGCTGTGACGGATTCCATGATACACTCTCGATGACGACGCCCTTCAGCCGTGATAGCGCTTTCGGTGTGCGCGACTGTGTGTGGAGGTAATAGTTCTCGGCGAGGGTAGTGGTTATGATAAGATGCGACGCCGAGGGGTCGAGGAAGAGACGCTTGATGACGCCGACTTCGGACGGTTTTTTCGGCAGATCGATGTCTTGTGGCAGTCAGTATTACAACCACTTGTCCCAAGGCATTTCCATTCCCACGAACCGTCTATGTCGGCTGGGCTGTCCAGGTCTATGCGCAAGATGCGCCCAGTCGAAAGCGCAAGTATCAGGACGTTGTTCGCAACCGCCGCTGCCACAAAATCGGACGATATGTTAAACTGGAGCGACACGCGTTCTATATTGAACATTGGCAGCGACGCGTCTTGATCCTGCATGTTGCTCGTGCTGGGCGGAGCATACCCGCTCCCCATGTCGTATGCCATGCTGGGCTTCGAAGTGAGCCGATCGCTACCGTGAATCCGTGTGCATGGCCCAGAAAGCTATCCGCAGCTTCTCCCGCGCCTATAGGCCTTTGTGGTATTGGTTATGTGCGTGTACACGGGAAGTCGCATGCTGGTGCTCGCATCGTGACGCCTGAGCTAGGAGCTTGGACCGGAGATGGGCCGGAGATAACTCGGATCTAGGTCCAAGCATATTCACCCATCATCTCACCGCATCGGTTCAACAAGGAGTTTCAACGAATCTATATCCTACATAAATAGCTCTACTAGTTGCAACTAGAGCAGAAGATGTCGCAAGCCCTACCCATTTCTTTGTAATGCAAGTTTTACTACTCCAAGACGCCGCAGCGCTGATGCATGTGATATGGAAGAATAAATGCCAAACTGTGAGACGGCTCCGACTCGACCCATCTACTCGTCCTCGTCCTCATCCATGGCCGAATCACCGTTTGCCTTTGGCGCGGCAATGCCATCCTCGTCGTCTTCGTCCTCGTCGTCAACGACGCGACCCTTGCGAGCGCGGGGTGCCGCTGCTGCGCCTTCGTCATCACTTGCGAGTTGCGCGTCGGTACCAGCTGCAGCTTCCGCATCACCATCACTGTCGTCGTCCACGAATTCTGCAGACTTGTATTTGCCTGATGGCTCGCTCTTCCTCGCAAGCTTCCTCTTCTTCTTCTCCCGTGGGCGCTCCTCGTCAGACAGGCCCTCTGTACCAGAAGCTGTGGTCCGTCGTCGACGGGATCGTGGCTCGGCAGCATCAGAGTCAGATGCAACACCCTCAGTGTCCGAGTCGGCATCCTTCTTCTTGCGCTTGGGCTGCTTAGGGCCACGGGCTTTGCGTTCTGCCTTTCGCAGCTCCTTATCTTCGTCTTCCTCCATGCGTCTCCGCTCCTCTTCAGCTCGTTTCTCCATGAGCTCACGATCACGTGCCGCAATACGCTCCTGCTCTTCGATGATCTTGCGTCTCCGATCTTGTGTCGCTTGCTCTGCCTGTTGCTTGGCCTCGTCACGACGGCGGATCTCTTCTTCACGCAGCTTCCTTGCCTGCTCAAGCTTGCCCTTGTTCTCCTCTTCGTACACCACTTGCTTTTCGCGTGCACGCTCCAATTGCTTGACCATTGTGTTACGTCCCATGTTGGCACGGGATGTGATGTCTGTTCGTGGAAATGGTGTTACTTCAGCTTTTGCGATCTGGTCCAGAGTATCGATGGCTTCTGCTAGACCGGCCATGGCATCATCGACTTGCTGCAAGGTGCGTTGGGATTCCGGAACGTTGATGATTGCCTGCGCAATCTGGAAGTGCATGAAGGCGACATTGAACTGAAAGTTCGGCTCCGAAGGAGATATCTTGAGAGCCTGCTGAGAGTAGTCGAGTGCTGTGCGGTACGAATCTATGTTACTACGGTCGTGTTTTCCACGTTGGAACCAGGTGCGACCTAAACAAGCAAGAATCTTGGTATCGTTTGGACGACCTCTGATCAGAGCTGCCTCATACTAGTTCTGTTAGGTTGCACGTGGTGCTAATTGAGTGGAGTGACTTACGTTCTCGATGGCGCGAGCAAATTGTTTCATCTCGCAATACGTGTGGCCAAGGTTCATGTATACGCTGTAGTCCTTGATAGTCTCCCTGACTTTGTTGAAGATTTGTAGCGCAGTCCCGGAATCCTTCTTGTCCTCCACCATGGCGATAGCAATGCCTTGGGCAGCGTATGCATTGGTTTTGTCCAGCTGGAGCACCTTGTCGAAGAACGCAACAGCCGTTTCGTAGCTTTTCTGGCGCTTCATCTTCTCCTGCTCGGAGCTTCGTGGCATTTCTCTTGCCATGGCCAAATGGAGGTTTCCCAAACCAGTGAGGGAGTACTGGTCGTGCTTGTCGAATTTTTGCAGAGTGTGCTTGTAGAGGCGCTGTTCTTCGTCTGCCGCAATGTTCTGCATCTTCCGCTTGGTCTTATGGAGGAACCAGCCGTAGAGAGCTCGTACCTCGACGTTGTCCTCGTTCTCTCTGAATAGGTCTTTAATTGCTTTCAGACCGAGCTCGTTGGGACTTTGAATAATGGCAATATATGCCAATCGAAGGCGGGCATCGATGTAGTCTGCATGTCGCTTGAGAAGATTCTCGTAAACGTTCTTAGCTTGGTCCAGGTTGTTCTCGGCCTCATAGCATCGACCCAGGTTGAAGCTGATAGAAGTAACCAAAGCATCAGTGTCGATTGACTCGTCGCGAGCTTCCGCCTTGACACAGGCATTAAGCGCAGCTTCAAAAAGCTCTCTTGCGCGTGTGTAACGCTCAGCCTGGAAATGGAAGCAAGCCATGTTGTTTAGTAACTGCGGCGGTAGCAATTCGCGCAACGCAGCTTTAATCTCGTGCTCATCTTCCAGCTCTGGATAGTCTTCCTCGGGAATTGCTTCAAGCTCCATTTTCTCGACCTCCTCAAGACACTTTAGACTCTTCTCGGGCTTTTCTGTTTCGTAAAGTCGGGCCAAGTTCAAAAGCACAGACTGGTCCGGGGTAGCCTTCTTCTTGGGGTCTCGCCATGCCTTCTGAACATCGTCGAGGTGCTTGATAGCCTTCTGCAGTTCGGCTGATTTGTCCTCGGTGGAACCGCTGTTTTGCGCTGCGAATACATCTTCTGCCCAGAGCGTGCCAAGGAGAGTCTGCGCTTCGATATTGGGCGACTGTTGGATGATCTTCTCGAGACGAAACTTTGCACCGCTGTAGTTGAGCTGTAGAACATTCATCTGCGCGGATCCGAACTTGGCCGGAATGTAGCCTCGCTCCTCTCCGCCGCGCGCCTGGTCGGATCTGCCGTAGCAGGTTGAGGCCTCTGCCAGATCACCCTCGGCGTGAGCCTTGCGTGCCAGATGGTACCATCCGTCACTTGCAATGGCGTTCACGTCTGTGAGGTCAATAGCACGCCTCGCGACCGTCTGCGCCTTCTGCCAGTCCTTCCTCATTACAAAGTAACCGCCCACGCTAGCGCAAGTCAAGGGGTAGTTCTTGTCCAGCCGCAAAGCAGACATGATGTAGTCGACGGTCTTCTTGTAGAACTTGGCAAAGTCTGGATGCTGTGGGGGGTGTTGCGACGAAAGGTGAAGGTTGTACTGGGCGAGCAGGATGAGGGCGATCTTGGACTTTGGGTTGAGGTCCAGCGATCGCTGCCATGCACCGGCAGCATCGTCCTTGAAGCCAAGATGCCAGAAGCAGCTGCCAATGCCAATGCGAGGGTCTGGGTCGATGAGATCGGGCGAGCTCTCTAGGACACTCTGGTAACCCTTCAGAGCCTCAGCCCACTTGCCCAGGGAGTAGCTGACACGCGCTCTGCCCATCTTCGCCATGAGATTCCTACCGCCCGACGCCCTCAGTGCATCGTCAAAGCACTTGGCCGCCTGCTTCAGGGTCTCGGCGCGCTCCACGCTGACGGCGTTTGGTCCAGCGGTGGTAGCCGGAGACTGCAGAGAGGCTCGCAGGAGGTAGAGGACGCCGCGAGCAAGAAACAGTGGGGGATGCGACGGGCTGATGCGGGAGGCTTCGTTGAGAACACCGGTGGCTTCCTGGATGTACGCGTCCTTGGTTTTGATGTTGGGGTCGTCTGACGCAGTTAGTCGTGGCCACAGATGGATGCCGCAATATCATACCTGACTTCACGCGCGGCGCCTCGCGACACTTGAGCAGATACAGCCAGCAGAGCCCGTTGAGGATGCTGAGCCGCTCCTCTGCGCGCGCACGCCCAAACACGCCAATGGCCTGCTTGAGCACGTCAATGGCGACGTCGACCTTCTTCTGTTTCGCATAGGCCACGGCGACCTGCACCCATGTTGACGTCAAGCTCTTCTCATTTTCGAGGATGGCGCATAGCTCCGTTGGATCGTCCTGAATGTCCTCGTCGAGCGGAACTTCGACATCGAGCTGGCCACCTTCTTCATCGGCGACCGAGATGGTGATGGCATTGGGCACGTCCGAGTATCGCGGCGGCGGGAACATTTTGCCTGCGCCATTTACGCCATTCGCGCCGTTGGCGTAGACGGCCGACATGATGCAGCTGGGGGACGCGACCAGTTGGGGAAGGAGTGTTTGGTTGGTGGAGGGTTGGTGTCGCAGTCGGCTCAGGGCAGCATAGTAGGATGGCGGCGGGAGGGTAAAGGCGCGAGGCTGCTCGAGGCCTGCGGTGATGGGTGGACAAAGGGTCGCGAGGGTCGCGAGTGTCGCGAGGGAGCTCGAGGAACGCGCTTTCGGAAGATCTTGCGGAGCGCGGAGGTGAGGCTTGGCAGCGTGAATGCGCTGCTGTGCGTAGGGATGTCTGCAACACCACCGCAATTGAAGGAGATTGTTGGCTGGGTTTTCGAACACGAACACGGCGACTGGCGTTGCGAAGACTGCAGTGTCTTCACCAAGCTGATTTCATTTCAGCGCTCCTGGCTTGGCGCACTTTACGACTCCGCGACAGTTGATCCCTGCTCCTACAACGTAACCAGAGACACCCCCGAGCTCCCCGCAGGCACATCACTCCCTACACACCACACCAGATGACGCGCAATACCCTGCTTTCCACGCCATGACAGTAGCGCCTTGCCGAGAAAGACGTACAACACCCCGCAATTGCTGAGAGCACCATGTCGCGGAACCGGGACTACTCGCAGCCGGGCTCCAACGGGGGATACACCAATGGCTACGGCAACGGAGGCTACGGCGATGATGGTGGTGGGCGGCCGAGTGGTGAGCGCAGGCAGCGGCCAGGCGGCTACGGTGGCATGGGTGCGCCGCCTGACGACGACCGACGACGACCCAGCAATGACCGCCAACGTCGCCCTCCCGGTTACGGAGGCATGGGTGCACCCCAAGACGACTACGGACGGCGTCCAAGTGGTGAAAGCCAGCGAGAACGACGGCCCGGAGGCTATGGAGGTTTCACTAGAAGGGAAGATGAATACGCCAGGCCGCAGAGCGGAGGACGCGATCGCAGGCCAGGTGGCTATGGCGGTCTCCAGCAACAGGAAGAGGACGGGCCCGAGGTCACGCGACCCACGAGTCTGGAGCGCTCACGAGCGAACAGGCGGAGCGGCGAGCGGCAGACAGGCAGCAGAGGAGCCAACAACTACGGCTCAGGCAGCCAGCGCATCGAAGACGTGCTGCAGTACATTCGCCAGAACTGGGACTTTATGACCCAGGACCAGTGCGTTCCTATCGAAGTCGCCCTGAAGCTCATGGACTCGAGCTCGCTTGGTCTGGCCAGCCAGTATGGCCAGTTCAAAACGACGCACAGGGAGCTGCAACAGGCTTTAAAAGCCATTGTGAACGGTAGGTTGGGCATGTGATGGTGGCATGACTGCATCTGACAACATATAGAGCACCATCAGGGCTTCAACAGTTCTATTGGTACTTTCCATCAGATTCAGTCCAGCCTGCAAAGCTCACAGCAACGTGTCCGGACTCTGAAGACCTCATTAACTTCCGCCAAGACGCAATTATCAACAGCCAAGCCTGAACTCAAAGAATTCGCGACTGCGTCCCAAAACTACGATGGAATGCTGCAAATGCTCAATGCTATTGAGGAGCTCCAGCTTGTGCCTGAGCAGCTCGAGGCACGCATATCAGAGAAGCGTTTTCTGACTGCGGTAGACATACTCCAAAAGGCTCTCTTGATGATCAGAAAGACGGAAATGGAGAAAATCGGGGCTCTCAACGATCTGCGCACATATCTTAGCAATCAAGAAGTCTCCCTGACAGACATTCTCATTGAAGAACTTCACAGCCATCTGTACCTCAAATCGCCATACTGCGAGGATCGATGGAAAGAATATGCACAAAACCAAATGAAAGGCGGCATATCTGAGCGCACTCAGACGGACGCTCGAGGAAGGCTGTTGTATTACTTCCTCGATGGTCTCGACCTCTCCGAGCCAGTAAGCTCAGCCAGCATTCTGCACTTTTCGCCCTGCTAATTCAACCAGATGACAGATGATTCTACACACAATCCCGAGACAGATACGTTTCAATACATCCGGCTCATCGTCGAGTCATTGAATAAGATGAACCGTCTTGAGGTGGCGGTCAATACCATTGAGCAACGACTGCCTGTGGAACTGTTCAAAGTTGTCGACAAGTCGAACAATGAAGTCGCCCAAAGACACCCCAGCATACTACGAGCTCATGCCTCGAAGAAAGGTGGCAAGGCCAAGACTGGTATCGAAAGCGACGAAGTCCGGTCCATGCTTCTCAACGACCTGTTATGGACTCTATACGCTCGATTTGAGGCCATAGCTGAAAGTCACCGAGCCGTGCACGACGTAGTAGCTGGTATTGTTCGCAGAGAGGGGCTGCGGGATTCTTCAAGCGCCGCATTAACACGGGGGTTCAAAGAGCTGTGGAAGCTCTACCAAAGCGAGGTGAGTAGACCGATTGCAACCCAGATTCCTGCTAACATCACTAGATTCGGTCGTTGTTGCATGATTATTTAGCGACTGATGGTGATGCTTTGTACCGCACCGGACAAGGTCAGACATCTGCCGGAAGCGTCTTTTCGCGAGCTCCTCGTGACAAGACGAAACGCATGTTCAAGCTCTCTGACATGAACACGAAGTCGCCTGACATCGCGCAAGAGCGGGAGGACCTCGAATTCATCCTGAAATCATCGGTGCCTGGTCTTGTATCTGATTCCAAGAAGTCTGAGAACAGGGTGGCTGAGACCAGCACCAATCTTGATGGTAGCGCAACTGGGCACAAGCTACTGGTTGAGCCTAGTGTTTTCAACATGGGAATACTGCTGCCACCCTCACTCGACTTCTTGAACAGGTTGAAGGAGGTGGTGCCGCCAAATTCAGACATCGTGATGAGCACATTAACGTCGTTTCTCGATGACTTCCTAGTCAATGTGTTTCAACCGCAACTTGATGAGACGCTCGCCGAGATGTCATCGCAGACTTTCATCGAGCTCGATTCGTTCAGTGAAGACCCGCACTGGGAACAGCACGCAAAGAAGCCAATATTCAAGGTATGTGAGTCCCCAGAGTGAATCATCTCGTTCTGACAATCTAGGGTACTGCACAATTCTTCAGTCTGATCTCAGCCTTCTGCAAAATGCTCGATAACCTGCCCCACGATCAAGCATTCTCTCAACTAATCATAGCTCAAATGCAAACGTACTCTCAAAAGTGTAACGGTTGGTACAAAGCACTTGTCACGCGCTCGCAGCCTGCTACATCTGGTAGACGTCTGAAAGCACCAGCTGCATGGTCAGAGTCTGAAGAGATGGAAAGATTGGTATCGCAAATCCTCCAATCAGATCCTTCCGACAGCGAGAACTTCAATCAGCTTGTCGAGAACGAGATCAGCCTTCTTCTGCAGGTTGTCAGTGAAGAGCCACTGGATCAGGCAGATATGCTTCAAGACAAGAAAAGCGTTATCAACCTATGCCTGCTGTACACCAGTATGAAATGGCTGGCTACGAAGGCAGCACAATTACGGCACATCAGTGATAGAGCCACAAACTCTGGTGGTGGCGAATCGTCCAAAGACAGGCATACGCAACGATGGACCCTGCTCACTTCATCCGAACCACGAGCAGAAGGTACACACGTCTATCTCCCACTCAACCGCGAGACCGTGAGGTATGTCATTTGAACGAGACACTTGATATCATGTGCTAATATGGTGCAGCGAATTCGATCAGGTCGTCTCGTCCTACCAATCCCTCAGCACCCGCATACTACGCACCCTCCACTTGACCATTCGCAGCACCATCCTCCATGCGCTATCCACCTCTCTACAACCCAACCTCTTCATCGACACGCCACTCAACGACCCATCCCCCATCATCCTCGCCTTGAACTCAACCCTAGTCAATTTCGACACAGAAGTATCTCGCTACTCCCCCCAAGCAACATACACCCGCATGACACACGGCCTCGCCAACCTAATGGACACCTACCTCCTCTCCCTCTGCACAAGCCGCATCGCGCGCATGAACACAAACGGCTGCGCACACATGCAACTCAATATCCTCGTGCTGCAGCAAAACCTCAAGAACGTTGAAGAAGGCGCCGAACTGCCCAACGCAGCGCTCTTTTTCGACCTCTTCACCGCTGGCCCCGACGCCATCGTCGCGCGGGCGAAGCAGCATGGTAAAGACTTCGGCGTGCCTGGCGGCATGCTGAATGAGTCCAGCGTGAAGAAGTTGCTGGAGATGACGTATGAGGAAAGATTGACTGGAGATAATAGGGAGAGTAGCGTGAGTGCGAAAAGGCAGTTGGACGCGCAGCTTTTGGAGATTAGTGAGTTTATGTATTAAGTGTGGGGAGGTAGGTATTCTACATCAACATCGTTTTAGCGAGCAATTCTATTCTGCATCCTGATCGATTTTTTTCAAGGCGTGCGTTCATTTCTGCGCGGCATGGTGATGAACTCGTCACATTTACGACGAATTGTAGCCGGCCAATCATACTCACCCCTGTTACATGTCTGGCGGCACTGGGGCGGAACGTCGCCGACGCACGGCCGTGGTTTGTGCGACGTCGCCGACGACGGGATTGATAGCGCATCGAATGACCCCAGCCGCAAAACAATAGAGACTCGATGAGGGAATTGACTGCACTCGCGCTATTAGTTGGGAGGTCATGTGGGAGTTGGTGAAAGCTGCTTTCACTAGCACTGCACTGCGCTGAAATCCGAGATGCATGTCAAGAAGGAAAAGGGGAAAAGAAAAGAAATATGGTTCGATAAACTACTCGAGGGACAGGTATCAGAGCAAATGCATGAGGGGCAAACATTTGCTATCGTGAGTAAATGATCGCCCTACACACCATCTATAGTCCGGAGACCTGACAGCTCGCCAAGTCCGCCTATCCCAGCGTTTTCATTTTTTATCACAAGGCCTCCTTCGACATAGCCTGCTTTGATTGGCCAGGATCGTGCTGCCACTATCGTGAGGTTAAGGCTGACCACGGCACGATTCGTGGGGGCCGGGGGCGAGGTGTAAGCGTAGGATTACTGTGCTGCTGCGCCGCTCGCTGAGGTCGGCGAGGAGTGTTGGTGAGATGTTGGGAGAATGTTAGGAAGGTATAATATACTTACACTGCCTTGTGTTACAATCGAAGATTTCTCATCGTCTCGTATCGTTGTCCATTCGTATTTCCTCGTATTTGGATCGAGGGATTATTTCGATTTTGTTTATCCTGGATCTTTCATCCTCTACGCCCCGCCACCATGTCCGACATCGAGAAAGGCCCAGACTACACTCACCTCACCAACGATTCCGTGCAGAGTTTCAGTTGGGCAAATGTCACTGTCACCGTGAAAGATCGCGCGACCAAGGAATCGTTGGAGATTTTGTCGAGTGTTAACGGATGCGTGCAAGCCGGGGAGGTGCTGGCGATTATGGGACCTAGGTAAACAAAACAGTCTCAAACTACCTGCTCCAAGTCTCATACTAATATGTGCGTCAGTGGCTCCGGCAAAACTACCCTTCTGAATGTCCTAGCCCGCCGCTCCGTTCCAAAATCAACCGTCCACCAAGACCTATACATCAACGGCACGCCCACCTCCCTCCACACCTTCCGCGCACTCAGCTCCTACGTCGAGCAAGAAGACGCCCTCCTCGGCTCCCTCACAGTCCGCGAAACTCTCTACTTTGCTGCAAAACTCGCCCTCCCCCCCTCTAATGACCGCAAAGCTCGTATCGAGAGCCTGTTGCGCGCTTTCGGGCTGCAAGACCAGGCTGAGACGCTAATTGGCACGCCGCTTCGTAAGGGCGTGTCTGGCGGGCAGAAGAGGAGGGTCAGTGTAGCGAGTCAACTTGTTGGCGGGCCGAGGATTTTGTTCTTGGATGAGCCGACGAGTGGCTTGGATTCGGCGGCAAGTAGGGAGGTAGTGGGGGTTTTGAGGAAAGTTGCGAGGAAATACAAGGTGCTGATCATTGCGTCTATCCACCAGCCGTCCACGACGACGTTTGAGATGTTCGATAAGCTTATGCTGCTTTCGAAAGGCAAGGTTGCGTATAATGGCCCGGTGGAGGGTGTTAGGGGGTATTTTGGAGGGTTGGGCTATGAGATGCCACTCTACACCAACCCAGCAGAATTCCTGATCTCCCTCGTCAACACCGATTTCTCCTCGTCCTCTCAACACCTCTCGCATCTACAAAACGCGTGGCTCGCATCACCACTAGCTGTCCAGCAAACGCCCCAAACTTCATCAATACCACTCCTACCCAGCACCCGGGAAACCGCCTCTCCCCTCCTAACCCCCCTCACCCTAATACACCGTTCCCTAATAAAATCTCACCGCGACGTCATCGCCTACGCCCTCCGCCTTGGGATGTACCTCTGTCTCGCCCTGCTCATGGGCACAGTCTGGTTGCGACTCCCCCCAACACAAGCCAACATCCCGGCCTTCACCGCCGCGATATTCTTCGGCGGAGCGTTCATGTCCTTCATGGCTGTCGCCTACATACCTGCCTACCTCGAGGACCTCGCATTATTTCGCAAAGAGCGGGCAAACGGCCTCTACGGCCCTACGGCCTTCATTCTGTCGAACTTCCTGGTCGGGGTGCCGTTTTTGCTGGCGTGTGCGGTGGTATTCAGTCTCGTGGGGTATTGGCTGAGCGGATTTAATCCGAGTGCGAAGGGTTTTGGGACGTGGGTGCTGTGGCTCTTCCTCGACCTGCTCGCCGCCGAATCGCTTGTTGTGCTGATATCCTCGCTCGTCCCTATCTTCGTCGTCGCGCTCGCGAGCACGGCATTCGCAAACGGGGTGTGGATGTGCGTGGGCGGGTTTCTCGTGCAGCCTCAGAGCTTAAATGTGTTTTGGCGGTATGTGTTTCATTATATTGATTATCAGGCGTATGTGTTTCGCGGGATGATGGTGGGTGAGTTTGGGAGTAGGGACTATAGCTGTGGGGAGGGGTGTCGGTGTATGTATAAGAGTCGGTTGGAGGAGCAGTGTTTGATTGAGGGAAAGGCGGTGCTGGCGCAGTATGGGTTCGAAGATGAGGGGATGGAGAAATATGTGGGGATTATGCTGGGGATTATACTAGGGTATAGGGTGCTTGGGTGGGTGGCGTTGTGGGCGAGGAAGCAATGAGAGCGCGATGTCACCAGGCAGCGGCAGAATTCGTGTTCGCCTATGCACATGCGCGAAGTAATCCAATGGGTTTTAAAAGCATACTCAGAAGTTTATAGAGAAGCCTGAATATTGTTAGTACTATAAGACATCTTGCTTACTTTTGCAAAAGTATTCAAATATATCCAGGCTACCTCTTTAGTCTTGTCGTTTAGTAAGGGCGGACAGGAAATTTTCTAGGGCCTAGTGGTCCTAATCTCAAACTTTTCTTTTCTCTTGACTCACGCCTTAGTTCAACCAAGCTTGAATGAATTGACAGTCCAGCCATAGACTCGACACAGCCGGCGTCCAAAGCCCTTGGCCATGACGTATGGCATATCACTGTCGGGGTACGGCTCATGGAACTGAATGTTACGTTCAGCGTCAATGTTGTAGCTTGGAGTGGACTGCCATGTAGAGCCCTGAAGCCCTCCACAGCGAAACCCATGCGCATCATCGTACGCTTGAATTCGGCCCACTTCACTACTTTGTGCAGATCACCTGACCTCCTCAGTATTTCGAGTGTAGAAGATGGTTTTGAAGACCTTTTGGGTACGCTGATCGACATAGATAGGCTTCTCAGGCTCGTGGGTTGTCGCTTTGGCGGTTTGAATAAAGAGATAGCCTGGGTATCTTCAGACACTTTTATAAAACTAGATAAAATTCCTTACAGCACTGAATATATTTAGGATTCCTTATAAGCTTATCAGTGCACACCTAAAGGCTATTAGATTCCTTCACGCATGTGCAGAGCGAACGCGAATTATGCTGACCTCCGATGGTATCTCTTTGGTCGCGACCACCAAGCCCGTGCCCACGCCAGTGACACCTAGCAGCGCACTGGAGCTCATCATCCCTTTGCGCTCCTCAGCCTGAACGAAGCCCCCAAAAGATGAGAAGGACGTGGAGATCGTCAATTACAACACGAAGTCAAGCCTCCCGTTTCACTAATCGGACGGAAACATGCAATGGGCCACGATCGCTACAGCTCTTGCATCCGCACCATGCAACCCTTACTACGTTATTGATCGGGTCGCACCGGTCCCCGTGCAGAAGATCTTGGGCAAGAAGCCTAAGTTCAAAACTTTCGTCGATGAGGATGGGACCGAGGTGGATGGATTTGATACTCCCAACCATACAAGGTCCAGGACATTGCTAGACTTCATGGCTCAGATCCCACATCGGGGTTCCGAGGAGCTGTTCATGTTCGGCAAGGCAGCGGTAGAGAAGTACGGTCCAGCCTGGTCATGCCTGAGTCGGTCGGCCAAACATCGCAAGACCATCTAAGTTATTCCTTGGGACAAACAGCTGTGCCCGCTGTGTAACGACGGCCGGTACGCAAGCAAAAGCATCTTACATGACTTCACATTGGGCGCAGATGGCATTCATTGCCACGACTACAGCTGGGAAGGGATATGGGAGCCGCAATCGACCAAGCCCAAGGGTGAATCTTCGTCACCCTCTACCCCAAAGAGAGCGAGGCCGAAGAAGCTGAGCATTTCTTCCATCAAACAAGACACATCTATCCCTGCACCTCGCCCATTTCCTTACCCCAGTCCCGGCGGCGGCGGGAGCCTGTGAACCCAGGAAGACAGCCCACTGCACCAAAAGCACCTGAGGAGTTTTGCTCTTGCTTATCTTTGATTTTTCCTTTCTGCGCATGAGGGCTTTCGACTTCTACCGATGGACAGGGAGCTTTTTTGGTCGGCTTCCATCAAACTGCAAGGTCTCTAGAGAGGCCACACATTCTGACTCTTTTGATTCTTTCCTTGGTAGTTGAATGAGGCGTCCATCGGCCTGACTGAGACCGCAACAGATAGCTACCTAAAAGTCAGTTCCTGCAATGCATTGTATAATATGTACATCTGAGGCTATACGGTCTGAGTGTTTATGCATCTGCACATCTTCGAGCGGAGTGGGACGTTTCCTGGGTGCTTGAAACTCGAAACGCAACTTAGCTTACATAAGAGCACTTGAAATTCCCCATATCATGCGTGAATACATCTGAACGTAAGTCCACGACCATGTCGGAACCTAATCTCCTCCATTTCGAGGTGATTCCTCAAACTCCAGTCCACCAATGTTCCGGATATCCAGCCGCCACATCCGCACCACCTTTCGCCAGACCTTGCCGCCAAATTCCCTCCACGTCTATCTTCAACTGAGTCACGCTGGTGTTGCAGCCCTGCAGCCTTCGATTGCGTTCGGTTTGATTGTATCTTGTGCTTGTTTCGCTCACTGTCAGGACATGAACAGCAGCTGAGAGGAACACTCGAGTCTGTGTGTCAACAGCATCGCTAGGGGCGATGGGATAGCCGATGTTGAGAGCTTTGAGCATGTCGCGGAGTTCGTCAATAGTGAATGCGGTAGAACTGCTGAGTCGCTGGGCCCGGTACACTGGTATGAGCCAGAGAAATAGGTATAGGGTTTGCCACTGTTGACCGCCTCTCCGGAGCAGGTCCTCTGGGTCGTGCAAAGTCCACGCTGCTTCGCACAGGGTCGGCCAAGTGAAGATCGGGGTCAGATCATCCAGTTCAGTCTGATACAGCATGATGGCCCTCCACATGCCTTCTGTGGGCACGAAGTTGGTTGTGGTTGTACAGAACTCGAATAGCTGGGAGAGAGTCCTTGCTAGGCCGACCACGGGACAGTGTAGTGGCGCAGCGTTGTTGCTATTCAAGGCCCGGCGTAGCAATTCGATGTATGGCGTCAGCATAAGCCGCTCCGCACTGTTTCTGGCCCTCGAGGGATCGTTGTCCGCATTGTAAGCCTGAAGAACCATATGGGTGGGCCCAAACAGGGCTCTGAAGCTCCAGGCCTTGCTCAGAAACCCATCCCGGCTGGACTGCTGCACATTTTCCGGGTTGCTGTAGTATTGGTTGAAGGTTATAGCACGTGGTGCCTGTGGAGGTAGAGACGGCTGTGTGACGGGTGCAGTCGTTGCTTGACTGCGGGGATTCCTGCGCTTCTTCTTGAATAGCACGCCGCGGCATGTCGGGCATGTACCCTTGGTATCCTTCTGCTTCAACCACTTCTCCAGACAGTTCCTCCCGAAATGATGGCCGCACTCTTTGATCTGGACGACGACATGTTGGTTGTTGAAAGGTTCAGTGCAGATGCTGCACTCCGCTGCCTCAACGCCGTCCTTGAGGAACGCTTGCAGCGAGCCTGGCACCGACTTCTTCTGCTCCATCGTGTATCTTCAACTGTCTCGTTTGAATGCAGGGGAATTTGTTCTTACCTAGGGTTGAAAGTTTGCAATTTGCAAGGTGTCCGGGTAGTGGGCGGAGGGGAATCGTGACGGGCAAGAACGTCAAGAGTTGAGGTCGACTGAGCTAGAGCGCGAACTTGCGCGACCAGGACTGGAGGATTGATTATAGATAGCGATGCTTGCGGTGTGGCCGGCACGGGGTTTACACGTGATCGCGCCTATGACTAGTCTCCCTATCCTTCCACTTCGTCGTGAGTAGAGCATTGCCAGCCAACGATTTCGACACAGATCCTTTCGAAGAGCTCTTTGATTATTAGCGCCACTCCAATCAGCGCTGGTCAAGCCCTGTTCCACTTTCATCCGCATCAGCGAGAAGACGGCGTTCCCATGATGCGCGCGATTTGGCTGAGGACAGCGAACTCATTTCCGGGCTTCTGATGACGTACTCTAGACAAGGCGTCGTTTGATTCTATTAATGAATTAGCGGTTACACAATCCTCTCATAGTCAGCCGTAGCCACCACAGTGAGAAGCTCAAGTGTGGTCGAGCTCGCGAAACATGCACTGGAAGACTACAACGGCAAATAAGACTACCATGATATACAAAGCATGCCGCGATAGCCTCCAGGTTGGTTCCAAGTGGTTGTTGTGGTCTTGTTCAAATGTTCTGTATGCATGCTGGATGTCGCTCACGTGAGCATCCATTCACTGCCCAGGGAGTCGACAACGCATCCGTCATAGGAACACAAGACTTAGAGCCGGTAGCGGAGACCCTTCCTGTACCCTAATACTGCTAAAAGAGGCACCAATGACGTTATATCAGCGCACGTGACTTGCCATGTGCTGCTCGCCGCCAACAGTGAACGCGAATCGTCCCGTTCTGCGCCATTGATCTTGGCGCTTCTAGCGCCCGCTACTGTTCTACCTTGACTCCGCAAAGGATTGAACTCTCACTCTAGCGGTTTCTCTAAATTTCTGCTCAACCACGCGCTTTTTAGCGAACACAGCTCGCCATCGGTCACACTTCCAGAAACACCTACAATTTCCCACCGCCATCATGGCAACAACCCTCACCCTCCCCCTCGCAGATGTCCGCGAGCTTCTGGAGGAGAACGCAGACCGCACTGCAAAGCGGGTCGCCTCGGAGCTCGAGCCCGTGATTGCAGCACTATCGCGAAAGCTCGAGGAGAGGTCCAATGATTCGGAGCGCGTGTACGCGGCTTTGATGACAGTGCTTTCGGGGGCACAGAAGGTGCAGTTCAAGATCGCTTACGAGGCAACTGTAAGAAACCTTCTCCGTATATACATAACTTCTCTAACATATTCAAGGGGCATAAGAATTCTAGACAGAAGTCAGCGCCGACATGGCGCGAGACAGCACCTGAAGATTCCAGCGATGATGAGGAATCGACGCCTCAGCTGCCGAAGCCTTGGGTCATCAAGAGGGGTCTAGTTTCGGTGACAGAAGGCATCAGAACCCTTGGGCTCGGTTCCGAAGTGTCGTCGCCTGATTCGAAGCCCTTCTGGGACCCAACTGGTAGGAACGTCAGCGTCACATCGCATGACAACCGAAAAGGTCAAGCCAAGTTTGAGCAAAGCTCAAAGCAGCTCACGCCCCTGCACATCATGGCGAAGGTTCCTAAGTGGGACGAACAACCCACCTCTTCCCCTTCTCCAGGCTCGACATGTAGTGCACTATCGTCATGTGGTTCGACTCCACCATCATCTCCACCATCATCTCCACCATCATCTCCACCATCGATTGCGACGCCATCTTCATCACCTCCTCCATCCTCTGCCTCTTCACCCTCGTCGCCTTCACCACCAACCCCTTCGCCAGCTGCAAGGATCCCTCTTTCTGCGCAACAGCAGAGCCCAACCTCCGTCAAGTCGCATTCTCTGACAGAGTTGTCGACCGCATCGCCAGCTCTAGCTCCACCGCCGGCACCTCAAGGGTTTCCGCAGAATGCTATTCAAGCGCCCTCGGTTGAAAGCCCCGCCGCACGTAAACTCCAGGATGAAGACAAGACTGCAGGCGTACCCTCAAGAATGCTCCCGGCACTTACTGTCAAGGTCCAAGACACCACCCCGATTACCCTGGACACGGGTATGGACGGCGTTATTGCTACTACCCCCGCGATCACTCTCAACGCACGAGCAACCACACAAAACATGGGCGGAGGACCCAGTGTTCGCGTTACTCCCGTACCTGCCAGCGTGCCAGCTCCATTCACGGCTATTGCGAGTATCTCAACTGCGACAGACAGCTCCAGAGACGCTCAGATGGATGACGCACCTGCCTCTGTCAAAACCGTCACTGACACTACGCAAGTCACAGCAACAGATGCCCAGATGGATGATGCATCAGCCTCCGTCGACACCACCTCCACCGACACTACACAAGTCGTAGCTGCAGATGCCCAGATGGATGATACACCAGCGTCCGTCAACACCAACGCCAACGCAATTCGAGCACCAGCTGCACATGTCCAACAGCCAGCAGCCTCAAGCTCGGCGCAGGTCACGGCTGCATCTGTTTCTCCACAATACACTTCATCTCCGACAGCGGATCAAGCGAGCCAAGCGACCTCTGACGCAGAACGGCTTCCCCTAAATATTAAAGAGTTCAAAACAGCTCATGCTGCTAAGACAGGGCCCTTGAAGACTCTCAATGTGGGCATGAAGCGCAAGGCTGCCGATGGAAAGTATTCGGAGTGGAGCAAGCCGACTGTCATACAATGCGATCCTGAGATTTTTGATCTCCCTGCCAGCGAGGGCTATGACAACGGGCTTTTTTGCAGTATCCGCAAGACCGTACGACGAAATGAAAAAATGGCAACAACTCAGGCATGGTTCGAAGCCTTTTGTCCAAGCACATTGGAAATCCCCGTTTGGGCGTCCTGTCTGAGCCGTCGGATTCGCAACCATGCAGATTGGTTTGAGAATTTGGATGATGGCCAAAATCCGATACTCCGAGAGAAGTACAAGGAGTTCACCAATCTTACCAAGGCTTGTGGGCATCTCCCGGACGTCTGGAAATTTCGCCCTTGGCTTGAAAAGATTGTCCTACCCTTCCTGGTGACAGAGTTCAGTCCGGAACTCACCCTGATCATCCCGGTGTCAGACACCATTTCAGCTGGTCTATCGACAGCGAACCGCACCGATTCACTATTGGAAATCTTCCAGGCCATCGCAAAGGCATACCTTCGAATGGTTTTACTCAAGGCGCAAGGCCCATACGACAAGATGGACCTCTCGAGATACGGTGGGCCAACTCTGCTCCCAAATGACGCGGTCGTTAATTGGGAAGTATTGGAAGACATGGCCAGCAGCATCGAAGTTATCCAAGCAAACAAGTTTGGAAAAGACGTGCAGGCGGGAAGGGCCTCGCTCGCAACATACAGATCTTCAGTGGAATTTGCCATTCGAAGATTCGGTACCGGCCATGCCTCTCTAGAGCGCCAGATTGTGACAGTGAGACAGAACTCGGCTGAGAGACTGGAAGACATGCACGAGCGTTGGTCGAGTCCAGATGCGTACCTAAAGGACGCCGAAGCGCAACACAAGCTCGTCTCAGACAGTGGAGTCCAATATCTGCAGTACAGGCTGAAGCTTCTCGACCTCAGTCAGCGGGGTGTTCTCGTCGACCCCGCTCTTCACAATAATGACAGTATCGAGCTCCCAGAGAGAATGCGACGGACGGTCTTTCGCGAGATCATCACACGCTTATGTGTTGCCGACGACGAGTTCTCAGCGATCAATCAGCGCAGCATCTACAGCGCATCCAGCAACATTCTCGGAGAGGTTACCGCCACGGCGCTGGAGTTGGAAGCTGGCATCCTGCAGGGTGTGACACAGCTTGCTGCACAGATTTCTTTGACGCCTGGAAGCATCAGCGAGATCTATGCTAATAAGGCCCAAATGCTCCAGGCGCGACTCATTGACTTCCCACTCGACACCTTGAAAGAGTGCGTGCTATACAGCCATGGTGATGGCTATGTACCTACCGTTATGACTGCCGCAAACTCCAGTATACACTCGGCGAGGGGTGGCCAGACCATAATCGAAACGGTGCCTCACTCCTCATCCATGCGTGGGCAGGACATCATTGAGCCGCCTCTCAAGCGGCGTCGCCATCATGGAGAATGTGGAGACTGCGCATTGAGCGGCACGCCATCGTTCTATTTCAACGACCAGGTGCCCAGCGGCCACATTGATCATGAGCTTGAGGTGAACCAGGCGCTTGACGATTGTTATAACGAAATTTGGCACCCTGACTCGGACTACGATTCAGACGACTACGAAGATGGCGGATCTGATGACGGCGATGATGCTCCGGCCGGTGACGGAGACGATTTTTCGGACTATGATGGAGATGATGATTCAGAATTCAGCTCGGACGGCGATTGATGACGGAGATGGTTCCAGCTTTGGCTCCAATGCTCTGGGATGACGAAGTTTTTATTTTCCTTTTTCTTTCATCTTTCTTACATATTCGTTTTGCGTCTCGGAAGCGAGATTTGAGTTACAGGAGTTCAGATAAGCACTGCACCTCCATGCAGTGCTAGAAAGAGGTGGGGAGTTTGATTATATAGCGCCACAATACGTGGATATATGAAAATTCTGAAAAGCCACCACATGCTTGATAGTTGCGAGTGATATGTACCTGTGTGACTAGATCCCTGGGCAAGATGAGTCGTTGCTCCTATCAACTTTCAGTGTCTCTTCCGAGGCTTTTGAGCTACCTCAAAGTCACGCCGGTACACCTTCGTTGTATCACAGGTTCCTGATTGAGCGCTAAAAATATCGTTAAGGTAGACAGGCCAGCTTGCTTCTTCCTGAACACCTGACATCCCTCTACCGGCATATATCCACGACCACATCAAGGAAACGAAACCTCACCCTTTCCCCAATAGAACAACTCCACGTCAAACCCGAGCGCGACCAAACGCTTCATCGGACCACCAGGCCTCTTCTTCAGCATCTAATGCGAAATAATCGATGGCCCGCTTCAGTAGTCCTCATCGCATCCATGATCAAATGGTAGCTAAGCATCAGAGTCTACGAGTCCAGTAACTGATGCGACTGCGGTAGCAGATACCGCTGCTGTCATGATAGCGAAACAATAAGATGAGCATGACCAAGTAGCCAATAATGTAGTGCTGCTAGTGTAAGCAAAGCGTTGCCTGAGTAGATTTGTAAGATGAGGTTGCAATAGAGGTGGGCGCTGATTAGTCATGCTCTGTAGGCTCCTACATCATCGGCACCCCTCACTTCTTCAACTTCGTCCTTCGGATCAATAAGCTGCATCGCTTTTCGCATGAGCTCAGCACGCGGCAGCAGCGATACACTGAGCAAATTGAGCACACTCCAGCCCCGGCTTGACCTTGAAGACTGCTAACCTCCCACATCTTCCAAATTACGACATAAAGAGATCGAACCACAATGGCTAACGAAAGACAATCTGCGAACGCGATCAGATTCTACGAAGCAAAGTCTGCGGACTATGATGGGACCTGGCATGATGACTTTACGAGACGGTTCTTCTCCTACCTTGACGTAAGAGAGGGACAAAACGTGCTAGACCTAGCATGCGGCACCGGCCTGCTAACTTTCTTGCTGGCGGACAAGGTCGGAAAATCGGGCAGCGTTGTGGGTATCGATGTTACGCCTGGCATGCTTGGTATCGCAGGCCAAAAGAAAGAGCTAGGCGGGGACAAGTACGCGAATGTGAGCCTGCACCAGGCTGATGTCTTACACTTGGATGAGACCGAAGTTCTGAAAGGCAAGACGTTCGATGTCATTACTGTGACTTCAGCTCTGGTGCTTTTTCCAGACCCAAAAGCAGCGATCGAGCACTGGTCGACGTACTTGAAGCCTGATGGCATTCTTGCTGTGGATGCGACACATCCCAGGAATCTGATATCTGGCATGGTATTGGAACGTGTCGCCCGTCGCTTGGATCTACCCATTCCGTACAATCGCTCCTGGAGTCAGTCGGAGTCAACTCTTCAGGCTATGCTCGAGTCTGCCGGGCTCGAAGTCGAGAGTGTAATAACAGTGGATAACCAGGCCGGGTACGGTAGGCGTTACTACGACGTCGATCAGTGGGATGACTTCTTCGTGGAGACGGTTATTGTCAAAGATGTTATGCGGACATTTGCATCCAATGACATCAGAAGAAAAGCGCAAGGAATCTACAAAGAGGAGTGGGAGAAGATAGCAATCGACGGAAAGGTGGAAGAAGTCGACGCCGTGTTCCTTGGTGTCGCCAGGAAACGTAAGTTTACTGCTTGCGCGATCCCACTCAAGGCGCGATTAACAAGTTCGCAGCTGCCAATGGAACAACCTACGTGCCAAAGGCGGATGTTGACAGCATCGTCTTCAAGGGTGGCTGTCGCTGTGGATCTGTAACGTACACTTCGAGCGAGCCACCATCAGACATCACCCTATGTCACTGCAGGGCGTGCCAACACTTATCAGGCTCGGCATATCTGCCTTTCATATCCATCCCGAAGAGGGCATTCAAGTATGCGGAATCCTCAGCGCTCAAGTCGTTGAAGCTATCAGAGGTCGCCGAGCGAACCCTTTGCGCCAGCTGCGGTACTCCTATCACCATGGGCTACACTTTCAAAGACGATAGTATCAGTGTGACAGTGGGCTCGATCGACATGGCGTCTTTAACGTGCCAGACCCCTAAAGTCAGGATGCATATATTCTTGAACGAGAAAGCACCTTGGGTTGTTCTGCCGGAGGATGGGGCTGAGCGATGGGGAACCTCGGAATTTGCGCATTTGCTCGAGTTCAAGAAAGACTGAACTGGTGGGCTGATGCTCAGGAAAGGCAATCTCTACGGTGAGCAACTGCAGCACTTTTCGTTGGTGTCGAGCAGGCCCTCGCTTGCGGCAGTGGTCCGCCCTCGCCCAGACGCTTGAAAGTAAGCTGCGATCTGCACCATAGGCATTTTTCAGGCCGACAGAACGAGGAAATGAGGCGACTATTGTGCCCTACAGAGCCACTTAAGATATGAAATGTCTTCTGAGTTGTTGAGGCCGAGACGCGGGACTGGCTAAGCGACATGGATGTTGCGGTGTGCAAAGATGACGAGTCGCGTCTGCCACGCCAACCCCCAGCCTCCAAATCTTGCTTCCAGCCACCGAGCCAACCACTCGTTTCACAACGTTTGTTGTGGACATAACCTCTGCTTGCTCGTGCTTCTGCATTCTTCACCCAACTTACTCTGACATCCTGCAGTACTTTGTTGCACCGCATCTCCTCGCCCACCTTTCGTCTAAACACGCATCGGCTGACCGCCTCGTTTCAAGCTATCGGACCTTAGCGATTGCAGCGTTGGCCCGGCTACCACGTGCCCCTCCTTACACCAGGGAGATTTGATAACGTTTCACGGACGCGCATTCCTCTGGCAGTCAGAATTCTGGTTGGCGAAGAGGCCGAATTCCTCGCTACCGACTTACGAATCCCAACCCATATCCCGGATTGCACAAGAAGTCAAGACATGCATTCGCCTGTTATGAGCCGGAATGCCCCCGCGGCTCCGCAAGCTTCACACGCCACCCGCTCACCTAGAACATCACACCAGTATACGCACAAGCGCAACTCGTCGTCCTACGCGGGAGATAGCTTCGAAGACGTCGAAATCGCCGACAGCATCGTCAGACCTCCACCTTCCGCGTTGACTTCAAGGGCCGCCACCGCGTACGACCCCAATGCACCTTCTCCACTCGAGGACTACCCCAACTCTGCGCGTAGCAGCCACCAGCGCACCCTGAGCACGTTGATCGACAACTGCCAGCCGTTCCTCAACCGCGCCACCACCACGATACAACAACATACTTCCGCCGCAGCATCGTTCCGTCCACAGTCACCAACCAAGTCCCTGGCTAGCTTCATTCCTTCGCGCGGCGCCACTGAATCCAACGCTTCACAGCCCAAGATTCGAGCGCTGCAGAACTGGTTCAACGGCTCGTCTGCCCCCGTCAAGCTTGGTGTCGCTCCTCAGAGCGAATACTCGGAATCAGAGTCGGGTTCGGAATCTGGAGAAGAATACGACTCGGAAGAAGAGAGCGAAGACGAAGAAGAAGGAAGCGGCAACATGATGGCCAGCCTCTTCAACCGGGGATCCTCGTTCACGGGCGCGCGCAGCGACAGCCCGCAGCGATCGACAGAAACACCCACTCCCACAAAGCCACAGCAACCGACTCCCAGCAGCAAGTTCGCGTGGCTGCTATCCACCCAGAAGAACGCTGCGATACCTCCTCCATCGTCTTCGCCTGTATACCACAACCCGGAGGATGAGCTTCTGAACGTCAACATTGCGCAAGCTCTCTTTCCTCATGGCCCCGCTGACCCTCTTGCACCATCATCCTTCAACGACCTCCTTGCCAACGCCGAAGCACTTCTCTCCCGCTACCAGAAATCATATCGCCAACTGTCCACATCCCTGGTAGATGCGCGATCAGAACAGAGCGCGCAAGAAGATGAACTCGACGAGGCGGACACACGGGTGCGACACCTGAAGATGCAGCTCGAGACCATGGCCGCAAAAGCCACCGAGCAGGACGAGCAGATGCGCAAGATGGCGGAAGAGCTTGCGTTTGAGCGACGGGCCAGGCAAGAAGAGGAGGCGGCACGCAAGCGAAGCCTTGCTCTCGTTCGCAGCCAACCAATCTGCGAACATGCTGCGTGTGCCGACACAACTCCCCGTAGACGAAACCGCATCTCCAACTCGGAAATCAGCGTGGACTCTGGCTTCGAGTCGGAGTGCGAGACAGATGCTGCCAGCGTCTTCTCAAGGAACTGCATGAGCCCGACCGGCACCGACATGTCCTCCGTCCTCGAGCAGGATCTCGACAACACGCCCAAGAACCGCAAGCCTCAACCCATGGAGCGCAAGAGCACATACGACAAAGTCCGCGACGGCACCGTCAACCTCGAGAAGGGCGGCTGGGGCTGCGCTAACTGCGAAGGCGGTGCACAAGCAGCGGTCTGGGGCCGTCTGGCCAAGGAGCGCGAGGAGAACCGCACTCTGAGGCACAGGGTCGAGCAGCTCGAGGACGCTGTTGAGGGCGCTCTGAACATTGTCGATGGTCCCTGGGGAATGTAAATAAACTCTTCTTCGCTTTTACTTTCTACGTAGCATATTGTGGGAAAACTTTTTGGTTGGGGGGATTAGGGCATGGCATGGGCGCATAGCATCTTTGCCCGAGGGCAGATTGCATCTTCAATATCTCAGGGCCGCGCAGGATCGCGCTTAGCATAGTACGAATACCACTTTGTCAACTACACACTTCGATGTCCTTTTGGTGATTATGCTGGCATTTACTGACATGTGAAATTCGACTTCGCAGTGGCAGTTCATCATGCTGTAGTTGATGCTTTGTCGTTTGTCTTTTTGTCGTCCTTCCTCATGCACTGAATGGATCACGCAATTCTCGGCTGCATAGTCTACGGCTCGATCCTGACTGATAAATGCTAAGCGTTCGCAGAACTTGGAAAGAATTCGTGCAAGTCGCTTGCATGTAGCGTCATAACTACACTTAAGAGACGAAAGTCCTGTCGTTTTCACACCTTCGGACGTAAGTCACGACTGCATCGACACCTTAAACTGAATATCTGTGACCTTGATATTGACGATAAAGACCTACAACGTGATACATATGTAACCGCTTGCCGTGAGTTTGCCTGCAGAAGAACTTAGGCAACATATATAGACACGATGAGCGGCTGATGGTGAGATGGCCACTTGTTGGCGTCCTTTCTTAAACCGAGTACACAAGCTTTGTCCCACTCACTCGCCCTTGTCTCAGCTCGAGTAATCCATCCACGACTCCATCGAGCCCGTTCGGTCGACGTGCGCTCGGGTGCGGCTTCAATTTTCCCTCCGCCAGTAGTACTTCGCAGATGTCGAAAAACTTGGATGCATACAGATAGTCCTCGAATTTCGCGGGTGAGTCGTGTCCAAACTTTGTAAAGGCTTCTCCGTATGCGGTATATGCGAATACCATGGACACAACGATATCCTTCCTTGGACAGTCCACTGGGAATAGCAGAGTGGAGTATTTCCCGCCAGACTTGCCCATAGCCTCGTAGCAGAAACTCGGGGAATTGCTTTCGCCAACGCAGTCGAGGATTAGACCTAGTTGGTCATCGGTGGCGGTTTTTATATCCTGAATGGCACTTGGACTGTTGTAGTCGAAAACCATGTCAGCTCCACGTGATTTGACGAGCCCGAAGTTGCGGGGTGAGCAAGTTGCGAGAACCCGGAGGCCGGAACTATTCTTGGTTAGATTGTAGGTAAACCCAGTAAGCGTTACTCACAGCTTGGCTAGTTGAACGGCAAGAGTACCAGCAGCTGTACTAGCACCGTAGATAAGCACCGCTGAAGGTGAGGATGTAGGGTTGTTCGGAAGCGGGAGCCCTAGTTGCTGATACAGGCCTTGGGCACAGGATATAAGTCCAACACTTAGGGTTGAACCTTCTTCAAAGGACATTGAGTCAGGTAGCCTAAGGGCAAGACCAGTGCGAGCAACCGTCTGCGCTCGTTAGTCGTCGTGCTGCAACAATGGGCTATGCTCGCCCCCTTTTTTCAGAGTGGATAGGCGGTCAAACTCACCCATTCCGAGAACGTCCCGTCAGCATGGAAACGGGAATTCCCTGTAAAGTCTGGTGAGAAGGTTCTTCATTTGCGGGCTGAGGTTAAGGTACTCACCTCCGTGCACGGAACCTGTAACACGATCTCCTTTCGTCCATTTCTTGGTGCTGTCTCCATCGGCTACTCTCTCCACGACACCAGCGTAATCCACTCCGAGTACAGATCCTTTCGTGTTTCTCTCCATGTCTAGAGCCTTCCAGTCCGTAGGATTGAGGGCGACGGCTTTGACTTTCACCAGCATATAGTCATGCCTTAGTGGTGCAATGCCATGCCCTGAAACTACCTTAGCCACTCCAGGACCATCACTGATTACTGCTCTTTGAGTTGCCATTCTCTGCCCTGATTTAGTAAGTATCTCTACGGATTGTAGCGGAATTCGATATCGATGTATCTCAAGCTGTTTCTGCTGCTACTATATAGTCCTGAGTGTGCCTTGAGCTGGCTACTTTTGATGGATACAATGATTAGTCTTGCTTATAGATTAACTAAGTGACGAACACCTTACTGTATTAAGCATGCTCTGCTTACTCGCTCCGCCCTAGCTGCAAAATGATTAGTATAAGTTTCTAGTGCTAGGTATAATGATTAGTAGAGGCTCGACACTTTTGATGACGATAATGGTTAGTCTTGCTTATGAATTAACTGAGTAACCACATACGTATGCTAACACTAAACTATGAGATCCGCAACGTATGGAAAGGCGGTACCCTCCTCTAACCTTAGGAGTTAACGAGGACCTTACGGTATTAAGCATGTCCGGCTTACTCGCTCCGCCCTGGCTGCAAAATGATTAGTATGCTCACGGGCGAGTCAGCCATTCTGCCAAGATCCCACCAAAACCACGCCCAACGCTGACCCACAATAGCACCGTTTAGTCCTGTAAGGCGTGAGATTGCGTTCTATACTATTCTAGCACTGTATCTACCTTCTTCTTACAAGTACGCAAGTATAATCAAGGCTACTCATCACTAAACAAGTTCGACTTCTTGCCCGCCTATCATCAGTGCTATTCAGAAGATGCGCACACCAGGCAGCGGTAAATAGGCCCTTACTAATATCTGTAAGGAAATCTGCTGATAGGAGCACACAGTGGTGTCCTGCCCGTTGTACAGTTAATCTACAGCGGGGGTGCACACATTCTGAATACGATAATACACAGCTACAATAATCTATGCTCGCTAAGAAGAGGTGAGGTTACGGGTGTTGCATTGGTAGCTTCAAAGCTCTCAAAGCTCCGTTTGCATCACGCTGTGGACGAAGTCGGAAGAGCTGTCGATCAGTAATGCGGGGTATTCTAAAGTGTTGAGATCCAAGTAGTAAACTTATGGAGTAACCCTGATCTGATTAGAATTACCAAAGGTAATTCACCTCGGGGTCTTATGGTTAGTCGTACTAGCCGCTGGCGCTGCATTAGGCATTTGATGATGTCTACGTTAGTTCATGACGCCTTCCGAACGACCGTCGCTGGGCTACATGCTAGTGTTCATAAAGTTAGGATCCAGATACTGAACTTTTTTGCTCCAGGTGTATAAAATAGTGGTTCTCGATATCGCCTTGGCCGCATCCGGAATGACGTCCATGTATCCGCATGCCCTAAATTCGCTGAAACAACGCATTGCCGCACACACGTCGGAATCTGAGGCAAACTACGCAGGATATATTTAAGTCGCATACTGTCAATACACCAGCGGAATGGACAGCCTGCCTAGTCGTAGTCATCTTGTCGCACGAGGTAGAGTTCTCGAAACTCTGCGTCGGCCGAAGGTAAAGGATCGACAGATGTCGTAATGATCAGAAACTCTCATCAACAGCGGTTTTCACTCCCCGCACTTGGATCCGAGGTTACTAGTTTGAAAACATGTGCACTCGTGCGATCATTAATCAATGATTACTCATCAGAACTTCCCTACACCTTCTCACTTTCAGTAACCGTATAAGTTACCGCAGCCCCACAGTACCGTGAAAGGATGTGTGACCTCCTCTCCAACAACTGCAAATGGCGTCTGTCGTCTACAATAGCGCTTTTCAGTGCTGCGTACCTAATCCGTTGACCCCTCGAGGAGAGGGAGAAGTACCCACTCCAGAAGAAGAGTCGTTCGCTTGCAAGATCAACCGGGCTCTTGCGTCTGGACCCATATCTATCACCAAGAATGCCACCATTGCAGACTGGAGCCACTGGGGCCCTGATCGAAAACTAGTCATATTACGTGAGGGAACAAACCACTGGACAGCCTTCCCTGGGAACGAGAACACCGTTGGAAATGTTCCAATGTGCGCCGACCCCATGGGACTCCAATGGATCAGAGATGCTTATGCCGGCAACCCGGTACCCACAAACACTGCGCCAGGCCTCATATACATGTTATGTGGAGCAAATCAGCACACCACCACGACGCCAGAAGACAGAACAAGTCCAGCTATTCCCATTGGGCCACACTACATGATCCTGTGGCCTTTCGACGCGGAACGTGATGGGTTCCCCAACACAATCCGCGATCAGGGTGCCTGGGTAATGTTTGATAAAACGCCGTACGCCCATTTGCACGTTTGTGGTACCCCCTGGGCAGGGAAGGAGTACGATAGGGAGACGACCAAGGCAAACTGGGATTTACGTTACGTGGACAGGACTTGAGGATAAGTTAATGTCGGAACATCAGAACCACAAAGAATGAGAGATGAGAATCGATAACCGACACGGTCAAGTCCTCCTTCTTAATAGAGATGATGTAATTATTCAAGTGGGTTGTATATACTAGATACGTGTCCGGCTATGCACGATTTTAAGGAATGATATAAGCCGTCCTGTACGCTGTCCTGAGTGTCCACCCTCCACTAGTGTTCAGGCGTCCTGGAGCGCTTGGCAGAAGCGGCCGTACGGCTACACAGCACAGCAAGACTTCGTTGTCGGAAACCAAATCTGTAAAGACTGTGTATATCTCGCAGTTACGGGATGCCACTATCCACTGTTTTCGCTGTCGATAAAGTTAGTACATGCTTAAAACATCATCGCTGCTACACGTCGCAAGAGGCAATCTATGAAATATTCGTGTTCCCAGCTATCGTGATGTCGTCCGCACCGCGAAAAAAAAACTTGGGCTGCCCCACATCGCGCCCCTGAAGTCAAATCACCCACCAACACCATGACCGTCACCCCCGGACCAACGCAACAGCAAAAAGAAAACGGATTGCATCGGCCGGGAATCGAACCCGGGGCTAGCCGAATTGATCTGTGACGATGGCAACGGCTAATTTTACCACTAAACCACCGATGCTGATGATTTGTTGATGGAGAATATGAGATTTGCAAAATTTATGAAGTCTGTTACGTGCTTCGTATCGTGGTAGGACTATCGCTAAGAGGTAGATCAAGCGCCGCCCCGGATATCATCTCCATCGATTAAATGCTATTGCGCCTTGTGACTGCCGATCTCACAAGTCTGGAACCTGTTAAGCTGTGCCACCCCAGCCGAGATGTCACTGAAACAAAACGGTGGAGTTTGGTTTTCGCGCCTAACCGGATCTTCAGAGCACAGTGGTGTAAAACGATCCTCCAGTTACCAGTTCATGGATGCAGTTCAGCGGCAAGCAAGTACCCTTCGCCCCTAGCCAACTAGGTTAGGCTGTGCAACGCCGCGCTTGACTCGAGCTATCCAGGCCAGCCGTTTCGCGCTCAGTACAAGCCATCAACAAGCCGTCTACGCGTAAAGATTTACCCAAGGTCGCTGTTGCCCGCGTTGGCAAGGTACTTGTAATCCAAGCAGCCAATTATCCGATTTAATGCAATACCACCTACACGTCTCGGGCCGAGATGGCAAGGGACACACGATAGTCGACAAAGAATTCCTGACGTCTTGCGCGACCCCTTACGTCCTGTTACCTTTGAAACCACACTCTCTCTATTACTGAGTTGCTTCGATATGCCCTTTCGGCCCCTTAGAGAGTACCTCGTTGCCTTGTTCATGATCTCGCACGTTTTACAGTTTGCGCACCTGCTACGTTGCGGAGGCAGCATGGCTTGGGTCCCCGTGCAACGAACCTTCAGGCCTTCGTTCCGCTCTTTTGAGCCTATCCCTTCGCCAATGGTTGACGCAAAATTTCCGCGTGCCAATCTGTATTCCAGGAAGTCTGCATTTGCATTGTCTATGTCTCTCTGAATTGCACATTCACGATCTATTCATGCTTTCTTACCGCCCAGCGCGTGCTCTCCTCAAACGCTGATTTCTCCTCGCCGCTCAGGCTCTGCAATCCCTGCTCCCTAAGCTGCGCGAACAATCCAAGTGCCTGCTCATAATTTTCGTTGGAAGTCCATCCATCGCGGTGTACAAACCCCTCAAGTGAGTCCCAGAAGTCTGCATTTTGATTCCAGCCTTCCCCATCCAAGAGATGTGATTTTATCTCCTCTTCAGTGAATTCTATCGGACAGGGGATTTCGGTATTGATCTCGTTCCAGTGACTGTAGCTCTCATGTATTAGCGGTCAACATTGACTTGAAGTAGCGGGGATGGGGTTAACATACCGTGCTATGCGGATGAGGCATTGCCTGAAGGGAATAATGTCTCCATCCCACGTGTTGGCAGAAAAGTCTACAGTGTCACGCTTCGTACGCCCTTGAACTATGTGCAAAATATCATGGAGGATCGGGTTCGTTTTTTTGGTCTCAATTTCGTATGTCCACAAGACAATCGACTTCTCAACTTGGGTCCGAACGCGCAGTTTTTCTTCTTCATCTTCAAGAGCATCGTAGCTTTCCGGTAGCCTCGTCATCACCTCTCCGTTGTAATCTACAAGCCGCGGATGTCGTGCCTGAAGGAACAAGGGTCCGACCCACGTATCCTGCCAGTCGATGAGACTAGTAACATGGTTTTCAGATACGAATATGTTGGGGGCATGGATATCCCAATGCCATAGGGTAGGTCTGACATGATCTCCCTTAGGCAATAGGTACTCAGCGACGTCAAGAAACTTCTTATAGAGGACGATGTGGGCATCTGGAGTGCGCTGCGCTTCGGACATTGCAAATAGACCACCCGACGGCTTTTGGGCGGCGTGACTATCTATCCAAGCGATCTCTCGTTGGCCAATTGCCCTAAGATAATCCTGGGGGCTTTTCCCTATGCCGGGGCATTAGTAAAGCTGTACTCTGGGGTTTGCATATAATATGACTCACACGGGCCACGATCAATATCCATCAATGCTCGTTCTCGGTGCCAGAAACCTCGATCAACGACTGGGCCTATCACAAATCGATTCTCCACCAAATTCCTCAATGATTGTGGTAAATCACCAATGATTTCGGCTTTTTCGCAGCCCGGGAAGGCGTTATCTGCGAAATAAAGATTTCCGTAACTGTCGTTCTCCGTCAACTATGCCAGCATAAGTACACCAATTAGAGGAACATACCGGGTGAATGATAGGGACAGAAACTTCCTCTCGATGGCGACAATATCGTCTACAATCTTGAGCTTATCGTGAAGCTCCATCTCATCCCAAACCTCACCGAGCTGATTTCCAGTAGCCTCCTCCATCAAAATGTACTCAGATTCCACAGGGTTTTCGGCTTCTGCGCACCAGGACAACACTTTTAGCACGGGAATCTCAAGGACAGTCCGAGCCTGAGAATCGCATTGTATCAGCTTGGCCTACTCGAAGTTGCGCTGAACCAGTCAACGTACAAAGTCCATGGTAGCAACTTCAGACGCGGTTGTTTTGAATGGAGGCCCCGCATTAGGATTCGGTATACGCGCAATAACAATAGTGCCATCATCCATGACAAGCTGAAATACCTTATTGAATCAATCCGCCTTCAGCAAGCTTGCTAATAGACACGCAGGTTTGCGCGCCAATACTTTTAGCCGCGATTATTTTAAGCTCCGACACATCAAAGCGTTTATATCGCTCGCGAAACTGAGAATCTTCATCCCAAAGCCAGCGCCCACTGGTGTAGCGGTAGTAATCTTCGTGCTCATGATCTGGACACGCAGACATTTTTCGAAACGGAGAACGTAACGATCCAAAGGATGGCGAAAGAAAGCGACCAAAGTGTTTCAGAGCATTGTATCTGGTGACAACCCCAAGGCGTTGGAAACGAGTTAAAAGTGACGACGTATTAGAGACCATCGTACTCGCAATTAACAACAGTAACTCTCTATGTATGTCTAAGGGCGACCGGTACCACTAAACCACCGATGCTGATGATTTCTTAATAGAGAAGACAGATTTTAACGGGTTCTATACCAGCTTTCTAAGCCGCGATGCTTGCAGTCGTCTCGTCAGGATCAAGCTCCCCGCTCAAGATTCTTGCTAACGCAAACCCCACAGACCTAGTCCCCGTCCGACAGGTGCGCCATGCATCTTGGCATACATAGCTTTTGCGCGATTTATCTCCCGCGGTCTACGCCGTTAATTGAGAACCACCGAGTTCCAAGTAAACGTTCCTTGACCACATGTGAGCAGGACTGGTGGGCTGCACAGCCTCGCGCTGATCACATGCGAAAATGCCTCAAATAAAATGGTCGTGTGCTTTGATTTTGCTTTCGCTTCCGCGCTTTTGAGAGACGTCATACTTGAGATCCCATACGGCACTTGTCTTTGTTCAAGTATTGATTTAGACGATTTTTAAGCACTTGGATTTGTGCCGATTGATATTTACATTTGCGCAAACATGTGGAAGCCGCCAATAAACTTCATCACGCTGCACTGTAAGTCCGCCTCGATATTATGCAACCACACAGAATCTTCGCATCTAACTACCGCTTTCCCAGATGCATACATCATCAGCTTCGGCATCCTGGCGTTGGTCATCCTGTACCCCGAGAAAAACCTGCGCACCGTAGATGCATACTTCTTCGGCGTCAGCGCTTCAACTGAATCAGGCTTGAATCCGTGAATACACCATAGAACCGCGCCGCGGGAACTCGATGGGCTAATTACCTTAGGACCTAACAGTGTAGATCTCAAAGCACTCAAGACGTATCAGCAAGTCTTTTTGTACATCGTGCCGATGATCACGAACATCGGCTTTGTCAATGTTATTGTTGTGGTTGTGAGGTTGAGATGGTTTCGACAGAGGTTCAAGGCGGTGACTGCGAGGAAGGACGACGCTGTACAGGCTGGTTCGGTGACAAGAGATATGGAGAAGGGGCCGACGCTCACGACGCCTGCTGTACTGTCGAGGGAAGAGGAGCAGCCGAAATCTGATACGACGAGGATAACGTTTGCGCCGGTGATGCAGCGCGGTCGAACAGGGGAGCATGCGCTGTATATTCCTGGACCAAGAGAGCGGGAGAACGGTGAGGATGACGGCTATACTCATGGATTGGATGATTGAACTGATGTGATTTTCAGGTGAACCCATACAGTCACTCTCGGATGGTACGCTGGTCACTTCAGGGCATGTTTCCGCACACTGACATAACGTAGATGAAGACGTCGATCGAATCAGCATCGCTCGCACCGAGTCGAACAGCATCATGCGCCGCAAAAAGTTCGATACCAGGAAGATGAGCAAAGCGACTTCGATGGAGACTGCCGTGTCGTCCATCTTCGTTTTAGGTAGCACTGCACGAGGCCAGAGTCAGGATAGGTCAAGAAAATCGTTTGACCGAGCGAAATCGATGGAACGAACGAAATCAATGGACAGAACCAAGTCGATAGACATTGCTACTTTGACACCAGACGAGTTAGGAGGTATCGAGTACCGCGCACTACGAGTCTTGCTCAAGGTTGCGGTAGGATACTTCGTCGGTCTGCATTTACTCGGCGTCATTTGCTTGGTGCCGTGGATACACCTCGCGAGTCCCAAGTATCGGGAGTACCTGGCTTCAACAGGCCAAAACGAAACTTGGTGGTACGTCCGCCAGACTCATTTGTGTCCCAACAACCTGCTAATCACACACAGGGCCATCTACTCTGCGCAAACCATGGTCGACAACTTGGGCCTCACCCTCACCCCGGACAGCATGATATCATTCCGCGACGCCACCTGGCCCATGCTGGTAATGTCCTTCCTCGCCTTCGCCGGCAACACCTTCTACCCCTGCTTCCTACGTCTCCTCATCTGGACAATCTACAAACTCTCCGCCATCGACTCTTCGCTGCGAGAATCCACCCGCTTCCTCCTCGACCACCCGCGCCGCTGCTACACCCTGCTTTTCCCGGGGACAGCCACCTGGATCCTGGCGGCGATTCTGATAACGCTGAATTTCCTCGACACACTGCTCATCATCGTGCTCGATCTAGATAACCCCGAAGTCAACGTCCTCCCTGTCGGCTCGCGCATCCTCGCCGCCATCTTCCAAGCCGCGTCCGCCCGACACACAGGCACAGCAACGTTCAATCTCGCGAACGTGAATCCCGCGGTCCAGTTTAGTTTGCTGGTCATGATGTATATATCCATCTACCCGATCGCCATCAGCATACGCATGAGCAGCGACTACGAGGACGGGTCGGTGGGGCTGTACGAAGTCGAGGAGAGTCTGGATGAGCAGACGGGTGGGAAGAAGTACTTGGTTAACCACATGCGGAACCAGTTGAGTTTCGACCTGTGGTATATTTTCCTGGGTGTGTTTTGTATCTGTTGTGCGGAGAGCGAGAGAATTATGAGTCGGGAGGATTATGTAAGTTTGAAGCGGGATGTTGAGGGGGGGTTTTGGGCTAATGACTGGATAGGCGTTCTCGGTTTTCTCGGTCTTCTTCGAGGTCGTGAGTGCGTATGGTAATGTTGGGCTTTCGCTCGGCCACCCGTCGAATCTGACGTCGCTGTCGGGACACTTTAATGTGTTTGCTAAACTGGTCATTTGCGCGATGATGATTCGGGGTAGACATAGGGGTCTGCCGTATGCACTTGATCGCGCTATTACGCTTCCGATCGATAAGAGGAAGAGGGATCTGGAGGAGTCCACGACGGTTGGCCAAGAGGAGCCGGCTGGAGAGGCTAGTGCCAGACAGAATTGGCAGGCAAAGAGAAGGAACTTGCTGAGATCTTATACCCAGTGATGAGTTTGGAGCTACTTAGGAATGTTGTTTGATAGTGGCATTCGCTGTACTATTAGGGTGGGCTTGGATTGGTTCAATATGAGACTGATACGTCACGGAGAGTAGTAGGCATTCGGCATGTGTGGAAGATCACGGTTCAATAGGAAATGATCATACCAATCTTGGTATCTGACTTCACAATTCGCCCAGAGATGAGTATACACAATGCCAAAGATCATCGCTAAACCGCGTGTATCAACCCAAAAGAACAAAACTCCCAAGCCGTATGCCATGTGAACTTGCAGCGCCAAAACATTTCCGATATTTACAACACCAGAAGTCCTACATCGATGTATCATCACCGCGCAAAACTATACCCGCTCCCCCCATGACTCGCCTGTCTCTCAGGCCCGGCACTCGCACTCGCCTCTCTCCTAAACTCCTCATACCCGCCCGGACTCAGTGCATCCGCGCCCGCGCTCTGCCTATAGTCCGCATACGGCTTTGCACCCCAACTCAGCGGCCTGCCAGGATGCCTGCCCTCATCCGTTTCCGTGCTATGCAGTAGCGCGTACTCGTCCTCCTGCTGGTTACCACCATGTTCCGTCATGCGGTCCTCTGAATCGCGGCCGGTTTCGATCTCGGCGGACCAGGCGTTGTCCTTGGATGTGTCGCCGGTCATGTAGTGCGGGTTTACGGATTTGGATTCGTAGGGGAGAACGCCTTCGCGGAGGAATTTGTGCAGATAGTAGCCGGATACGGCGGTTGTGAGGGCGAAGAGGAGGCTGAGATATTTATTAGTATGCGAGATGTTTGGATATGTGATGGGGACGTACAAGATGACAACGCCTACGCCGACACTGGCTTTGCTGGTGTTGCATTTGCTCTCGCTGCCCCATTTGAAGGTCGTGCAGTTGCGCTGGTCGTCGGGGATTTTCTTCTCGGCTGCGCCCTCCTTGATGCCGCTGCTGTTCCACATGGCGACTGCGACGAAGGCGGCAAACCAGAGGATCGTGTAGATGACGTCGACGGCGAGGAAGGCAAATGCGTTTGCGAAGCGTGCGGCGCGGGACCACATGGGGACCATGACGAGGTAGATTATGGCTGGTATCGAGAGGAAGCACTGTATGCCGGGTTAGCCTTTTGCTCTTCTTTTCTTTCTCATTGTTCCCAGGGAATGGCTTCAACGTACCAAAGCGAGATAATACCTAGTCGCACCGCCCGTCTCTCCATCCTTTGTGAAGACTGCAATGGTGATGCACAGCCCCACGAAGATGAAGATGGACTGGAAGACATGTCCCACCACCTTGCATTTCTGAATATACGACTGCGGTATCCTCATCTTTGTCTTATTCTCCCCCTATGCTGTGAAAACGAGGCTCGAGAAATGTGTCGTCAGGCCGCCCCTCGAGGAAGGATCGATGTAAACACAGTCCAAAGTTAGCTTTGCGGCAAACACGGAGGTCCGGGATGTTCGTTGCAGCAGTCGCACTCGCACAGCAATGCTCAAAGGGTGTTCGTTCGTGATGACCGAGTATCTAAAGAGTGTGTTGAAGCCTCGAGACAACAATGAACGAACGTCAGACTGCCGCGCCAATCCTCAGGTTTTCCGCAGCAACGCAGCTCGTCTCAGCCTCAGCTGGGCAAGGCGCAATTGTGGGTCGTCTGCCAGTGCTGGCGCGTCTTTTCTCCCCGCGCCGCTGGTCCAGATGTGGTTAGAGCAAGGGTCAGCACGGATAAGAATAGCTCCCTCGTGCCACCGAGTTTAGTGCGTGGGAGTGTCTGTCCCAACGGCATGGCGATAATATGTTCATCACTATTGAGTGACTTTGACGATATGGAGAAGCGATCGGGCGCATAACCTGATGTGAGGAGGATGTGTAGATTTTGATTATCCTAAGACAGGTGCCTGGTAAAGAGTTGCCTTGTCCGCGCCCTTTCGCAGCCTCACTGCGCCACCGTCCTGTAGAAAAGACTCAGAAGCGATTTGGCGCTCATCGAGACCGGCCGGACCGGTTCCCTTGAGCTGCGAAATGCATGTGGATTTTCAAATCGCTCGTCTCCCTTATAGTTCAATCCCAGCCATTCGACTGCACCGTTCTTCTCGTGGAGAATCGACAGTTGCATCGAGAGTGCGAGCTTCCAGTATTGACCTGTAATCATTTGCATCGTAGCCAGTCCTCGACGAAAAGCACATATGCGGTCGCAAGCCACGATTGAGTCGGAGAGCACGATCCTTAGAATGACTGTGTTATATCTTAGGACTGGAAGTGTACGACCTTCTTCCGCCTGTGCCGACTGCGTTTGCTGGGTTGCAAGAAATAGCGAAGTCCAATGCAGGGCAAGGGAACCCATGGACAACTTTCTGGACACGATGTGTTGCGCATTGCCACGGCATGATACATATCAGCAGCATAGGTATCCTGATCAGGCGGGCCATGTTGGGAAGTAGCTGCCCTCAACAGGAATGGCAGCAGGTTCATTCTCATAGTTGAAAGGATCGCCCCAGAAGCCCTGATATTATTAGTCACGTTTCAACAATATGAACCCAAGTACTCACAAAGTCAAAGTCCGGCAAGATGCCCGGCGCCGGCTCAATATCGCCTGCCATATTGATGATGTTGTTAAGATTGAAGTCGTCCCAATTCGGTTGCACGAGGTTCTGCACAGGATCCGGCTCAGTGTTCTGCATGCTTTGATGTTGCTGCATCGGAGGAAGAAGATCCGGATCTGGTTGGACTTGCTGCGGGTCAGTAGTGATGGGGTCTGGTGTGTACGTGCCAGAAGAGACTTGGATAGCGTAACTCGGAATCGCCCCCATCGCGGGAAACACACGGAACTTGTCGTTAGACGGATCTTCCAGCGGTGGGCTTGCGTATGAATCGGGTGCGGACGAGTTATGCTCCGAGATCGCGCGGTCGATCATGTTCCGTACGGCTTGCCATGCTTTTGCGCCGTTGTTCTCGCGAAGCAGGCGCGACATCTGGAGTGCTCTCAGTGCGCGTTGACGATCTGGAGTGTCGAAGAGGGGGTTCCGGAGCTCTGACAGGACGTGCATGATGGCCTGGAACGAAGCGATTCCTCCTTAGATAGTCAGTATAACTGCTAGAATAGACAATGAAAACATACCTATGTGCCACTGGAATCTTGCTGCATGGACATCGGCGGCCGCGCCATTGATCGTCTCGATGCAATTCACCGACTTCTCGAAGATGCTGCAGTCACAAGTTAGCCCCTTCGTAACGATTGCAAAGATATTCGACGCGTACGATTTGCGTATTTCGTTTGAGAAGACGACATCGCGATAAGCTCTGGGCATGCGCAGCCAAAAGAGCAGATAACATCGCCATTCCAGTAGGGACGCGAGACCCAGGCACATTCGCTGCATCGGGACTTCTGGTCTACAATATCGAAGATACTTTCGAAAGCTTTCTTCATGAAACTCCTCAAGCATGACTTTGATTTGCTCATAAAGGTTCTGCAGCTCTTCAGCAGGATCAGGTCGCGAAGTGCCGTGCAGGCCAGAGTCTAGCATGCGTCGCTCCAGACGGTACGTACATTGCACGATACGTCGCAGGCACCGCATACCGAGAAATCGAACGAGCTGGAATGTGATCACAGTGCATTTTTCGGCATCATAAGGGCTCGGGCCAGGGCTGGCTCCATCAACTAGATCCTCGTCGTCAATGTTGCGAGGTAGTAGTGTCGTGTAGAAGTCCTCTGTTATACTCGGCTCTTGGCCTTTGCACTCAGCAGCTCGGAACTCCAGGTGGCTCAGTTGATGCCACATTCTTCGTCGTGACTCGATCGTGACAGCATCCATGGAGCCTTTCGGGAATAGAGATGGGTCCCGGTGAAGTCCTTGGTTAAGGGCAATGCGGAAAGCCGTACCCAATAGAACCCATGCTTTGCCTATCCTTTTGTTAGTGAGTTCATCACTAGGAATACGTGATTTATATACCCATGTCCTCTTCTCTTGTGATGCATGTCAACCAGAGAACGAAACCCTGAAAGATCTCTAGACTTGATGAAGTAAGATAATTCTCTCTAGATAGAGAGATCTCAACTCCGAGCTGGAAGCGGTCGAGAAGGGTTGCTTTTGTCTCACGAAACTTATTTTCCACCACCTGAGGAGGTAAAGAGTTGATCGCCGAGAAATATATAGCAAACGCGATCGGGCGGGTCTCACTGTTGTAGGAGGCAAACTTGCGTGTCACGGTGCCTTTGTGTGTTACCCTGACCATTGGATCGACATTCGCAAAGTACACATCTAGAAGCGTGTCTCGAAACTCTTGGTTGTTCGGAAGTAATTGGGGCAGACTGGATCCGATGCCTGCACGTCCCAGAGAAAGTAAATCGACCAGACTGTTCTGTGGCACTTCTTTCTTCTCCGCATCTGATTTCTCGCCCAGTATAGCTTTTATGTCTTGAATCTGTGCTTATCATCAGCAATCTTGGGTTTAAGTCAAATATGCCTGACATCAGATTTCGATCAATGGAGACTTCGGTGTGCGTCTCAAGCGTCCAGAATTAGAGGCAGTCACGGGACTACATACCTCGTCTGCTAACAAAGCAAAGTGTAAAGAAGATACAAATTGAGCACTGCCCTGATCTATCAACAGTACTCCTTCGCCCTCATCAGCTGTCATCCCTTGTCCGGCGGACGTTTGACTATTAGGTGATGGTTCTGTATGCACATCCTGAGCTCTTCTCTCAAAGTCGGCGCTTGAGCGTACGGACGCTTGTGACGTCCCTCCATGTCCAGCAACCGCTTTTTCCAACAGGAGCTCAAGCCGATCGAGTCGAGACTGCACATCGCTATTTTTCGTGATCTTTCCGTTTCCGGTGGTGCTAGGTTTTGATATTCTGCCGGCAACAGCCGGCGTGTGCATCTGGTCTGTCCAGGTGCAGACATGACTCCCTCTTGTGCATGCGCCACACACTGGATGTACGTGGTCACATTTCACTTTCCGGCGCCTGCATGTGAGGCATGAAGAGATGATGCGCTGTCGGCCTCCGCTACCGCTGGACTTGGCTCCTGATGTGGGCGAATGCGGTCCGGAGCCCATTCTCGAGTCCCTCATCCCTGACTTGGCGATTGCTTTTGCCCTTTTATGTTTCTTCTATTCTGGGGAGGTTTGCAAAGTTGATGATCGGGGCGCGGCGAACACAATGAACCGATCGGACGTTGACTCCGCTTCTCTGCCTGCTTTGGGACTAGTGTCTAACTTCAATAACTGAGGCTGACCAGCTGCACCCTGGCAAGTTGTAAATCTGAACACGAAGTTGTAAACCAAGAATATGTTTTGTGTATATGGACACAAAGAGAAAAGCTTCAATCGTTCAGTGGAGCCTGCGAAGCCAAGTGGTAGGATCACATCAATGGCATTCTGCACTGCAACCAGCCTGACTGACAAAGTGATCCCTATCCTGCCGCGAGCCGCACGCCGAGACTCGAGGCAAATGTAAGCACGAGCTGTCCACATGTTCAGGATTATGTCATGCTTCCTGCCATACGAAGTAACTATGGGGGCCAAGAGATGGCGGCTGACAAGGGCGGCGGCATACATGCGAAGATACCCCTGTCGCCCGACTTCTTTGATACTAACCCTATCTTGAGACGGAGACGATCTGCACCAAGTGAGTTGCTTTTTCAGTTGCACTCGAGTGGGCCAATAGCTGGCAGCAAACGCCTATCGTTGCGCAGATGCACAACTCGAGTCATTTTGGTGATGTCCTTGTGCGCAGTACCCATTGACCAGTTTTCAAAAGAGTCGACCAAAATCCAATAGGAAATCTTTACTTTTGCAGCAGTGATCTCCTTCTTCATCTTGGAGTCGAATCTATCAGGATATACCATGATTCAAGCAGGGATGACGTACCTATGGCAGCTGCGAATTATCGTGGCCTATGACGATCTCTGAAGACGACAGAGGGCTCACCACCAATGCCAGGCCGCACCACCACTCTGCCATAGTCTAAACGCGAAAATGAGGCTAGGTGAAACACAACAACGGCAACAAACAAGAAAACGTGGTGCATCTGCATGGGCGCAATCGTGTCTAGAGAATCGTCGTCACACGGGCACAGGCTAAATCCAGGAAAGACCCGAATATTCGGGCCAATTGAAGCCGCTGGCCAATGCAGTTGCCGTCACATTTCGCTCCATGCGCGGACTCTGGGAGCGTCGCTTTGTCGCTTTGTCGCTTTTACTGGTCCACCAGTTGCCTGGGCTTGCGCTGCGCGCATCGAGGCGTGGTACTCAAGCTTTGCTGTGCATATCCAGCAAAATGGCTGCGTCTCTACATCCTCGCGATCCTCTTCATCGCAACTGCAACTGCAACTGTGCGGTGCAGAAGGTGGTCATTTCCCGAGCCCCGCGCTCTATCGCTGCCCCCCGCAGCTCCTCATTGAATCCCGAACCGACTAGAGACGATCAATCGCGTCGATAACGGGAAGCTGCATTGGGAGGACTAGGAAGTCTGCCCGAATCCTGCTCGGCGTTTATTTTAGCTATGAAGACATGGCGACTCTTTCCCCAGGTGCGCACGCTCAGCCTCACCATTGCGAAGCTTCCTGGATTGGCGCTGACTGAGCCGTATCATTAGACGTCCGCAACTCCACGCTTCGCTCGCTGAAGCTGACTTGCCCGTCTGCCGAAGTTGTGCACGACGACGTGTCGTCTGAGAGTTCTATTTCTCCAGTCATGGGCCACACAAATCCCAATCCCTTTGGCGATGCAGATGCTGAGTGGTCGGACGAAGAGGAGCTTCTAGCGAGAAGTAGACGGAAAACCCAATACATCCCACCACATGTGAAAATTACAGCGACGTCGGCGGAAACCAGTTCCGAAGCATCCACGGAAAGCTCACCAAGTCGGGGTCGTTTGAGTAGGAATCATGGTCCACCAGTGCCGCCCAAGAGCCCATCGAGGCCAGACGTACGACCAGGAAGTAGTCAGGATGACCTAGTACAACGTTTCTACCAGGTCACGAGAGAGCGGGATGCGCTGAGGAAGGAGCTGCAACGGAAGAGCGTGGGACCTCACGGTATACCAGCCACAGCTTCAGTGGTGTACAAATCCGAAGAAAAGACACTGATCGAAGAGCTGCACGCTCTACGATATGAGATCCGAATATGGACCGAAGAGTACTTCAGCGGCCCGATCAAGACCAGCAGCAGGCGCCCCTACCTGACCAGAGCGAAGAAACTATTCGGCAACCTGTCAGAAAATTACAACACATACCTCAAAGACCACGACGACCGACCGCTGCTGATGCAGTCCTACATCTGGTCCCAGCTTCAAACTAAGATCTTTAGCAACTGGCAGAAAGGCTGCGGCTACGTCTGGGCCGGCAAGCTCGGCGACCGCAAACTTCGCCCCATCAACGACACGCTGCGCAAAGCCGTCAAGAACGAGGAAGAGGCGGAGCAATACCACCAATGGCGCTCATTGACGGTCAATCTCCTCGTCCCGCAGGTCGACGGCAAGTGGCGCCCGACCTTTGACGCGTCTCCCGTGCTCAAACGCATTTCTCGCTTTTGTTCGCGCACACGTCGGAAGCTGAGGCCTTGGTCTGCGCATTCGCTCCGCGCGGGCAAAGAACAATTGCACACGATTGTGTCGGCGGCTGTAGCGCTCGATCTTAAGATGAAGCGACAGCTTGCAGACTACCGCTTTGTTACATTTACCGGGGGCAAGAAGGACCAGTTCTGGGGCTATGGCTTCTACGAAAGCGAGATGGAAGATGTGTACGATGACGACGAGGATGAATATCATGCTATGGGCGGATACGGATCGATGGCAAGTGCGAAGAGCAGGAAAGTCGAGCTCGCGCTTGCGCCGGCGCTGGAACGATGTGGGAATTCGAATGGGCATATTTTTGAGCAGAGCTTCATGCTGGTCAAGGCGGATGTGAGCTGTAAACGACTGGAGAAGATGAAGAAACCCGTGAGACCCACGAAAAAGGGAGGAGGCATGAGAGGAGGAGTCGAGGCTTTGGGCAAAGCGTGGAATAGACAAGCTTGAGCTATTGATAGAAGGACGTATTATTGTCGACTTCGAAATGGAGATGTGCAGCAGCGACGAGTTGCTACTTCGCTATCGACTTTGAAATAGTTTCTGAGATCCTGCCGGTGACTGTTAGTTGATGTGTTGAAAACGTACCAAGTCCACCGCACGTAGATCCGATTGCCTCAAGCCAAACCACCTTGCCTCAACCCAATCTTGCTAGACCCAAAAATCACACGAAAATGAAGTTCCAGGCCGCCCAACATGCCGCGTCGCGCCGTCAAATCCAGACGTATATAAGTGGTGGTCTAACACGCCTTGAGTATTGGCACCGCCCAGTCCGCCCGATATGCAACGATTTGACGCGATACCCGAACTCGTATATCCCTCAAACACCTCTCAATACCATGCCAGTCATCGAATTTGGCCTCATGGGCGTCGGCCCACTCACAACATCGCAGACCCAACCACACCCTCGGCGCCGTCCCGCACAAAGCATGGCGTTCCGTCACGTCGGCACCAGGAGGGCCGCACTGGACGCACGACGGTCTGGAAGTCGATGGTCCTTTGAATCTATCGGGATTCTTTGAATTCGAGTCAGTGCAGCATCAAGAGGAGTTTGCGAAGACATGAGTGAGAAGAGAAAATTGGAGAGTATGCTTTTATTGGGCATCTAGGCTTGAAGCATAGCAATTTTTTAAAACATGTGATGGTAGAGGGAGATATGTTGGCGGTGTTAAAGACGCCTGTGATGGCGGTCACGCTTGTGTATCTTACCTCGGACATCTTGAAGGGCAGAAAGGAGAAATTAAGCGCGCTGGTTGGCTCATTCATCCGTGAAAAACTGGACGTATACGCTGATGTAAAAGTAGCGGCTTATGGCGAAGCTGGAACTGTGTTTTCGGGCTGGACGAGTATTGATGGGGATCGAGGGGGATTTGAAAAGATTGGCGAGATCGAAAAGGGGACACATTTAGTGTCGAGAGTTTGGAAGCGTCTCTGAGATTTAAAAAAAAAGCATTGCGCTTGTTCTTCCACTTTGGCAAGTAAGCTCGATCGAGAATTCTTGCGGTGTTGCTGCTGCTTTTCTGAGTTTCTATCCAAAGTTACGCCACTACTCAAATGGATTACAACTCAAGATCGGATTCCCATGTGTTGGAGATCTCGTCCTAGAAGATTTCAGTGTAAGAACACGGATTTCACTGAGCAGACTTACAAGTGCTTGGTCGATTGCGCTCTCAGAGCCATCAATCAAGTGAGTCAGATCGTGTTTAGGATCCGCAGTCCGGAAGGTCACATTTCGGATGCCAAGGGCATGTAGTTTTCGACAGGTTGGCGTGATGAGGTTCAAGCAACTTCGCAATTCAATCACAAACTCTTCCTTCGACCAGAACCTGGACATGACGACCGAGAACGTGATAGTCGCTTTCTTGTTGCTCAGCTGGAGCAATTTTGATAAATGCTTCGCGACCGTATTTGGCCAGACCATCCTGGCCAAATCTCAAGGGTGAGGTGCTGTATGAAGACGCTCGGCTGGATATTCTTCTGAAATGGATCGTGGTTGAGAAATGTTTTGAGTGCGCCGAATTCTCTTGAGATGGTGAACTTCCGTGTTGTGTACCAGCGTTCGACGAGTTCGAGAGCGACGGCTTTGCCCATATAGCTGTCGCACCACCAGCGCAAGCTGAATGGATACGAGAAGCGTTCCTGCCATAACCGGGCGTTGTCGTAGGTAATATTTTTACGAACCAGTGTTCCCTGATCTTTCTTGAGCTCCGCCCCGAGGATACGCTCATGTTCGCCGGGCATTCCAATGATCCAACCATAGATCATATCTCTTAACTCCATAGGCAGCATGGCATACATTTGTTCGCTTAATGCCAAGCAAGCTTGTCTGCCCATCTCGACTGCATCGTCACCTCTTTGCTCTGTCTCTTCTGAGGCATACATTTCATCTATCAGTAAAGCCTGAGTCTGCTCCTGTATCTTGCGCTGTCTGGTTCAACGTTAGCATATGACTTCTGCAGGAGACAGCATCAATGGTTTACCTTTCTGCGTCTTGCCTAATGCTTTGAGCGCGATTTAAGTCCGTCAGCGCAGGCGTCGTGCTCCCATTGGCAGCCATACTGAGTGATGTATAACGTGAGAGCGGAGTTGAGTGCGTGAGCAAAATAAGACAAAGTGCGTTGAACAATATAAGTAATTGTTAGCGTGGTTGCCGCGTTGGTACCTCGAGCACGTGAGCGCGCCTAAAAGAGCAATCACCCCTCGAAGGTTGCACGTGAAAGTAACGCTCCAATCGTAGCAACATATCATTAGCTAAATCGAACGCTCGGGTATCTACTAAGCTCAAACCTTTTCCACCACCCAAACCACAGCCTTCCTCAAGCTCCTCTCTCGACATCCCCACTTCCTCTCATTCTGAATCCCGTACTAATCCTCTCAACCGGCGAATGCACCTCCGCACTAAGCCTCCCATTGATCGTCGTCATGCCATTCCCCTTGGTGGACAGCGCTCCTCCCTTCGCGCCACTGCGCATCGTGCTCCGACTCTGGACCGGCGACAACGTCGACCCTCCAGCGTAACCGCGATGGAGATAGCTCTCGATACTGCGGCGGCCATCTGGTCGAATTGTGCTGCGACCCGCGGATAGCGCTTGTTCTAGCGCACGCATGTCGACAGCGTACTCAATGTCCATTTTGTCGTCGCCAATGGTGGCTTTGTGGCTGTCGTATGGATGTCGGGAGGGATTCTTGCGGTCGCGGAAACGCCGGCGGACTTCGCGGAAGAAGTCGCCGATTGCGTCGAAGGAGAGTGCGATGGCGATGAAGGGGATGGAGATTGCGAAGCCGATGCCGAACATGTACTTGCATACGAAGGAGAGAGGGAGAGAGGGCTCGTCACCGCCGGGCTTATGAGGGAACTGCTCGATGTTGATGGTGAAGAGGGCTGCGATGAACGACAGGGGCAAGAAGATGATGGTGACGATGGTGAACACCATGATTGTTTGACTCTGTCGAGCGGTACCGGCGGCCTGGTCGCGAGCGAATCGTGCTTCAAAGGCGTTGGCGTGTTTCTGTTTCAGGTCTAGCAAGTCTGTTATGCTCTTGTAGATGCGCTCGGCTTGTATGTCCATCCGCTCTAGATCTCTGATGTGCGTGTCGATAGTTTTGAGCATGTCTTTGAATCGTTTCCTGAGCTCTTGTTGGCTCTCCTTTCTCTCTTTGTAGATGTCCTGGATAGATGTTTCCAAGTCAGGCAGGACGTTGCGCTGATCTTCGAGGACTTTGGCAATCATGTTCAGCTCGTCACGAATGTCTTTGATTTCGGCCAGCAGATCAGTTTCGGCGCCAATATCAAGTAGCTTGTCGACAAACAGAGGGGCGTGCGCATGTGAAGAGCTGTCGTTGTAGTGAAATTGATCTTCTTGAATTGGTGGGTCGAGCAATGCATGCCTATGCGTGTGGTGTGGCATATGCCTACGGTTCTGCTGCTCGCGTTGTCGCTCTTCTGCTTCGAGATGGCGCGAGAATCGATTTGGGCGACGATGATGCTGTAACCACGCTGAGGCCTGTGCAGACGCAGTGTTGAATTCTTTGAACAGCATTGTCTCCATCTCTGTGGCATCTCCTATACTCGACTCAAACATGTCGAGAAACTGGTAATCCTCGTCACCGATACGGTGTCTGTCGAACACTCCACTGCAACGTGACGTGATGATCATCGCAAGGTCATACACATTCCGCACTGGATCTCTCGTTTTGCTGTTGATGTCTTCGATAATGCCATCCAGGACGTTCAAAGGGTCATTGCGAGGCTGTTGCCAGCGCTGAGGGAACGCAGTCACAATCAGATCCTTGCCCAGCGTCCACATCCAAAGTTGGTCAACCATGAAAATCTTTGGATCCACGTCTTGTTCATGACCGCCTTTCGTCTGATAACGGTATACGACCTGATCACAATCGCGAGATTGCGTGTCGATGTTATGGTAGAAGAACTGGTCCAGTGTTCTACGGACGTGCAGCGACATTTGCGAACTTGTCAGATGGGCTCGCAGCAGCATCTCATCGTAGGTAGACGCCTTTTGTACAACGGGCTTCATGATGCGGCCTTCATGTTTATTGCTGTTCTTGATCATTTCCGCTCTTGAGATGGCCGCCTGCATCTCTTGCCGTCGGCGATCAGTTTCAAAGTGCAAGTAAGGAAGGTAGAGGAATACATTCCCCTTTGCCGTTGTGGTTGGATCTTTACGGCCAGGCGAGCCTGGTGATCGAAGGTGTCCGCTATGAGAAAGCGAGGAGCTTAGCGTAGGCCGCCTCGACTCATTTGGTCGTGTGGGCGTGTCAGTCCCGTTCCCTTTCTTGGCTGCTGGCTTCGAGCCGCCCCATTTGGATTGCTTCTTAGTCTTGTCCTTTGTCTTCCCTTTGGTCTCCTTGCCAAATGGAGCCCCAGAGCTGCCGGCTGTCCAGTCCGTCTGATCTGTGCTCACAGTCCCCGTCCTCGTAGGGGTTCGTGGAAAAGGAGCTGATGGTGCAGTCTCTACAGCACCAGCCACCGTCTCTACACTCAGACCAAGTCCGCTATTGACGATGATCTGTGGCGGCCGTTGTTCGCCACCATCCGAATGATCTGATTCATCTTGTTGTTTTGGAGCGCGAGGCGTCATCTGGCAAAGTGGCCGCATAAAGTGCGAGTGAATCTGTTGTCCGCGGTGCTGATGGCTGAAGGATCGTTCAAGTGCCTTGAAGCCCTCAACGTCACTCGCGCCTTCTTCTATAAACGCCTTTGTAAGTAGAGCCTCGACCCATGCCATGTTGTTTGCTGGCAGGTGGATCCATCTGAAGCTTGTCGCCTTTGAGTCTTTCGGTAATATGTTGACTGCAGGTTTTCGGTCGTTGACTGGGTCACGGCCATAGAGCAGTTCGTAAATCGTCTTCTTCGACACTTTGTTGTTGTTGTGGTAGTTGCCGAAATCGACCATGGTAGCATGGAATCCATTAGTGGCTCCTAAGGCATCCTCACTCAGAGCATCTACTTGGTTCGACGGCGCAAGCCTATTGAGGATGTCTCTCCTGGCTGGCTCCTTGCTCTGCGCCGCGTGCAGAAAAGGAGAAATTCCGAACTTGTCCCTTGCTGTACGCTTGATGTCCTTCCTCTCAAGTAGACAATTGACAACATCCAGGTGGCCTTTTTGTGCAGCGATGTGTAACGGGGTCATGCCGGTCAATAGCTTTGCGTTAATGTCAGCACCAGCTGCAAGCAAAGTACGAACGATTTTCACAGTGCCATTCTCGCAGGCATTATGCAGGGGCTGCCAGCTGCCGTCGCTTTGCGCGCTCACGTTTGCGCCATAGACAAGCAGCATGTCGACAATATCGTCCCGTCCATGTGCCACGGCCAGATGCAGCGCTGTCTTCTGCCTAATTTCCACTGCATTCACATTCGCTCGCGGGGCCCTCTGCCTCTTCAGCAACATCTCACACAACTCTTTCTTGCCCGTGCTAGCTGCCCAATGCAACGGACTCCTCTTGCCTTCGTCTTGTCCGTCAGGCCCGTCGATGACTATGTCCCGTCGTAGCAGCTCCGCGATGACATCGCGACCCCAATTGCAATGCTTGTCCGCTGCAAGATTGTGCAGGACGTTTCTGCCTGTGTTGTCCTTCTTGTTGACGTCTGCGCCGCAACGCAACAATTCAATCATAATGTGGAAATGGTTCTTCCAGGCCGCCGTCATGAGGGCTGTCCGTCCCTGTTTATCTTGCGCATCCACATTGCCCCCAAACTTGAGCAGCAATTGCACAATGCCGACGTGGTTCTTCTCAATTGCCTTGAACAGGGGCGAGACTCTGCCACCAGGAGCACCATCTGGCTTCGCGCCATTCTTGAGCAAGTACTCGGCTATGTCTATGTTGCCGCGCTCGGCTGCGCGCATTAATCCTATGCGCAGAAGGTGGTCGAGGGGTTGCGCCTTCGCTTTGGCTTGCTCGATGATTGCGATTGCATCATCATGCTTCTTTTCCTCAATTGCTTTGAGCAGGCGCGGCTCAACTCTGGCATTTTGCGTCGAGTCACCGCCGTCGCTGGAGCGTGAAGGTGAGCGTCCCATGTCTGCTGCATTCTCCGCCCTAGGCAGATCCTTGGAATGCGGAGAAGGTTACTGGCGCGTGGTCTCGTTCGACGTGAGTTCGGATGGAAGCGCGACTCAGATCCGATGTAGCGGTAGCCGTGGATACTCGGGATCCATGTTCGACCGGGAGACGCTCCTCTGCAATGTTTTATTCGCGTGATCGCACTATCGGTGTCCAGGTCGTACAGCCACCAAATGTCTCCAGGCCAAGACTCAGCTGCGCGACCCGCATCGTCACGTGGGTGGCAGGGATCTGCCGATCCTTGCGTGGAGATCTAGGAAAAGTGGACATCGGAAATATGCGATTGTGCATGAGGAAGAGCTCGAATGCCATACACCACGTGCTGGGTCGAGAAGCCAGTCCTCGCGGGTGTGAAGGCGATTTGAAGGTTCGACGCGGATCTGCCGGCCAACACATCCATGTCACGACCTGGCGGGGCTGGCGTGTCAAACCAGAACCGCTCTCTCACGCCTCAACATAGATAGGCTGGCCAAAGCATATGCACTGCGCGAGACATCACGCACACGGTGGCTTGAATGCGCTGTTGACGTGTACCTGATGTTCACTTAGCGTGACAATTTGGCGTCGACCACTGCCCCGGTGATCTCCACATCTACAAACAGCCATGGAATCCGAGCTTCATAAAGCCGGACTGCTGCCGCTTCTTCAGTCTGCACAACCGAGCAATTCAACAGCCTTGTCGTCCGTCTCAAAGAGTTCAACACTCTTTCGCCGCATCGCCGTGGTACTGCTGGCACTCAGCTTCTATGTCATCTTCAAGAGCGTTCACGTCATGCCTTCAACCGACACCAATTTGTCGCAAGGCAGCAATACAACATTCATCCCCTTCATCCACAAATTCAGTCCTAAGCATGTACCACAGGTCATGTGCACGATAGAGGGCGTCGAGATCTGGATGCCAGTAGATACTGGCTCTACTGGACTCTTGATTGGAGCACCAATACTGCCCAACATCGATCCCAAAATTGGCGAACCAGCCCACCACTTCTTCACCAGTAGCAAGATTCTGTACGTGGGCCGGCTTGTCAAGCTTCCTGTGCATTTTCACGGTGAAGCTGGTTCTGCCACATCCAACATCCCAGTATTAGTTGTGGACAAGAGCTGGAGATGCCCATGGTATAGTCCGGGTAAGGACAGCTTTGATTGTCCGCCCGGTCCGAATGGTGAAAAGGCTACACAGAGGGACACCTCACAGATCACATACATGGGCGTCGGTTTTGGAAGAAATTGTCCGAGAGATGGCATGCCAATTGCTGCACCTCGAGTGAATCCATTTCTGAATATCGATACAATAGACGGTGTGCCAATTGCGCCACACGCTATGCAGCCTGGATATATTGTTACCACGAAGGGCGTTCACCTCGGCCTAACACCCGACAACATACAAGGGTTCCTGTTCGAGGATCTCCAACCCGGCCTGACGCACGATCAGGACCCCAGAGACTGGGCTATGGCGCGAATGTGTTTCAGCGTTAACGGTGAAGGCAGGAGTTGCGGTGCGGTACTCGTCGATACTGGCATAGCCCAGATGTACATCAGACCAGACGATGGTATGACGATACCGAACGTGACCATCCGCAATCCCAACAAGCATGGGTATGCAAAGATGGTGAAGCGTGTCAAGCGTGGCACGCAGATCGCGGTTGCTTTCCCATCCTTCACCGACCAAGCAATGTCCTACTCTTTCACCGTCGGGGAGGGCTCATCCATCGAGCCCAACTACGTCGTGCCTGCACGAGCAACATCCGCGGCGTACGTCAACACAGGACGCAACCTGCTGAACGGTTACTCGATAGCCTTCGACGCAATCGGAGGGCGCTTTGGCCTACGACCTGTACATCCAAGCTCTTCTTCTGTACTGTAGTATAATCCATAGCAAGCACATGATCATTTGACCGTCATGCTCCTCATCGGACTCCTGAATCCCTCCCTCAGATCTTTGTATTCCTCGATGGCCCGGATCACCACGCCATGTGCCTGCTGTCCATCCATGTCCGCACCCACCACCACAATAGCCCCAACGACGCCTTCAACACCCTTCACGAAGACAGGGTACCCTCCCCCTTCGATAGTGTATTTGCTCCACTCATCCCCACTCATCGCATGATGCTCCGCGAACCTCTTGTAATCCCCATCAAACTGGCAGTTGATATACCACGTACTATGCCCCCACCTCAGCACCGCATTCTTCTTCCTCTGCACCCACGTTTCCGTATCGGGCATCGTCCCAGGCAAGCTCGGCGAATGGAACAGCGTCTGCGCGCTCATCGAGATGTGAATAACGGCCGACACGCCCGCGGTGCGCAGCGCATTGCGCAGAATATTCCCAATAACCCACGCATGCTCGCACGTGAAATGCGCAAATGTGAAGCTCTTTTCCTCCTGCGCGAGGTCGCCGAGGGAGCGCGTAGGCGAGGGGAGCGAATCGAGCATTTGGGGCGGCGACGGGTGCAAATGATGATGATGATGCGATGCGGGGAACGAAGACATGGGCATGAGGAATATAGGACAGGGAGACGCAAATATAGGCAGATTGTTGCCTGGGATGATTGCGTGCCGTTTCGAAATATAAATATTTCGCGACGATGGGCAGAGCGCGCGGCGTTGCCTGAGCTTGCGTAGGGCTAAGGCAGGTCCAACGGACTTTGAAACGGAATTGTGAAACGGAGTGGGGCGTGGGTCTAGATGGTGGAAACGTGGACGGACGAGCCCGCGAGCTAGGAATGGCTGCGACTGAGGAACTAATGTTGATTGAAGGACTTTATTTACTTTTTAAAAGTCGGAAGTCCGAATGGTGGAAGTTATCATGTTGACGTTGAGGCGGCACGGCAATTGCCTCGCGCCGCCACCTGGGCAATCCAACTGGTCATCTGCCCAGCACGCCGCGGCGAGTGTTGGTGTCGTACCATGTCTCAAGTTATAAACTTCATGTTGATAAGCTGTGGATCCGGTACTAACCCCTTCAAGAAAGCCCTGGGCGAAATTATCTGATTCTGGTTTGAACTACTTTAAAGTCCGTGTCTGACATCCGGCTGCTTAGCCTGGCATGTGATGATGGCGCTCACATTGTGGGAGCCTATGCTCTCTAAAGCGGTAGGATAATCCAGAGTCGTGCTCTTCGACATGTTCGAGCAACGTTTATGCTGCTTCATGAAAGCCAACAATCACACTTTCGACGACTTTCTCGTTCGCTTGTGCAGAAGTCAAGTACGTTTAGATATACTGCAGGTCCTCAAGTACAACGGAAGCCATATCCAATAGCCTGGAGCTACACACAGTATCACTGGGTTCCGAGAATGACAGAAAGGTACTGTGTATAACTTTAGGCCATTCTATGCCCCCAGTCGATGACGTGCAGTACAGTACCCATTTTAACCCGCCGCTGTCGTTCCACCATGTACATCATGCGCCTCAGGACGCCCATCACCGCCTGGCACCGGTATGTATTCCTCCCCAAGACGAATGGGTCGCTTCCGCACGTCTTCGTCATCAACAAGGTCGATGCGCCATCGCATCGTCCCATCCGGATCCCTGAACCACCCTAGACGAGTCCGTATCTTGCTATCCTTCAGCATAGCATTGGCGTCTCTGTCATTTATAGCAGCAATCAGACGATCACTGCCGGCGATGAGGACAAGCACATCTGCAATGCACTCCACATCCCGCATCATGCCGCTATAGTACCTCTTTTTCACGGCCGTGAAGATGCTTATCGTAATGATGAGCCAGATGAGAATGCCGGTCGATAGCCAGAACGCGACGGGGTTGATGCGGAGGACTTCTACGCGCGTGGATGTCGTTGCTGTTGTTGTTTGACTGGTATTGCGAACGACGTCTTCAAACCTCGGAGCCACAGACCCGTTGGGCGTAAGTTGTGCCAGCGGAATAGGCTTTGGCTCCCATGGCGCGTCCTGTACCAACAAAGTGGTCACTGGCGGGTCGATTTTTAAATCTTTGCCCACTGGTTGGAAGACCTGTCCGCCATACTCTTGGGATACGTTGTGTTGAGAGAAGTGCTTGAAAAAGGTGGAGAATACCTTTTGCGATGTTCTAAGTAGTCTCTCCGGGTCCAGCAGCGCCAAGGGATCAGAGCCCACCTGTTGGTAGGCTGCATAGGACATGAAGTCCAGGTTTAGGCCGGTGGCGTTGTCTCGCATGTTGAAGATGTTGTCCTCTAGGTGATCAGACTCCACGTCGGGGTTGTAGCTCACCACGTTCCAAACACCGACATCACTTATAGATGCTGCACGTAGTAGTGACTTCATGAAGATAACACCATAACTGCTCAAGATTAGTCGGCCATGATCTGGGTCACATATTGCTGAACGTACCTCGTGGTCACGTCGATGTTTTGCGCTCTTGTGTTCGAAGCGTTGCTGAATCGGACGATGGAATTGTTTCGCCATTGAAACGAATCGGACCAAGCAACATCATCGCTTGAAGGAGCACGAAGTATTTGATACTCCTGTACAGCCCCAGATGCAGTGTCAACGGTGACCTTGGCTTCGCTTGCTTCAATGCTAGGCATACAATTCAAAGCTTGTATAGCAGGTGGCTCTGAGTAGAACAGCGTCGGTTCTGTCTGCTTTACATATGGTACAAAGCTTGCAGGACCTCGGATCCACTTGACGGTAAAGTTTTGAGTAGCCTCTTCGCTCCAGTTCTCGGTCCAGTAAGCCAGAACGGATGGCTGGTACTGCGCTCCCTGTCCCGAATCACCGGTTAGGTTGCCGCAGCATTGCGGGAATACGGGTTGTGCGGTCAGACGAGTGTTCGTAAGATTGTCGTAGACAGCAGGCTCAGGAAAATAAAGCGTCTTCAAGCCGGTGCTGTTGAATTTACCCCGGTTGCTCTTGTCCGTACTGTCTTCAGCTCTAAGCCAGAGGCTTACATTGCTTGGCCAGTCAACCGCACTGCAGTCTAGCCTAGCACGGACCGCAGGCGTCAAGATAGTTGTGTTGGTAGATTCAAGGCCGAGTACGTGGCTGTCACTATGTTGATTCGCCAGGGTGTCGATTGTCAATTGCGACGGTATAAAACTCCAGTCATCTTTGCTCCACGTTGGCTCGGGACCATTGAGCGCCGCTTCAAGCATGGCGGTATACAACCAGTCAGACTCGGGACTGAAGTACGTATCTTCTAGGACATCTTCCGCAGGGTGATGAGTATAATAAAACTGCGATGTGCCGTTCTTGAAGACTTGCTGCATCAGGGGCTCTTTTGTCATGTACGGAACTCGGCGAAGCTCAAGTGTCTGGGGAATAGTAGAAGACCTGGTGGTTATGCCGCTACCCGAAATGAATAAAGCCGACATTGCAATGGTAACTATAGATCTCAGTCAGTATTAGTTAGCTAACAATAAGATGTAGCAGTCACGACGTACGAATCTGCATCAAAAAGGTTGTGGTCGTGACCAGTGAGAGCAACCAGTGTCGTTCTCTCAAGGCTTTGAGGGACGCCCAAAGCCAGAAGCACGACATATATGACAACCTTACGGTGTCAGTGCGGGCCTCTTCCCCATGATACATGCTGATATAAGGCTGTATCGTCCTGCAAGTGGTGTCGACTGACTCCCACCACAATGAGATGACAATGGCAAGGACGGTTGGTATGATAGCAAAGGGCGAGATCGTGTTTGCGTCTCCAAAGACGTTGATTTCAGCGCGATAAGTGAAGAAGGTTTGGTGAAGCCCCGATCTACGTGCGCTCTCGTACAAGGCGACAACCCCGGCGAGGAGACCAAGAACGTAGGCCAGGAGCAGAATCAAATACCGCTTTTGAAGTCCAGGCAGTGCAGGAGTAGCTTTCGGAGATGGCACTGCGGCTGAATCTACTATACTTTAGTGAATTATCCCAGCCCTGCTTAGCTGACGTACCTTTAGAAGCACCTTGGCCGACAGCTTCATGCTCATCGAGCCTGCCATCCTCGGACCTGAAAACCCTGTCTGCTAGCTCGATCTTGAGCGCCTTCCTAGTAACTAGGTCTAGTGATGCAAATTTGCGCAACAACGCTACGTTGCCACTCGCCCAGATGCCAGTTCCCAGAAGTGTGCTTGGATCGTGACTAATTCTGAGAGCCCTCTTATCCGCCCACGTCAGCCAGACGAGGACTACCATCGAACAGAACGAGATCAATAGTAGGGCGCAGAGAATCGAGACTGCTTGTCCGCTGACTAACACTTTGCGAACAGTTTGGAGTTGATGGCCAGTCGCGCGTTCCTGCGCCAGATAACCCGTACGTTGCAGCGAGGCGCCGAGCACTTCAGCGGAGAAGCGATTTCTAAAACGAGCGGCGACCACAGGTAAATCCGTGTCGGCCATCATCCGTGGGACGCTGAAGTTATATCCAGTGCCCAACATGGCGCCAGGGCCCGCAAACACCTTTTTTGCTTGTTGATTTGCGAAGACAGACTTCTGGCGAACAAACTTGCTCCAAGCAAGATCCGTGTAAATTTCATGCATTTCTTGTAGATCAAAATCCTCGGGAGGAACGGGTATCCGCTTCTGCTCGAAAAACTCTTCATCAAACTCAATAGACAATCCCGTTGAGGTGGATGTCGCCCTGGCAGGTATAAAGGCCATGCTATGGTCGGAATGGCATGCGTAGGCAAGGGCGGTCATGTTGTCCAGCAGACTAGTCGGATCTCTTGAGTCAATCCACCATGGTCTGCTCATCAGAATGATCTCTTTTTCATGACAGTCTTCGTTCAGTCGTACAACTGGATCAGGGGTATACTTATCGCCAAAATTTAGACGCTTTGTATCACTCCAGGACATCCAATCATCATCCAACCAGACTCTCGCCTCGAAGTTGTTAAGATCTGTTGTCGCATTGACGGTGACATTGAATTGACACCCACCGTCGGAGTTTAGAAGCACAGATGCCACATATTTCTTCTCGGAACTGCCGGATTGATTTTCGTTATGACGAAGCCAGATGTCCTTCCTGCTCATTTCAAGCCTTGAGCAAACGAAATCGTTGCGAAATATAGTTGTGTCTGCTTCCCAGACGCCTGTGGATGAAGACTGGGAGCTCCATGGCAGGTCAGGCTGGACAGAGTCTTCTGGCCAAAACGGCAGGATGACATATTGATCAGTAACCCAAGGAGATGTGCTGTAGTTCTGAAAGAGAGCACCCATCGTCCGAAGATATGTATCGCGCTCGGCTCGAGGGTGTAGCATCGATCCGGCGGGCATTGCCAGTCGTACCAGTGCTGCGGGACTCGTTTGTTGCACCTCTTTCGAATCCAACAAGGCAGCAGAAATTGGCGAAATTCCAAGGATGGCTAAGATATAGAGACTGCAGGAAAGGATCAGGACCCAATTCATTGAGCCGCCGTTTCTTTTCTTCTGGAAGCAATGTGCAAGAGTTGTCCACCA